CAGGGGTGTAAAGGGAAAGCGGGTGGTGGAAAAGAGGTTTCGAAATCCTGAAGGCGAGATGGGGGTATTTAAAGCAAAGGGTTAGGAGGGCAGGAGCTTGAGAAAAGATTGAGTGGAAGCAAGCGGTGGAGTGGGTGAAAAGTAAGTGAGGGACATGTGAGTGATTTCCTCAATGTCATGTGGCAACATGGGGGCGGCTGCAGCTACGGGTGAAGGAGCGGTGAAGCAAGCTTGATGGCCCACACATCTGATGAGAGGAACTGGTCCCCTTGAAAGAAAAAGCTCAATAATTCAAAAGGGAGGTAGGGGAAGAAAGTGGAGGAGAAGGAGGGGACAGAATAAAAGCTGGTGGTTAACATGAACGTTAAATATATACTGTATTATGAAGGTTGAAGGGCAAGAGGGTGAGTGTTCATCGCCCATGGTGCAGGAATTATCAATCACCACCAGCGCCGCTCCTGCTGCATACGGACGTCAAACGTGCCAGAGAACGCCGTGCAGGTGCGCCAGTGTTTGTGCTCCAGCGGCAGAGTTCCTGGCGCGGCTGTAGCGAAACAAAATCTGTTGCGCTTTGCTTCCAGGTAAGCTCTTTGTGCAGGACATCACTTTGGAACAATTCATTCACACTGGCAGCCACACAGTGTGGCCACAATCAGAGCTGCCACCAGCCTGCAGTGCAGACACAAGCAGAGGAATTATACTCTTATGAAAACCACAGGGATCCATTCACAGCCCCAGTGCTCAATGCACAACTCCATTCTATATAACTTACGCCGCCTCATTTATCTCAGTCAGTACAGTTCAGAATGAAAGTAAAGAAAATTTGCAGCAGATACACCATAGTGAACTTCTATTTTCCCTGTGAGGGGTGCGACACCCGGCACTTACCCAGCATGTAATGAGGGTGACACAGAAAGAGAAAGGAATGAAGGGACATTAATTCAGAGATTTTGCTCCGAGCTAAATTAATGTTGAGCAGGATGAAAATTAAAAAGAGGTCACAGTGGTTGAATCTGTGACAAGAGGACACAGATTAGAATTCTCCATAATGCGGTAGCTTTAAATTTATTTCTAAAGGGCCAAATTCTATTCGCACTAGGTTGAAAACTTTCAGAAACCAGGAATTGTTCCTAAGTTGGATGATAATAGCCGAGCTAATTAGACACTGCCTTCAATTGAGCATTAAGCGACGAGATAATCTCAGCCATTCCTCCAACCTCTCGTTTGAGAGCAGATATTTGTTTGTAAGAAGAATGGTATTCATTTTGCCACATACAGAAATATATTCATCTCAGACTCGCTGAATGTGCTTTACAGCTTGATAGTTTTCCTGACATATCAGGTGGCGCCTGATGGGCCTGCAGTGCATCCTGCTGGCTGAACACGAGCACAACAAGCCTCACACCCTCCCTGACCATTTCCTGCTTTATCTACAGTTTGTCATTTACAGCAGGAGCTCTTTGCAAACTCAGCCCTGATTGAAGCTAAGCTGGAATGCACGGCCTGATTTGGAGCAAGACTGATAAAACTCTGAAACTCTATTACTTTTCCCTGGCTCTGAGACTGAATTGGATCTTTGACTTGAAGAGCTTACAGCCTTTGAATTATTTTAGACTTGCCAAACATGTCAGCTGTTATCATATGATTAGCTTCCGCCGCACCGTACTCTGATAAAACACACACTTAGAACCGAGCTATTGTTGTTGCTGAGGAAACTACTGAGTTGATGTCCAAATAAATTATCTTTTACTCCCTCAACACAGTCAAACGCTTAAGCATGCAGAGCTTGAATAGCAGCTGGAACAAAAAGAGACAAATACTCAGAGCATAAGAAGAGATATAAAAAAAAAATTCTGTGTTTTAAATTAATCTAAAAATGTTGTACAAGACTGCACATACAGCTTTCAAACTCAAGTGTGGGAGCAGGAATCGCTGGTGCATCTAAAGTAGAGTCTGTTCTAAGTTCATTTTGGAAAATAACTTGGATTTTAGTATCCTAATAAAAGTATACTGAATCACCGCGCTAAAAAGTGTTGCCTTTTTGCTGGTTTCCATCTGCAAAATACACAAATGGTGCTGTTAAGAGGGTCATTCACGCTCTGCATTTCATTTTACATCATCCCATATGTTAGCGCGGTTCAGATTTTCCAACTGAACTTTATCTCTGAACCTGACTTTAGTTTTTTTTTTAAGTGTAAGCATAAATTTTAAGCACGGGCACTTAAGCGAATACACTTTTGTGCTCATGACTACTAAAAGACCTTTGGGTGCAACTCTGTTTTATTCCCTTTACACACATGCATGCATGAAGATATGAACAGTACTGAGGATGGCACAATGCAATTACCCTGATATTATTACGTTTAAGGGTTCGATCGTTTATCGCTGCAGTCCTCTTGTTTATTCATGCCTTTCAAATAGCAAAAACACATTTACATTTTAACCATAAACGCCAGCAATCAAATGATGGCATAATCAAGCCCAGACAATATGAAGTACATCAGTCTCTGATTATTAACTTAGTGATAAGTTAAATGGGTCTGGAGGGGCTTCCTTTAAGACAAATGGGCTATTTGGGCACGTTGCTGACAGTGGTGAATGCTTAAATCCGCATTAGCCACAGACATCAGGGCTCTACGGAGTGCAACATGCTGAGCTGTTAGTGGTTCAGTCTAGCTTTAAATGCGGTACTTACTCATAATGATCCCTAGTAAGAGAAACATAATAATACGATAATCAAATCAACATTATTAATTTATGGTAATTTACTTCAAACCTAACAGTATCTTTAAGCTCCTAACAACAGGTTATTTAAAAGCTTCCCCCTCCACTAAGAACCACTTTTCTGTGCGCACACACTGATTACAGTATTCGGCTGGCTCAACAAGATCATAAATATCCTAATTATTAACTCTTAAAAGATCTTCAACTACCATCCGTCAACCACTGTGCATCAAATGGAGCTTATGAAGCAAACACAACCCCGAGTTAATCTGGCTAATAGGCTCAAAGGCTTTAGTAAACACTGTTTTATGATATATTTTCACAAATATAATGAAATGCAATAAACTATGCATCACACATAACTTTGTGTGCGGCAGTAGAAAGTGACAGCTTTTATGATGTCGGAGACTGTGGCCATTAACAAGATTACTGATCTCTCAAACATAACAGATAAGTCCAAACAAGTCTACTCAGGCCTAAAATCGGCAACGACTTACTGATCTCCATATATATTTATGAAAAGCATCTATCATCAGAGACTGTGAGGACAGGAAGAGAGTTTGTTCTGAAAAAAAGCTCTTGTTAATAATTCAAAACTGAAATCTGAGTTCCTGAGAAAGTTAATTGAAAAGCTATAAAGATAATATCATGTATCAAATTCAGTAGTAACTTCAAAAGTGGATTAAATGTAAAGGTGTTTTTTGGTTAATTTCTCACCCTGAGTTTCATTGACAAAGATCTCTTAATAAAAAAATGCTTTAATGTGGGTTTCACAGGAGCATACTTTCCCGGGAACACAAAATTGTACTTTCTACATGTTTTTGACTGTGCCCAGGCACAGGATGTGCTCAGCTAGAGCCCGAGGTAAGGAGCAGTCCATGAGGATAAAAGCTTCACTGAGGATGAACTTAGCACTGTGTTTGTTAGAGGCTTGAGCTGCTGAGGACATGGTGAACCCTCGGAGGCCTGTGCAGGCTCTCTGTGATACACAAGATCACAAATCAGTTTCAGGTAGATGTTGCCTCTCTGTACCCAAAGTCATAGACCTGGGGGCTCTGAGATGTATGCATGAGACTCTTTTACTTCAGCCCTGGATATTACAAATACTGCACATGTCACACCACCTGACCCAGCAGACTTAACTGATTTGAGTAAAAACAGACACCTCCTGAAAAGCTCTGATAATGACAAAACACGCCAGGACATTATCTTTCTCTAGCCACTGATGTGTGGTCTGACACACATCCTGTTACATTTAAAGATAACTGAGATCTGATCTGCATGCATTTCTGAGAAGTCAGTCATGAGCCTCAGAGTTCTTTCTCTCTGCCTGGAGTTAAAAAGGACCTAAAGTCACTGGGAATTAGACACACACCTTCATTTAAGTATTACTTAAAAAAAAATAAAAAAGGAAAAATTAATTGTAAGGGACGACATCTACTGAAGTTGCGTATACAGAAAATATCAAACATCGAATCGCACACAATGGAGACCAGCAAAATAAAAAAATTGACTTATTTGCATCTCTGCATTCAGAGCATATTCAGAAGAACCCGAGGAGGACCATGCAACAGCATGGACAAAAGTGAACAAATATCAAATTGAAGACCATAAAAAAAACGTGTAATTTTACTCCATTCAGGCCACATTAATAAGTAACCCAGGAGGACCACTACATAACGCGTGCCTATCAAAATAAACTATTTTTCAAACTAAAAGACATGTCAAACATCAGATGCTCATTAAATCTTTACTTTTTTGACCCGCTGTTCGCGACCCATCCAGAACGTGTCCGCGACCCACTTTAGGGTCGGGACCCACCAGTTGAGAACCACTGCCTTGGAGAACAAAATATGCGTGCAAAGGCCGAAGTTGGGGGCCATGACACACGTGGAACAAACATCTTGGAGATCCAGACACTATACAGCCTACTCAGTCATGACCAAATCTACCGGAACAACCAGCTATAGTCAACAAGTCCACAGCCAGTAAGATAAATCCACAGTATTAGCACCAACAAGTTGCTATTCCACTCAGGACAACATTTAAATGTGAACTCTTTCTGTCTTGTACTCACCTGAACCGCGATATTTTGTGAGGATCTTGTGTAGACCAGATATTCTCAAGTGGGTGGGGGATCCCAGCTACTTCCATCTTGTAGAGAAAAACAGCGTCTACCTGGTGGTCACGCGACATATTGGGCCGTTTGATTTGTTTCCGGGGTGGCGCGTGCAATTAGCGCCTTCTTCTTCTTTTGGTTTTCTGGCGGGTTGCAGCCATATCAATTAGCACCTGTCCAACCTTGCTGCAGGTAGACTACAGCCGGCAAAACCGCAACGTAAGTACACAAACTACATTCCTTGGTGTGAGTTTTACGAGACTGTTTGATGATACAAAACTGTAAAAAAAAAAAAAAAATCAAAATTTCCACTCGTGAATGTAAACATAGGCTAGCTCACCCTAACTTCAAATGTTGCTGATTAAGAAACTCTGCCCTCTAGCGGCCAACAAACGCACCTGCTGCTGACACTCCAGGAAGCGGAAGTCATAATGCAGGTTTTTAAAAACAACTAAAAAGTACGCTGAATATCACAAATGCGCGTTAAATTGACATTTTTTTAACCATCTAACCAAATTTCTTTGTTTTTACACAGGCCTGACAGCATCAAAACTGGTCAAATTGAAGGCCTATGTGTGTTTACCTCTGCTATAGCCCAGTGGTTCTCAACTGGTCTCACTCTGGGACCCACGTTTTCCCACGATCCCTAAGTCACAACCAGCTTTTATATAAATCAATCCAAGCAAATGTATTTTTTATCAAAATAAAATAACTTTAAAGACTCAAATCTTCAACACAAATAGACACGTTTTATTGAGTAAAGTGCATTTCAGAGGACATGAACTGAATATAATATAATAAGTTACTTTCAAATAAACAAAAATGTGATAAATTACTTCCATATGCACAGAAATATTGTTGCCTAAAGGACAAATAGGCCAATTATGTGCTTCTAAGCATGGCAAAATCCTTTCATTGCACCTTGGTCAAGGACAAGCCTAATTTCAGTGTACTCATAAGGTGTAGAAGGCTGGCATGGGCTCTGAAACTGTACAAAAGGAGGCACTTGAGAGACAGAGACATTTAATCATGAGTAATTGTTAAAAAACAATAAGATCTCACCTATAGGTGCAAAGGGATATTTTCAGTCGTAGTTTAGATTCTCATAAAAAGAAAATGTCCATGTACTGGATCAGAATTTCAGAGCATTTCAAACAATCCATCCCAGAACTATCATAAGTAAAGCAGTCTATAAGATTCAGTTTGAAGCTGGGAGATAAGAAAAGGTGTTGCAATGCAGGTTTTTCTCTGTTAACATAAAACATGGTTTGATCACTCGCCCTGGAGCTGGCCTCCAGCTCTGGTACTGTACATGTAAACTAGCTTCATGTATAAAATGCTTAAATCAGCATCTTGGGGAGTTTTCCTTAAACTTGCTGAATTTGCTGACGCAGCAGATCCACCTTAATATTTAAATTCAATAAAATGAGGAAGTTACATTTTGTTGTGAATTGCATCTAATGAGTCAGACTCTTTTCATTGAAAATCTCTAAAATGTACTTATTTTTACTGATGAAACACTTGACCTAATTTTTAAGTAACAAAGCTCTTATTCAAAAATGTAATCTAGTAAAAGTGCCGGTGCTATTTTATACTTTTTTTATATATAATCAAAAATATCCTGATGGGACAGCAACATTTGAAGTAACCTCTTCTTTTTGGAGAATTCCTATTTTAGTTATTTGTACTGGTAGTTTTCAGGGGACTCTTAGTGACATGTAGTATGCACTTTTATCCACTAGGTAATGCTATTTCACAGTAAGACACATATATTTGGATTAAGCTGAGCTGGTGCAGCTTTGAGATATTCTTTTTTCAGTGTGTCCTCCCCAAATCTTCAATTATTAAGTCAATCTATGAGGACGTCTGTCATTTCTATGGTCAGTTTAAAACATCATTTAGTGTCAGAGGGTTTTGTGGTCATGTTTTTGTCAGATTTAAAGAGGATTTTAAGCTTTTTCACATCGGTCATCAAATACAGAGGGGCATATGGATGTTACTGAGGATTTCTTATAAAACCTTGATCATGTGGTGCTTTAAGTGACACAACAGGACCTTCAAGTCTTACAAGTCAATGATTTGTTTAGGCTTGCTGTCATTGTTCAAGTTGTGATTTTGAAAGGTCCTTTTTGGCTTTCAGGCTCAGCGCCACTTCCTCTCCAGAGAATGAAAGTTCAGCCTGAAGGTGCGAGAGAGTGATGAAAGCATGACGGTGGTTCCTCTGTATGCATGAGCTATTTTTTTACAGCTATATAAAGGAAATGTCATTTTGCACACATTGTGGCAGTAAGCACAGAGGAACAGGGTGCTGCATTCACAACAAGTGTTGTTGGTGTCAGTTTCGCACTGTTCAGTGTTGATTCACATGGAAACTTCTCAGGTTACATAACATGCGAGAACAGACAGAGTTTTTTTCAGGTGTCATGAATTGTTTATGAATGGTCTAAAAGATTTAAAACTGAAATAACTAAAAAGTTTAAGTTTGCTTTGAGAATTTAAAAAACTTAAGCAAAACTGCAGTAAAATGGGGCATCTTTACTATCATATTTACAAGGACCCATACTCAAAAAAAAGACATAATTGGAAGTTAACCCCGACATTTACATCAAACAGATAATACCAGTTCTACAACAACTATATGTTGAAATAAGGTAATTCGTGTAAAATACTAGACTTAATCTAATTCAGGCAGATATAATGGAAAACTTCCCCCCGCTCTAACTCTACTAGAAAAGAAGCAAAGGGCACAAAGGACAATGAATTTCAAAAATACACAGTCTCTTAGGTTTAACTGACTTCACAGTTTCCAAATGAGAACCGGTAACACATAGAGCAGAACAAGAAAAGAAGAAATAACGCTCTTACATCAGACTTTAGTCCCCTATTCAGGCATTTTTATTCTGAAACACTCAAGTGTGGCTTTTAAAGTTGAGAAGCGAGCATTTGAATTCACCACCAACCACCCACAGATGAATGAAAGTTTCCCACATGCATATAATGTGGTGGGACAATATCTATCGTGTGCCATACAGCAGTTTCAGCAACAAAAAGCTCCTCAGAATACATCTCTGAGGTGAGTAGTTCAGGACTGCTGGTGCAAGGAAAGTCATAGACATTACAGAGTCACATTTGAGGACACAGTTCGTTTTTATATGAAAGGGCATCAAGATTGTTCCACACTGCAACAGTGTGAATGGTTACGCCATCAGTGTGGAAACATCTAAGACGCATTTTGTGTAAAAATAGAACAATGCAACTCAACACAGTTTAAATCATGATCTGAGGACAGAAAATGTAAGCGGACCTGAGTCTCCAATCTGACCCCTCTGTCCAGAGTTTGTCAGGAAGCTGTTGAGACAGCTGGGCCGCATTCAGGTCCCTCCTTATTGTTTGAGAATTCAGAAAGAAACAAAAAGAAAACACAGCCAACACAAAACACCCAAAACTCCATATGCACGCTGTCTCTGTGCGGGCAGGAAGAAAAGTGTGAGATAACAGGATAAGCCCTGGCTGCTTGCCATGATCATACCGGCAGGAAAGCTCTTTTTGAAAAAGACAGAAACTGCAGTGAGCTAGTTCAGCTCGCTTACTGAAGTGGGTCAGATTAATTAATGTAAAACAGAGAGGTTATGCTTGGTATCTTGGTATCTTAGCTAATTACTCTTTTCAAGAGTTTTTCAAGCTTGCTTCTTTTTTATGCAAAAGTTTTATCGAGAAGGGCGTTAAAATGTTATTCTAACTACAAGTCCATCTCTTTCTTGTCATGACCTCTTTTTGATCCTTTCAAATAATGATGTAAATAAGCGGTGTTTTGTAAGTTTGCATGGCTGTGAACTCTGCATCTGAAAAACTGAACCATGTCGTTTTAACTAATCCCCCAGCTGTGTTTAATACGTGATACAGACAACCTCATCACACACGTCATATAGGATTTATCTTTAGCAAGAAGTGTGGCGCATTCAAAAAGTTTATGATTACCCCTCTTCCTGTTGACAATGTGGCAAAAACAGTTGTTTCCGATAGTGCCACTGAACAATACGAAGGACATTTTTAATATAACTCTTAGTTTATTTGGAGATTCCTCGCTATTCTGTCAATCGCAGAGAAAGAGAAAAAAAAACAAGACGAGTAAACACATCAGTGGAAAGTCCATTGAAAGTGGTGCACAATCAACAAGGATAACTGCAGCCTGGAGAGGATTGTCAGGGAACATTTATCCTTGAAACTTCACAAAAGGTGGATTTAGGGCTGGTGTCACTACAACAAGAATCTGTTTGGTTTTGATTGCATTAGCACTTTGCCTTCACTGTAAATCACCCCTGACATGTCGAAGTGAAAAGGAGTATGGTTTACAGTATTCATCTTTACACTCCTCCAGAAATAGCTGAATCATTTCCAACAGCCTTGCAAAACATTGCTTACGAACTGAAGCTAAAAATTGATGTCCAACTCATATGACACGCACTCCAGGTTGCTATGTTCACCAAAACGTCCCCATGGTACATTATCTCTGATCTCACATTTGTAACTTCTACTGCCAACAAAAGCTTCCAGTAACCTTTTAACACACAGTTGATGTCCTTTTTCTGTTCTGCCTTTTAAGACAGTATGGTTCTGTTTTTTTTTTCAGTGTTTCCATCAGGGGACTTTTGAGGAAACCCAACGACAGCTTAAAGGACTGAAAGCCACGTTTCTTTGATGGTTACTTTTAAAACTAACTTGTTAAAGTTGAACTATCCAAAAAGTAACAGACAAGTTTTCCTCTTTGTCTCAAAAGTTATTGTGTCGCTCAAACATCTCACGCTAAATCGGTCTGAATGGGAGGTGTTGCTCGTGCAGAGTGATAAACCTTTCACCCTACATCACTGGTGGAACAAATGAGTCATTTCTTGCGAATATAGATTCACTCTGTTCACTCAAAGGTCTGTTTGGTGACATTTGTTTTTTTTTTTTTTTTACATGAGCCATGCTAATGTTAGTACACGCCGCTGTCCCTCTGTGGGCATGCTTTGTGTCACAGCTGCACACAGCCGGTCTCTGGAGACATGCTGACTGCTGCCTCGATGTCCCCGACAGCCCACATCCTACCTCACTGTTTGTAAGTGTGAAATTATGCAACATCAGAGAGGAAGGTCTGTGAACTTTGGCGCAGCGTGTTTAAACCCTTGAAATGATCTTGCCACTGTTCTCTACATAAAAGAAAAGTTGCTAAAAAATTGAACAAATAATGTTGTTGTCTTTGATTGCCCTATAAATGCTTTGAGAGTGTGCACATTCCCTCAGATTTTTAAGGCTTAACCCAACATGTTTGCAGTAAAAGGCATCTATCTTGAGAAGTAATGGTCAGTATCGCCGGCTTGCTCTTTTTGACACAGGGGAAGTGACACTAAAATGTGTGACGATAAGAAGAACATGAAGTCCTGTTGTGGTAAGCAGCTGTGGTCAATGATAAAGATCTTGGTTTGTCATATTGGGCATTTTGTCTTCTTTCTCGATAAATCTTTTTCCATTACTTGCTTAAGTTCATTTTTTTGTTGTTTGTTTTTTTATGTGCAAAAAGTACATAAATCAATTCTTTCAAGGGAACTGTAGTAAATATAGAAATAATCACTCATTAGTTTTTGTTAACCGCTTCCAAATAAAGCCCAGCACAGCTACCATTGTTACATTGTCTCCAACAGACCCACTCAGAGCTATAGAGAAAAGCTATATATATATGTCATCACCATTATTAGCAGACCATGAGCTAAAACTCTGCTTATACAGTAGAAGAGCTCTCCCATCAGCAGGACTTTGTTAAACAATGAATAGTCTAAACTCGCTTCGACCCTCTGAGTGACCCCCAACCAACAGAGTGGAGACACGCTGAAAAAAAGACTGTGCTGTGAAGAGAAAAAAAACACAAGTAACACATTGCTGTCATGGAAGCTGAGTTGCAGAGTTGAGTGAGCTGGCACAGTCATTTCCTTTCAGTATAACCCCACCCCAACAAGAGCAGAAGTGTCTGAAAAGTAACTCTAGGCTGTCCTCCCCTACAAACTTGTGTTACTCAGAGAGAGAGAGAGAGAGAGGAGCCCCTCATCAGCAAAATCCCCTCATCTCAGCATGTCACCTCAGTAATGAGCACAGATGAAGATTCAGAGGGGTGAAGAGGATAAAGCCAGGGAGAGTCACTGTGAGGACAAATATAAGCTGACAAACCACTGATACCAGCATTTGTTTACTCTTGATTTGCTGGGATCAGCATTCGCCGCAGCTACCTATTTTTCTTAACTTTTGCTTTTTAAAGTCACTAAAATAATCAAGGGGACATTTTCATAGAAGGAGAAGAAGAAAAAGAAGAGAAGAAGAGCAGGACAGTGTTTCCTTCTCCAGCATGGTGGGCAGGTGGAACCTCCTGATCCTGGGTGAGTCGCATCTGTTGTCAATGTGCACAGCAGGGTTAGGACGGAAAATCATCTGCTGAGGAAGTTATTAAAGTGTCGTATGTGTAGAGTAAATCCAAGTGACTTTAGGTATCATTCATGTACTATATCAAATCTATCACAACATTTTAGACCAAAAGTAATTCACAACACTTTCAGCACCGAGTTGTCTGTTTAGATAATCAAGTTGATAACTGTTTTATAAAACTTTCATCAACAAGTGTTTTAATCTAAAATACAAGTGAATAGCTAAGTAAAAGAACAATCAGTCATTTTAACTCTTAACTTCCTTGTTTTGAGGGTGTGTAAGAGTTCTTGATCATGCTTTACATAAGCCAACCTTTTATAATACATTACAAGCAAATTCATGAAGTCTTATACATGTATCTTTGTGGCTTTATAACAATCCTTTTAAGCGGTTTTAAACATTCGTAACATCTTATGGTAATGTTTATGAAGTGTTTTAAGCTGTGAGAATAATATTTTAAGGGATGGTTTATGAAAATCATGGGTTTGATAAGATATTACTCGTACAATTTAATCTGCTTATAAAACTTGATACAGAACTCATTCTTATCAATAAAAAAGTTTTAATTTCTATGATTTTCCATTCTTTAATTGTATTATTAATACTCACAACCCTCTAAGGCACGAGTTGGAGCTTAAAAGCAACATTTTGATGCTGTAAGAAAAGTGTCAGACAAAAATATTTCACAACAAGAATAAATCTTGGTATTTTTTTTTCATTTGTATAACAATTATAAACTATACTTTTATGAGGCATTTTGCTCACTGCTTATAACACCGCTCTAAACATTGCTTTAAGCTTATTGTCACTCACAGTGTTGTTATAAACAGTTGTTTTTCCTCAAAAAGCCATCTATCTGAGCCTCACCACACAGAAAACCCCTTGTTCTTCTGCTTTTTAGAGACATTTCAATACTATGACCTCATCTCACAAAGTCCTTACTACCAGGCGCATGATTGTGACCCAGTCTTACGCATCAGCCTTCAGTGGCAGAAACTCCAGTGTTGCCATGGTAGCAATACTGAAAGTGTTTTGTTCCGGTAAATCTAAAACAACCAGAACAATGAAAACTGCATACTCAAAAAGCCACTTTTCTAATCCAACGTTATCCTACACTGTAATGTAAAAGACGTGTTAATGTAAATCAACTTTGATTTGGCAGAGTTGGGAAAATTCTGGATTAGCACATATTTCAGAGGGAAAGGTTTAAGTACATGTATGTTTAGTGCAAAAAGAAATTGGCTTTCCTACTGAAGAGTGCTGAAAAACGAAGCATGCATCTACATCGATATCAGTGCTTGGGTCAGAGTTCCTGTAATCCGATTAATTACATGGTAGAGTTGACTCATTCCAATACCCTGACCACTTTAACAACAAAGGGACAGAGCAGACTGGCATCCCTTTGAGTAGTACATTTAGCATTGGCAAGAACTTGACACGTGAAATTTTAAACTACCATAAAGCAATGATTAAAAAACACATGGTAACAAACAACAACTGATACCTTTGGCTGATCAGATGAACAGATCTTTAAAGGCAAATTTGTTTATTTTTAGGATGTCTCTTTATGCAGTTCATTGTAGAACATACATAATGTGACTCTGTCATGCTTTTTCCCCTAATGTTACCTCCGTCTGGTGCCATTTGGGCAGCCACAGAGGACTGACTCTACACCCTTACAGCCTGTGAATGTAATGCAGTTTTATGCTTGTGTTGTGCTGTGTAATGTTTCCTTGCACATAGGAAGCAAAGCAGGCATGCCAGGTGTTGTTCACTCTGAATTATGATGCAGATGCTGTTGGAACAATCTAAGGAAATGAGGGCAGAGAATGAGGGAATGTACCTTTACTGTACAGTCTTTTTTTTTTCTTTTTATAAAAAAAACAACCTGTTATTATTCATGATGTCAAACTTGACTGTGCCATTGGCCATAGAGGAAAGTCCCAAAAAACATTAAAGAAGTTGAGCATGAGGGCTGCTGTATTTCATGAACTGTAGATTGACAGTCACCTATTTGTTTTTCAGCCCTGCACCTCTTCCTCCCTGCAGTCCTGTCCCAGACCTGCAGAAACGGATATGACTACGATCGTAAGAAGAACGAATGCATTGGTATGAAATGCAAAAAAATAACACTAAAAGCATCCACCCAGCCCACCCATCCACATCACGCTCACATGCACATAAACAGAGAAACTCATAAAGAGCTGTGGCGTGATGTGATGTGATGGCAACTGTCATTGATGGCTTATCTTTGCATTTTTTATTAAGAAGAGTGTCACGTTGTGCAGAAGTAAACTGTTCTATATGTATATATGTACAGTATGTATCCATGTTAATCCATGCACATGTATCTTTTTGCCTACTTTCTCTCCTGGATTAAGATGTCAATGAATGTGAAGAAGTTAATGACAATAACATCGGGCTATGTAGAGAAAATGCAGCCTGTCACAACACAGTTGGCAGCTTCTACTGCACATGTATTGAGGGCTTCTACCCATCGCTGGGTGGAAATAATTTCTCAGCTAATTCCACTGTAAAATGCAGAGGTAAGTCCTCAACTGTATTGAGTCAATTATGTTGAGAATTCAAGTTTCACCTCTTTAGTCACCCCCTAACTATTTTCATCTTTTGATTTAAGATATCAATGAGTGCACCCAGGAAGGTATCTGTGGATCCAATGCCAAGTGTGAAAATACAAGTCCGTATTACTCTTGCATTTGTGAGGATGGTTTTATTTCTACAACTGGGAACAAGAGTTTTAGCCAAGGAGAGCGGGCTTCATGTATTGGTGAGCTGCCTATCAGTCGAACATTTACAGTGGGGCATTTCTGTGCGTTGAGAGAAAGCACCAATGACTGATTGTTGAATATTGCTTTCCATTTCTTCTGAACTCATGCAGATATTGACGAATGTCAAGGGGGCGAGGTTTGTGATCAGAATGCAACCTGTCGCAACATACCAGGAAGTTACGAGTGTGTCTGTAAGGCTGGCTTTGGACTAAGATCTGGCAAATCTAAGTACACAGGGAATCAGGAGCAATGTGAAGGTGAGGGTTTAGAGTCACAACAATCCAGAGATTCTTTTTTTAAGTCTCACAAGAATCTGAATCATATCTGAAGCATGTTTTGATGTTTTTTAATATTCTTTATATCAGAACAAACACTAAGCAGAAGTATGACATAACATGTCTAGAAGTTTGAGATGGAATAAAATATCCAAATATGCCCACATGTCACATCTTTGAAAATATGGACTCAGTATTTAGCTGGAGTATTACCAGATCTGTGGTAAATCATTGCCATTAGATGTGACATGGATAGTACAGTATGATTGGTTGAGTGAGCAGAAGGCCTGTGATTTTTTCAGTTTTCCATCCGACTTGTTTCATGTTATGATTCTGTGTTATCCTTGAAAACCAGTGGATAGACCAGGACATGTATTATTCCATTAGCTATGAAAAACACAGCTGAAATTCCTCCTCTGCCTGATTTGTTTGTGTTTAGACATATGTATGGTTGATAAGACCATCTGTGGAAATGGAACCTGCCACCGTGGAGCCGATGGCCATTACTGTGCCTGTCATTCTGGGTTTACCAACTACGGATACAAAGCGTATCAGTGCACTGGTAAGAACAGAGAAGCACTTAACCTTCTTAACATGTTTCCCCAAACTATTGTTTGTTTATTGAATCTTTAAACCCACTGTTACCATAGGTACCTCCATAACACAAGTGCTTTAGACGTCAGTAAGAACATTTAATGAAACGAAACTTCCTGTTTCCTCAGAATTAAACTGTGATGTCTTCAGAGATACTGGCTTTCTGAAAGAGGTAACACAACAGGAACTCTTATCAGGCTCTAAAAAGAGTTCAACGTTTACAGTATTTCAGATCTCTGTTGCCCAACACCCCTGTTCTGTTTCATTCTTGAAAACTCTTTTTCACAGAAATTTCGTGCCGCATATGATCTGGTGGTGCAGCTTAGAGAAAACTGTATGGAGCTTACAGAGCGTGAGAATCCAACACAGCCAGATGGAGAGGACCTTCTGAAGGTACAATGTCACATCAGGTCATTGAAATGCACTGTGATCACATAAAAAAAGTCTTCACTTCCTCACAAGTAACAAGAAACAGGAAGTTCTGCCTCCTTCAGGCCCTGTCACATGGCTTTCAGATGTCTGTGAAGGACTCTGTAGACTGTTTATGTTGACCTGAGGCAGAATGCAGCCTGAAAGTCTGCTTCAGACTGACTCTGTCTCCTGTTTCTCCCTGCTCATGCTCATGTTGTTCCCCTCCCTTTGCCCTCCCTTCCCTTGTGGCCACAGAGACTTCTGAATGTGATCGACGAGCTCTTGTCCAGTGGAGTCTTCAAGGATAACAGGACAGTCTCCACCTTTCTGGACTTGGTGGAACACGCTTTGAAGCTCGTAGGACCTTTTATGAAGCCCCCAGGAACCAACAGAACCGGCACTCACACAGGTGAAACACTAATAGACATGTGCAAAGATAAGAGCAGATCACAGCTGTTTTTTCACGAAGACAGAGGGTTCCTTCAAGAGAGTCCCACTTCTCGAGATGTTACACTTGATTTTGGATTTCACTTTAACTGAGTTCATGTATTTGGTATTTTAACAGACAGAGAGTGGGTGTAAATAAAAAGCTGATGTTTGTATCTTGATTTAGAGCTGCAGCTGCTGATACATAAGGGGGATAAACTACCCCAAGGAGCCAAGACTTTGTCAACAAAGCATGCTCAGCTGGACATCCAGATGGAGACAGCTGCTGGAGATCTTTCCTCCTACCCCGGTAATGATCATGACTGCCAACCCATATGCAACTGGTTTTGGACATAATTCATGCTCATTAAATGCAGTGTCCTCCTGCTATCGTTGTAAAAGGCTTTGCAACAGTGTCTATGCTGAGCTATGCAAACCTGGAAAAGTCTGCAGACGGCTTCTTCAGTGGAATAAAACACAAAGAGGACGAACGCCTTCAGATCAACTCGAGAGTCGTGACTGTTTCTGTCAGCAACACAAACACAAGCCATCTCCAAAAGCCAGTCGTGTTAACTTTGTACCACCTGAAGAAGGTAGTGTAAAAGTTTGTTCCAAGCACGATAATAAGTCTCTGCAAGTAGACAGCACTTTTTAATAATCTGCGTTTCTATGTTGTTTGACAGCAAGATCAATCAAACCATACGTGTGTGTTCTGGGACTCCTCCAAGGATGGAGGGACGTGGTCTCCTAAGGGCTGCAGCGTGGTGAAGTCCAATGATAATTACACTGTGTGCTCCTGCAGCCATCTGAGCAGCTTTGCTGTGCTCATGGCGCGCCATGATTTGAAGGTTCATTCCCCTCCTCACCTCCCAAAAAATCAAATCCTAAGGCTCATATTCCAGAGTTAACAATTGACCCTCTGTTTGTTTCTGATTTTTGTGATTAACCCTCCTTTCTCTCTTCCTCTCCCTCTTTTTTTTCTTTCAACAGGACAGGTTTGAGTTGAAGCTGATCACATGGGTGGGTCTGTCCCTGTCACTCATCTGCCTGTTCATCTGCATCTTGACGTTTTGGTTCATCCGTTCCATCCAAAGCCCAAGAACAACGATCCACCTGCACCTCTGCATCAGCCTCTTCATTGCCAATCTTATCTTCCTCGCAGGCATCTCTCGTACAGAGAACCCTGTAAATATTAAACACTTGTGATTTTTAATACAGAGCAGATCCTTTTTTCCATTTCCCCATTTCTCAGCATCGTCTTGTTTGTCCTTTTGTCACCCTCTCCCCTGTCTCAGGTCGGCTGTGCGGTGGTTGCAGGATTTTTGCATTTCTTCTATCTTGCCGCATTTTGCTGGATGTGCCTGGAGGGCATACAACTCTTCAGGATGGTAGTCCTAGTCTTTAACACCAGTTTCAGAACCCTCTACATAATGGCAGCCGGCTATGGAGTCCCAGCTTTAATTGTTGCTGTCTCTGCGATGGTAAATGCCAAAGGATACGGCACAAAAAAACAGTGAGTTCCTGTTCTGTTAATGGATTTTTAAGTTTGAGTTTATACCTGAATCCAAGATCGTCTGCTTCAGGCCTTGGCCTTTTCTGTTGTCAATTTTTTTGAGGGGAACAAAGGCCAAAAGCCAAAGCCATAAAATAAAACAATGATTTTAAGTCCACGTCCGTAATGAAATAAATTTAAGGACTAATAATGCTTCTGAGGAAGATTGGGGTCTCAGATGAAACTATTAAGCAAGTAAAGAAACATCTATGATTTTTATGTCTGAAGATAAGAAACTATTGAACATGTCTACAAAGACTACAAAATGAACCGTATCAATCTGATTGTTGCTTGTGATCTGTCTGTCTTGTTTTTACATGTGATTAGGTCTTTTGTTATATGTTTTTATAGTTTTACAGCTGACAGCAAGCAAGGGGACAGTAAAGGCAACTGAACTGAAGTAAACAGGAAATTATGAAGTCCATCACTCACTTCAAAAACTGTGAAACTTGTTAAACCAACCTCCACCAACAATTTTTGCTCAATTGACACTAGCATCTTCAGACTTTTTTCAAAACATGCAGGTGTCAAAGTTCCTGTGTTGACAAGAAAGAGGAAGAGTAGAAAACCTCAAAACCAATTGGGGCAGTGTGGGCGGGGCATTAAGGCCACTGTGGCATTTTTTTCAAGGCCACAAGGCCAAATTGCCCTCGTGGCCCTCGTGAAAATCCTCCCCTGGTCTGCTTATTAACTCAGGGTTGTCTGTTGCAGTTGTTGGTTAAACCTGGATTTCATCTGGAGTTTCTTTGGTCCTGTCTGTGTCATCATTGTGGTGAGTAGGAACATAATTTTTGAGGAAAAACAGGCACTACGATCACCCTCCTGTTTGCTTTGTTAAACCTCTCCTCTGTCGCCTTTCAGATGAACATAATCTTCTTTCTCATCACTGCGTGGAAGTTAGCAGAGAAGTTCTCCAGTTTAAACCCTGACCTGGACAAACTTCAGAAAGTAAAGTGAGTCACTGAAATCCAACAAGCTGTGTGTGCATAAATGCATCAGTTTCACAGATTTGACCTGTATGTGACTTTGTTGCCCCCTGCAGGGCATTCACCATCACTGCAGTGGCTCAGCTGTGTGTTTTGGGCATCATGTGGATCTTCGGATGTTTCCAGTTTGAGGAGGGCACAATTGTAATGACTTACCTGTTCACCATCTTTGGCAGCCTTCAGGGGGTCATGCTCTTTGTCATGCACTGTCTCTTTTCAAAACAGGTCAGTCGCAATCCTCTAAAACCATTTAAGGTACAGTGTGTCGAAGCGGTCTTATTTCAGTAACCTCAGAAACTCATTTTATCTGTCCCAAACAAATAAACAGTAGATGAAAGTCTCATATTAGGTTAAGAAAAACCAAACAAGTTTATTTTAGGTAATTATAAACTTCCTCAAAAATAATTGGGAACATTATCTTCCTTTTTTAACAATTCTGTTTCGATAAATGTCATATACTGCACACTGTACCTTTAAAACAAGCTCTGCTTCTTTTCTGAGGCAAAACTGATCTTTTACTCTGATTTAAAGGTGAGGGAGGAGTATGCAAACATCCTGTCCAGGTTCTGTGCACCGAAGAAGAAGAGATACTCAGAGTTCACATCCACCCAATCCAGCAAAGCTCAGGTAGAAAAGTTACTACTGCTCTTAAGCATCTCTGATTCAGATGGAATGAAATGCATGCAATAAATCAAAAATGTATTATGTCATATCACATGGGAAACCTTAAAGAAGTCAACATCCAGCTCTCTTAACCAATACTCAAGCTTTGTTGATCAGGACTAATTGAATGTGTCCCCTCAGACATCCAAGAGTAATCACGACACCGGCGAGTCTCAAATCTGAGCAGCTGCACAGTCACATGGAACCAAGTTGGACTCATTTCCTGAGGAGAATAATCTCAGACATTCAGCTAACCACTGCTCTGCCACATGTAGCCAACGCGACAGACTGCTTCATCGCAAATACTGTAAATGACTTTTTAACATTTTCTTAATTTATGTTTTAAGACAGTCTTTGTATTTTTCAGATTTGAAATGAAAATGAAATATGTATTATAATTTATTAAAGGTTAAGCATTGTTTTTTTAATGAGGAATGAAACTCATCAGCTGGATAATTATGAGGTAGAATTCTCTCAAAAGCTATATTTTGTATTTTTTTAACAAAACTTGAATATTAAAAATGACTCAAGTCCATAGTGTTTTCCAAATCCTCCAAATGTCAAGGTTTTAGTTGCAGAGAAAATAGCATTAAAATGACTTTATCATTGCACAATGTATTCAAAAATTAGAAGCTGCATTTGTTATTTTCTAACATGACTAACAGAAACTGGACACCAATGAGACTAACATGGACTGTTGATTTAAGAGTAAGTGTAAATGTATTGTTTGGAAATTGCGTGTGTGTTATAGTAAGTTACTGCATTCTTTCTTCATTCAGTATGATGCAACATATTCAGTATTTTATATCTGAATGTTAAAAAAGGGATTTTTATTTTCTGATTTTAAGCAATAAATGTTTCAGAGTTTGAATTACTGGAATTACTTTCCTTATTGTTGTTTGATAAACTATCAGAGTTAAGAGTAACAAGTTAATGTATTCTGATCAATCAAAATTAATACCTTTTGCCACATTACTCCCCTTTTTATTTCAAACTTTTCATGGCTTAAACCTCAAATTATTTAAAGCTCCTGTGAAGAGTTTTTGACATCTACTGTTGCCTCTATATGACCTTAAAAGGCAGGTGGTTCGGTGTCTAATGAGGTATTTTTTCAAAAATGCTACTTTTATTACTCACACCTGTGTCGCAAAAGGATAAGCGAAGAGAAATCACTTTGTCCACAGGGGGCACTAAAATCAATACAAACTAAAGTTCCTCACAGTAGCTTTAAAGTTGATTTTTTTAAGCTTTAACCTCAATAAACTTTGTTGAAGTTCATCAAAACTAAAGCCATTTCAAGAAGCAGGTCTCACTTTTGTTCTTTAATCTTATATCCAAGACATGTAATCATTTTGTTTTTTAGTGACGCATGCTGCAGTCACTTGAGAAAAGTCCTTCTTTTTTCTACATAAAGAAGATAATTTTGGATTAAAGAGGAAAACTGTTAAAAAAAAAACTTTAACATTCTGAATTAAAGGAAATAAAAATCAATGATGTTTCTCTGATTAAAAGAGACACCAGTGCCTCAAAATCCCACTGGAAGCTTTCATTTCTCCTGCAAGAGGAAGCAAATATACCTCAGTCATTCAAATTACTCCAGTATAATTTTTACTTTAAGGCATTGGGAGATGATCCCATCAGTAAGTAACAAGGCATTATTAAAATTTGTATGATTAGTCTGAGTTTCTTGATTTTACAATGGCACCTCAGGGCTTTGCATGATCTGAGTGTTGCAGCATTTTTTTTCATGGGTGATTTGAGCCAATATGGCATGCCGTATGAACATGAGATGATGCGTCTGAAATGCATTCAGGCAGACAAGCGGTGACACAAGAGACAACTACACAAATCCTAAAAAAACTGAATACAAAAACTGAGGCACTGTATCTTGTTAATTGGGAGAAACTTTCAATACTTGATCATTCTTGTATTTCTGAGATGATTATCTCTTTCAAAACTCTCCAGTGAATGCATTAACACTTCCGTCATTTGGACCAGTGAGTGAGTAAGATAGTTTTCTTTGAAGTTTCTGATAAGGCTTGGAAACGGCAAAGCAGCAACAGAGTTCTAAGTTTTGTTGACGGATAAACAGAACCCCTTCCTATGCAACCTAAACCTGTGCAATGATGCTGTCTTCCTTCCTGTGTGATGCTCAGAGATGCGTAACTCTCTGCTTACAGCTGGCGGACTTATCTGACTGCTATACTTAAGAGATAAAGGCAGCACATACAGAGGAAATACAAGAACATCACGTGTTTCATCTTGTTTATGTTAGTAGTACAAATGATCATTATGGAAAACTCAAGTTTCAAAACTGTCCCTTAAGTTTATGCATGTTAAAAAATGAAGAAACCTTATATGGTTAAATGAGTAACATAAAAATGAAAACCCATGGGGATTCAACACAGCATCCCTTCTTTAAATGTTTAAAAATTTCAGTGAGTGTGTTTATGTCTAAAATATCTAATGAGATATTTGTTATCATAATGTTAAGTGCAGGATTGGAGTATTTCTAGTTGCCAAACTGGATTCCCACACTAGAACCAGAAACCCATGAGGCGCCAAATTATCATCAAACTCCTCAGAACTCCTCTACTATCTGACTCTGCGCTAATGTTTATGTCAGTCTGATGCCTGATAGTCATCAGGGTACCAGCTCAGTAATAAAATCAAATCCCTTGGTTATCAAGGAATGAGAAATTTCAGATAGTAAACAAGATAATGTTGGTGGATGACTTTTTCACATACTTAATTATTCATCTGGCACCAGATCGATACTACAGAATGAAAGTGATGGTTGAAACCCCCCTCCTGGTTCAGGGGATGAGCAGAGCAGATGAAGAGACGGAAGTGATACATCCAGAGGGGGAAAGAGGATGGAAAGTGCAGGTCCACTATGTGAAGATAAAATAGCTGCTGAGCCCCTAGAGAGAGATGCCCAGGCTGGTGAGAAAGAGATAATGTCAGAAAGGCAGAGGAAAAGCAAGGGAGGAGAAGACGAACTGATGATTGTGAACAGTGATAATAACTGGGGCTGGGACACATTTGTCCTCTAAAAATTATTTCCCAACAGTCCAGCATTCATCCAAAGTCATCTCAAGGTAAGCTTCATTTATAATTCATTATCATTTAATGATGGAATATTTTATATTGAGCACATTTTGTTCTTAAAGGAAATAGCTCCAGTGACGCTGCAATGGCAGTGTAAAGGATTAGAGTAGTGAGCGGCTATAAAAGTTGGATCTCTACAGGGAAGCTCAGATTCTTTATTGATTTTTTATTTATAATCTATTTTCTATCAATGAAAAGTCAAAGTGGTTCAACAGAGACTCACACACCTTGATTGAGGTACTTAAGAAGTTATGCAAAATGGTGAGCAGCACCAGGATCGACTGGATGCCTCTTCCTGATTACTTGAGAAACAAATTGCTTTGCTTGAATATGCAAAAATATATTTTAACAAATTCTCAAGACAAGATGCAGAAACTGTCGCAAACATACACACAGCAAATGTTATCAGGGTTCAAAGGATTTTTGAAGCTGATAACATTCTCTTAATCCTGTATTTTCAGTTTGGACTCCTTTTAAGCATGCAGCACTCTACCCAAAGTGCTTTTCACTGAGTAGGTTCACTTCTTTTGCACAAGAAAGGGGAAATGAAGAGCTTAATCGATGCAGAAAGGCAACAAATAATTTAATTTAAAAATAAGGGGAGAATAATAACAGGCAAAAAAAAGACAAACTGGTTTTGACATGAGGCATTTATACTGTTATGACTGCAGGATGGAAAAAAGCAGATCAAATTACGTTGTTAGTTTATGACCCTCTCTTGTCTTCTTTCATGATGACCTGTCAGAGTAAAAAGGGGGTCATGTTGGCGCTCTGATGTAGCTCTGTGTTGTGCAAACCAACTCACCGCAAGCTGCAGAAATTACAAAAGTTCCTCACATTTCCACACCTTGGTTACATAAAGTTGGTCAAAAGTTTGAGGTTTTCTGAACTTCAACTTTTGCTGTGTTTCTTACCACAAGCCTTTTCTCCATTAGTGACTTTCCTATTGAGTGAAAACAAAATACTTTTTACAGTTTTTAGACAATTTGTGAAGCTGCATCCTTTATGTATCTAACACTAGCATTTTTTGTGCAGAAGAAGAAAATGAGAGACTGAAGACAATAAAAATGATGGTGCATGAATTGTAGTATTACTCCGGTTTGTAAATTACTGAAGATGCATGGTGTGATGACTCTAAAATACTGCAAAAATATAACTTGTTTGCCTTGATCTTTCACCCAAACTTTGCCTGTTATGTCTGCAGATAACGCGAAGATGGGGACATCATCTATACAATTGAGTTTATTTTCTACCTCCTCAACACCATCCATCTTTCATCCAAACCTGAAAATCAACTCAACAGGCCCCTGGCTGAACAGCAGCATTAGGCCACCAATCAAATTTGCAGGTTTGGGGATGTCCTGCTTCACTATGACTTTTGGTGCCATCTCAAACCTGACAGCTCTGGGCATCCTGGCAAAATCCCGCCTCCGATTTCGCCGCCAATCCAAAGCACCATTTCTGTTATTAACAGTAGCTCTGCTTTTAGCTGACCTCGGAGGTCATGTGATACCAGGGGCCTTTGCTTTGTATCTGCACATGAGCCAGAGGTACACAATGCAGGCAGGGAAGCCCACTAAGGAATTTTGTCAGATCTTTGGTGCAACTATGGTGTTTTTTGGCTTATGCCCCTTACTGTTAGGATGTGCTATGGCAGTGGAGCGCTGTGTGGCCATCACCCAGCCTTTTTTTCATGCTGCTGTGGTCACATTGGCTCACATGGTGAGGGTTGTGTTTTTGCTGCCCTCTCTTGCTCTTTTCTTAGCAGTCTTACCTCTATTTGCTGTGGGAACTTACACTACGCAGTTTCCTGGAACATGGTGTTTCTTGCCTATCCATGGATCGAAGTCTAAAGCTGACTCCAATCTGGTCCTGATCTTCTCCGGTCTGGGCCTCACTGCACTCACTCTGTCCCTTCTGTGTAACATACTGAGCTGTGTGGCATTACTGAAAGCCAGAATAAAGTCCTACACTGTTAATGCAAATCCAGCAGCTCAACGAACTCGACACTCATCATCCGCATCCACTTCATCTATGTTTTGTTCGTTGGACTTGGAGATGATGGTGCAACTGGCAGTGATCACAGTGGTTTCCTGTGTGTGCTGGAGCCCTTTTCTTGTGAGTTCCTCCTTTATAATGTGCAGAACTTATTTCCATTTCTCCTTTACTGGTCAGATAAAAATATGAAACTCATGACTAATTTGTGCACTTAATTTCAGATCCACATCTTTGTGACGCAGTTCAGCCAAAACCCCAAAGTCTCCAACATGGAAAAGGACGGGTTTATTCTTTTGGGCCTGCGCATGGCCTCTTGGAATCAGATATTGGACCCCTGGGTGTACATCCTGCTGAGGAGGGCAGTGCTATATAGAGTGTGCTGTGCTTTTTCCACACAGAGACATACAGTTACAGAAAATAGCTCCTACGCAGAGGCACACAGACAGTCCTTCAATCTGCAATGAAACTGTTCTCCACTTTTATCTTTTTAAGACTTAAGTAAATAAATTATTTCTGTCATGTTTGTTGAAAAAAACTAATTACTTTGCAGTGTTGCTTTCATCAGTACTCAAGAGTTGGCAAAGGCAGTAATTGTGAATGTGGGTTGCACACAGACTTTCACTACATTTCACAACATTTACTTAGTAGTCTAAGCCGGTGCTACTATCAATAGCAGCCACCTGCAAATCTAGTGGTTGGGAAATTGGGCGGGTTTTGTATCGTCCAATGAAAATACAGAGAAATTTGACAAGCACCGATTTTGACGAATGAGTGAGCTGCTTGCTAAAGCTCACACCAGAGGTGGGCGGTGCTTCTTCGGCAATGAGTCTATTCAATATGGAGTACAGAAAATAGCTTGACCAGCTCCGTACTTTACCGTACTTGCTCAGATTTCGGATACTGTTACATGTCGGGCGTAACATACTAACTCACCCTCATACATGCTAAAGCTACAGGAGTCGCTAACATGGATCCCATTTTCGTTTAAATACCGGCGGTTTACCAGCCAACTCCAACTGCCGTGCTGACTAGCGGTTTATTATAAAACTGGTTTAACACCTATGTACTGGTCTACTTCACAACGGTGCTCCGTTCAGCCCCTCGACGATCCCAACATCTGGAGAAAGATTTAAACAACTTCACAATTTCTGCAAAAAGTTACCGACAAGTTTTGCCATCCGGCGGGGGTTATCGGGTGAAAGGTGACATCGCTTCAGTAAATTGGCTCCTAGGTGAGTGAGGAGTTTGCATTGCTTAGATGTAGACTGCATTAGTTTGACTTTAAGTGGTGTATCTTCATATCTTCTATGTGAGAGTGAGCTGTTGAACGTGTTGTTAAGGACTTTTTAAAACTAATCCATGACCCCAAAAGTTCCCAGTCTGTACCACTCTGTGCTACAGTAATTCAACTTCCTGAGAATCAATCCATTTAGAGTCTCACTGATGCCAGATCCCAACATAAAGGCCCGTCTCTCTCCATTTTCTCCATGACAAGAATGCACAATGCGGCGAGTGTCTCAGCCTCTTTGGGATCCATGGGACTGCTGCGCCTCTTCGGGGTGTCCTGGTCCTGGAGTCTGGCAGCAGGCCTTGGGGTTTATCTGGGCACCAAAAGCTGGAAATACTTCTACATTGCAGCACGCACCGCCAAGAGAGACCTCAAGTAAGATGAAAATGTCATTACCTTGTTGTGTTTGTACCTGCATACATGGTTACCTACTTAAAGTCTCCTTGTCTCCCTCTGTTGACCTTCACCAGTGGCCTGTATGTGCTGTTGAGGGTGAAGCTGGCTCTGTGGCGATACATGCGCACTGGAAGTAATATCCCATCTATATTCGCCCAAACCGTCAAACTCCATCCAAATAAACCAGCGCTCATTTATGAGGCCACAGGAGAGACATGGACCTTCACCCAACTTGACGAGATCTCTAACGCTGTTGCCCATTGGGCGAGAGATCAGGGATGGGTCCCGGGGGATGTGATTGCTCTCTTCATGGAAAGCAGGCCTTTACATGTGGCGCTTTGGCTGGGCTTGTCTAAGGTTGGGGTGGAGGCTGCGCTTATCAACTTCAACCTCCGCCATGATTCCCTTCTGCACTGTGTTGGAGTGTCAGGGTCGAGGGCCATCGTGTTTGGAGCTGAGCTTGCTGATGGTAAGACTGTGTTGACCAGGGCAGGGAAAGTAATACCTAATAGATTTTAAAAAATCAGCTAATCAAGGTGCACCGTGTGAAATTTACCATCTAAGGACTTTTCTTGCTTCGTATTTAGCCCGCAGCTCATCAAGAATCCTGAAATACCTGATCTAACATTTTGTCTGTAATGTCATGCAAAGTTGTTAACATTTAAGGATGGTATCACACTTGAATTTTTATTTCACCTCTACAACACTGTGTAATATTATTGTGTATCCCCAAGTTACATGGACAGAATCACCTTGTGATCACAGTGACAGTAAAACTGATGGTTCCTGTGCTGTCATCTCAATTTAAGTTTGTTCAAAATAATCATAGTTTCAGGCAGTAAAATCCTAAAAAGTTAAGTGTCATGCAAAATTGTTCATTGTTACAGCATATTAGTCGTGCATTTTCTGTATGTTTTTGTCGTCGCCTGACTTTTCTCCTCTCTTCTTGTGTCCTTGTTCCTCTCTCTGAACATCAGCCATGTTGGAGGTCAGTTCCTCCCTCAGTCAGTCTATGGTACGGTTCTGTACAGGAGACCTCAGTGCAGAGCAACTTGTCCGTCTGTATGCTCGACCTCTGGACCCAATGTTAGCCTCTGCATCCAGACATCCCCCATCACCTTGTGTTCCCCCAAAAGGCATGAACGGTGAGTGCTTTCTCTATCAACTTTGGTAACTAAACACTTGATCTGTAAATGAATGAACAGTTTCTTCTTCTTGGACTCGTTCCTAATAATGTGTTTGACTGACAGCCTCATTTGAATACTAATTCAAATTCCAAGATGCATCGGTCAACCCTTTTTCTCTTTTTCACAGTCAGCTATCCATTAAAAAGATGAAACTGTCTCCCTGTATTACACAGGCATGATGGTGGTGAAATACTTGCAGGGCTTTTGGAGTATGAATCATCCTTAATTTGAGAAAGACATTGACATTTTTCTCTAAACGGCTGTCTGAAGTCAGTATTCATGAGCTAGAGGTTGGAGCACTCTCTGGATCTGGACCACTTCCATGAGCGAAACTGCTTAAAAAAATCAGGGATTTGAGCCAGAGAAATAACCAAGCCAAGAAACTAGGGGTCACTTAATCAATTGAATCTTTATCTATTTAGCACCAATTTATAACAAATATAATCCATATTATCGAGGAAAAAACAATGAAGCTGAGAGAAAACAATGTATTTTCTGTTCTGTCATTGATTGTGTTGTCAAATCCTTGCAGTGGCTCGAACACTATGAGGACATTAGTATTGATCTAAAACTGCAAGTGTGTTATTGTTGTTCTCTATTCTCCTCTGCAGATCGTCTATTTTATATTTACACGTCTGGCACCACGGGGCTGCCCAAGGCTGCCATTGTGGTTCACAGTCGGTAAGCTGCCCACAGTTACAGAGTTACAGTTTGTGAAAAGGTCTTGATAGATGTCTAAGATACTCCTCTTTGCTTCTTCGACAGCTACTACAGAATTGCTGCTTTTGGGTATTTTGCGTTCGGTATGCGCAAGAATGACGTCATCTATGACTGTCTGCCTCTCTACCACTCAGCAGGTATGTGATGGCAGCCTTTAGATCTTGATGAATACTTTTTTTTTTAGTTTAGATTAGTGTAACTGAAGTGTGAGTCTCTGTTCTCGCCAGGTAACATCATGGGAGTGGGTCAGTGCCTGATCCACGGCCTCACTGTGGTAGTGAAGAAGAAATTCTCTGCCAGCCGCTTCTGGGAAGATTGCATTAAGCACAACTGCACTGTAAGAGCTTATGCCTGGAAAATTTTTGAAGTGCTGTCTTTTTTTTTCTTTTTCTTTTTTTTTTAAATAAAATCAATAACTATGAAAGATTCATTCTGAAAATGCACTGCCAGAATAACTTCCCTGTTTTCCCATCATAGGTGGTGCAGTATATCGGGGAAATCTGCCGCTACCTCTTGTCTCAGCCAGTGAGGCCGTCGGAAAAAGGCCACAAAGTCCGACTTGCTGTGGGGAACGGGCTGCGGCCCAGTGTGTGGGAGGCCTTCACGGAGCGGTTTGGAGTGAAGCAGATTGGCGAGTTCTACGGAGCGACTGAGTGTAACTGTAGCATCGCCAACATGGATGGAAAGGTTAGTGGTCATGGACTGAGTCTAAAATCACGCATGTCTCACTGCATAAGGTAAATACAGCATTTTATTATGCTGTGCGAAATATGACAGGGATTATTAGTTATTGTAAAGTGAGTTCATTGTTTCCTACAATGCAGTGTGAAAAAAAGTAGTGTTCATTAGTCACTCATAGAGCCATATATCCCATCATACATTGCAATGAAAGGGACAGATAAGAGGAGCACCGTCAGTCCTTTATCAATCAATCAATGAATCTTTATTTATACTAGGGGTGGGAATCACTAGTAGCCCCACGATACGATATTATCACAATACTTGGGCCACGATATGATATTATTGCGGTTTTTAACATTTTGCAGTACAATATATTGTGATTTATATAATTTTTTCATCTGTTTAGCTAATTTAGCATTTGTCTTTCCTTTATTTTTGTCTTATTTACGTTGTATGTTATTTTCATGTAACACATCTTACAAACCTTAAATATATATATTGTATATATTTTTTGCACTTACTTTCTCCTGCTCTGTTTGAAAAATCGATACTTGGTAAATAAGACGATACGACATATCACCAGACAAAATATCGCGATACTATGATGTATCGATCCCACCCCTAGTTTATACAGCACCAATTCACAGCAAGTGTTATCCCAAGACGTTTAACAAGAAAGCCAGTCAATACTCAGTCTTTATCTGTTGATAATTCTATGGAGTGTCTGGCTAAATGACAAGTACTGTCCAAATGTGTTTTTATTACACTCACTGTACAGCCCACTACATCTGCCTCACTGTAAAAGAAGTAGGCAGTAGGGGATGAGTTGTGGTCTGAGCTGTGGCATTCACATTGTTCGTTGTGTCTTCACTGATGAAATATGGAGTGGATCACTGTTAAGCTAAATCTGTCCTGCTAGGTTGGAGCCTGTGGATTCAACAGTCGCATTCTTCCCAATGTGTACCCCATCCGTCTGGTGAGGGTGGACGAAGACAGCATGGAGCTGGTCCGTGACAGCCGGGGCCTGTGTATACCTTGCCGTCCTGGTAACTTGATACTTAGGCCAAAACAATGATTTTTGTCTCATCATTGAAGGTGATTGATTGTGCTGATTTTCTGAAAGCATTCTTTTAGACTGCGCCGTGTCTTGCAGGTGAGCCGGGGCTTCTTGTGGGTCGTATCAACCAGCAGGACCCCTTGAGGCGTTTTGATGGCTATGCTAACCAGGATGCAACCAGAAAGAAGATCGCTCATGATGTCTTCAAGAAAAATGACTCTGCGTACATATCAGGTTACAAATGTATTTTATTTAAGTGTATATTTATGTTGTTTTTACTGCCTCATAACAGTACAAGTAATAAGTCGAAAGAGTGTTTGAAATATAGGCTTTTTTTCTTCTAATCCCTAAGATTTAAAGCTTGTAGAGTAATTTTTCTTCCTGTGCTTTGTAGTGGGTATTATAGTTTGTTTGTTTAGCCAAGCTTTGACTGAATGAAGTTTTTTCACGCAAGGTTGTCAAGTATTTTTGCTGTGTCTACACCAGGTGACGTGCTGGTGATGGATGACCTGGGCTATATGTACTTTCGTGACCGTGGCGGAGACACATTCCGCTGGAGGGGAGAAAATGTCTCCACAACCGAGGTTGAGGGAGTACTCAGCAGTCTTCTGGGTCAGACTGATGTGGCCGTGTATGGAGTGGGAGTGCCAGGTGATTAGTTTTGTGTACTTACCGATTTGAGTGTAACATATTTTTCCCCGTTTGATGCTTTTGAGTGTATGTGCTACTTGACAAGCATTTGTCTCTGTTCGGCGTCTCAGGTGTGGAGGGTAAGGCAGGTATGGCCGCCATCGCTGACACTACAGGGACTTTTGATTCCAATGATTTCCTGCAGAAAGTCCAGCGGGCTCTCCCTACATACGCTCGCCCAGTGTTTCTGCGAATCTCACCACATGTTGACACCACAGGTAAACAGCTGGAATATCTCCCACTGATTTCATGAAGATGTCGGACTTTACCTGAATGAGTATCCACTCTCTGATTTTATGTTCATCCACACACTGTAGGTACATTCAAAATCCAGAAAACCAGGCTTCAGAGGGAGGGATACGACCCACGTCTCACAGCTGACCAGATCTTCTTCTTGAACAATCGAGCTGCACGTTATGAGGTTGTGGATGAGGAGCTATACAGCGCTCTAGCAGAGGGCAGAATGTCTCTATGACATGGAGGCCGTAGTATCGCAGTCTTGATTAAGAGGGGATGACACAGACATAAGCTGGTGTCTGGATCAGTCAGTCACGGTGCACCAGCTGCCTCCATTTGAAGCGTTCAGGGAACAGAGTTGAGATGACTACTTACACAGGCCGAGCATTGTTAAAGATGAAGTTTTAACACTGTAAGAGTAACACACCAGGACATAATGTGAAGGCATTTGTTCTCCTTTAATGACCTTTTTTTGTAACTGAACACCTCAGTAAGCCTATGAGCATCACCGCACAGACAGTGGGTTTTTCTCACAACTCAGTTTAAATAGCATACATGTTACAATAAGTCGGTTAGGACAGCAAGGGACAGTATCATAACTGTTACAGGGTGTAACCCGTGTATGAAATATGCTGCAAGAACAATTCTTTACAGGTTCAAGCAATACTTGAGTGTGAAGATATGAAGTTACTGCTGTTTTTGGATGGAAGATCCGATTAAGCATGCAGCACATGTGGCAACTAGGTCAAACACTAACCGTAGTCTCTTTTTTTAAATTTTATAACACCATTAAAAACTAATCTCACTGATATCTGAACCTTTGACAAAGTTTGTTCCAGGTTTCAGATACTTGCAAACTGTTACTGTATGTGCCTTACGCGAAGCTAAAAAAATCTTTTTGTTTTTCGGAAAAAGTTTAAAAATAGTTGATAGTCGTGATTTCTTGTCACACAAGGCTGAGTCACACATAGTGACTGTCATATCATGTAATAAAATCTTGTCTGCAATATATAGGTGTTAAAGAATGTGGAGATATTTACATTTCCTGATCTCTCAGACTAAATTTTTTCATAACTCAAAATAAATATTTTAAAACATATCTGTATTTGTTTGATATCATTTATAAGAAGAGTAAACATTTTTTCAACGTAGTGCTGCAATTTGTCTCTTTAAATCACAGTCAAACCTCTTAAGCACAACCAGCCCTTCAGTTCTCAATTTTTTTTCTATTTTAAGCAGCATAATTTAAATATTGCAGTATTTCTCCATAATGAATTAGTTGTCCATTGATAAAAATATCCTTGTAGGGCGGACTTTGAGTGGATAATCTTTGCAGGCAGTGCAGAAATAAGGAAAGGCTTTAGGTGTGACTATACCTGTGAAGGTGTACAGGGGTTTTCTCACATCAGGGTCGTAGAAGGTCACCTTGCCTCTGTCCATATCTAAAATTATTCTTATAGTATCAGGCTTCTTGGTCATGTTCAGAGGCTCCCATGGTGCAGTGCAGGCCTTGTGCTCTCCATTACGAAACCTTATAGTCCAGAACCCCTCTGCTGGGGTCAGAATATGCTTCCCCTTCCTGTTGATGGACTCACTGGCTATTCCCACCACCCAGTAAGTGTTTTCCCCCACCTCTACATCCCAGGAGTGGCGTCCAAAAGAGTAGCCCTCCGCAGCCAGCAGCTCAGCACTGATGTCAAATCGCTCTGGGTTGTCTGGCAGCTTGAATAACTGGATAGTGTTCTGCACCACCGTGAGATCCTCTGAAATGATGAAGCAGCTCGCTGCCGTGTTTGGATCCAGGATCACAGGGTCTGAGGGAGGAAAAATAAAGGTTGCTAATGTAGGAAGGAAAGAGCTTCACCGTAAGACAGTTAGATTTTAAAGCACTCACGATATTTTATTATGCTCTTCATCTTCTCCCACACTTTATGTTTCAGAGAGCCCAAGTGTTTTGCCACATCGAGCAGGGCATTAGAGATCATTTGTGGATCGAGGGAAGTTCTCCAGGTTCTGAAATCAAATTTAGTTGTTTTGATCTGTGTATGTGGAGCTGTTTTTTGCTTAACCTCAAATGTATTCGGGTGTGGACTTCGCACTTACCTCCTAATTGTTTCCTTATAGTTCTGAAAAAAGGGGAAAATAACATTAGTGAGTGATGCTTAAAAGACTACATTGCTGTTTAATCAAGATCAAGTATTTGAGTTGTCTTTTCTACCTTGAGAAACGGGATATCTTGAGAGTGCATCTCCTGTTCCACCACACGGATGATGTTGGAGATGGACGCCATTTCATTGGTCATCTCCTCAATCCTCTCATTGATCATCAGATTCTTCTCCTCTTCTTCGGCTCTTAAAGCAGACAGTCTTGCTTCCTCCTGCTCTTTCAGGAAATGGTGAAGGGCCTCGAATTCCTCTTTGATCTGCATTTCAGTATGTTCAGCCTGGTTCTGAAAGAGAAAGCTGAATGGTGAGTACACAAGACTTCCACACTTTGGTCAAAGTCATGTGTGAACTGACCCTACCTTGACATGTTCCGCCATTTCCTCACATGCGATTTTCGCCTTCTTATACAGCTGCAGCTTCTCTTTGAAAGGCAGCAGTGCACTCCTCAGTTCCTCCTATAAAGCCAGTAACAGGGCATTAACACTTGAAAACAAAGTCAGTCTGGCAGGTGGCCAAGCTTGCAGTACAAAGCGGGGCCTTCAGCTGCCACACACCCATGCATAGCAGTATTCCCATCAGCATTGGATTAAAGGGACAAACCTATAGAAAGACCACAGACACAGGTGACATATTAAGCTACATTCAAATGAGAATCAAGACATGAGACCCAATATGGAAACCAACAGATTCTCATCATTTTGCCACTCAAGGTTGAAAAAGGTGAGAGTAGATGATCATCACAGAAACTCAGGGTGTCAAGTTTCAGTCCTCTTGGGACTCCAATGGCAACAGCCAACCAAAAATATAAATCTATTAATAGAATGTTAATGAACTCTGCCAAACCTTCACACATATCAGAATATCAGACTTAGAGAGGCAAAAAAGGAGAAGAGATATCGAAGTCAAAATTGGTTAAAAAAAGAGAAAAAAAACACACCACAGCCTTAGAGAAGACTTCATGTAACACTGGTATGAATGGCAGTCTCTTTGATTAGTAAAATAAACAGTTGTGAGTTATTTTGAAACCCATTTATCTTCGTTAACACCGTTCTTATCAGACGCGCGTAAAGTCAGCACCTGCAACATTGTGACAAATACTTTTGAAATGAACCCTGTAACTTTAACTGGCCTACCTTACAGTCTAGGGCACCTTCCCCAATAGGGTAGATCTTGTGCCCTTTGTGTGCGGCTGCTTTCCCACACACTTCGCAGATCGGCTCCAGATCCCCCACACAGAACAATGTGAGCTTCTCCCCATGTTCCTTACAAGCCTCTGGGTCATTCTTGCTTCTGTCCTTCTTGAAGGATTCGCAGGACTTCTCCAGCACGGTGTTCACCACTATTTGATCCATGGAGGAGCGGCGCCAGCACAGAGGACAGAAGTGTGAATCCCCACTGCCTTGTGCCTCCCAGCTGTCATTCAGGCAGGATTTACAGAATCTATGCCGGCAGGTGAGCACCACAGGCTGACTAAGAATATGTCCACAAATTGGACAGGAGAGGTCATCTTCAAGACGAGCACGTCTGGTGGCCATTATTCTTCAGAGGGCTTTGATGACAAGGCAGGATCTTCAGCTCCTCCCAGTGATTCTGGAAGACTACCTCATCTTGACCTCAGGAATAAGTGTTAATACCTCAGCTCCCAAAGGCATATCCTGTGTTATGCCGTCCTGTGTCAAGTATGTGCATTGCCAGTTCTCAAATAAACACCACACCTCTGAATATAACAAATTGATTTTACATGAGGCGTCTGTATCCGCGCAGATCAGAGTAAACAGCCTAAATAACCTTATTGTTAGTGAGAGGAGCATAATGATGATGAAACAGTTGGACTCCAGCTGGTCTTTTTATTGTATTGACACTGTGACCACACTGTGATCGCCTCTTGGTCCGTTATGCGAGCAGTCTGTTGAAACAAACTGTCGCAGTGTAATGAAAGAGCTTATGGGGGAACAATGTCCAAAATAAGTCTCAGGCTGGGGCTATAAATAGACGGAAGTGGCTGATTTAGACTGAAGTTATGTGTGTGAAGAAATATCCTCCTGCTGACCACTCCAACTTCAAGTTCAGATTTTGGCAACAGCTTTTGAAACACAGACGTTTATTTTTTAAGAAGTTTTAAACCCATTTTTTATTCGTTTTAAAAACCAAAAATATTCAGTGCAGGTTTAGTGAATGTCAAAGCAAAGCAGATACTCAAATTTAAGGATATCTTGAGGGATAATTGGCTAATTTTTCAAGTATTTCACAGTTAGTTGACCTTGTTTGTACTGTAATCTAGTATTTTGTTGTGAGAGTTAGGTTCTTGGAGTCAGTGCTGCACCAAAAATAGGGCAGGAGATAGAAAGATAATATGATTCTGCCATTGGTGGAACCCCTCGTAGAGCTGTGCGGCTTTGACCCGTATGCGTAATGCTCTGTGTTTGACCTTAAATCTCACACACACAGTGCCAGGATTTACTGAGAGCTGACAGGATGGTTAGTGTGTGCTTCAGCAGGGTAGTTTAAAGCAAAACCCATATATACCAGGCTTTATTTTTGAATATATGACATATTTTAAGCACTAGCATTTCAAGTTTATATATAGAAACGCAGTTGTGATTGTATTCGCATGTTTACACTCCCCTAAACAAACCATACTAAGTAGTAAGTATGTCAACATTATAGAAGTTGCAGTTTGATGGTGGAATAGGTGTTGTTTGGTATGTAGTGTTTTTAGGAATAGAGACTGAATGCTTCTTTAATCACTTAACCGGGCTGGGGGATCCTTGACCAAATAAGGAAAAGTTTGATTTGTGACTGTGCCAAAAACAGGGCAGCGGTTCAGAGTTGTTGAATGTAAAAGTCAACACACACAACAGCCAGGACAGATTTGAAGTGACTCTGCTCCTGGTCACCAAACAGGAAACAGATATCTCTTTACCATGGATTTATTTTACTTAAAGTTTGATGTGCTGGAGAAACATGTTTCAGACTATTTTTTCAATTGTGTCATTTTAAGTTCATGTAGAGTCCTCAAAACAAATTAGATTTTTATTCTATTCAAAGATTTCAGCTCAAGGCTTCAGAATTAAGTTTTGCTCAGCTTACCTTATTATCCTTGAATACTTCCTTTAAGGGATATGCTGTGTGGTTTTTATGCAGGCCAAATTTCAGGCATATAGCGCAAACGGCTTCCAGGTCAGTCGCACAGAAGAGGAACAGCCTTTGTCCATGTTCCTCACAAGTTCTTCGTGGAAGTCCGAGGCATTCTTTGAAGCAGTGAGGACACTCTTTAGTGCCATATTTTTTCCAAAACCGCTCCAAACAAGAGCTACAAAAACTAAAATCACACCAGACACAGCAGAGGACCACCGGGGCCAGGAAGATTTCCCGGCACACATCACAGAACGCCTCGTCCGCACCCAGACAGGGGATGCTAGCCTCCATCTGTGAAACTCAATGCAGCACTTATGGGTCTTTACTGGAGACCAAGACATATATTACCTCAGCATGCGTGTACACTATGTTCCATGTATGAATAACTGCATGGGAAGACATTAGTCCCCTGCAGCAGTGGAAAGATCCAGCTCCTCCAGTTTCTCCAAAAATAAACATGAACAGTAAAGGCAGGTTTAAGCTCTATGCTTCTAAAACTGGACACAGAGAAAAATGGATATCTTATAAAAATGTACAAAATATTTCATTGGCACTTTTATGGTAATGTTTTTAAGTTTTTATGGTCTTCTGTGTGTTTTCAAGTATTCTAATTCATTAAAAGATAATTGTATAAGTCAAATCGAAACATTCCTTCAAGCACTATTTGCTGCTGCTAACGTTACTGTCCATAAAATGAATCCTGCCAGCATTAAAAATCCATATTCACAACACAAACCTACATACAATTTAACAGAATTAATTTACATAACTTTTGTTGATGACATAGTACACATTTATAGCTGGGTGCATAATGAATCTAATTACTATAATAAATCAAAATAGGACAAATTAATTCAAAAAGGCTGCAGGTTATTTAGGATACAAACAGACCAGAATAAAGCCATTAGCTGCAACTCTAATGTGTCTGCGTCTTTCTTCTCCATCAGCTTTTCTAATGACTTGGCATAATTTACAATATATGGATACAGAAAAAAAACTTTTTGATCACATGGTCCACTTTATTGATTTTCACACAATGTGATAACAAAGAGTTGTTTCTTTTAAAAACAGACATACAGACAATATGTAAGAGAAAAACATATTAGTTGAAAGAAAGTATAAAAAAGTGACAGGAATTTAAAGCTGGAAATGTGTACATTTAAGTTATTGATTAGCTGCACTGACAAATAAATGGTAACATAGGCCTACCCAGAATGTGTGCCAGAGTTCAGCCACACAAAGTTTTAAATCTCTGTTGACCCGAGTCAATACTCAACACGTGAAATTTCTTTCCTGGCTGACAAGAGATTAAGGCAATCCAGAACGCATGCTCTTCTCATATTACTCAACAGGATACACCATGAAAATATAGTGGTTCACATGGACTTTAAATGACACAAGTGTGGTATTAGTAGTGACATGCATGACAGATTCACTGTGAACATTTCATTAGGCCTGGAACAATCTCAGAGGCTGGGGACATGGTTATAGTATTATCATAATTTATGTCATATGAGATTTCAAGTACATTCTCCACAGAAACCTTCACAGTAACTACAAAATTAAACCATTCTGTGTAAAGTCTGGATTGTGTTGTATACATTTTCTATTCAAAATGTCAGCAAAGCAATATAAAAACATCTTTTTTTTAGACTGGATCACCAGTGCTTCTCTAAGAGGTTTGAATCATAATTAATACTTTTTGGTGTCTTTATAATATTTCTATTACTACATAATTTTGATCTCATTTTAAAGATGATTTTTTTACCCTCTCTGGCTGCTTTTACAACAGCTTTCTGTCTGGGTGATCAGAGGCCCGTCCAGACCGTTGATGTCTCACCTCCAGGTGTTTGCTCTGAACAAGGTCAAAATGCTGGAGCAGCTCATTATAATCTATCTGACTGTGAGAGGCACGCTTGGAGACCACTTGATGTTTAGAGTCCATATACTTGGACTCATCCAGAGTCCTCATGAGCTCCGGGTTTGGGACACACCGCAGGCGATGAGAGAGGAGCTGGAAGGCCTGGCTCTGAGGCAGCAGCATGAGCAGGCCATACAGCGCCTTTATCAGGTAAGGGTTGTTCTCCACATCCAGGAGCTGCAGGCGCAGGTAAGTGAATATCGGGCTTTCGATGAGCTGCACAAGCTTGTCAACCTCTATTAAGAAATCTACAGTCACCTCCAGATCTCCAAACTTCTGGATGAGATCATAGGCGTGTTTGTAGTTCTGGGTGAGGAAACACAGCGACACGGTGGCCACAGGGTTGTGGCACCATGAGCGATACAGGCAGCAAAACAACACACAGCTCTCCTGGGTGCGCAGGTCCTTCAGCTGGTTGCGTAGCTGGAAAAGCTCCGCCGAGGTGAGCAGGATGGTGTTGAGTGTCTGAACCATTGTTGAAGCAAATTTGAGATCTTCTTCCTTCAGCAAGATGTCAGCCATGGAGTGGAAGATGTTCTCTGCATGAAGCAACAGGCAGAGCTGTCGGATGATGAACGCTCCTCTGTTCTCCAGAAGCTTCCTCTCCAGACTGAAGCGTTTCAGGAGGTTGATCATGAACTTGTAAAAATAGGAGTTCATACTGGGAGTGGAAGGGGAGGAGTCTGCTGTCTTGGGCTGCTGTCCTGGCTTGGCACTCTCTGGGACCTTCAACTCCAGTTTGTTATCAGTGCTGTCGCAGGAGCCGACTTGGTCTGTTTGGCCGGCGGGAGATGATGCTATCTCAGCTAACACCTCCAGGTCTTTGAGTATCACTTCATCGGACTCGTCAGACAGTGTTTTCAACAGCATGGGGAACAGGCTGTCTGTGTGGCGGAACATTTTGCGAGGTGTTTTGATGTAGAGGTGGTAGAGCCATTTGAGCACAGCTATGCGGGTCATCATACCAGTGGAGGAGTCGTGGAGATGCCGGTCCAGCACCTGGACAATACCATCCAGGTCAAGAGTCACCTGAGGCCTGTCAGCACTTGCTGGGGTGAAGAAGCTGATGTTACTAAAACCAACTGATTCTTGTGATGCATTCAGCATATCATTACTGTCTGCCTCCGTCTTTTGCTGGCTGTCATCCTTCGTCGGTGACCCGGCACCTCCGCTTTTCTCTTCCTCCTCATCCTCATCGTCCTCGGGTGTCACCAGCTTCATAAGACTGTGATTACAGGCACTGGCTGCTTCTTTTGTATTTTTCTTTCTGTCATCATAGGAAAGGCAAGGCAGCACAGCGGTGAGGATGCCCGAGGAGTAAGGGAGCACCGCTCTGCCTGCGAGCTGAATAAACTCTCTCATCCAGGTCATGGCTGTCAGCTGGATCAGGTCGTTTGGGAGTTTGGTTTCATCTGCTACTTGGCAATGGATGACAAGAATGTTGGCCATCTCCGCAAACTTCACACTGGAGGGTGTTTTCTTGATTTCTTTCAAGAACTCTCCCAGCACCACCTCACAAGTCTTGCGAATCTCCTTGCTGTTGTCTCCCAGGATCTGGAAGAGCCCGTCCAGGATCTCAGGGAGGTAGTCCAGCAGGTTGATGTCCGGCACAGACTCAAGAACGTGGATCCAGGAAATAATGAACTGACGGGCATATTGATTATTGGAGTAGATCCTCTCTCTGAGTAAGGGGACAAATGCCACCAAGTCAAACTTGTTACTTTCAGTCACAATGTCTTTCAGCAGTCTGTCCAGGAGCTCAGATCCGCTCTTGACATTGGGGTCTGGATCTGCAGCAAGCTTACTGAGACCATCAAACAGCAAGTTGAAGTGAGGCAGCACTGCTCCTCTGGCCACTTTGACGATATTATAGAGGGCCTCACATGCATAATAGCGCAAGCGGCTGTCTGAGTCATTAAAACACGTGAGTACAGGCTCGATCAGCTCCTTCAGATACAGACCTGAGTCTTTACCGAGGGCGATGGAACAAGCTGCCAGTCCGATGAGACCCCCTTTCCGGCTGTGGGGATGCTGAGAAAGCGCAAACTCTGAAGCCAGGATCTGAATCACATGCCTGATCTGAGTAGAATTGTTCTGAGCCACAAACTCCCGAACCAGCTTCTCGATTTCCAGAGCCGCCACTTTCCTCTTCTCGTACAGTTTGTCATTTAAAGCCCGGACTATGTTAGGAGTCAGAGGGGAAAAATCCTTTTCCGTGTTCATGTTTGCGGCTGCAGTTGTAGTCGACACTCTTTGTTGTTTTTCTTGCTGGTGAGCAAGAAATAGTCTTCATAAATAATAATTTAGCAGAGGAAAAACATCGCAAAACCAGGAAGTCTTTTAATACAAAGCAGCTGACCGGTTATATCCGCCGGAAGTACGTCACCGTTGCCACAGCTAAACGACTCCGGCTTTTAAAACACCGTTAGCTTTGTGTGTTGCCAATGCTTGTTTTCATTCAGACATTATAATTCGTCACAAATAACCTCAAGTCTGTGAAAAGCTTTTGAAAGAAGGTATCAGCGATGGCCACCCGATGTTCTCTGAACTCACAGCTCTCCTACATCATGGAGACAATGGCTAGAACTGCCCTGAGCCAGGTCTGTAAGGTGGTGGACGAGGAGTCGGCTGAGCTCCGGTCCGAAGTGTATCGGCTCATAGCTGCTAATTCAGCCCTATCTGAGAAAGTAAACAGTCTGGAGTGTGAGCTCACGGTTGTAAAGAGCGACGCCCGAAAGATGTGTAAAAGTTCCCGTAGCGTCGGTGTACAAACTGTCGACAGCACAGACGGAGAGCCTTTCGGTAAGTTTCTGAATTACAATCATTGACAGATCCAAACGAAACAAATGATCATTGCCTGTGAGTGAACTGATTATTTACTGCTGTGTTTTGGCTTTTCCCCAGTGTCCGAGTCTCCTACCATAGAGGCGATATTTGGAAAAGATTGGTGTATGAATCTATGGAAAGACAGGGACCCAATCTGTGCTGAAAAAGTCCCAACAGACCCACTAAAGATCTCTGATGAGGTCAGAAGAAAAGAGCAGTATCATGATCGAAAGTTTTTCAACACTTGAATAAAGGAGTATTACATTCGCTTTGCACCTTAATTCAAATTTACGGTGGCCGAGAACCGCCACTGCTGCAAATAAAAAAATAAATAAAGGAATGCAAAAAAAAAAAAAAAGAAGTCACAACAGAAGTTACTGATGAAAAAAAAAAGAAACCGAAGCCCGCTGCAAATAAAAAAGAAACAGTGCAGATAAAAACACCAAAATGGAAGTTAAAGACGCAAAGAAAAAAGTGGCGATGAAAAAAAAAGTTACTGTGAAAATAAAAGGATGCAAATAAAAAAAGCCACAACGAAGGTGAGCTGCCGGGGACCAATAATGATGATGCACCAGTGTTTTATGATCTAGGCACAGAAGACTACAACGAGCAAGGAGGTAATTGGAAAGGTTATTGTTTGATTTCGCTTCATAAACTTTTCAGTGTGTCATTTTGTCAGGCGATGTAGCGCCTGAGTCCATATGAAGTTGAACTGAAGCTAATACTACAACTGCATCCGCCAGATCAACTTCATATCAAGTCAGGCGCTACATGGCCTGACCAAATTACACATTGAAAAGTTTATAAGCGAAATTAAACAATAACCTTTCCACTAATCTTTTTACTCGTCTTTTCCCCATCGTCTTCTGTCCCTGGATTGTAAAACACCGGTGCATCATCATTATTGGTCTCTGGAAGCTCACTTCCGTTGTGGCGGTTCTCCGCCACCGTACAAACTGGGTATGTTGTTGATGAAAGTTTTAGGTGAAATGATATGATTCATTCACGCTCCAGCTCTGTTCAGCATTGTTTATATATGGACTTCTCTCATTTTGCAGCCTGTGACCTTACTTTCTGACAAAACTACAACCACTGAAATCAAAGAGGAGGATTTTGTGGAGGACATCCCAAGCAGCTTCCAGCAAGAAACACCTAAAACAGAAGGTAAGATAGTGAGGGAGCCCTGTCTATGATTTTCAGCCTCAAAGGGATATAGCGCCAATTTTACGACTGAATATCCCTTTAAATGTCTCATATGAGAGTGTGACTTCTTGTTCTGATGCTACAGATCATGGGGAAAGTTTGACAGAGGAACCAGAGCATCTGTCAGTGGGCTGCTCAGGTGGTAGCAGCTCTTGCAGCTTTTCACTCGAGCAAGACGGAGAGAAAGTTGTGTCTGAGGTGCCATCCATCCAGCTGATATCTGTTGATAACACAGAGGAGGCCCTAAACAGTCATATCATTTCAATTGATGACAACAATGATGACGACGACGACGATGATGATGATGATGTGCAGTTTATTCCTGAAAGTGAAAAGGAACTGGTGAAGAATACAGGTGATTCCATCTACAACAAGGAACAAAACTCGGAAGACAACGCCGCACTTAATAGCGGCCTACATTTTGGTATAAACATGCCTAATTGCCAAACTTTTAGTGAAACAAACAGGAACATATTTAAATGTGAAATTTGTGACAGGACCTTTTTCCACAAAGGCACTTTAACACATCACATGAAGACACACAGGGAGAACTTTTGTAGTATTTGTAAGCAGCACTTCCCTCACCGATACAAGTTTACAAAGCACGCATGTGTGCCCCCGCATTCTTCCAAGAGTCAGTCGTGCGAACTGTGCGGGAAGGCCTTTGCAAACCCGTCGGCTCTGAGGATTCACCAAGTTGTGCACACGGGAGAGAAACCCTACAGCTGCAACTTCTGTGGGAAAGGCTTCACCCAGAAAGGCAATCTGAATGCTCACCTACGAATCCATACCGGAGAGAGACCGTTCTGCTGTTTGAAATGTGGAAAAACCTTCACCCAAAAGATCAATCTCAAACATCATATGATGGCCCACAAAAAAAGTGAGATTTTTAAAACGAACTGAATCTGTCAGTGCTGATTGTGATGCATGATGTGTAACTTTGTTCCTTGCATTTTTATTTATTTATTTTTTGACAGGTGTAAGGTTTTTATCCTGTTATCCATTCTGAACAGTAATGTTTATATCCTTGTAATCTGTAGTATGGAGTTTACAGTGTGATCTGTATGTCCTGTGTTTGTCAGTTGGGTGTTTAAGCAATAAGGAATAGTTATTGAAGTTGTTACAGTTTTCACAATGAAACGGTTGAGAATGTTAAAACCTAGTTTGATTTAATTCATTTTCTTTGAATGATTTTAGACTTGTGTAAACAGAAGTTGCCTCTAACCTGATTAATTTGTTTTATTAGTTGGGTCTTAATAAATCCATAATCTTTACAAATCTGAAGGTGCTTTTTAAGGGGCAACTGCATGTCTCTCTTTGGCAGGAATAATTCATTCATTCGGTCAATGGTTGGTTCAGAAGGATTGTATTATTACAGACTGAAAAATGTGCTCAGTACACATGATTGCTGTTTAAGTGTCAGAACAGTCCAGTAAAGAATAAAGAATATCTTGAACAGAAAGGGATAACATTTAAAAAACATGGTGTTGCCTGGCTGACTGCACTCTGACAACAATGTGAGCTCAAATACCAGCCAGCATATACAATTTACAACATTTCAACCTGAACAGATTGTGGAACTCATGAATATGACCCATACACATAAACATCTTTCTCGTACAGTTCTTCAAAGAGGACCCGATTTCCTGTATGCACTGAGGTATTACATGTGGAAAATAGAGAAGCAGCGAGTGAGATTTTGGCAGCTTAGCAAACATAGCAAATCATTTAACATCTATACTGTTAAAAAGAGGTAGTTTTGAAAGTTTCTGCTACAAAATAGCAAAAAAAATGGAGCTCTTTCCCAAAGAACGTTGCCAGAAGACTTCTGTGGTCCGGAGGATGACGCTGAGGTATGTTTAAAATGTTGGACTGACTATATGACAACATGATTTGAATGGCTGTAATTGCTTTTGCCTAATTATTGATGAGCATCACATATTTAATGAAAACTGCAAATGTGTAAATACCATTTCATATCAACTATTAATGTGAGAAAAAAAAAAAACCTTTGCTGAGATCATCAGAAATTTGGCTATAAACTGGCTCATAAATAGCTGAGTCCAATTCATTCAAATTGTGGGCTATAAAAGGACAAAACACCTCGTACCCTTCACTTAACTTGCATTTCAGCTTGAAACATACCAAAAAAATATATTATAATTTTTACAACACCACTTTTAACCACACAGGCCATTGCCTTGCTTTTCTGTGAGAGATAGAGAATTTTAATTAATCATTAGTCATTTACATTACAGTTTCTTAAACACTCTTTTAGCACATGTTCTGCCACTCAGAGCAAAGCAGAGCCGAACACTTTATTTCCAGTTGGAGTTCTTTTCAGTTTGACCTCCAACCAAATCCGTTGGTTTCCACTCAAAACACTGGTGGTGATTTAAGCCGTATTTGTATGCATAACATTTGCCACAATCCACACAGCCGTATGGTTTTTCACCAGTGTGTGTTCGGAGATGTATGTTAAGAGAGCTTTTCTGGGAAAAACTTTTGCCACAGTCCGGACAGCTGTAAGGTTTCTCCCCTGAGTGTACACGTTGGTGCAGTTTCAGGTATGTTTTCTGCGCAAAGCGCCTCCCACAAACTGAACAGCTGAAAGGCTTCTCACCAGAGTGTCGCCTGATGTGTACCTTTAAACTACTCAGATAGTTGAATATTTTCCCACAGAATAAGCACTCGAATCGCTTTGTCGGCTTCACAGGTTTTGGCTGAATGATGACTTCTTTGGTTGTGTTCATGTGGATACTGTTTGCATAGTCAGAATATTCCCCTGCTGGAGCTGCAGAAGGATTTGTGTTGTCCACCAGACTACTCATTGTGGCATCATCTATTAACTTGTCCATAATTGTTGGCTGTGTGCGCTGCGTTTCACAGTCAGCTGTCATGGGAAAGTTATTCAATTCCACCGAATGAAGCTGGAGCTCATCAACGGCTCTGTGGAGCAAGTTCTCCTCCTCAAAAAGTCCAACAACTGTCAAATGGAAAACAAAAAAATGCATCAGAATTACAAAAATAGGCAAGGTCATAATAATTAAACTTTGTCTTTTTGGTACACACTCACCCTTTCGGTTGTCTGTGAGGCCCATCTGCTGACCGATGGGGTGGTCATCATACAGTTCTTCCTTGACAAAGATGAGATCAGGATCTCTATCCATTATGTCTAGGGTCTACCAACAAAGAAATATGTCAAACAAATTTGGACACAATGTTCACAGAGAAATAATGATATAATTATTCTTTAAATACATTTCATTATAACTTCAGGGAACCAGAAGTGTCTGCCTGGGTGTCTAATTGTAATTCTTGCACAGGTGAACAATAACAATCCTGATTTTGATCTTCTAGACTAGGGTGAATGATTTACAGACCTGTGGCCCCATACTAGTCATGGCAGCAGGCTCAACCAAGTCTTTTCTCTGAGTAGGGAGTTTCTGATCTTCTCTCCACAGATCCATGCACCAGTCTTTCCCAAACACTCCATCGATGGCTGGAGCGTGCAGCTGCTGTCCTGGAAGGAGAAAAGGAAAAGGCATGAAACTGTAACTACCATGTAAATAAGTGCAAAACATACAAATATAAAATTAAACCAAGGTCAGCTTCTTTTTTTTTTTTTTTTTTTTTCTGCTTTTTAATTGACAAAATGTTAGGAAATAAAACTTCTTGTTAGTGCTGGAGTGATTTGGTTTGAGCAGAATTGAACACTATCTAACATGCTACTGACATATGCTTGCAGTTGACTGTACAGCATGAGTCCCACCGGAGTACAAACCCAGAAAAGACTCATTTCTAGTGATTTTTGTTCATACTGACCTATGGGGTGTCGGCGGCTGACACTGTTGACACTTGCAGGATATGTCTGCGTCTCCCTCGCTGCTCTCAGCTGTACCTCCAGTGAATAACACCTCTTCTTCAGCGCCTCATTTTCCGTCTTATAAAGAGATATCTCGGTGTGAAGGACGGACGAGCATTCGTCAGCCAGGTTTCCTATTTCAACCAAAGCTGCATTAGTTAGCTTATCCAAAATAGCGGCTAACTGCGTCCGAAAATTTCTGTTTGTGGTGTCGCACATCTTTTTAATAAGAAAGTCGAATATTTTTAAAGGAATGATAAAATACTGAGCGAACAACGTTACTCCGTCTTCATATATGGTGTGACTCTGCCGCTAAGGGTTGTGGGAAAAAGATATGTTTGCCTATGGAAGGCTCAGCCTATATTTCGACCTACATTGCATCTGATTGGTTAGAGCTGCTTGCCTATCTTGAATGAGACGCTGATGTAAAGATGAGGAAGAGCATTTTCTCATGATACATTATCTCCTTCATAGGCTGGTGCAAAGGCCTTAAAGTTCATGCAGAAGTTTTGTTTTTTAACTTATTATTTAACCCTTTCATGCATGAATTATGAGAACTTCAGATAAGATGTGTTTTTATCCCTTTATAGGGTTACAAAAATGTCCATTCAGCTGGACACCATGCGTTTGAGTTTTTTAACAATTAAATGTGAATTGAACAAACAAATGCCAGAAAATGATACTCTGTGAAAACTGTGAAGTGAAAACCTTTTTAATGCAGCTAATTTTTTGGAACACCCACATACTGTATACATCCTGTACCCTCAAAGTATGTTGACCCAGCCCAAGAATTGCCCATGTAGCAAGTATTTGCACCAAAGTTCGAACCCAAAACCTATTCATAAAGTTTAAATGACCCATGCTACTTCAAAAAATTATTGATTAGCCCTTCCTAAATGTTTCAAAGAGCAGGGAAAATGTATTTTTTAAGTTTTAACAACACTCGTTTTTAGTTAAATATATATTTTGGAGAAGAATATCTATTCCACTGGATAATGTCATGTAATATTATGTAAGAAATAAAAGAATATAAAAATCATAATGATTTGAATATATTTTATTGAACAACAAACTTTATATTGAACACTGTTCTCACTGCTTGTCACTTGTCCCACACCGGTAGATCTAAAATCCATCTAAATAGATGCGGGTCAAATCTAAACCGCAACAGCCTCAGATGGGAAAAATCTGTAGCAAATATACAAAAATACACATGAATATTTTAAAATTAATTTCATGTATTTTGGGCCACTTCAGGAAAAGTCATCAAGTTTCAGGCTTAAAGAATGATGTTTAGGGTATTTTTACTGCTGTTAAAAGTCAAAACATGTCAAATTTGACCCGAACAGTCTGTGAAGGTTAACAATATTTTATTGGGTTTCCCGTTTTAATACAAAAATATGTCTCAATAATTATTTGCAGAAAATAAATAAAACTTTAAATTAAGGACACCATCCAGCAGTCCTCATCATATTCAGATCCTAAATCCTTTTCCCATTTCCCCACCTGATTGTCCAAGTTGTGTTTGTTCTGACCCAAGAATGTGTTATAAAAGTATGTAATTAAACCTTTTTTCTGTGTGTGGTACATAATAGATTTTTCCAAAGGCCGAAGACTGGGTTGGTCTGAAGGAAACTCAGTGCTCATATTTATAAAGTGGCGAACCTGTAGATAAGCGAAGAAGTCTTTTCTTGGAACTCCATACTTATTCTCAGTCATTCTAAAAGACATGAAAACACCATCATTGTCAATAAAGTCTCCTATAACCCTAATACCTTTATCGTACCAAGACCTAAAAACAGAACTATGGTCAACTTACCCCATACACGGGGTAAGTTGACAATAGGAGACCACTTTTTATTGGCATGCTGTTTTATCAAGACTGTTATGTTTACACTCATTCTGTTGGTTTGCAGGGATGCACAACATCATGAAATATATGCAGATACACTAGTTAGAGACAAAACTATAATGATCTGAAATATGAAAAATGGTTAATTTTACCCCACTCTCCCCTATATCTCCATCATGAAGAAAATCAGCACTGAATCAATCACTTGTGAGGTAAATGTTGGCACAGATTTACATCTATTTCTGTTATATTTCAAAAGGAAAAACACAATGATGTACACTCACATCTGGAGAAAAGAGAACTTTATTAATCTCAAGCATTAAAACCAAGCAGGATCAGGATGAGTAGCATTAGGAGACTGTTTAAGTTGTACCATTTATGAATGTCCCACCAAAAGTAGATGCAGCAGATTCACAACCAAACATGTTCAGACTAGGATCGAGATGTACAGCCAGGTGCTTTTTTAGATTACAGTTCTTTGTAAACCCTTTCCCGCATTTAATACAGACAAACGGTTTTTCTCCGGTGTGAGTACGCTGATGCATATCGAGAGTGCATTTCTGAATAAAGCCCTTTCCACAGATAGGACAGCGGTATGGCTTCTCTCCAGTGTGTGTGCGCTGGTGTGTATACAGATGCCCTTTTTGTGCATATCTCTTCCCGCACAGCGTGCACCTGAACGGCTTCTCTCCTGTGTGACTTCTTTGATGTATTTCAAGCTGGCTAAAGCACCTGAATCCTTTGCCACACTGCAAACAGCCAAACCTCTTAGCAGCTGAGTTTCTCAGGTTGTGAAGCTTTGCATTCCGGAGGACACCTGTGCTTTGGGAGGCAACATTTTGAGCCAAGTTTTTTCCAGCCACTACATTTGCATGTGCAGGTCTAAGCTGTGGATTCCACTGTGTCTCCCTCCTTCCTGGACCAGTGAGAGAGGGCTGTGTACCCAGTTTCACATAACAAGGCAACAGAGGCTGCTGATGTTCTGCAACAGGTTTTAGGTGATGCATCTCATCCAGACTCTTGTGAATGTCTGGGACAATTTCCTGTCCTGCAAAGAGGAAATTTATTTTTATTTTTTCACATTGTAGATCTTTATAACTCAGGGGTTGAACACCAACACATAATAACTTTTATGATAATTGTGCAACACTTTTCCCTTCACCCAAAGTCCATGTTTTTTTTCAAAGCCAAGTCAAAACGTGTGCATACAATTAAGACATTAAAGAGATATCCTGGCGTAAAATGAATTTGGGGTCAAATGCATCATAAAGCCGAGTCAGACACCCCCTCGAAAAATGAATGTTGCTGACTGCTTGCTTCTCTAGTTATACCAACTTTAGTAACGACCACAGATAGCAATACAGAGAGCCACGCGCTCAACCAAAAAGCCACAAGAAATGCTATGGCTGGGACCCTATATGTACTGTTCAGGAAGTTAGGTGCTGTTCTGAGCATAAGAGAGTGGCATTTTGGTTGAGGTTTGTGTGTGGCTCCATAGACCGCTGTGTATTGCTATCATGCAGTCGTATCTGAAGTTGGTATTACTAGAGAAGCAAGCAGTCAGCAACATTCATCTCTCGAGGGGGTGTCTAACTCGGTGTTATGGTGTGTTTGACCCTTACTTAATTTTATACCAGAATTTCTCTTTAAATGATTATTCAGTACTTACTATTTTCACATGTTTTATTATGTTCAGTGTCTTGAGTGTCTGGCTCTGGTGGCTCTTCCTTCACCATGATCAATTCAGGCTGCCCTTTGGGTGAACTAATGAGCTATAAAAAATAAATAAATAAATAAATATATCTATTAGTGGGAAAACACAGTACAGTAGGATCTTCTGTAAGTTGCAGGACTTACATCAACTGCTGCATGTTCTTCATCTTGATGCAAACTGCTCCTCTCGATAGGAGAAGTTATGTTTTCCCATCTGCTCTCACTAGGATGAAAAAATGCAATAAACACCAGACAGACAGGGAGTTGCAGACAGAAAGGCTACAATGCAAATACTAACTGCGTACCCAGATAACACACAGGACAAATCCGGCCTACCTTTTGATTGCAGGTCTTGTTCTGTCAGGCTCACACGTTTCGTCCTCCCTCACCATGCAAACTGCAGCAGCCACGTCCTGCCTGCCGCCCTGTGCCATGTAGAGCAACTTCTCCATCAGCTGCAGTTTCTCTGTGAGCGAGGCTATCTCATTCCGTCCACGAGTTATCTCTATTTTCAGCATCTTTGACTCAATCTCGACCAGTTTGCTTATTTCAATTACAGCTGTTTTGGATAGTGCGTCCATGATGGAGACGAGCTGTGTCTGGAAAGAGAAGACCGTCGACATGGTTTTCGGGTGTATGTGCAGGTCTAATGGGCTAATGCGGAAATTTTGCTGTCGATTATTTTGGCGTTCGCTGTTAAATGAAGTTGCACCGTATTATTCGTTAGAGGATGCGTGCATGTTCGTAAGATACGCATGGGTCTCCTCAAAACTCAAGTGGGTGCGTGGGGGAAAGTGTCTCCACATAGCGCCTGGGAGGAAGTATTGTCACCCCTTAAAACTACAGAAATTGTAGTAAAATGACAGAATAGTGTTTGTGATGGCATCATCAAGCATTTAAGTTGATAAAAACGTGGATTTGCAAGTGTAAGTTTGCTTTTCTAGGCGGTTTCTCTCTTTATATTGACTTTATGTATCGGGGTAACTCAAAAGTTAAGAACTACAATGACCAGAAATCAGTGCGGTCGAAGCGTGGAATCTAATTGGCTGTTTGAAATTCGTTTCAGGAAGTATTGGAGGGAATTACTTTTGCCGACTGAAAATCCTCATGATCCTCTTCACTTGAGTCTCGCATTGGGTAAAGTATATATGTTTTTAAAATCTTTCGTTAACTCTGCCGCTCTGACTTAAGTGAGGTCAACAGATGTCAAAAGACGCGCATTAACCAATTCGTGCAAATGGAAAGTTATCCCGAATGAGCTTGGATAAGTAGCTTTTGTGTCAAATTGTCTGTTTGCGCAGCCATTCACTGACGATACATAACATTATTGAGCCTACTACATTGAACCATATTAAAATAATAATAATAAAAAATAAAACTGGCTTTATATTTGGATTTTAATTTCCATATCACGATGACTTGCAAAAATGTACTTAACTTCCTTAAACATGTCTCAACACCTGTTTCCCTCTCTCTGTCTCTCTGATTTTCTTCTTCCTAGTTACTTCATTTTTGCAGACTGCTTCCTCATGGCTGGCAGAAGAGTGGTGGTCTTCCCGTCCTCAGCAGAGCTTGGTCCAGTGCTGGCCCACTTGGTGACCTCTCGAGCTGAAAAGGCCATCAGCTCCCGTGGCAGGTTCACCTTGGGGCTCTCTGGAGGAAGCCTCGTGTCCATGCTCAGCAAAGAGCTGCCTGCTCTTCCAGACCTGGACTGTAGCAAGTGGCTGGTCGGTTTCTGCGACGAACGACTGGTTCCATTTGATGATCCGGAGAGCACCTATGGGCTGTACAAGGTATCTGTTCAGGAGGGTGCATGTGTCTAATGTGCATCAGTATGTGGAGAACAATGTTGCTCTTTGATTCCTCTGCAGGTACAGCTATTTTCAAAGGTCAACATTCCTGACAGTGGGATCTTAACCATAGACTCCTCTCTGCCTGTGGACCAGTGTGCTGAGGACTATACCTGTAAGCTCAAGGAGGTGCGATGTCTGTTCCTGTTCTGTATTCAGTCCTGATTCTTGTACAGTAAGATAAATATCTAAAGCATTGGTTGTCTCATTTCAAACACACACTTCCCATCCATGCTATAATCAGTTCAAGATTAGACTATTGTAATGCACTTTATGTTGGCATCTCTCAATCATCTCTTAGTCGCCTTCAACTTGTCCAAAATGCTGCTGCCCGTGAGCACATCATTCCTGTCCTTAGCTCCCTTCATTGGCTTCCCGTCTCTTTAAAGACTGATTTTAAAATTTTAATGGTTGTTTTTAAAGCTTTTAACGGCCTTGCCCCCATCTATTTAACTGAGCTTTTAACCGTTCGGGAGCCGGATAGAGCTCTGAGGTCGTCAAATCAACTTCTTCTGGAGGTGTTTAGGTCAAAATACAAGCACTGGGGTGACCGAGCCTTTTCAGTTGCTGATCCCAGGCTCCGGGATAAGCTCCCCACCGAAATGAGACTTATTTCCGACCTAGGCCTTTTCAAATCTCGATTGAAAACATACTTATTTATGCTGGCTTTTAATACCCAGTAACGTGGTGACACTTATTTTATTGCATTGTATTTTCTTCTTCTTTTTTTATTGTTTTTATCTATTCATTTTTAATTTCTACTGTAAAGCACTTTGGTTCACCAAAAGGGTTGCTTTACAGGGCTGTATAAATAAAGAACATTTACATTTACATTTACAGGCCTTCCCAGGTGAGGATTTCCCTGTGTTTGACTTGTTACTACTGGGTATGGGCCCCGATGGACACACCTGTTCTCTGTTTCCAGACCACCCTCTTCTGGAGGTAAGTATTCTAGAGGATCTACCAGACATTCAGGCAGAAAATAGCATTGTTTACCTGTATAAATTTTCATGAAAATGGATAAAAACAGAAAGATTTTACTGTTCTGGTTGTCCACCAAAAGTTTCCCAGAGTTGATAGCAATTGGCCTTGAATAATCTAATGCTTATTTGGTCAGGTAGTGTTATTTTATATGTGCATCACCAAAAAAAGTAAGAACAAAATTTAATGTTTTGTTGATTTTTTTTTTTTTGTTGGACAATTTGACTTTGTGCACCACATATCAGGGATGTCTACCAATTAATCACAATTTATAGTTCTGGGCATTCTGCAAAAAAGTTCTTCTAAATTTTCCCCTTTTTTTATAACTCATTATTTAATGTAATTTTTGCAGCCCTACTAATTAAGGCCAAGAGGCATATGGGAGTTACTCTCTTTGATGGGTTTTCTGATTCACAACTCTCAAACTGTAGTATGTGTTTTACATTTCAAGACACTCCCTAAACCATGGACAGATCAATGATTTGTTTGGATTTCAGTACAATTTTGTGGTCTTCTGTCTCATTTGTCGCTGCACGTCTGGAAACAATCTGTCTCATGTTGCGTCATCTATGTGGTGACTGGCATTTACTCTAGGGTATAGAGTATCACTTTGCAACTTTTTTTTTAATTGGGTTTTGTCACCACATATGAAAAATGGCTGGTCTTTTGGTGCACCGTATATTCAGGAAACCAAAAAGGTTGTGGCCCCCATCAGTGACTCTCCCAAGCCACCACCACAGCGTGTGACCATGACTTTTCCAGTGGTGAACTCTGCACGCTGTGTGGCTTTTGTGTCAACAGGAGGAAGCAAAGCACCAGTTTTAAAGGTAATATTTAGGACTCTTTAAAAAAATAAATTAAATTAAAACTAAAATATTACAAAACTGTTTATCTGATATGCCACATGAAATCAGACTATGTTCAGACACACAAAACCTTGTAAACTGGATGACAAGAGAAAAGAAAAAGGACTGAACTTGGTTAAGGTTGACAGATTGACTGGTGGCAAATATGCACATTCATGTTTCAATTGTTAACTATATGTATCAGCACCATAATGACCCAAAGTCCTGGCAAAAACTGGTTTTATACTACTGACTTATGTGAAACTACTCCTGTATTGTAACAAATGCAGTTTTTCTTGCAGGAAGTCCTGGAGGGAAGAGAAGGACCGGCTTTCCCAGCAGCCCGCGTTGTGCCGACTAACGGAGAGTTGTTCTGGCTTGTTGATGACCCTGCAGCCGCCTCCTTAACTATTCAGGTAGAGAGGCCAGGTTCAGGAGCCAAACTGTAGTCTGCAAACTAAAGGCAGGAAGTCAACACTGGTTTGAATAAGAAGACAGAAATTTGATAGAGTACATTCCTACTTCACTTAAAAATGCTGTTGCTGTTGTAACTTGGAAAGATAAAGAGGCAGGAAGACCATTTAGTGCTTACTTCACTAAGGTTTGTTCGTGAAGGTCTGTTTCTAGGTTGAAGTGAACAAAAGACTTTCAAATGTATCCCAGCAAAGTTTAGAAAAGAAGATTAACTTTCCATTACAAATTTTTTTTAGTTTTTGGTCGAGAATCATGATATACGACAGCCGAGAAGCGCCACTGCTGCAAATAAAAAAGGATACAAAAAAAAAAAGCCACAACAGAAGTTAAAAAAAAGAAACGAAATCACACTGCAAATAAAAAAAAAAATGGTGCAGATTTTTTAAAAAGCCACAACGGAAGTTACCAACGGAAAAAAAAGTGGCGATATTTTTTGTGTAACATTCTTGTAAGTAACTTCTTTTTTTTTGCGTCATTAGCTTCTGTTGTGGCTTTTTTTTTTTTTAAATCTGCATCGTTTATTTTTATTATTATTTGCAGTGGGCTTTGGTTTCTTTTTTTTTCTTCTTTTTTTCTTGCAATCTTTTTTATTTGCAGCAGTGGCGGTTCTCGGCCACCGTAATGATAAAGTCACATCAATAGACTGTAAAATACTGTATGTGTTATTTTGCTCCTCTGCATCCTGAACAAAATCAAAGCTAGTCACACATAGACACTAAAACACATTTTTTTTGGTCATCATACTTGTTTGCAACAAAAAGAAAAACAATAAAATATTGATTTAACATTGGTACGTGTGTTCCCTGTCCATTAATGGTTACTATAGTCCATCCCCTTTAAGATCATTGCGCATCCCACCCCTTTAAAGCTGTAGTCACTTGGCAGTGTTGACACATCAGGAGCTGCTGCTGCACAGATTCTCTATGATGGACGGAAAGTAACGTTTCAGATCTAGTGTTACAGCGCTACAACCTTCACTTTAGTAGAAGAAGCCTTTTTTTATATATTTACATATCTTAAGTTATTGTCGTAATGCCTGGGCTCGCCTGCCTCCCCGCTGCCCTGCTGTTCTTGCTCCTGTCCTGCTGCGGTCCTGCTCGGGGATATTTCGCCGAGGAGCGCTGGAGCCCCGAGTCTGGGCTGCTCGCTCCCCGGGTACTGCTCGCCCTCATCTGCAGGAACTCCGAGCACTCTCTGCCTTATTTCCTCGGGACGATTGAACGCCTCAACTATCCCAAGGAGCGTATGGCTTTGTGGTAAGAAATTTCCAGAATGTTAAAAGTAAAGTTAACCTTTCTACTGCGAGCCTGGGTGGGAAAGTGTTTTATTTCAACCTTAACTATACAGAAGTTTTCCAACTATTTTTTTTCTATGCGGTGCATGCCTGATAGTCGGCTGAGGGTTGAAAAGAGTAAAATTTGGGCGGACCCTTAGAGGATGACGGGCTAATACTCTTATGATTGAAGCCAAGCTGTAGTGAAGGTTAAGATATCTGCCTAGTTCCAACACTCAGCAGGACAACATGGAGACATAAGACTACTGTAATATTCAGCGAAACCCTGGACAATAATTGTTTTCGTTAGTGAGATGAAGGTGAGTCCATCAGGTCACTGTTCATCAAGCATTGATCTGTATACGTGGATAAAAGGGGAGGGATCAACCCTGATGTGTCCACGGGGGGAGCTATATGGTTAACTTGTACTAAGACACATTGTGGAGTCTGCATGAATGGCTTTTTTCCAACACATTCAACTTTAGTCTCTCTGAGCCTGTATCACCCACTGACAACCAGACCTGATCATCTACTAGTACAGTGATTGGCTCTGATATGTTGCTCCACTAACATGTCATCTTCCTCATGCCGTTATTGGATTGATTCATTGGCATTAAGTAGGGGAGAGTGGGGTAAGATGAGCCATTTTTCATATTTTGGATCACTACATCAAGGCAATCATAGTTTTGTCTCTAACTAGTGTTCCTGCATATATTTCAAAATGTTGTTCATCCCTGAAAACCAACAGAACGAGTGTAAACATAACTGTCTTGATAATATAGCATGCCAAAAAAGTGGTTTCTTATGGACCATAGGAGCGGGGTAAGTTGAGCCGTATTCCTACTACCCCCCCCCACTCTCCACCCCAGCCCTCCCTCACCTTCTCTCTCCCTAAATAACAGTCACTTCTTCACATTCATGTGTATTTCTTATCTATTATACGCTATTCAATTTGTACGATAATTTTTATTATTACTGCAAATATCTGCTAAAAAGCTGTTTTGTAAAAAGTCATTTTAACATGAGAATGTCTTTAAGTGATTCAGAACATTTTTGGAAAGAAAAAGTAAAACATTTCAACAATCTGAACTGAAACTCTGACCCTGTCATCAGACTTCTTTACTTTCTCAGTTGAGCCACTGGCTCAATTTACCCCAGAACTAGTATTATGACTTTATTAGTCCTCTAAGCTAAAATGGTGGATTTTTATGCTAGGTTTTTGACCTCATGTTGTAGCTCATAGATACCACAATTGATGTATAAAACAAATTTAAAATGATCTTTTTTGGTCTGAACACAATTCTAATCAAACTTATGACAGAATAAATTCACTTTCAAGAGTGACTGTGTTTCTTTTTTTGGAAATATAAGTCTAACCCCTTCACCCATGTGCTTCTAACCTTCACAGGCTCTGATTGATGCCCATCCCTTAAATATTTGGTCACATGATCAATTTCTTTTACCATTTCCAAGCAACAGGGGGTGGCTCAACTTACCCCACTCTCCCCGATAGAAGGGGTGTAGAAACTGTATTCTGAAAAAGTTTTGTCCAAATAACACCTAACTTTTAGTCAGTTCCTAGATTTTTTTTTTTTTGCCAAATACATTGAAAAAAACAACAACAGGACAATTTGTATTTTTATTTTTTGATAACCTCGATGCATGGACTTGAACCTAGTGTTGTAAAGTTATATAACTCACTAAACATATGTTTGTGTAGGTCATTTCACAGACCCAACAAAGTCACACCCTATCTATCACTGAGACTAACTTAAGTTCTCAAGGCAGTTATCCAGTGGGAAGCGCAAATGGATGTTATAGGCCATTTAAACATCTGTCTGCCGTGCCCAGGCAGAAGTCAAGGGAAGTGAAAGGGAGGTGTTTCTGACATAATAACTAAACAACATGCTGCAACAGCCCCTCTTGCATACAGCCTGGGTGCTCTGAGCAGTTTGTGCGACTGCCTGGAGGGCTGAAAAGGTATGCTCTTCACTCACCACCACCATAAACAACCTTCACTTTATTCGAGGGCTGTAGAGGAGTGAAAGGAGTGAGGCGGCCTGATTTCTCCTTTTTTCAGTAGGTGGTCTTTAAAGTCTTCTGTTAATGTGGTTAAGAAAAGCACAGTTTTGTTTTGACATGTTTTGCAAGCATATTAAACCACATCTGGAAAATGCAAACGCAATTTCCATGCTGTAAACAGTAACACTACATACTGTAAGCTTTTTGTTAGTGCTTGCCAAAGCCTCAGGATCTGAAAGTGCCACCAGACGGTCATTTAAACCTTTGATATATGCAATTAGGACTGCGTTGGTGCTCCACAAGTACCCCAGGTGCAAGTCAGACGCCTATTGCGGATGTATGTAAAGAGCACCAGTATCCCTTGGTTTCAAATCAGTGCTTTTAACAAATATTTATCAGAGCTAAACATGAGGCAGACGCCGCAGTGTAATTCAAAGTCAGAGAATTTGGAAGGACGGACAGCAGGAGTGAGGGGTGGAAAGGTTTAGCGAGGAGCTGCAGTGTTCTCACAGAGCTGTGTGAAATCTGTCATGAAAACCCTGCTTGGCTGCAGTCCCAAACAAAGTATGGTCTCAGCTGACTTATGTGCAGCTGTTGCTTTTTGCAGAAAAGACTGCTGGCCTACAATGAACAGCATGACTAAAAAAAAAAACAAAAGCTGTGAAGTTTTTGCTGTGGCAGGATTTCTGCCTTTCATAGTAGAGAATCAGGCAGACACACTAATGCTGAGATTTCCTGCAAAGCCAGAATGAATTTGTTTTCCAGATTTTATTTGTCTCTCATATGGTGTCAACATGTGTGAGTGACTCAAGTTATCGCAGACTTAAGTTTCTCCTGCTCACCTGTTTTTTAAATAAAGCATACAAGCTTATCTAATTAGAAAAATCTTTAATTTCTTTTAAATTGCATCAACTTGATGTTAAGCTCTTTTTGTCCTGTGATTTTGGTGTCATTTACACTTGTGCGAGTTCTCACAGCTGCAGACAATGTGCCTACAAAAAGTGAACACAAGGCTATTGTTATGTGAGTTGTGGTTTCATATTTCACCTCATGTCTCAGCTTGAACCCGGTTTTTGCGCTTGTGCTCCACTTAACCGTTCAGTGTTATTTTCCCCTCATTGACCCCAGTTTGTGATCACATTCAGCCTCTCTTATGTTGAATACAGTTCGCTCTAATCATTTACATTTGTTGCACATTGACAGGGTTGCAACTGATCATAACAAGGACAACACCACGGCCATTCTGCGTGACTGGCTCGTCAAAGTGCAAAATCTTTACCATTATGTGGAGTGGAGGCCGAAAGAGGAGCCCAGGTTGGTCCCGTTTGAGTTTGTTTTTTTCCTTTAAGTGTTTACAGAGATGAGAAATTAACTCTAATTAGTATCCGCTGTCTCTTGTAGCCATTATGAAAAGGAAGAAGGTCCAAAGCATTGGTCAGACGAGCGTTACGAGCATGTTATGAAGCTTCGGCAAGTAGCCCTGGAATCAGCGCGTGAGATGTGGGCTGACTACTTCATGGTAGGACATCGATACAAAACTTTAAAGACACAAAAGAAAGCAAACCAACATGTATTTTTTCCAACTGAAAGCATGGAGCCAGTGCATGTGATCTCACTAGTCTTAATGTTCAATTATAGCAGCAGGAGGTATGCACCAAAGTGACTCCAAAGCACAACCACAATTGTAATTTAGACTTCAGGAAGAGTGTTGAAAAAAGACACAGCGCTGTTTTTCTGTCTTTTATGGTTAAAGCTTATCTGCTGTTTCTTTTCTTACTGACTCTGGATCCTTACACTGACACAAAGCTCGAGTTTCCATGAGTCTTATTTTACAAGCAGCTCTGAGCACATTTCTATTTCTATTCCTATTCCCCAGTCCAGCCCTCATTGTCTCGTTCCAGTGGGGTGTAATTTTAAAGTAAAGTACATCCAGCATTGCAATAATTTAGTGTAAAAAAGATTTTGGAAAGTGCTCCAGGTTTCTTCCATAAAAAAAGAACTGAAATAAATGTTTGTGGGTTCTTTTCTTTCTCAGTTTCTTTTCTCATGGCCTGTTTAGAATTTTTACTGTAGACTCTTTTGCCTGTTTCTGCCTCACAAACTTTTTTTGTCATCCCCAAATATTTATATTGTTTATCTCCTCTCTTTTGTGTAGTTGGCGGACTGTGATAACCTCCTCACCAACCCCAATGTGCTCTGGAAGCTCATGAAAGAGAACAAGACTATCATCGCGCCAATGCTTGAATCCCGTGCTGCCTATTCCAACTTTTGGTGCGGTATGACCTCCCAGGTACTGTGCCGATAATTTGCTTTATATGATTATTTAGGATGACTGTTTGAAAATGTTCAAGCCTTTTTGACTTATAAAAGCAAACAACCCTATCAGCAGCAAGATTGATCATTTCTATATTGTTAATTTTTACATTTTGCACAGGAAATACTCAAAGTGAGCGATAAAAATAATAATAATAAGTTTATTTTTACAGCACTTTTTAAAAACAGAAGTTTCCATGTGCTTTGACAATTAGTCATAAAGCACTTGGAAAAAGACAAGTAAAAACAAAAAGCGCAGTTAAAACGGCATTGAAGGCCATTTTAATACATCTTAAGGAAACCAGACAATACAAGAACTATGCAACATAAAATGAGACCATGAGGAGCAAAATAAAAACATAAAATAGGTAAGAAAAAGAAAATACCATAAAAAGGGGGGTTGAAAGCTGAAAACAGGATAGTAAATATAAAAGACAATATCAGTAATGATGATAAAATAATAACAAAGTAATACTGATAATACTAGTAATGATGAAATAGAGCAACAGAAATGAGCACGAGATAAAATGATAAAAGGCCAAAAGGTTAATTAAGGAAAGAGTATAAGTATAACAAAAGCTAAAAAGACAGGAAAGCCAAAATAAGATGGAGGTAAAAGAGATAAAAGATAAAAGACGGCATCAGATAAAAGCAAATCTGACTTAAATTTAAAAATCTGACTTAAAAGAAGCGACTGTCTCTGCACGCTTTATTTCCTCTGGCAGGTCATACCAAAGTCGAGGAGCTCTGATGGAGAAAGCTCTGTCACCTTTGGTTTTGAGCCTCGACTTTGGAACAACCAGGAGGCCATCGCCAGAGGATCTGAAGCAGGGAGTTGGCTCATAAGATAGTAAAAGCTCTGAAATGTACCTTGGAATAAGTCCCTTAAGAGCCTTGATACATTTCAGTGATTTAAAATGATTGTTTTGCCCAAAAACACTAAAATAGAAAAGAGGTTTTACTGTGTCCACTGGAGGGGCGGACAAAAGTTCCTTACAAGGGCTTTAAGTTTAAGAATTATGTTAAAAACTCTCCAACCCTTTTCTTCTACAGGGCTATTACAAGCGCACCCCAGCCTACATCCCCATGAGGAAGCAGATAAGGAAGGGCTGTTTTGCAGTCCCCATGGTTCACTCCACCTTCCTTATAGACCTCAGGAAAGAAGCATCCAGACAGCTGGCCTTTCACCCCCCACATCCAGAGTACAGCTGGGCTTTTGACGACATTATTGTCTTTGCGTACTCTGCTCGGATGGCAGGTATTTAGCATTTCAGAGCTAAATGCAAAGATTTTAAATGTTTGTTGTTGAATCAAAAGTGTTTGTATCCTCTGCTCCCTATAGATGTACAAATGTTTGTATGTAACAAAGAGACCTATGGTTACTTCCCGGTGCCTCTGCGATCCCACAATACTTTACAAGATGAAGCTGACAGTTTCATGCACTCACTGCTGGAGGTTAACGGTGAGTGGCCTGCATTCTTTCTTTTGCTCCTAGCTGCTTTTTTTCCCCCTCTGGCTTGAAGTCTTTATTCTACTCACAGCTCCTTTTGTTCTGCTCTAACAATTACCACAGTGAGCATGGGGGCTCTGTTTATCACTCATACCATTTCTGCATCCATCTTCCCTCTCATTATGTAGCGCGCAATCCCCCCGTGATGCCCTCCAAATACATACGTGTCCGTAGAAAACGTCCTGATAAACTGGGCTTTGATGAGGTGAGTAAGAGTGAAGTGAAGATGGAGTGTGCAAAAATGGCCTTCTATCTCTTCTTCTATGCATAATGCCTCCCCCTGCTGTCAGAAAATTGTAATTACACTGATGGGCCACACTGTTGCCTATATGCAGGTGTTCATGATAAACCTGCAGAGGCGGACTGACCGCCGTGACCGAATGCTGAGGGCGTTGTACGAGCAGGAGATTGCATGTAAGGTCTTTGCAGCTGTAGATGGAAAGTAAGTAAACTGGATTCAACAACTCCATTACTCTTGTTTTGAACTCTTTCATCATGTTGAACATCATGTACTGTTCTGTTTTAATCCATTGCAGAGCGATGAATACCAGTGAAATTCATGCTCTGGGCATCCACATGCTCCCTGGATACAGTGACCCGTATCATGGTCGCCCACTGACAAAAGGGGAGCTGGGATGCTTCCTTTCCCACTATAATATCTGGAAAGAGGTGAGCGCTAGCGACATATATTTAAAGGGTTATTCCGGCGTAAAATTAATTTAAGGTCAAACACACGTAACACCTCGTCGAGAGATGAATGTTGCCGACAGCTTGCTTCTCCAGTTATATCAACTTTAGTAACGACTGCAGGGTAGCAAAACACAGCGGTCTGAGGAGCCATAAACAAATGTCAACCAAAACGCCACTCTATAGCCTCAAATAATGCTCAGAACAGCACCTAACTTCATCAACAGTACATATAGGGTCCACGCCATAGTACTAGCCACCAAACATCTTTTTAACTTTAGCAAAGAGACTAAACACAACTCACCTACCCTCTTCCAGCAGCCACTTGTTTGTAGCAAGACCTCAGACCAGTCCATTACAAACTACAGCGGGGTGACGCAGCTCAAGGAAGAACATTTATGATCATTTCTTCATGGAAATCAGACTGAGATGCCAAGGCAGAAGAACTTCCGCATCTGCAGTGCAAAATGATTAATATGGTGATTATTACTTCAAGGAAATGATAAAGTAATGCTAATAGCAGAGAGTGGGTGAGTTGTATTTATTCTCTCTGCTAAAGAAATTGGGTAAAATTAAAAAAAACGTTTGGTGGCTAGTGCTGTGGCTGGGACCCTGTATGTACTGTTGATGAAGTGAGGTGCATTATTTGTGGCTATAGAGTGGCGTTTTGGTTAAGCACGTGGCTCTTTGTATTGCTATTGTGCGGTCGTTACTAAAGTTGGTATAACTAGAGAAGTAAGCGGTTTGACCCTAACTTAATATTACCCTGGAATATCCCTTTGAACCTTTATTCTTCCAATTATTTTTGCTTCTTATTGATCAATCCATTTATTACCCTAGATTGTGAAGCGGCGTCTGAAGACCACCCTGGTGATCGAAGACGACCTGCGCTTTGAGGTCTTCTTCAAACGTCGCCTGATGAATTTGATGAGTGAGGTGGAGGAAGAAGGACTAGACTGGGATCTAATGTGAGTTTGTGTTCAACCTGTCAGTGAGTTTTTGTGCTGTGAAATATCCTCTTATTGTTCCTTTTAATCTATTTTTCGCAGCTATATCGGTCGCAAGAGAATGCAGGTGGATCACCCAGAGAAGGCAGTGCCTCATATTCACAATTTAGTGGAAGCTGACTATTCATATTGGACGCTAGGCTATATGATCTCATTACAAGGTGCTAAGAAGCTCTTGAAAGCAGAACCGCTTAAAAGGATTTTGCCAGTTGATGAGTTTCTCCCTATCATGTATGACAAACATCCTGTGTAAGTATTTGTATCGTACCTATATTAACATTTAGTTCAGCTGAGGTGGTTTGCAATTTTCTGATTGTCATGACTTTACTGTTTCCTCCACAGATCCGATTATATGGATCAGTTTGAAACCAGAGACCTGAAGGCTTTCTCAGCAGAGCCCCTCCTCGTTTATCCAACGCACTACACGGGCGACAAAGGCTACATCAGCGACACGGAGACCTCCACCGTGTGGGACAATGACAAGGTCCGCACAGACTGGGACAGAGCACGCTCAGGAAAAACTCGCGAGCAGGCCGAGATCAGCTCTGAGGCGCAGAACTCAGACGTGCTCCAGTCACCTCTGGACAGTACAGCACGAGACGAGCTATGAAAGGAACTGAAAGAGAGTCATGCAAAGTGTTAGAAGAGCGAATAGGACAAACACCTTTAGTTTTTAATCGTGTCTCATCTTTAAAACTTTGGATCTTGCGATAACGTGGAATCAGATTTTAGGGAAACACTTCATTTCTCAAAGTGTGAGACGTGTAAAAAGGATCCCTTCATTTCCCACGTTGTCAATCTGTATTTTAATGAAGGCACTAGACTTGCCATTTGGAATGGCATTTGCAGTACCCATCTTCTGTCTGTCATACAGAAATTAACTTTCACATTAGCAAAAAACGCAATCAGGCTATTCGGCAGTAACTTAATGCCACAGTGACAGTGATGTACACTTCAGAGACTTTCTATTGTTGAAAGTCTGTTTGGAGAAACATCAGCATGTCATTTGCTTTAATCCTCCTTATTTTACTTTTTATGACTTCTTTTTTTTTCAGTTTTAAATAAGGATAAGCCATCACTAAAGGTGCCGGAGCAGTGCTTTACCCAAGCTCTGCAGAAACACACAAACAATCGTTGCAGTCGAGCCCAAAGTCAGACTTTTGTAGAGTATAAAAAGTCCAATTCTGCGTCTCCGTCTCCCTTATTGCCAGTTCTGGATTGTTTCCAGACTTGTGCCGCCAGACCAGCTGTTGACATGATCACAGAAACCACCGTACACGCCTCTAGCTTGATGGTGTGGGAGGAACATTGTTATAAAAAGAACCAAACTCAGCCACATCTGAGCCCACTCCAGAGTCTCCACGTCTTAATGATACTTTTCGGGATCAGAATTCAAGCTGAGCCCCCAGGAAGTAGATTTTTATGGGGTAACAATGGTAACTGTTTGAATGTGGATTGTGCACAGACATGTTAGAAGTGCATTCTGCAAATAAGAAATAAATTTTTCTATTTTTTAAAAAGCTGAATTTGTAATCTGTCATGGGATGTCACTTATGCTGATGCAACCTCTATCCTAGTTATGAAAAAATACGTTTCAACAGCTGAATATTGTAGACTGACTGACTGAAACAGTGCACTCTATTAGACACACCTCTATATTTCATGATAGAAAGTTTTGCTGTGTCATTGTGACAGAGTATTTCAAGTCCAATACATTTATTACGGAGCTGTCAATAGAAATCCACCTGCCACCTCCTTTCCTCTCATGACCCCCTTCCTTTTCTTCCCTTGTTTCTTCAAAAGACAAGAAATACTCCAGTTACAATTTTGAGCTATCAGGCAAGCACAGGCTGAGTTAATTACTTTATTTAATCTCCGAGCATTCATTACCGTCCTTTTACATCAGAAGATTCACTCTTGCAATTGTCTCCTTGTTCATGTGCCCCTCCTCTGTTCTCCGTTCCTTCTGTTAGCTCCTCTACCCGTCAGATTATCCCGTTTTTTTCTAATTTAATATCTAAAGCAATATTGCCTCGAGTATCAACTTTTAAAACTATAATTACCCCCCTCACTCTAACCCAAAGTAAGGATTGAAATGAATTCAGATAAATATGTCCATTCAAGGGTTTATGTCAAATGAATTAATCTTACACAATTAGGATTAAATACACAATAAAAGACTCTTTAAATCAGTAAAAGTGAGTTTAATCTAATTAAATGGGAGAAAAACGATTTTATGGGAAGAGAACATACTTGGAGAATTGCCTGTAGGTTTAGTAAGTTGCTTGTTCCACCAGCTTTAAAATCAGTTTCCTCTCTATGTAGACTCTCACTTCCCTTGTCTGACCTCAACCTAAGGAGACCCCACACCAGTTGGGGGTGCCGTTTCTGCTTTTGGAGGGCAGGCGCTTTCAAGGTAGCATAGTTGTTGAACCACAACGGGTGCTGGACTTGTTTCCGCTTCATTTAAATCCTGCAAGGTAGAGCTGCAATGGTTTACTTAGAATTACAGAGGGGCTGGCTTTCACAACCTCCATCTCTGAAGCTTATCTGTGAAAAATGTGAAAAATCAAACTAGAGCTTTTTTCATACAGGAAGCATGTAATAACCTGGCCTGTGCTTTAACCCTCCTCCAGTGTTAGCTTTTACTACACACCCACCATGTTAAGAGTTGATTTTGACCCGTGTCTTAAATCAGCTGTAAATTACACTAAAAACAATTCTCTATCATCCAGTTTGGTTCTCATCTCTAGGTTACCTTGTTAGGCTTCATTATCCATGAAAATATTGCTTATAATATTTTTGGTTGTGGGCCTCTGTGCCTTCCTTTGTCAGTATACCCCTCACACAGACATCTATACTAAATTGATCGTACATGTCTGGACATGCCCAGCGTTGTTTTTTATGCAGGGAAAAACATGGTAAAATGAGAATTTCCAAAATCTCACATGATTGGAAGAGGATCTGACTGTCAGTGTAGTTCCTGACAGTGCACATATGATTTCAGTTTTTGCTCTGATTGTTAGATATTGATCTAACTGGGTCAACAGTGACCCTAACACGACAAGTGCCATAATATTAATAAGAGCATTTTATAATTTAGTCAATTTAATTTCTGTATTTTCATTTTGTTAAAATAGAGATTCCTGACAAAGCAAAAAAGCTAATTTATGCGGTTCTTTTTAGCATTTAAAAACAAAAACAGGTCGGTGCAGACACTAACACAGCAGGAGGGTTAAAAAAATCTCATTACTGCTCATTCGGAAGAATAAATCATTTGCCCAGTCAATACCAACTTTAATACTCCATATTCAAATTCAACTTTATTTGTATGTCACTTTTTAGACAAAAACAAAAATTAAACAGCAATAAAACTCAACCCTCCCACCCACACACACACCCATGGACCCCCCCCCACCCCCCACCCCACACACACACACACACACACACAAAGCGCACACAGTGTGAGAATCTAAGATGTATTGATGAAGAGACATGGCCTGACACTGAGTCAAAGAGCTACCTTTGGGAAACACTGGAGATAAAAGAAAAAAATATAAAAAGAAAGATTAAAACCTGATGGACTAAAACAAATGAACAAATAAGTAAGAGCTCTTTACCATGTAAAAGGGGTAAAAGAAGCAAAAACCTCGAAGGTAGGAGTAAAGAAAAAGACTAAGAACAGAGATAATGAATAAGATTACATAAAAGAAACATTTAGAACTTTGATTAAAATGAACATTTGTAATAAGAGAAATATGAAAAGGCAATCAGTGAAAAGCCTGGTTAAAACTTGAACTCCAGGACTTGAACTAGTGACCCACCAGTTTCCAATCCAAACCCTTCCAGACTGAGCCGCTGCCATCCCCCTAGAGCACTTGGACCTCCAATTAGGTCACTGGCTATTTACTGCTGTGGATTGAAAACACTGGGCAACAAGACAAGCATGTAGGACTGGGTTTGCTCTCTTTTGTTCTACCTTGTCAGGTCTGAGCGTGTCATTGTTTCACTGAGTCGGACTGTCGAAGAGCAGAGCTTTAAAACACAAGCAGAACAAGAACATTTTGCTGTATGTGAGAGAAAGAATAGTAGAGGACATTACTTGGAGAGCCCCGAGATGATGAAATGAGGCCACGTGAAGTGCATTTAAATGTATCAGTTTGAGTCACCCTTGGGTGTAATATCCTGTTCAACACACTAGTTTATAGGCTAAGTCTAGAGTGAGCTTATTTGTTCAAGTTAGATGTTTTCAACTGTTTGCACGTCAACACTGACCCAGTTAATTCACTAAGGTGTGAAATCTTTGGTGTCAAGACAAAATAATCTAAATTCAGTGGCACCTTCAGACAGTGTGGTGTGTTCTGTTCACGTAGGTGGGGCCTACAGTGAAAGAAAGATACACTTCCTCTTCTCATGGTGGTGAAAACATTGGTCAACCTCGTTCCTACCAGAAGAAGAAGATCTTTTGAGAGCACAAACAGCAGTAAGCTCAGAGCTGCACAAAAATAATTAAGCAAAGGAGTAACAGTGTGTCCACATGGTGCTGTAGATTTTTCTACCTACCCTCCATTTGACGGTAGTATGGTGTGGTGAATCTTGAGTGCAGATTATGTGTGAGTGACACTACTTGGGTCTTGCTTTTGGGGTAAGAGTGTAGAAATGGAAGAAGATCAAGTGCCAAATGAGGAGTCCACTCAAGCACCAGGTGAGCATAAAGAATGAGATTTTTTTTCAATCTAAGGAAGTATTTCTGTGCACTTCACTCAGAGGAAATGTTAGATGCCTAAAATGTACTTCAACTCATGCACTGATCTCTTTGAAAAAAAATTCAATCAGATTTATGCGGCAGAACTTCACATCAAACAAGAAATATTTGAAACACACACTTTTCACTCTACCAATTTACTTAAAAAAAAGAAAAATGCAAACATTACCTTTACTAAAATACTGGGAAATATTCTGCTTAAGTTGCGTTAAAGTTGAATGCTTGCTTGGTTAAAACATCCAACTTGTTTCTTTAGTCAGTTTCTTGCACTGCAACACTGCTAGCACGAAAGTAAGCCTTAGTGCTCATGATGTGATGTGATGTGAGTCAAACTGCAAGCAGGATGTGGTTTACCAAAATGGAGACTTCTCTGAAGAGAGAAACTTTGTTTGCTATAAATCATCTCCTGTCAAGCTCCTCTTGGTACGTGCCATTATCCATCCTGTAGAGTAAAAGGAGCACCAAAAGTTGCACTTTTGTTTTCAAACTGTCCTATATTTCACTCTTACAAGTCACATTCAGGCAAAACCTTTTTTCTCTACTTCAGGAAATGACATTCGGTACAACTTCAGCTTTTATTTATCTCATAGTGACCTCAACTCGGACATTTTATCTCAGTGTTTCCCTCGGATATTATGCTGTTATATTGTACTTTGTGCATACAGCAGATGCTTTTAACCACAGACTCCTTACTAAGTGAACTGAAGCCTCTGTAATCCTTTCACATTACAATCAACACTATTGGCTTTATACACTTATATTTTGAGACCTCAGCTCTATTATGGTGTTATGTAGGGTACAACAGTAAGAATATCTTGTTATCTTTGCTTTTTCATTTCTTGAATTTCAGAGTTGAGGAAGGTGCATTATAAATCTGAACCCAAACGATACAGTGAGATCTTCAGGGAGTTTGATAATCTTGACTTATCCTTCCTCCCCATGTAAGTATTGCACATTTACTCACCCCTTTCATGTAATTTTAGTGTGACTTGAAAACAATTAAAACAGCTCTCAAAAATACAGTTAATTTGTTGAATTATAGGAAAACAAACAGGGCAATACTCTTGAATATGTTTGTCATCTTAAAGCCATAACCCCGCCCAGCAGTACTGTACAGTTACTGTGTCGTCTACCAGCATACGTGACAAACCCTGAACGTTTTGCATTGCTGTTTGACTGTATATGTGTGTGTCTCCCCTAACAATGTCTTTTCCTGTGTTTAGTGCAGGGGAGGATTCACTAACAGACACTGATTCACTGACTACACCAGAAACTGTCTCTGAAGAAAGTGGAGACGTCAAAGAGCAACATGACGTGGCTGTAAGAGCTTGTAACTCAATTCCTAGCATATCTGATTTTATTCCCCAAAGACTTGATAAGTTTAAAGAAACCCTTAAAGAGTATTGTTGTGTATTTAGGTACTTATTTATAAAAGTGTAATAAAGCAAGAGCCTGTTTTTCCCCATCAGAGTGAAGAGACATTTTGTTCACCGAGACGTACTGAGGCCAATGAAGCTGATGGAAACCAAGCAGGTATTTTTGCATGTGATGGAGAGATGGAAGATGAACAAAAGGAAGTGTGGAGGTGTGTGTGATTTTGTGCGTGAGTCAGTCCATATCTGGTGGATGTTAAGTATGACGCGAAGAATCCACACTGTTTGTCACCACCAATCTATTAAGGACACCGGTTTACCTTAAATCACCCCGTAACCAACACCTAACATCCCAGCAGATTATGAGTCACGGTGTTGTGGACTCTGCGTCTGCCTGTGCCACCAAATGAAGTTCAGTTTTTACTTGTTTTCCCTTCATTAGCTGTAAGATGTAATAGCCAGGTTGTAATAAGATTAGGATAAAGGGGGTGGATAAAAGCAGCAGACAGCTGCTCTAAGGTTTTACCTCAGCCACAATCAAAGATGGAGGGGTCCAGGGACAGAGATGTAGTCGGAGTTATGTCGGCTGTGAACACAAGGGAGACAGAGAAAAAGAAAGAGTAGACTTACTTACAGTCCATTTCTGAGTGCTATAACCTCAGTTTGACTTCTGCTTCAGATCACAGGAATGAGAGATTAGGAATTACAGGATAAACAGATCATGTTTAGAGAACTAGAAATAGAAATGCACAGAAAGCCAGCGCAATGGACAATGAAGAAACTCTTCAACTAACTCCTTTTTGACTTCAAGTCCAAATCAGACTGTGCCATTGTATCCCATTATTGTATTTGTGCTGCCTTCCACTCTTTAAAGACACAAGTTTACTCGTGTACCAATTATATATCCACCAAGCACATTACTATAACATGCTTTTTGGTAATCTGATTTCACGTTCAGCCATTGGTTGGGATCCGATACCAATCAATTCCCTAACAACCCCCAGTCTGTGTCGCAACAGGAGGTCAACTTTACTTGGTGCTACTTTTAATCTTGTCACTCCGCAATCTGGACCTGATGAGGATAATCCCCAATCCAGGCGGAGAAGGCCATATCCAGGAGGCAGCACAGAATCTACATGGAGGCTGATTTCTGATTAAAAAATGAAACTTTGAAAAACAAATCTCAGTGGAAAAGTTAACTAAGGACATTCTGATCAGGAATTACCTATTGTGTCTTGTGGATTTTGCTGGAAGACCGAGAAGAAAACACCACCCTGTTTGGATTTTTGTTTACTCAAAGTGCTTTTGATGACCATGAAGAGGAACAGAGACGAATAAAAGCTAGATGTCACAGTGAGGAACTTAAAAGAGAAGTTGTCGCTCTCTCTCTCTGGCATTGCGTGTTTGTTCAGTTAAAACACCCCGAAATGATTGGAACTGTGCTGCGGGCTGGAAGAGGAAGAGGAAGAGAACTTCTCAGAGGTGTTTTTGTTCTTGTTTGACATCTCTTTGCGAATATTATCCTGGAAATAAAACACAGGGAGAAATAGAGAAAGTGGTGTTGGTTATGTTTGGGAGGTCATGTGATTTCTCTCTATGCATTACCCACCCTGTGTTGGCGTGAGTCAAAGAGGAAGAACTGGAGTGATTGCTGCATTTACACCCTGCATGTCTGACCACATCCAGCTCTGGCACGGCATTGTCTTTACTGCACACTGGCACTGAGCGGTGTTGTTGGCTGCTTTAACCACAGCTCTCTCTCTCTCTCTCTCTCTCTAGCTGACTCAAGGTTAACAGGTGTTAGGGGGAGGGGCCAGGCAGGGAGAGGAAGAGAGGACAGGAGGGAAGTTAGTTAGTTAGTTAAAAGCCGTTTGGATTTGACCATAGAGGCTTTTATCCAAAACGTCTCTTACCCATTTGATTCAAGTCGGAAACTTGGGCTCGTTGGAGAGAACGTTAAAAATCTTTACATACATGAGATACCTGCAGGGAGCTGGGAGAGACCACAGGATCTTTATTCTGAGGAGCAGAAATGGCGTGCAACTTGCAGTCATTGTTTCCTGTTTTGGGTTTGTTTACATGTTTTTAAAGCGACTTTGATTTTTTTTTTTTTTTTACACATCTTTCTCTTATATGGTGATTTATTTGGGGGGGTTTCCATCTCTGAGTCTTCCAGGAGAGACAAGCGGTCAGGTGTAGCCCTATGGACGCTGCCTGATCTTTAGTTTTTTACAGCTGCTACAGTGTGAGTAGCCCCGCAGTGATGCTGATGTACTCCCTCTCAGCCCAGGAAGCAGACCTGGCTCTCTGTCGCTGCGAAGGTGGAGTGGAGACGGCGCTGCTCTACGCCAAGATGTGGTGCCGCTATGCCAAGGATCTCCTGGCGTGGATGGAGAAGAGAATCAGTTTGGGTAAGTGCACATGCAGCTCATACAAGAAAACAATTGTGTGAAATGGAAATTATCATCTGTGAAGATATAAACTGCACACAGAGGCAGATGGGGGGTTCAGAAAATGCAGATGTGGTGTCTCACTCAGTACGTGGAAATCCACTTTGCAGGTAGTAGTTTTACACTTACATATTTGCAAAGTGGAGGCTGTGGATTTTTTGTGATATGATTTGATTAAAAATGGGTTGAGGCATTATTTATTCATAGATTTTTCAAAATCAGGGAACACAGCCCAAAGAAACAGAGCTATTTCTTGGCCAACATTATTAAGTTATTTCCTGGTCTGTCTGTATTGTCTCCCTTGGCGGGTGTTGCAGTCATCTAAGTGAGCTACACACCGACTGCCCACAGAGAGAAAGGATTAGAGGGCAGATTAACAGGGCAAAGCAGGGTAATAAAGGAGATGGGCACATTTGGAGTACATAGACAGTGATTATCCTGATACCAGCGAGCACAGGTGTCCAGACTCGGGTTGCCAAGTATTTACATCAGCTGATAGTGTATATATGTAGAGCAACAAAAGAGTATAGCCCTGCTTGGCTGTGCAGAGAGTATGTCTAGCGAGTATGTCAAGGATTACACATAGCAGAGCAACACTTAAAGATGTCTGATCGAAACAGTTGAGGTTAAATTGACAGTGTTTATGTAGGGCTATCCCTCATCTTCTGAGTGCTGTTACATTACATGTCAATACACTGATGGTAGAGCCTGCTATGTAAAGCACCCACCCGTGTTCACTAATCCCATTCACGCACCGATGGCACAGCCACCAGGTCGGGGCAGTTTGGGGTTAAGTGGTTTGCCCAAGGACATACCCTCATGTCGACCTGAGGCAACCAACTCCTTCACTGAGTCACAGCTACTCGTTTAAAACAGTGTTGGTCCAAAATGAAGCCTAAAGCATCATATCACAGCTACACACCGGCAGCATTATTAATATTACGGGTCCAGTTCAGTCCACTGTCCAGTCCTCTTCTTCTTTATGTGTTGTCTTGTACAATATCTTACATGAACACTCACAGAAATAAGTGATTTTTGATTACTTTTCTTTGTTTCCAGAGCAAGAATTTGCAAAAAATGTGATAAAGACAGCCGAAGGGGCAAAAATCAATGTGGCACAGCAGGTAAAGCTTCATTTATAGCACAGATATTTTACTTATTACAGATTTAATCTCAGATTTATATTAATAAATCTGTTATTTTGACTGTAGGAAATGATGCCTCTAAAATACATCTACACAATGGCACTAGAGCAAGACATCAAGAACAGTGTGACCTCCAAAAAGACCTCAGAGCTTCTGCAAAACCGCTGTTACCAGGTAAAGAAATCCACACATAGGATACGTTTCAGCAAATCTGTTAGCCATGTTTTTTATGTTTAACACAGACTTTTTTGTCCTAAAGGCTTTGACATGCAAGAGGAATGAAATTGAAAAATGGCGCAGAGAGTTCAAGGAGCAGTGGGCGAAAGAGCAAAAGAGGATGGTAAGGACTCAGAAAATGTGTTTGAAAAATTTCATTACACTATTACAAGTATTTCTCTCAAATTTGAGATTTTTCTTTAAAGTCTAAAAAGCGAAAAACTTTGAAGATAACTCAGACAGAAGGAAAAACTTACCTTTGTTTTGTTGTGTGCTGGTGTGCCCCTTGTGCACTTTCAGAATGATTCAGTCACAGCTCTGAAAAAGGCCCGTCAGCAATACTACCAGCGCTGTGAGGAGCTAGAAAAGGCAAAAGCTATATCTGCCAAAGCTTTGGACGACACAGCTGGAGCAAAAACACTGGACAAGAGGAGAAAATCCAAAGATGAAGCCAAAACCAAGGTGAGAGTCCCCCTTACAAGTGTAGTTTAGTGTTGAATGAAAACAGTGTGTTATTTTTGATCATTAAGTGTGCACAGATGCAACATTACTCTTCCAAAAGAAAGGTTAAAGATTTGTGGTAGTTTGGCAGCTTTCAGCTCTCCTCTCTGAATCCTCCAGATGACGGAGGCGGAGCTTCTGTACAGACAGTGTGTGACTGATGCCAAGATCCACCAGGATGAGTTAGTGAAGGTCAAAGAGAGAATAATCTCCCACATTCGCAAGCTCATCTGTCAGGGAGACACTGTGCTCAAAGAGGTTTGTAATCGAGAAAACTCCTCATCTGTCTTCATGAATATATTTTATTTTTATTTTGTAAGCTTATCACTATTCTGACCTTGTAATTCCTCTAATGAAAATGTCCGTTATTATTACAGAGGGAAATGACTTTGTCTCCTCTTTCATGTCTCCTCTCTCATCAGGTCACAGTCAACATGTTTTTCTTCCAGCGGCAGCAGACAGAGCCCATTCCCCTCGGCTACCATAACCTGGAGTTGACATGCAGGTCTCTGGAGCCTGGTGAGCCCTACCTGCTCTACATCCTCAGCAAGCGCCGCCCTGAACACCCTCTCCAAACGTTTACCTTCCAGGAGTATTTCCCTCAAGGCAAAGGGTATAAAACAACAATACACTGAACAAAAGAAATCTGGTAACACTTTCATTGACGCCTATCTCTCTAACGCATCATAAATATATTTATAATGCATTATAATTACGTTATAGCACTGTATAACTATAGTTATAAACACTCACAAATGATCATAATGCTTTATAGCAATAATTTAAACACATTATAAAGCATTTTATCATGACTTACAAGGTCAGGTATTATAATGTGTTATAACTGTTAATAACAGTTGCATTACATTATCTATGTGAGCATTATCTAGTGAGTTGTTAACAGTTATAACACATTATAATACCTGACCTTGTAAGTCATAATAAAATGATTTATAATTTGTTATGATTATTGCTATAAAGTATTATGATAATTTATGAGTGTTTATAACCATAGTTATACAGTGCTATAACATGATTATAACACATTATACACATATTTATAATGCGTTATAGAGATAGGCGTCAAATAAAGTGTTACTTATTGTCAAGTAATATCAAGTAATATAATTATAATTTAATTTAAAGAAGTTTCAAACGTTCAGGTCAAAGTTTTGATACACACTTGTTTTATAGTATCTCCTTTATCCTAATCTCATGAATTGGTGTTTTTATTCTTCATGTTTGAAAGGAGCAAACGAAAAACCAGCAACACTCTCGGCTCTCAGCACGACTGTTCGCCTATAACGGATGAGAGCCCTTTAAGACGGCCCTGTGATGGCAGTAAGTACTCGCCGTGATTAAACAGAAACACATCTACTAATAAACTGCTCCTTTTTGATGCCTTTTTTGTTGCTTTACTTCAGAGAAAGCAGGGTTCAGTGATGGTGAGAGTATTGGAGGAAGTTTAGAGTCCCTGTCAAGCCCTGGTGGGTATCAGTCTGTATTTGTGTCTATGATTTTTCCTTCACCTGGAGTTTAAACCATGCAAAGACTCATATTTTTTAATTCTTCCTTTCTTTGTTTCTGCAACATTCCAATGCACAATCAAAGCTCACGCAAAGAGGCCGCCTAAAGCTACAAGTCTGACAATGTCATCAGATGACCTAGATGAACGTGATATTGCTTCAGAATCAGGTTTGTAACTCCTTTTTTATACATTTGTGGTTCAAAATACCTGTTTTTGATATTAATCTAACCCTTTTGTTTGATTTGAATCTATATCTTCTACCTTAAGAGTGCATTGAGGGTCAGCCAGTCAAGGTACGCACTCTCTCACGAGCTGCACTGACACACCGACTCAGAAAGATGAAGAGCAAGATGGTCAAGTGCAAGCAGTGTGAAAACTACATAGTTGTGAACGGGGTTGAATGTGAGGAGGTACGAGGCGATTTAAGAGAAACATTTACATGACTGCTGAGTGAGAAATTGTACATCCTCTGAACTGTTCCTGTTCTACTCTCAGTGTGGGCTGGCTTTGCACAGGAAGTGTATGGAGGTGTGTCCGATAGAGTGCGAACACAAGAAGGGGACCGTGTTCGGGGTTGATCTGTCTCTGATATCACACGAGAGCTCAGATGAGGTGCCCTTTGTGGTGTTACGCTGCACTTCGGAGATTGAGAATCGCGCTCTGTCCATCCAGGTACATAGAGCTTGAAATGAAAAGAAAAAGAAACTGACATAAAGTATGTCAAGTGTTTGCCGTGATCTGAAAACACATGCTTGCTTCTTTAGGGTGTGTATCGTGTGAGTGGGTCCAAACCTCGAATCCAGAAGCTTTGCCATGCTTTTGAGGTGCAAAAGGACCAGGTGGACCTCTCTGACCACTCACCACATGACATTACTTCAATCCTTAAACACTTCTTCAAGGAGGTACTTCACTGACTGACTTTGCTGACTATTACAAACAATCGTGTGACATTTTAGATCTGAGTAATCTCTGTTCCTTCCTCTCTCTCGCAGCTCCCTGAGCCTCTGCTCACCTTTGACCTGTACAATGATTTCATCGCTGTGGGGAAATACATTCAGCACCTGGGTGACAGGGAGCCGACACCAGACACTAACGAGATAACAGACATCATTACTAATCTGCAAAAGCTACTGCAGAGACTCCCTTTATACTACTACAACACTTTGCAGCACCTGGTGTGTCACCTGCAGAGGTGAGTAACAGAACCTGCTTGTCAGATTTTAGCCAGCCCAGTAGATTTTCACTGAGTTAATTAAGTATTTCTATTAACCCACCTGCTCTCTGTCTCCACAGGGTTTCAGAAAACCAAGAAAACAAAATGTCCCCCAGCAATCTGGGTATCGTGTTTGGCCCGACACTGCTACGCCCTCTTGTGTCCACAGACACGTCAATGATCGCCCTGCTGGAGACCAGTTACCAGGCTGTACTCGTGGAGTTCCTCATCACACATCATGATGAAGTATTTGGCATTCAGTCAAGAAGTCACACGCCCACACCCCCGGCTCCCACTGCGCCTCTTCCTGACACCCCTCCCAGAGCTTCCTGTCACCTGGATGGCGAGGTATATGCTGACTCAGAACATGAAACTTCCTCCAGAGAACGGCCGCTCTCTCTTGAAGTAAGTAATGCAGCGAGGAAACCTTAACACTACACTGCAAAAAAAAAAAAGGAATTTCAAGAAAGGAAAACAGCCTTGTATTGAGGAAAATAATCTTGTTTTTTGTACAAGAAGAATATTAATCTTGTCAAGCATGTTTGGCATTAGAAAAATGATCTAATTTTAAGAGAAAATGGCTAAAAATGGGAGCCAACATGGCTAAATGGCTAATTTTGAGATAGAATGAACCAGAATTAGAGTAGAAAAATGTTTTACAATGAAATCCAGCGGAGCAACAAGATCATTTGTCTTATTTTAAGAGACATATGTACAACTTCTCAATTTAAGAATGCCATGTTGAACAGTTGATTTTTGTTTTATTAAGATTTCCACTGCAGGTCATCTGAACCTGACAGAATCTCCTGCCTCATACATTATCTGACATATAAAGATGTCAGTAGGCTAGTCTGTACAAAACACAACATAATACAATGACCAGATGAAAACTGCAAAACAACAGAGAACAACAAAGAGCATGTTTGCTTGTGGAATAAAAAATCTATATTTAATGATAATGTTTTGTATCTTGATTTAAGACAACATCACTTATATTTGCTATGCTGTTTTAAGAAATGATGTCTTATTTGAACTACTGTCATGCTCATTGATAATCCTAGATTAAGGTATATTTTCTTGAAGTTCATTTATCAAGAGACTAAAATTCTCATTTTAAATAACTTCACTTTCATTTTTCATTGCTTGCTGTAGAAAAAAATAGATTAATATAAGATTTTCTGTCTAGTTTTAAGTTTCATTTGAGTCTGTCAGGGCCAAGACATTTGTTCTTATTTTGAGAATTTTTGTCAAGCAAAAAAAGCTTACCCCACTGGCAGATTTTTTTGCTTGATATAAGATTATTTGATTAAATATAAAAATATTTTACTTCTTTCTAGTAAGGCTGTTTTTGCAGTGTAGACACAGACTCAGTGGTTGCTACTGCATCTAGGTATTAACAAATGCACTCATAAGGATCCTAGCACTAACCAAACCAAGGTAGTGTGAGTTTCTACCTAAACGTCATCTGCTGACTTGTTCACCTGTTGTTTTAAGATCATTAGAGCCTGACTTCTCATGCTTGCTCTGTCAGGATTAACAGCCGCTGCTTCTCTTCTGCCCTCTGAACTGCATGGCCTCCTGTCAGTCTTTGTTATCTGGACATTTGCTGCTGCTGATGATGATGAACAAAAAAGAGCCCGTAAAACTAAAACATTCATTATTCAGAAGGGCTCATACATAGGAAATCAAACTCAACAAAACTTGGATATTTTCATTATAACAATAGAAATTGGTTGGATTAATCCTGGAGTGTTTTGTAGCCTTGACTTGTAAGACTCACTTTTGTATCCCCTAGTAATCCAGTGGTTAAACTTTAGTCTCTAAAATTTGTGACTCAATTTGTGTCATTCCAACAGAGTCTAACAATCAAGAGAGAGTCAAGCGAGGGTTATATATCTGACAAGTCTTCATCCAATGAGGCAGTGGACCAGCTCAGCCCTGAAGCCAATGAAAGAGCAGGTAGGCGGGATTTAGCGACAGAGCAGTTTCAAAACAAGATGATGATCATTCATACAGTTGATGTCCTGTGTAGTTTGAGGATGTTGAGCTCTCTAGTCTCTGGATAAATATGTCATCTTGTACATTTGTGGGCTGAGGACATGTTTGATTTGAATTAATCCTGTTAGAGTTGTTGCACAAACAGCTCCAGAGCTGTTTACCTCTTTTCTCACAGACAGTTTAATGCTCGAGCTTACAGTTTATAAGTAGGCTATACTTCTTAGCAGTAGATACAGCGGATGTGAAGTGCCTCAAGAGTTTGTTGTACTTCCCTTTTCTTTCTGATCTTACAAGTTTCCTCAAGTTATTTTTAGAAAAGTGACTTCTGCCCTTTTTTTTTCTTTTTGCTGACGCCACCTTGTCCCATTATTGTACAAAAATTGATTATTTGATAGTGATTACAGTAAACACAACGATAATGTAATCATCTACTTTGTTAAAGATCAAAAAGCAAGTTTGGTGTTCTAGTTGAACTCTGATTAAGTTATAAAAAAATCAGGATATTCTGGGTTTCCTGCAGCAAAGCTCTGACGTTTCATCTTCCTCTTTGCTTTGCTATGCTTGAGCTCTGCTGTGCTTTCAACCCTGTGGCTGCACCAGCAAGCATTTCCAAGGCTACTAATTACAACCAAACATAATGATATATAAAAATCCTAAGACAGGGAGGAAAATATGTTTATAAACTTGTGTTTAACTTTCAAATAAGAGACTGATTTAGACCCAGCCTGCACTGCTGACCTTTCAGAGTTGAGGTCCTTTTTTTTGTCTTGAACAGTATCCAGAGAAAATATCTTATATACTGTGGTCTTTATTTGTGTTTATGATTTCTGCCTCAGTCCTGGCTGTGAAAGGCGCATCCAGCCATCCTCAGAGCGAGCCAGTGGGAGAACAAGACTGCACCTTTGGGATAGATCCACACTATCGCTTTACGAGGCAGCCTGTGAAGTATCACCGGCATAACAGCCCGGCGACCCAGCGCCCAAACCCATGTCACACAGCCAGACAGCCAGCAGCCGCAGCTGGCAAAGGCAATCCAGGGAGTGCAGATAGCAGCCGCAGCTCCTCTCCAGAACCGGGGACACAGAGGCTTTCCAAAAACTCTGATCTGAACGATGAGAGCAGCTGCCAGCCTCACCAGACCAGCGGAGCCCCAGAGAGTAAAGTGGACGTGCACCTGAGCCCCCGCCAGGTTGTGCAGTACATGCTGGGACTAGACTCAACAAATACATCAGCTGCAACTGTGGCTTCGTCCGGTTCAACCCAAGAGTCTGCTCCGGTGGAGTCAGCTGGGTCACATGCTGATCTCAACATAAATCATTCAAACAACAGGATGGGTCTTAGTCAGGGTCAGACTCTGTGTCAGTCATCAAAAACACTTCCTCATGAGCATAAACTCACTTCACCGGCTCACAAGATTCTGTCAGGCCTGAAGCTGAGACGCAGCCACTCAGGGAAGGATGAGCAGCTCTTTGTTTGAGAGGCTGACACACATTCACACATATAAACACACTGGACAGTATATAGTATAAAATTAGCATCTTCTTTTTTTTAATGTGCTGCCGTTGAGATTTCTCCAGCTTTTGTGGTTGAAAAGCTCCCGTGTCTTACACACAGATATCTCATTTAAAAAAAAATACTTAAAATAAAGGTAGGGGAGACCAGAGCTTGTTGTCACATGGGTAAGTTGTCACACTGCAATTATCTTTGCCACCAGAGGGCGCAACTAAAAAGTGGAATACTAGGTTTTTTCCTTTACACGGTCAGGGGTCGTGTCCTGTCTGAGAAGAGAAGAGCACATTGTGAGCTGAGATGAGCGCCAATTAACCATTTCACACAACCCAAAGTAGAAAAAAAAATAACTTTATATATTGTAAAATAAGCTTCTTCCAGATAAAAATACGAGCAGTGATACATGTGGACTTGTTAAAGGAGAGATTAAGGCATCCTGTCATACCTCAGTCATTGTTCTGTTTTAAACTAACTTTAAGCAAATTAGTTAATTAGCAGACATGGTAGTTTGGAGCAACATGTCTCAATCATTTTGGGGTCAGTTGTCACATGTTTTAAAGGGATTAAAATTAACAGAGAGTCTGCTTATCAGCAGTTGTCATAATGAAATTTGGACTTTATTTCTACAGAAATAAGAGTGGTGTAAAGCAGAGGAGAAAGTGTGAAGACATGGTCAGGAATTACAAAAGAAAAACAGAACAAAGCAGTGCAGTACCTGACATGATGCTGAGGGCAGTCAGACAGGTAACCCTCGCTAATAAATCAATCTAGAGTAGAGTAAAGGACTTTAATGTCAACTACCATACCTTGGCTCTATACTGCAAAACATTCACCCCAGCTAAAATACAGTCAGACAGCTCTCCAAACTCCAGAGCATGTTCCATCATATTTTATATTAACATTTGTTCAATGACTTTTTCTAGCTCAATGATAAACATTTTCTGTGCCTGACTTTAATGTTCACTTTAAAGTAGAAAAATGAGAACAACAATAATTTTGTCCTTGTTTTAATAGCTGCAAAATCCACTGTGACATCTTACCCAATGTACTAGTGAGACAACTTACCAAATGGTGGGACAACATGTCACATGTTCACACTCTCCATTTGATTGCTTATAACTCTGCACTGACACAAGATATGAAAATGACTTAAATACGAAATATATACCCGAGACTTTGGTCTTTCATCTGGTACACATTTTGTTTATATGAGTTGTATTGATTCCAAGAAATATATAATAATGTAAAAAGTGTGACAACGAGCCCTGGTCTCCCCTACACGAGTTAAACATTTCAAATTCACAGGGAGTCGGTCACCTTTAAGGGAGATACTCTTTAAAAGTTAAAGCCTAATGTACTTTGATGCCATATGCTGTATCAACACTGATCCGGTTTAGGATTGTGTTGACTATCCAGCTGTCAAATACCCACACTGGTCCAAAGTGATTCACCTAGTTACTTGTTTGTGTATCATATTTAAATGTAGCAACAGGTGCTTTTGGATGCACCTTGAACACGCAACCAGCACATACAGAATGTTTAATCTTGATTCTGAGCATGTAAATCTGCAAAACACAAAAGTCACAAACTGTTGCATATATTTCAGATAAAACTTTTGTGTATTAGTTCGTCATTTTTACGCAGAGTGTAACTTTTTCAGTGTACTAAGTTACAGATATGTCATTATTGCTGTCATAATGCGGTTGTCTTTTTTGTTTATGCACCTGTCCTGTTTCAACACAAGGGGGCGGTCTTTTCCCAATGTGGGGAAACATTCATCAACAGAAACGTAATAAGCCACTTATTTTTAATTGGGCTGTGTTGTTTTTGAGATTTGACTTCTCAGTTTTGTAAATATATTAATAATTTTCCATCCAGGTACATGTTTTACTAAAATAAAAATCTGGAGAAATATTTTCTGATGCCGTAAAGGAGTTCTGATTGGCTGTAACTGCTTTCCTATTTATTTACCTTTGTCTTATTGATCAAATGTCACGAGGGTGAGACAGTTTAAGAATCAGGAAGAATAGAAGAGTCGCGATTTTTATTTGAGAGGGATTGATGTCTCGCTTCAAAACCTCCAATCCTTCATCCACGACCTTTAGAGTCTCCGTCAGTGAACACAAATGCAAGAGATCATCCTCATGTGAGTTATCAATAGGCTGCATCATCGCTCATCATCCCCCATCATCTTCCGCACCTTCTCCCTCCCTCTCTCTCCCTCACTCTCTCTCTCTCTCTCTCTGTCTGTCCATCTCCTCCCTCTTTTACGCACGGAGCAGTCAGAGCGCACACACGGCTGGCACAGAAACACAGCACAGACAATAGAGAATAGTTTGGGTCATCATGCTGTTTGGATTATTCCTGTAAAGCAACATGCGCACCGGACTGTGAGGTTAGGCTACACAGGTGAACAATCTGTTAACGCGCGTGTTCCCCCCACTGGCCGAAAGTTCTCGCAGGTTTTCATGTTGCCAACTGAGATTCCAGGAGGAGTGTGTTTCACCTCAAGGTAAGATCTCGCAACCTATACGAACAGGTCCAGAGGAGGAAGGCTTGTCAGTGTTAGATAACTTTGCGCTTGAATTGGAGCCTTTGTGTCTTCTGCACCATCAAGACAACACTGTCATGTTTTTGTAAATGCTGTGTCTGGGAGGAAAAAAAGGTGAAGTCTCGGTGACCTTGCTACTTGCAAAAATATGATCTGAGATAGAGAAGAACCGGGTCTACAGGTAAGCTGGGGTCCAGTGCCAGACGCGCTGCTTTGGAGATCGTCAGAAACTCCTTACAAATAATAATTGTCTGTTTTAAGAGAGGGGAGTTATTTCCAAAAACATGCACAAGAAATTTGTCTATAAAAGGTTACCAAGCCTGACTCTTTTAAAGAAAATTCTGTCTGTCAGGGCAGAAACTCTCAAGTGTGCCTATTTTACGCACAAACTTCTGATCCATCTCCTTTGTGGATCATTGCGCACAGCAGCAGAATTCAAATAGTGCTTCATATTGTTATTATTGTATTATAGTTTCAGACTGTCAGGCTGTTAGTCTCAAACATAATTCCATGAATGCGTCAGTAATCCATTTAACCCGCAATTAGGCGCATCATCAAATCAGATAACATTTACATAATTCATTTATTTATTCATTATTTTATTTTCAGCTGAAATGCAGCAATTCTGAAATGTTACAGCCATCCTAACTGGGATGATATTTAACATTTGTCCAAAACTTGTTGGATTAGCCAACAAAGGACAGAAATTTTCAAAAATATCACAAAAATATATTTTTGTTTTTGTCTACGTGGAATAAAAAAGGCCTACATGCTGCAGGCCTACATATTATCCACAGTCATTTAGACAGCAAACTAAGAAAAATACAAATGTCCTGTAAGGCCAGAGAGAACAAAGGATAGCCATGTTGATTTAAAAATGAAGAGCTGTTTTTTTTTCTCATATTCTTTTTCTTATATCCTTTTTTTTTCTCCACTATTTTTCGGGGTGTAAACAAAATTAAGGGCGAATTTTAAAGCTGTCCGTTTATTTGGTAAGTCGTAAAATTACCTTAAACGAGGAAAACATCCTCAAACCAGCTCAAAGAAAAAACAATCTGTGGTAATTTTAAACTCGTTGAAATTTCTATTTTTTTCGAGATAATTTCATGGAAATTGTCAGAATATATTAGGCTACTGGAACAATTTTAAAGCTGTTAATGTGAAGTCTGGCATGCATTTTTAAACCCGAAGAGAGCAGATTCATGGCCGAACTTTTGGGCCTTTTAACCAAAAATTACGGTAACACATTTCACTGATCCAAAGCAGTTCCTTTTACGATCGTTAAGTTAAATTAGATCTAAAATATCTGCCCGACTGATTTTCCTATATTTATTTATTGTTATTTTTGCCTTCAATTAAAATAAGTCTCATTTCAGATTTAAAGTAGACAAAAATATATCCATGCAAGTGTTTGTTTCTTCAAGTGCCATAACCTCTCCCTTTTTGCGCACCGTTTCTATGATATCCAATCGGTTAACTGAAGCGTTCAACTCGTGTGTTGGATGAAAAAAAATGTGCATTTTTGTCTCCTGAAGCGATCACATTGAGGGAAGGAGAGAAGGGATGAAAACAGAGGAAAGTCAGCAGTCCTGTCTGCAGCAGCCTCCATCCTCAACGCCTTTCGGTGAGTGCTCCAAGGTCCTCTTTTAGCCTGCGTGAGGCCCCAAACAGAAAATAAAACACACGCAATGAAACACCAGAAATTGACACCGAAGACAAACATAGTCTTATTACCAAGAAAATATTCCTTTTTTTTAAAAAAATCATCTATATGAATTTCATCATACCCTTGTTTTTATTGTGTGTGAATCACTGAAGAAATATCTACAAAGCCCATTTAGGAGGGGAAAATGTATGAAAATGACAATTAATTCAGGGCATGACTTATACAAGGATGCAATAGCCTAAAGGTTTGGGAAAATTAAAGTAAAATTTCCCCTTTTTTACGCTGACCAATGGTTAAAAAAAATAAACAAAGACTAAATCAATGCTTTGACATATTTAGAGGGGTTGAAAGAGGCACAGACCTGATCCAGGGTTGAAGATAGCAAGTGTCCTCATGTGCCAAGAAAGAGATGCTAAAAAACGACACACACAGTTGTTTTTTCTAGTTAGAAAAAAAGGGTATCAGTCAATTAAAAATGCTACATAATTGTTTTACAGATGGCCAAGAGTGAAACTTTAAGAAAGACAGTGTATCATAGAGGAGAGGGGATGTCACCAAAAAGACGCACAGTGTACCTGACTCTGGTTTTGTTTCTATTAAAACACTGATATGTTTCCCTCAAGGTCCGGAGTTCAGGGGAGGGGGAGAGCTGTGTGCGGGCTGCGAGTCTCCCATCGCCGACCGCTTCCTGCTGCGCGTGAACGAGCGCTCCTGGCACGAGACCTGCGTCAAGTGCGCCGTGTGTTTGAGCGCGCTGAGTGGGACCTGTTACTGCAGGGACCGGCTGCTTTACTGCAAGCACGACTATGAGAAGTAAGAGACACACACACACACACACACACACACACACACACACACACACACACACACACACACTGTTGACTTTTGACCTTGTTCATATAAAGGCCCGTTTGGATAAAATAATTCCAATAAAATGCACGTCCTTGTCTTAGAGGTTGTTTTTCACAGTTTTTGAAATTCCAAGTTGCATATTTTTTTTCCCTCATACTACACTCAAATTCGCTAAAAATTACTTACAAAGAAAATTATAGCCTTATAGCTTTAACATGAAGTATTGATGCTAATATCATAATGTCATAGTTCACAACTGTTCATTTTCAGTACTTTTATTATTAAAATAATGGTGTTCCTCACTCTCCTCATACCTTTGAGTGCTAAAAAAGAGAAAGCTAAATTTACAAAAATAATTTAGATTTAAAAAAAAAGCACTATATCATAAGTTTAAATTTGGATAGCTAGAGAAGTTTGTGGCAGATATTTCATACCCCCACTGAGTTGTGTAACACCGAATGAAACTGAACCCACTAATAAGTAACTGAGTTGTCCCTGTTAGTCAAGTAGAAAAAGCAGGTGATAATACCCAAGAGAAGGAGTCTTTCTGTTTGAACACATAGAAACATCATTTTGGCTGGTGGTAAACACTGTCAAAAATTTATATAAAAATTGAAAACTCTTTTTAAAATCCAGATACTTTTGCCGGCTGTACTGTGCATGGATCATTCTTCAGAAAACATGACCATGCATCATTTGATAATTACTGAGCAAATTAAAGGATACTTGCAGTGCAGCAAATGAATCTTGTATTCATTCATTCCAGACAGATTAAAAAGAAAAATGTTTAAAAATGTGTAAGTCACTGCAAAGACCTCCTTATAAAATATACCTTACTTTATCCTAAGAGTGTGTCATGATAGAGACGACAAAAGCTGTCCTTCAATAGTCATTCGGACGTCAAGAACTACACAGCTCTCAGTCATTTAATGTTTTTTTTTTCTATTTTTCTTTCATTCATATTTTTGCATTACATCACAAATTTTATACAAATACAGGGAAACGCACAAGTGTGGCATACACAGCATCAACAGTGTATTTGGGGTGTTGTTGTGATACATGCTCTGACTAAAGAGGACTCTAAGGATCATTGTAGATACAGATTAATATAAATCAGAGCTCATTCATACTGTGTCCACTTTTGGGAAACTTAAGAGTAGGACTCCTTGTGAGCTGAAATCCAAAATACCTCAAGAAACAATCATAAACATAAATTTATTTCAGATTCATGATGGATGTTTTGCTCTTAATTTATGATCCCAACTTCATCCAAATAACATCACTACACTGTTATTTCATCACCATAGTAACGAGGACACAGTCCTCACACACTACATTTCCCTGCAATGAAAAACAAAAACACAAAGCTTTTGCGTGTCGGAGTGTGTGTGAGTGTGTGTGAGTGTGTGTGGGTGGGTGTACCCGCGGTTGGTCAGTGGTCATGACTGCAGTGGGAGCCGCAGGAACAGACAGCTGAAGGACGAGCCCGGAGCTTGTTATCATTGTTTTGAAAAGTGTCAGACGGCATCCAGCAGCACAGACGCTCCCACTGTACCTGACATCTGGAGAAAGAGAGAGAGAGAGAAAGAAAGGGTATGAGACGGAGAGAGGGAAGGAGAGAGCGGGGAGCTGCCTGATGAAAGTCCCATTGTGTGACGTTAATCTGAAAAAATGAGTGGGAAACATGGAGGCAATAGCTTATCAGAAACGAGGCAGTGGGTTCATTTTCAGTGATGGAATGTAAAAACGTATTTGCTCTCCTCATGTAATGACTGTAATTGTAGATTTAAATTAAAAGTCAGCGGCTTATTCACTGTTGTGTTGATTTAGTCCGCTATACATTGCATATGGAAAGTTGCCTTGTTGTGTGAGTGTGTGCCAGACTTGGCACACAGAGCTGACTGTGACCTTCAGCGAATCAGCAACAATGTCTCCTTGTTTTTCCCTGCAGTCTGTCCATCAGTGCCTTAAACCACACTCACACACTCCCCGTCTGGAGCAGGTGCGTGTGTTGGAATAGATTACCATGTCCAAGAATCTGGGACGTGCATGAAAATTTAAAGGGAGTTCAAATAATTAGACTCGAACCCTTTCACCTGAAGCTTGGTGCCGCTTTTATCTAAACTAAAACAAAATACTGAATAACTTCCTGCTTTGCTGCTAATGCACAGTGACAGCAGTATTGATCTTTTGTCTTACTTGTTAGATGTATGTAGATTCAAAATATGAGTGACTTTTTATAAATAGTGGGATGTTCCTCTTGAAACAGCTGAGGTTTGCCAAATAATTTTTTAACATGTCCCTTATTTTGTGTGCACCACCCTGCAAAAACAGATATGCACAACTCCTCTTCCTGCCTCCTTAAAGCTTCAAAACAAATCTGCATCATTTTAAAATAAATCATTAAGTGTTTTAACTCTTTGCTTGCTTTAGTATTCTTCCCCAAAAAAAACAGAAAAAAAGTTGTTTTGGGCTACAGTTGATCATTTCTGCTAAAATGAAAACAAGCGCACCAATGTTAATGTCTATCAATTCAAATGAGACGACAAATCTCATTTTGAAATGTGGCCCATCCCCCCCATGCTGATTCCTCCGGGATAAACTGCCTCTGAGGCAAAAGTTTATTCGACATTTGCATGTTTAATGTTTTCAAAGGAAATTTTTGCTTCTAATAATTCTGGAGAGATCGCCCCAGCGCTTGCAAAAGACAAGCTCAGGTTCCAAAACAATGCTCGCACCAAATTTATAATCTTTATCAAAATAGCTCTTAATTTAAGGGCTTTTGAGTTATATAGGATGAATGAGTTGTGAGTCGTTTTTAAGTTGAGTTGTTGAAAAAAAATTAAATAAATAAGTGATCATTTTCTGCCACTCATTATCCTTGGAATAAAACAGGAGCTATGCCTTCAATTTAGAGATTCCCCTGTCTCAATCTGTTATGGTAATGAGGGGATTTAGACACAATAAACTGAAGTGCATCTTGTGGATTTCTCTTTTGGATTTATTTTTCATGTTGAAAACCTCAAGAAATTCTCTGGAACTCCATCTTGTCATGGACCAGATGTTCAAGATGAAGCTTTAGAATAAATTTGTGGCGAGACCGTCTCTCACACTCAAAGTTTTCATCGTGATGTCTTTATGCACTCGTCTGGTGCAGTGCATTACTTCTGTTGTTGAAATGGGCAGAGTTATACAAACAAAAAAGATGGAAATAAGCTCAAATGTTGTTTCAAAGGCCTGAAAGAGGAGGGCATATTTTGAATAAGAAGTTTTAGGGAAAGTGTCATCATAAAATGTCATTGTTCATCCTTTTCTGAAGTGACAATATAACCATCTGACATCTTGGATAAACTTGCAACCATACTTGGCATGCACCCTTTCGAACAGTTGACATTTTTCACACTTGTTAGACTGTATGGGTCCCTGCCAAAGTGAGCAGTAGAAGGCCAGCATTCCCCGGTCAACAGTGCTGAGCTCGGTCAGAATGGAGGGCTAGTCTGGCTGTGCGGCGCCCCCTTGTAAGCCCCATAAAGGCAGCTTCACCTCTGTGAAAAACAGGTCGCCGGGGTGGCTATTCACTAAACCTTAGGTTTAATACCTCACTCTGTGGGGTGGAGGGCACCAAGTTTACATGTAGGTTTTCAAACCCTGTCTTTGCGGACAGAGTGAGGGAGACCCCGCCGTCACAGTTATGGACCAGGTAGATAAATGTGAGTCCAACACCGCGTCTCCTCTCAAGTTACAGTGCGTTTATGTAAGTGAACTTCTGAGTCCTCCTGCACTAAAATACTGAGACTGAGGATGGAAACTGAATCTTCTCCCCTTGTTCCCCCCATACTTCCCCCCACCCCACCCACCATTCCTCTCCCTGTCTCTCTATCCTTTACCTCGTTCATCACTGTCTGCTTTGTAATATTATTTCTCTATTCCAAACCTCATTTCGTTCTCGTTGAGATTGATGGCAGCCATGACACCAAACAGTTTATCTCCCCGTTTATCCCTTGTTTTCTCTTAATCGCCTCCCTTCCCTCAGCGCCTCTTTGTGTCTCGGGAAGGGAATGGGAGAGGGAGGAGGAGGTGGAGGAGGTGGCGAGGCTGATTGGTACGGTGCTAATTACCCAGCATTCTGTGGCTGTCCTGTGATGACAGGCCTGACACTGGGCTGCTGGGAAATACTATTAGAGGGAATTATGCAATGACACACCAGAAAGATGACAAGTCCTCATCACTGTCCCCATAGATTAATGACTCAGTGCCATTTTATAAAACACTTTAAATGCATTAAAGGCTTAAAAGTGAAAGTATCAGTGTTTTCACAGGGTTTTGGATCGCAAAAGAAACATTTCCAGTTTTTTGGTTGTTTATTTCTAGGATAGTGGAGTGCGATTTTATTGTGGCGCTCACAGGAATGAATTATTTCATCTGAGAGTTATTTCATTTCTGAGAGAAAAAGATAATAAAGGTGGCAGAAGGAATCTCAGAAACTCGACTGCAAATCAAACTGTTTGCTAGAAAGTGAGTGAAATGTCCTTAAAATACTCAATTTGTGTCTTTTCAAAGCAGTAGTTGTGGTTTTAGTGTATGTCCAGGTCAATCATGGTTATTTAGTGGGAAGCAACACATGATCCATGTCCAGACACTTCAGGGGTTTTACATAACCTGCAGCTCAGCACATGATGGTTGTAGATCTGCCAGTGGAGATGGTAGAGCAAGGATGGGGAAGTTGTTGTGATTTCACGGTGTGCTTCGGAAGATTTTCTGTGTTATGATTAAAAACCACCAGGGAGAGATCTCGGTGATGAAGCTGGGGTCTAAAACGGGATAAGTAGGGTAAAGATGAGGTGCTTGAGTTTGGGGAAAGGACACAGACGCGGGGATGGGCAGATTTTTGCGGGTGTACGAGGAGGGGGTGATATTGCCACTGTTTTTGCATAATGTGAGATGAGACCCCATCATCTTTCCTCCCCCACAACAATTTTATAACAGACAGCTAATAAATGTTTCATGGCAGAACAAGCTGCTCGCCTTGGCTTTATTAAATCTGAGATAATAAAAGCAGAGAGAGGGAGGAAAAAGAGGAAGAGAATAGGGGGTCGCACTAGAGAGGGAGAGATAGGGAGATCGGCGTAGACTTTTCTCAAATCGACCGGCTGTATCTCCTGTTTCTGGGGCAACGGGTCCCGCTGTCCCCCGCCACCCCCTCCCCGCTGCTTCCCACTCCGCCAGAGACAGACAGGAAATGAGAAACGGGCAGACAGGATATTGCGTTCTGGTGGCCTGGGGATTAACTGTTTTATCTAAACTAACACACACACGCGCACACACACACAAACACACATCTATATCCTCACACATAGCATTCATTCTTGGTAGCATCAGGTGTAAATCGCACACACACCCAGGGACAGCTATCATGCAAACTATGTGCGCCATAGAGTTTTTTTGTGGTTACTTTAACAGGTATATTCATGTAGGCCCTCAATACAACAGACATGAGTGCTGCGCTCATGTAACGCTGGTCTTATTACCAGTGTGAAGAGTTTACAGTAAGAGTCATGACATGTAACTGTATAACTGTGAGATAGGCTGAGGGGCTGTGCAGAAATGCCTCTTTTCTCTACGCTGCAGGCCCTCATCGCCATTTGATAACAAGTTTAACAGAAGCTTTAACAAATTTTTGCATTAGCATTCATTCAGCAATAGGACTGTTTATGATTTTACTTTATTGATGCATGGATGGTGCACAAATGAGAGCATCTGTCAGTGTTTTATTGATGTTTGTACCCAGGCACCTTATCTGTATTTACACAAACTGTGCATATTTGTGTTTACGTGTGCATGTGACTGTACGTACGTTTGTGTATGTGTGTGCGTGTGTGTGAGCATATGTGTGTGTGACAGTACTCTCTCTCTCTTTCTCTCTCTCTCTCTCTCTATATATATATATATATTTATATACATGTGTGTATTTGTGTGAGTGAGCGTCAGTGAGTGGTGGCAGGGGTAGTGAGTATCGTGGGGAATGCTGGGAGATTTTAATAACACAGAAGCAGTGCAGGGAGATTTAATAAAAGGAGATGATGTGATTACTGAACCCTGGCTCTGAGCCATTTTGCTTCACAGAGCAATATCCGCCCAAAGTGCGCACACACACACACGCACGCACACACACACATTTCAGGCACACGCGCACACACACACACACCTTAGAGATGGATACTGAGCGGAATAAAACTAAAAAGTAAAATTGTTGCATATCATTGTTTCTTTGAGCTCCAACCTCATGAATCATCCAAGGAGTGTAAAAACACAGGTATGGTCATTTGAACACATTACAATAGTCTAACATTTACCAACCAGCCTTAATCAATCTAATACAACCTAATACAACAGCCGTAACATTAATTCTACTTTTACAAAGCTTTCACATTCACAACTTTTGTTGACATGGTCAGACAGGTGATAATTATTCTTTAAAATTATTCTGCTTGTGGTATTCTGGAGTGCATGATAAGTGGACAAACAATCAAGACCACCTCTCGATAAAACACACTTGAGTACACCACCACCACCACCCACTACATCTTGAAAAATAAATATGGAGAACAATCATCACTGGTCTGATCATGTCAACCAAAACTGGAAATTTAAAAGCTTCCTAAAAGTAGATTTTGTGGTACTAAATCTCAGCTTCTATGTGAAATGCATCTTAAACTTAAAAAGAGTATCAACAGTATATCTTTGGTAAATTTTAAACTTAATTCTTTCAAGTAACTCTGAGTTCATTTCACGCAATAGCCATAAAACTAGCACAAAAGTAGACAGGATGCAGCCTTGTATAAGCAAATCTGTACCTGTATAAATATTCACAAGCGCAACATCTATACTTGCTCTGAAACTCTTGTGTGTCTATGAAATGATTGCTTTGAGGTCCATGTAGTCATCATGCTCGTCTGAGTTCAAATGCAAAACTATGCCACATGACACAGCTTCAGGAGATGACGAAAATTCTGTTATTCTGTTTGTATACATTAAAGCAAGAAGGGAGGGGTTGGGTTATCTCCACCCAGTGCTTACAACACATCAGCCTCTACATTTGATCTCATAATCAGTGAGCTTGTAATTAGCTGTGCCCCCTAACCCCTCAGAAATCCATCGCAGGAAACACAGAAGTGCCTGCAGCCAAAGTTCCCGAGGTTTTGTACATCATGAACTTCAGCTCAGACACTCAGACAGTCATCTGTCAGCTTTGTAATTCTTTGTAATTATGTACATACAGTATGAATAGTGCACACATCACTTCATAAAAGAAAAGCCGTCTAAATCCTGTGAAAAGTCCTTTCAAAATAGCGCTTCAGATAACTGGTCTCAATTGTATACATCAGTGGTTTAAATTTATGTTTGTTATACCTGATTTAAAATGAAAGGGGAAAAAAACTAATCTATGTTTTTCATCAGTGTATTGCTAATGTCCGTTTTACTTACACAGCCTCTATGAAAATAGCATACAGATAAAGGCCTTTGCTTTTTATTATCAGATCTTGCAAAACAAATATGACTGTTTGATGTGCTTTTCTATCAAGCTGCAGAAATTCAGAAAGGGAAAATTGAAATTTAATTTGTATGTGCAGAGACACAAAATAATAGCGAATGAAAGAAATCTTGTGTGTGGTTGTTTTTTTCTTTTTATATATTGTCAGAATATAGTGAATAAAAAAATGTACCTGCTCTTGCCACCAGGTTCAAAGTGATTTATTGGAAGCTGCACCCTGGTCAGGGCTAGTGTGAGTAATGCTTCTATTAGAGGGATTAGACTGATCTACTTACAGACCCCCCTCTGAGGCAGTTGCCCCAAGTTGCCTTCATTTGCCATGTTGAGTAAATTCCTACCGTGCTGTGTACACCCTGATTAGGGAGTGTGGGACTTAACCACCAACATCATCGGTCTTATGTCAAGCCATTCTGTGACATTTCTGTTCTCCTCTGCTTTGTCCGTGTTGAAAGGATGCACTGAAGGAGGTGAAGAGTGTTTGGATGGAGCATTAGGCCCGTACAGAGCAGGCAGGAATCCTCTCTTGTGTAATCATTCGTAAGATAAAGCAGACACTACAGCTGATAACTGCAGCTGATGTGCTTTTTATTTTGCAATGTTTCTCTGAGAAAGAGGATAAGTAACTTTTCAACAAAGGTCCTGTAAAAATACACCTGCCTAGGGCAGCTAATGAGGACATTTGTGTTTGCTTTCTGATGTTAAGTTAGCGACACTGTCATTTGGGGAATTTGGGAAGTATTTGGCAGATGGATTGAGAAAGATTAGCTGTAGCAGCTGCGTTTGGGACAAAATCACAGATTAGGAGCTCTAATGTGCAGGCCTGGCTCCATCTTAACACTCCAGATTTGGGCAACAACACCTTCCTATCACTCGGTCAGGGACCACAACACTTCTGCTTCGTCCTTTCCTCCCCCTGTTCACTCCCGTCTTTTCCTCCCTCCCTCTCGGGTCTTTTTTTTTTTTTTTTTTGGTATCTCTGGAGAAAAGATATTCAGGTAAACATGCATATTTCTACCATCTCCTGATGAGGTCCATTTTGCCATCGTTATGTTTGGTGTTGGTTGACTAACCAATATCAGAGTAGATAAACTAATATTCTGTGAGTGTGTACAAATGTCTTAGCACATGCCTGCACGTGTGTATGCATGTGTGTGTGAGAGAGTCTATGTTCTTGTGTGTATGTGTGTTTTAGTGTGCATAAGTGAGAGGAGAGAGATTAACCCCATGCTATCCCCAATCCCTGGTTATGAGTTTACAGCGTCAGTCTGGCCATCGCACTGTTTAAACAACAATCTAATTAATCCTGTCTTTATTAGTTTCAGTGAACTGGGGAGGCAGGCTGGGAGGGCGCAAGGGAGAACTGGGAATGCTGGCAGAAAATACTTGAGAGGGAGGGGGAGGAAACCAAGTGCATGAGCAGGGATTTAAGAGGAATTTAAAGGCAGAGTCTTAGACCCTGTGAATGGTTGTAGGGATGTGAGGAGATGGTGAGGCAGGAGAGAAATTGAAGGGTTCGAACATCTCACAGGAGGAGAGATACAGAAGGACAAAGGAGGAAAGTGGTCATGGGGAAAAGCAATGGACCTGAGAATGACTTCATGTTAATCTTTTTCTCATCGTGTTAAATAAGCACTTATATATAGTGGGTGGGATGCAGACATAGAAGAGTTTATTCTATCGAGAAAATCTCTGCATTTCATGAATTAAAAAGAAAAGGCTCTCAAACAGACAGCTCTTTTATCACAAGCCAACTACTGCCACCTACTGTAATGAAGGGGATACGATATAAAATTTCACACTACTGTTATTTCCCAAAGCAGATGTTCTTGTAGTTGCTTTGTGAATTGGGCGATGTTTATACGACCTTTAATTAAGAGACTGTGCTAATCTGTAGAATCATTTAAACTGATGGTTAATGTGTCAGAGCTCCTTGTCTGTGTGTTTATCTTGAATTAATGATCAGAAGAGCCTTCTTCTGTACTCTTTGACTCCCATAAACAGGGGTGCACAATATTGGATTTTTGCAGATATCTGATTCGCCAATATTTTCCAACTAATTTCGGCCAATACTGATAATAACATTGATATACGCAAACCTTGTTTTTTCATTGTAGAGAGCATCAATAGCACAAATAAACTGTTGATATTTAATGCAACTCTTTTTTGGCTGATAATATGCCAATAACAATATTCACATCTACTGAAACAGATAACTAACTTCTAAAGCAATTATCTGTTGTTATGAAACTGTTCTGATTCTGATCTTTTATTGTCTTGAACACATTGAAAATTTGTTGGCTAAAAAACCCTTAAATATAAAATTGTCTACATACACTTATATCTGTGGGTGTGTTTCAATGTCTTAGCACATACCTGCACTATGCTGTTAATATCAAGCATTATTACCCGTAGCTTCATCTTTCATCAGTGCGTCCTCCTTATGTAAGCCTTTCTGTGCATTTCCAGGTTGTTTGTAAGGAAGTGCAGTGCCTGCCTGCAGGTGGTTGGACGTTCGGAGCTGATAATGCGTGTGCAAGGCCAGGTGTACCACCTGGGCTGCTTCACCTGCTGTGAGTGTGAACGCCGGCTGCAAAGAGGTGATGAGTTTGTGCTGAAAGAAGGCCAGCTGCTCTGCCGTATGGACTATGAGAAAGAGAGAGAAATGTTGGCTGCTATTAGTCCTACACCGACTGAATCAGGTAAAATGTGTCTTGTTATAGGCTGTGACGGCTGAATCAACTCAGAGTTGCCTTTCTTTCCCACATAAATCCAAGTAAACCATTTCTGCTGCATTTAGTATATTTTTAGCATGTTTACTGGAAGTCATATTGGAGGAAAAAGTAAGGTGAAATTGACTATTTTTGAAGCTGCTCCCATTGTTAAGTGCATATATAACATACTGGGTGCTGAGAAGATTACTGGTTCAATAAACACTTAAAAAGTGGAATTATTACACATGATAAAAGTGATCCAAATCATTTTGGACTAATAACAATGATCAAAATTTGCTTTGTCATCCCAAGCCATTAAGCAGAGGCGTATTGCCCTCTTACAAGCAAAGCTAGTCTGTATATGTGCTTTTCACCAAGAATGGTGAGAATTTACTTTAGTATATTAATCTAGAAAAACATCTGAGCTGAAACAACATCTGTTTGCTCTGCAAACTTTCCAGCTAGGATTGTTTTTCCTCATGGTGACATTAGTTTTAAATATGTCTTTTCATCCAGTGAGGAATCAAATCGTACCTGCTGTGTCAGCTGCTCTGACAGCTCTATTGTGTGCTTACCCTGTTCAGTGAAAAGTGAAGACGAGGACGGTGGTGGAGGCTCCGGTGGGGGCAAAGGTGGTGATGAAGGAAAGGAGCACAAGCGTTCCAAACGTCCACGTACCATCTTGACTACACAGCAGCGTCGTGCTTTCAAGGCCTCCTTTGAAGTGTCTGCTAAACCCTGCCGTAAGGTGGGATACATATGCCAAATAAATGCCTGTACATTAATTGTACACTGAGAATCAACTTGCTTAAAGCTATATTTTTCACTATAAGAAATGTTTCAGAAAATAATAAAAACAACTTCATACCTCCAGGTGAGGGAGACACTGGCTGCTGAGACTGGATTGACAGTGCGTGTTGTGCAGGTGTGGTTTCAAAACCAAAGAGCCAAGGTTAGATCTTACATATTTCCTACAGACATATTTTGTTTCGCACATTAACAGAAAGAGAAAAAAATCATCAAGACAGTGTTTGTTATGTGCCTCAGATGAAAAAGATAGCTCGCCGACAGCAGCAACAGCAGCAGCAGCAGCAGGAACAAGAGCAACTGGGAGGGACCCGGAGAGGACCCAGCAGAGGAGGCCGTCAGAGCAATGATGACAGTGAGGGTAATGGCTCCAAGTGCTGGTTCAAGTTCAAGAAAAACATTAGCAGAATCAAATATTTTGTAACGAATAGAACATTTTAACCAAAGGGACTATCATCTCTATGCAGATGGCTCTAGCACTCATGGCATGGATGGGATACTGGGGTATCCTTCTCTGCCACGTCAGCAGCTACTTGCTCTGGATCCGAACATCTATGGTGGAGAGCCTTTTAGACATGGGCTTACACCACCACAGCTTAACAGTGAGCAGCTCCATTCCTATGGTGAGACGGGAGGTCAGACCTCCAAGTAATAAAAAAAAATCCTTCAAAGATAACATTCATCTGTTATTTCACCACTGGCAAAAACTGACAACAAAAATGCTTGACTTAACTATTCAAAATACAGCTTTGTGAATACAGTAAATGTTATATGTCCCACAAACTGTAGTTCACAGGAGCCTTGTAACCTGTTGCTGAAGTATTACACTGCACATTACTCACTTTTTCCTTAGAAACTGGCAGTGGGGGGTAGAACGGCAGGAAATGTCAAAAGAATTTCTTTTTAGTTGCATAAGCTGATGGAGAGATGTCTGAAGAAAGTTTTCAGTTGTCAAGAAGTGGCAAAAATTGAACTGACTTTTTGTGGCTCCTTCAGCTTTTTTCAATAAGAGCTTACTTTCACATTTCTATGTTCCTCTCAACTCTTATGTGCTATTTTTTTTTACCATCTCACGTTTTGCTGTTAACACTCTTGCTCTTTTACACCGCAGACTCAGAGACAGTGTTCCATGACCTAGACAGCGATGGAAGCCTCGGTCACCTTGGAGACTGCCTCTTAGCAACAGGAGATGGCAGTCTCCTGGCAGGGCGAGTGGGAAATCCCATTGACCGTCTCTACTCCATGCAGAACTCCTACTTCACCTCCTGACCCTTATAAACCATCAGCCTTCCCCTTCCTGTTCCACCTTTCACCTCAGAGATGCAGCTAATGGAGTCTGTCCATCAACATGCCTGTGGGACCACTCTCCATGAGAATACCTACACCCAAACACACTTCTGCGCTTTTATCACAGGCCAAAATCATCACAAGTCAAGCATAGTCACAATAACAATTGCAGCAGATTTGCATGATGTTTCCATGACCATCCCCCTGATGAGAATCACATGCTGGAATTACAGACACTGTAAATGTTTAAGAAATGGAAAAGGACCTTAATTTCTCATGTTGTATTTATGTAATGTTCGACACATTTCATGGCACTTTCAAACAAAAAAAGACAATTAAAAGACTTATCAAACGCTGATATGTATATCATGAATTACAGAAGATAACTGATTGTTGCAAGTGAATTCCTCAATCAAGTTATGTGTATTTAGCTTTCTCAGCAGGTCTTATAACCCACGACTTAATTGTTTCTTTTCAGTTTTGGACAGGATTAGTGAGTAGGTATTGTGTTTGAAAGACTGCAGCGTATACAATTTATGTATATGGATCTGAGTTATTTTTTGCTCTCAGGTTAGTGTGTATGTTTATAGAACCTGGGCTTTCGCTCGGGATATTCAGCTGGATAGGATTACAGTTTGACTTGTCCAATGACTCAAAGAACATAGACTCTTAAGAGGTTAAATCTCTCCATTCAGAATCCTCCTTTGAAAAAGCATTCTTAGTTTTTGGTGATGCATGATGTGTTCAACATGGACCAAAATATCTTCTTTTTTTTTTTTTTTTTTGTATTCGGTCAATATTACAGGGTATTTTGAAAAGCCTTAAGTGGAAACAGGGTTATATAGGTTAGTATCACATAAGCCTTTTTTCTTTCATTATTAAATAAAGAAGAAGCAGTGCAGTAAGTGAAGACAGACAGAAATCAAAAGCTCAAAGTTAGGACACTGGGTACATGATGCTATACTCAGAATGTATATGTGAGTATGATGGTGTTACAAGTAATTGTAGTCACTTTCTGTAATAATTTCCTTATCAAACATCTCAGATAAGATGTTGTTAGGTAGATATTTTGTACCTTCTTCTGTGATAATCTGCAAATATTTAAACTGTAGCATGATATTTATGTGTCTCAAGGTAGAACTAAAGGAATAGCCTCTAAGCTGAAGTTGAATAGCAAGTGTTGCAGACAGCATCAGGAGAAGACTCATAATGTGGTACAGATTATAATAGGATTTGGGTAATACTTGTTTCATTTAGGTTCCATTGATCAGCGACAGCTTGTGAAATTCTTTCATGACATTGTGTCTATCTCTGATCCTTGACTCATGGTATTTTTACAGTGATATTTTTGTGAATGTAACTTATTTGTGAGGTATCAGGCAAGTTCCTATCTTATGTTTTTGTTCAGTGACTGCTAGGTGATGTGCTTTGAATGTAATGTTGCTGTATCTTCAATACAATCTGCGGTTTCATCTTTGGAGTACGCTTGCCTTATTGTCTTAAATGTTATAAGTTATGACATAGCTCTCACTTCCTCAACTGGCTCAGACCAAAGATATTACATTTTTTTTTCTCAAAGAGAATTCTTTCCCTTCCATTACCTCCTTCAAAGCTTTAATAACTGAACCAGAAAAGGCCTGTTCTGCTTAGTGGTCACAGGGCTCATAACTCAACATCCTCCCTCTGTCTCTCTCAGTAGTCTTACTGATTAGAAGTCGAGTGCCTCCTCCTCCTCCTGCTTTTCTTCCCATACCCCCCATTTTTTCAGTCATTGACTAGCCAGGAGTGCCTGTGTGGGAGCCATACTCAAATTTAATGCATGACTCAGACTCAAACCTGGAGAGGGCAAAGTCGGGAGGGGACTACGTGCTCAGTAGAAAAAAAAGGAAGTCCATACTGGTTAGGTAATACAATTCTAATGTCAATTTTAATGAGACTGTTAAAGATTATCAATACAAAAAAAATGGTGAGTGATACATACACATATTTATAAATGTGGTTATGAGCAGCAATTAAATAGACCTATCTATATGATCAGCCTTACTCACAGTGCTGTTGCCTGTATCTCCTGTATCTTAGTCAGAGAACAACCTTTAGTTACAAAAAAACAAAAATAGTCACCGTACATACAAGGCTGGCACAAATATGACACTTGCACATCAGTGTTGCTGTGGAGTTGGGAGTCATTTACAGATGATGGAAAACGTCTGAATGCTATGATGGCTGAACCACAGGATTTGTATCTGGAAAAAAACACAGGAGTTTATCAGTTAGTTCAACATTAGTCATTCCCCCCATGATGACTCAGTATAAGCTTCATTCTTTAGATGTAATAACTCACAGGATTTCATAAAATTAAAATAAGTTTCTTAAGTTAATGTTTCATGTACAATGGAAAAAAGGAAATGTACATGTTAGGCCAACGTAATCCATGTTTAACTTAAAACACGTCTTTTTTACTTCAATAATTACTCAAAACATTACTTAAAACATCTGAATTACATGATTATGATGTTTGTTTAACTGCTTGTGTTCCTCTTACTGCTTACATAGAACATATAAATAGTCATTTACAGGTTTCAGTGATTTTAAGTCATACTTTATAGAGAATAGAGGTCAAGTAGAGGGCTTTCCTTCTATACTACAACCACAGCACTGTTTAAAATGTTTGAATCTGATTTTGTAAATCATTCAGTTGAAAATACTGTAAAGAAAACATATCAAATGTTGATACCAAAGTTTTATACCATCAAAAACCAGCCTGAAGGAACATCTCCTAACTAATCAAAATGATTACACAAATTTTTCAATAAATCAGTAACATGACAAGTTTTAAGAAGGGCATTTCTTGAAGGCACAAGTTAGAGGGAGAATTACTTCTTCTGGTTTCATCAAATCCTTGTCAAAGTTGCTCAGTATGTCAGTCTGAATCGTGTTTGGCCTACCCCAACAAGAACTTACCCAGTCCACTGAGGTCCACTGTCTCTGCACAGCCCAGAAAGCGGGCCACATGTGGTGAACAAGAGGTAGGTTGGTGCTGGTTTTCTCTGAGACATTGTTCAAACTCCACAAACTGCTTGGAACAATCCTGTCTGATTTTCTGAATCACTGGGCTATCAAAAATGATAGAAACAATTATTTGTGTTGGAAATAAGGGATACAAACAAGGGTAATAAGCTACAGTGTAAGTATGTAGAAGTAATGTGTAGGTATGTTTACTTACTGTGATGATGTGCACTGTGCAACCTTCATCTTGAGGTCATGACACTTTTCTTGCCATGTCGATGGGTTGGAGGCCACACATGAACCATATGCCTCCATTTCTTTATGGCAATACCTTGCCGTGATATCCATTGCAGCCTGCCTAAATGGAAACAGTTGTATGACAATTATTGTGTGGTTTTACACAAACTGCTCAGAAGGATAATCTACATGTTGAGGATACAAGATATACACAGCAAATTGAGGCAGTTGTGTACTTCTTGATTTAAAGGTAGCATGTCTTTAAATACGGTTCACGTTAACGTGACGTCTTGGTAAATATAACATTGGTACAAGTCCTCTTTTTATTCCTTACATGGTCCAAACTTTCCAAATGTCTTAACGAAGAATCTAATCCAGCAAGGTTAAAGGGTTTGTAGCTAGTTCTCCATGTGAACAACCGTACTGTGTAAGTGGCCGTTCCGTATACGCCCACTAAAGTCCAATTGGATGTTACAATACCACAGAAGAACGGTTGCTCCAATATCATTGGTTTAAACTAGTGTCAATCACTCAGCCCGGCTGCTCGCTTCTATGACGATGAATTTATTAAAGGGGCAGCGTCGTAATCACATATTTTTATGATTAAATGACGAATGCCGTTGTATCTTTAAGACTAAATACTCTTAACAAATATAAAATGACGACCTTACTATAATTACAATTCAAAATTTTACTGTATTTCACAAATTTTAGCATTTCTGGTTCGACTTCTCCTTTCTACGACAACATTACGTGTCCTTGCGTGTTTACGTATGCGGAAGCAACGGTCCGAGAACGGACGATTCAGTAAAAGGGCTCCGAAGGCTGGACTGAGCACAGCTTCGGCTGTGAAATCTCCTTTTTACCGTCTAAAGCACGACGGCGTGGCGGTGGATGATAGAGGGGACCGGAGAGGTGAGCAAACTGCAATGAACGACACCAAGAAAGATGTGAGGATGGCGGCAGACGGGATGCAGGAACCGGGTGAGCTCCAAATGGCCCCCTCTGTGAACCACAACCAGCATGACAGCGGCGCCGGCGATGAGCTGGTGAGCTCAGTGACTCTGTACAGACGACGGCCCCGGCTGCTACACGGCACTGTCCTACCATTTCTGGCTGTTCTTTACCCAGGCTGGCTGTACATATGGTTAGGGGTGTACGGTGCCTCTGAGTATCCGGAGGCAGGCCTTCTGGCGCTAGCTGCTATCGGGATTGCGCACGTCCTCACAGCGCTATCTGGCTATTGGTCCGTGCACGCGCACTGTTGGCTCACTTGCTCGAAGGTAAACATAATTGATAAATAAAATAGAGCTGTGTCCTGCTGATATATGTGGGGGAAACCCTTATTTCTACATGTCCTAATATACACAGAGACCACAGACAAAATCAGGAACTTAAAATTCGGTATGATGTTCATGACTGGCTCAAAGGCACTATGGCAGGGCAAGCTTGGGCTCACATACATTTAATTATCACACAAGGTGAGTAAGCAGTTCTCATGAAGAAAAGAGGCCACATAGCTACATTTTCATTGTGTGTTTGTGAGAGCAAAAATATGTGTCACATGTAGAAACCAATGATAATTCAATTTTGCGAAAACTTTAACAGAAAATGAAAGATATCTTTGTTAAAGTCCCCCACAACAGGAAGTAAAAACCTTCCACTGGTTCACATTACTTCTGTAAACAGAGATCTTAACTCTCTGCTATATATAGCACTACCTCTTAGGCTGAGGACAATACCACATCTGTATCTAGTTGTATTTCCTCAGTCTTGTGGTAGGTGATAGACCTCTTTCCAATATACTAGTTTATACATCAGTATTATATGCTACAACATTTGAAGAAACCACCCCAGTAATAATGATTGTAAACTTCTACGTTTACTTCATGATACATGACAACTAAGAAGCTGCTCAGCATCTGTTTTTCAACTGTTTATATGTGTTGTATTATGAGATCTACATCTTTAAAAAAAATAGAGGAGTTTGTGAAACCAATGCAATCAAAATTATTTATTTGGCAAAGAAAGGGTTTGAACTTCATTGTATACGTATTCATTGGGGAGACCGAAGTTTCAGACTACGGTATGTCAATTGGTCACCTGTTTCTTCTAATTCTCCTCAGGAGCCAGATCCAAACAAGGCCACATTGGCAAAGGTCATACCCACCCCAAACAATGGCTTTGCTGAGCTCGTGGCACTACAGAGAGACCAGGTCTGTCCACACTCTAATGGTTGTTTTCAATTTTGTGTCTTGTTGTCTTTACAAAAAAAAAAGTGCTCCATATCTCACACACTCAGCCTAAAAATTTAATGTTTGGACAAATGTATTTTGGTCTCACCAGCAAACTCCAAAATTGTTATTAAATCCCCTTAAAGACATGTTGTTTTTCAGGAATGCTGAAATGATCTTTTCTTTCTCTTGTTTGACCAACAGGATGAGAACGGGGAGGAAATTCTATCTTTTGAATTTCAAAAGATCCGCTACATATATGACCACAAAGAGAAGAAACATTTCTTCCCTATTGCTTTCCCCATAAATAACCCTATGGGCTACTTTCAGTCTTGGCGAGGGTACCAGGAGGAGACTGAACTCAGAGCTGCTGAAAAGCGCTATGGCACCAACCGTGCTGAGATGGTGGTGCCAGATTTCCTGGAGCTCTTCAAAGAGAGGGCCACAGCCCCCTTTTTTGTTTTTCAGGTATGTGTGACACTTGGTGAAGACCACAGGCCTGTGCAATGAGTGTTTTTTGTGGTGCTCCTTGCTTTTCATGTTGGCACCCATGTTAACAAGACAAAGCAGCCAACATGTCATGCTCCGGCATACAGCTTTTCTCAGTTATTAGTGCGATTGTATCATAATAAATTAACTTTTTAAGTTGTAAAAGCCAACATGATATCCAAGTGATGTAATGTGTTGTCTCCCATATGTATACATTAGGTGTTCTGTGTGGGGTTGTGGTGTCTGGATGAGTACTGGTATTACAGTGTGTTCACACTGTTCATGCTGGTGGCATTTGAGGCCTCTCTGGTCCAGCAGCAAATGAGAAATATGTCTGAGATCCGCAGAATGGGAAACAAACCCTACATGATACAGGTATGTTCAATCAAATTTTACATTAAGTAAGTTAAAAAACATCCTGCTTTGCTTGTGAAATCATACTACATTTATTGGACGTCTTTTGTTTCAGGTGTATCGCAACAGAAAGTGGCGACCAGTATCAAGTGATGAGCTTGTCCCTGGTGATATTGTTTCAATAGGTAAATGCTCTGGCAATTATTATTTACTTCTCACTGCACATCTTAAAAAGGCTCTGATAGTGTGTCTAAATGTGTATTTTCTGCTTCATAGGACGTTCGCCTCAGGACAATCTAGTACCCTGCGATGTTCTGCTACTCAGGGGTCGCTGTATTGTGGACGAGGCCATGCTCACTGGAGAGTCTGTGCCTCAGATGAAGGTTGGAGACAAACTGATTTGATAGGAATACATAGAGCTAAATATGTATAATTGGGTGTGATTCTCACTGATTCTGGGATCTCTCTTGAGTATTGTATTTACTGCTGTCAATATGTGATGTGCAGGAGCCAGTAGAGGACTTGGATCCAGAGCGAATACTAGACCTCCAGACAGACTCTCGACTTCATGTCATCTCTGGGGGGACAAAAGTAGTCCAACACAGCCCTCCTTTAAAGGCCAGTGCTGGACTGAAACGTAATTCCTCAACTCATCCATCTGTTATCAATAAGAAATTGGTGCTGAATGAGTGTGTTTAGCGGTGCATTTATCATACATCTGTAGCATTTAAAACAAGGAGCCTGCTCATGAATCTTTTCCTTTCTGTGCAGCTGTAGACAACGGCTGTGTGGCCTATGTACTGAGAACAGGATTCTACACCTCTCAGGTAAGGAATGTACTAAGCATGTCTGTGCTATAAAGATACTAAAAACCTGTTTTTGTCACGTGTTTTAGTTTTGCCTTGGAAAGCATGTCAGTTCAGGACAAAGTTTTCACAGACTGTATAAAAAAACTTTCTCCAGGGTAAGCTGTTACGCACCATCCTCTTTGGTGTGAAGAGGGTGACGGCAAACAACCTGGAGACTTTCATCTTCATCCTCTTCCTCCTTGTTTTTGCCATTGCTGCTGCTGTGTATGTGTGGGTTGAAGGTGAGGTGCACATAATCAGGTCATTTAGATGTATTTTTGAATGAAGTCACTAGCTGAAAAATACCAATAACAAAACACTTGATGCTCTGTATTATCTCCTAGGTACCAAAGATGCCAGCAGGAACCGCTACAAGCTGTTTCTGGAGTGCACACTCATCCTCACCTCAGTGGTTCCACCAGAACTCCCTATAGAGCTTTCCTTGGCGGTCAACACGTCTCTTATTGCTCTAGCTAAACTTTGTAAGCTCCGTGGTGCTCTCGCTTTGTGATCATGTATCATGGATATTGAGATAAAGCAGCTGATGGTAGTTGCTCATTTAAGTCTCTTTGGTTTCTTTCCATATGCAGATGTATTCTGCACAGAGCCCTTCAGGATACCATTTGCAGGCAAAGTGGAGGTTTGCTGTTTTGACAAGACAGGAACACTGACGAGTGACAGTCTGGTGGTGCGAGGAGTTGCAGGCCTCAGGTAAACCCTGCACACTATACTAAGTTTTTTACCCCAAACCACTAAATTTTGGAAGCACAAAACAAACTATGTTGTTTTTAGTTCAAATTTGCATGTGTGCAGTCATGAAGTAGAGTGATCAGCGTTTGTTTGTTTTTTTTAACAGAGAAGGAAAGGCGGTGATGCCTGTATCTGAGATCCCAGTCGAGACACATCGGGTGGTGGCCACCTGTCATTCACTGGTCACTTTAGATGATGGACAGCTTGTCGGAGATCCTTTGGAGAAGGCCATGCTGACTGCTGCTGATTGGACTCTCACAAAAGGTACAGACATAAACCCCCCACTACATGCATGTCATTGGGCAGCAGCAGGTTGCATTTGAATTTGGTTTCGGTTTTGTTTTAGCCGACATGCTGTCTCTAGAAAATTGCTGTCTTTCAGGTTGCACTAGGCTTTTGCAGTTGTGTTTAGCTTGGTAGTTTAATGTCATGAGTGCAATTTGCTTTGCTTTTGATAGCATTATGCTTAACTGTGTGCCCTTTTGTTTCTATTTTCTTGCGAAGATGAAAAGGTGTTCGCACGGGGTATCAAAACCCAGGGACTAAAGATCCACCAGCGTTTCCACTTTGCCAGTGCTCTGAAGAGGATGTCTGTCTTGGCTTCCTATGAGAAACTTGGGTCCACTGAGCTCTGCTACATTTCAACTGTAAAGGGAGCTCCAGAGACACTCAGAGGAATGGTACATATGGATCCCACCTTGAATATGTGTATAATCTATCATAATGAAGCATATTTTTAGTGTTCTAATCTGGCTTTGTTTTAGTTTGCAGAATATCCAGCAAGTTATGATGAAGTCCACAAAGAAATGTCACGCGAAGGGGCAAGAGTACTGGCCTTGGGTTACAAAGAGATTGGGCACCTCAGCCATCAGCAGGTTCTTATTTGATTTTACTTCTAACTATCAAGGATTGTCTGGTCTGTTAGCATAATCCTGTCTGAAGAGAAAAGATGTCTGTTTGAAACAGAGCTGGAATCTTTGTGGGTCTCACAGGTGCGGGAGATGAGTCGCGATGCACTGGAGTGTGACTTGCATTTCGCAGGGTTCATGGTTGTGTCCTGCCCCCTCAAGAGTGACAGCAAGGCAGTCATCCGAGAAATTCAGGAGGCGTCTCATCATGTAAATGAACTTACAACTCACGGCTGTTCCCAACTATTCAAGAAGGATCATTTAAAGGTGGATAACTCCTATTCCTCTGCTTTCAGGTGGTGATGATCACAGGTGACAACCCTCTAACAGCATGCCACGTAGCGAAAGAGCTCCACTTCATCCAGAAAGAACATACACTAATATTACAGCCAGGCCCCAATCCAGGTAAGATTAGTCATCACTTTGCAGAATTGTAGCTATCATTTATAAAAAGCAGCAGAGGGAATAGTCATTAACATAATTGCGTCTTTTTCTTTCCAGGTCAATGGCAATGGGAGTCCATTGACGGCAGCGTTCATGTACCTCTGCCCCCTCCGAGTCTTTCTTCATTCATACATCAGTTTGACTTGTGTGTAACAGGGGAGGGTTTGGCTAGACTAAGCTGTGACACCCAGCTTCTCAGCAGCCTCTTACCTCACATAAAAGTGTTTGCCCGTGTGAGTCCAAAACAAAAGGTAGGTCCCAGACCAGCTGTTTTATGCAATTTGGTTTGAACTCTTTAATTAAACGTCATCTGTTTGACATGTTGCAGTAAAACAATTAGAGACAACCAGAGCTTAACTGCTGAGTATATACTACTGGCATTTGCAAAAAAAAAAAAAAAAAAGTTCCTTTAATCCTCTCTAGTCATCATTTTCTTTTCTAGGATAAAAACTGCAATGACTTTTATTTGTTCTGTTGCAGGAATTGGTCATCACAAGTCTTAAAGGGTTGGGTTATGTGACATTGATGTGTGGTGATGGTACGAATGATGTCGGAGCTCTTAAACATGCCCACATAGGTAGGTTATATTAACCACCAAGACAGAACGCAGATATCTTCATCGGTAACCCAAGCAGAGTAAAGTGATGATGTGTTTTCTCTTCAGGTGTTGCTTTGTTAGCCAATGCCCCTGAACGTATGCCTGAGAGGAAGAAACGAGGGAGAGAGAAGGAGGTGCCCATACCAGAGCCCAGACCTTTACCACCTGTCAGTTCTGGGGGTAAACTGAGTTCAAGGGCAGCCAGGCAGAGGGTTATGGCCCAAAGAGAGGAGCAGCTTGCAGCTCAAAAGGTACGTGTCCCTGAACTATTTGTATACAGATCTTCTGTAATTATATGTCAAATTTAAACCCCTTACCCAGTTACCCAAGGTATTATAAAGGCATACACTTATAGCCAAAAATCAGATAGTAAAAATGCCTCGTTACTTTCATTGAGTTTTGGTGTGCTGGTCTTACAATTGGTTCCTATTCTGTAACAGGAGAGGATCAGTCAGGTGTTGCGAGAACTTGAAGAGGATCAGGTACAAGTTGTCAAACTTGGCGACGCCTCAATTGCTGCCCCCTTTACCTCAAAACTCTCCTCCATACAGTGCAGTGAGTATGCCTGATTAATAGTGTCACTATACAGAGCTGTTAATAGTTTGAATTCAAAGCTGTCGCCATGTCTGAAAGTTTGTCTTTCTTCCCAGTCTGCCATGTGATAAAGCAGGGCCGTTGCACTCTGGTGACAACTCTCCAGATGTTTAAAATCCTCGCCCTGAATGCCCTGGTGTTGGCCTACAGCCAGTCTGTACTATACCTTGAGGGGGTCAAGTTCAGCGATTTCCAGGCAACATTGCAAGGCCTGCTTTTGGCTGGATGCTTCCTTTTCATTTCTAGGTCAAAGGTGAGGATTTATTGAGGAAATCACAAACCCCTCTTTACTTCGATGAATTGTTGTCCTTGGTCATTTTATTGAGTTGTTTTTCTTCAGTCATGACAAAATGCTACTGTGATAGAAACCAGATGAATAACCCTCCTCCTTACATTTTCACAGCCACTGAAGACGCTGTCTCGAGAGCGGCCCTTACCAAACATCTTCAATCTTTATACGGTCTTGACGGTGCTGCTGCAATTTGCTGTTCACTTCTGTAGTCTGGTGTTCCTTTACAGAGAAGCACAAAGCAGAAGTCCGCCCAGGTGAGTTACAGTAAAACAGAAAAAGGAAGAAAACTAAAACATCCATATTATTAAATTACATTAAAAATGCTTTTCTTCTTTCTTTGTTTTCAGAGAAGAAGTATTTGCAGATCTGTACAAAGAGTTTGAGCCCAGTCTAATCAACAGCACAGTCTACATAATGTCCATGGCCATGCAGATGGCTACATTTGCCATTAACTACAAGGTACTGAGTCTTAATAACGTTAGTATGGGATTTGTCAGTCTTGCAGCACAATAGATTCACAGCATTTCTTACTGTTTTCAACAGGGTCATCCCTTCATGGAATCCTTGAGTGAGAATCGACCACTTCTATGGAGCATTGCTCTGTCAGGTTTAGCAATTGTAGGACTTCTTACTGGTTCCTCACCAGAATTCAACGAACAATTTGCTCTTGTAGATATTCCAACAGAGGTAAGTTAATATATACAGGACATATAGAGGTATATGTATATATTTTTTTGCTGTATATTGCTTTGTTGTAGTACCTGTAGTATTATGTTCTTTATGTAGTAACCTGAGTTCTTTGTACTTCATTGCAGTTCAAACTCATCATAGCCCAGGTTCTGGTGGTGGACTTTGTCGCAGCTCTGCTGGTGGACCGTATTCTACAGTTCCTGCTTGGAAAAGGAACTCTCAGGCTGCCTTCTTGAACTCAGTGCCAACAACAACCACTGCCCTTATCAACCAAACTGCAAAGGGAGAGAGGACTTTGGAGAGGGAAGAGGATTTAAACTGTTACAGCAAACACGGGACAGCTGAGACAGTCATGGTGTACAGTACTGTACACTCTGTGTATCCCTTCCTTCCCTCTGCTGTAACCCTCCTTGACCATCTGTGGTTCTACTCTGTTTTTTCAATTATCTTTGTTTTGTCTTTATAACTCTAGATTATTTTATACAATTCTCTCCCTTTCTTTCAACTGTCATCTGTCTCTCCCACTGGTACACAGCCATGACGACAGCAGTATTGAGTGGAGTGCAAGACTATGTGCCAGCAAGTGTGAAACAGGCACACAAAGAGGGCATTCTCTAAGAGAATTGCAGAAGTGTTTCGGTGTTTTGGATTATTCACCTTGTTTTTGTAAAAAGTGAAAAACATCTCTAACAGACTTATAAATACTTATACAAATTGTGGAGTCTGTCAAATATTCTTGAAAGTATTACTCCAGGGAAGTCTGCTCTAAGAAAGGAAGTGCATGTCAAGCTTGCCCAGAGAAAGGTAAGTAAGGATTTGGGTATAATAATATAGGATAACATTTGTCTTTCCCTGGAGCACATTACACTGGCTGAAACAAACATACCTACTTACTAAGCAATATGTTGTGAAGGGGACTGAAAATCATGAGTTTAAGTAATTTGAGATTCCTGTCTGTGAAGTTGTTCCAAGTATTATCTCAGGGATTAGTGAAATAAAATATTTAATAAATAATACCGCCTCCAAAAAGTGCTTAAAGTCAAGAAAGCTGTTGTGACAAGAGGCTTAAAGTACAGCACAAACAAGTCGCATTTATTTGTACTGCATTCTTCACAAACTGTTCCCTCAATCAGTAAAAACAGAAGACGTGATAGTTTATCCAATAATTATTGTCAAGTGGTAATCCAAAACTTTCCAGGAAGAGGGTGTATATTTCCCATGAAATTGACTCTATCTTCTCATTATAAAGTTTTATGGCTGTTACCTTGTATGAACTAGTGAAAGACATTAGACCCTTGTTTAAATAATGGTAAACTGACAAAAATATAGGGAAAACTCAATGGTTGTTCTATATAGGAAAACTCTTTAAAATGAGTTTTATTCAGATTTACTATTTATAGTGTTGAAAAATAGGGGGAGCATGAAGGGACTGCAAATTTTTTGTGTGTTATTTTTAAGGGAACATCTGTATCTTTCACTTTTATTTTTAAGTTAATACTAGCTAGTTTATACAATGGAGAGCTTCTTTCATTCAGTTGCACTGAGTTAACTTGGACAATAATAAACACATTTCAACTTGGACACAATAAAGGTGAGTTAAATCTCATTCTGAAACGTTACAGATGCAGGCACTGTAGAGTAGAAGTAATAAGATCAACATATAAAATGTTGAAACTGAAAAGTTGTGTTTATATGCCAGCATCATGAGTCAGAACCATAGACTGTATATGGTCAGAACAGTTCGGGGTGGGAGCCTACTCATACACTGTATATAGAATAGTTTATACAGTGATAGTATAATGATGATGATAATATTATTAATGATAGTGATGATGATGATGATGATGATGATAATAATAATAATAATGATAGTGATGATGATGATGACAATATTAATAATAATAGTAAATAGTGATGATGGTAACAATGATAATAAAAATAATAGAATGACGAAATAATAATGATAATAATATGCAGTCTATGGGCCTACTTATCAATGTGTCGCGTCACTTTTTTCCCCATTTAACACTGTTAACCAAAACACTACATTTCCCATGATGCCGTAGTGGAGGCTTTGGGCGCGCGCTGTAAAGTAGGCATTTCAAACAAAAATGGCGGAAAAACATACAGAAGCTGATAAAGACGGGTTCGTACCATATTTTAATCGTTACAACAAACCGAAAGTTTCCAGTGTGTCGAGCATGTGTTAAGCAAGTTTAAATTCTGAAGGACAAATTTGCGATGTATGTGTTCGTTTTGGCTTAAATTGAATGAGCATCGACAAGAGTTGGGTATTTGGAGTCGCTCTGTGGTTAAATCTCATGTCGTGATGTTTGTCATGTTACCGGTGTTTTCCCTGTCGAATATCATTAAAAACTCTCAAGTTTCTCTTACAGTGTCGGAAGTGTCGCTGGCATTGAGAATGAGGTGATTAGCGTTCAGATTACATTAAATAGCTGATAATCAATAATACCACTGATGACTTTTGTCTTGGTTCCGAGCTTCAGTGTTATTGATCTTTGTTTCATATCGGCAACCCAAGGTTAGCTCAGCGAAAAAGACCTCGAAAAGAAGCTTTTCCTCAAGCCCAGATACTTCAGCTCCTCTACACAAATCACCTCGTACCGATCTTCCATCGCCCATCTCACAGACACCTGAGTCTGGTGAGACAGACCAGCAAGAAATACAGACAGGGGGCATGGAGGGGCCTTCAAATCCCACTGTCAGTCCCAGTGCACGGAGAAAGTCCTGGAGGAGGGCGACCATCACCCGGCGCTCTCTTCCTGCCCTTGAAAACCCCTATCAAGGTAAGAACATCCACTGTGTTCCCCTCTGTAGTGTGGGAAAAATGGGATTTTAGTTTCGCAGGTACATGTTAATGTTTTTGTTATAGTTTTGTGCAGGAGCATAGATCCATCCTTGCCACAGCAGGAGAGGTTCGAGAAACTTATCGAGGCTTCAATGAAGGTGCGTTCTGGGGTTAATGATATAATATTATGAACAGAGCTGGCCCAAGCCTCAATGGGGCCCTAAGCAAAATTTGATTTTGGGGCCCTCTAGTTCTGCCAATAATATTGATTGTTAATCACCCACTCCCAAATCTCTTTGATTAACATTCCATGACATGCAAACATACCTTTATCTTGGCGTTTTTTCTCTTCTCCCTCTTTCTTCTCTCTGCTCCTGAAGGATATGTCCCTTTTTGCGACATTGTTTTGCCCCACAACTACCTGCGCTTTGGATGCTCAGTGCACATTGCACAGCAGGAGGCACATAACAGTAGCGGAGCTTTGACATATCGGCAGTAAGAATCATAGGCCTACATCTGCAGCAGCACTAAAATGCTTTTACTTTACTTTATTTTTACAATAATATATGTTTGGTCATACAGAAAGTATCACTCATACAAAAAATAAATAATGTTACTTTTTTTTTTTTTTTCATTGCTCTTGGGGGGCCCTAAGCAGGCACTTAGTTCGCTTATGCCTTGGGCTGGCTCTGATGAAGAAACAATGTTTTCAATATATAAAAGCTATACATCAGGTTACACACGTACATACAATACATTTCTTTTACAGTTTCTCATCTAAATTCCTAATGGATCTAATCATCTCTGCTTTGATCATAGCTGGCAATAGAGAGGACGCAACGGTCGCTGCAGTCAGTACCAAACGCCTTAGTGGAGCATTTTCAGAAACAAGGTTGGTGCTCGCACTAATTCATTTCTTTCTATATTTACTCCTTACCTGAACAGGGTGTAAAAAAATGTTAAATTGTTTCCTTGTTTGTATTCTTTGCCTCCCTTGTTGCAGTTGAGCATATGCAGAAAGAGTTTACCCATCTAGCCAAAGACATACGCAGTGAGTTGAAGGATAATCCTGTCCCTGTTAGTGCAGTGAGGTAATGGAGTTTATTATATTTGATTTATACATCAAATCTATGGTTTTGCTCACTGACTGATGGCCTGTATGTGTTTTTTTTTTTGTCAGTGGTCCTGTTCAAGGAGCGATGGAAAAATTCCAAAAAGCCATGCATAGGTACTCCATCTTCATGTATATTTAACACAAAAAAGTTACAAACAAAAACACTCTTGGTGTGACCCCTCAGTTTCTTTTTCAACCCTTGTTGTGCTTCAGGCTTCAGGCAGAAAGCGAATCTTGGAAGGCACTTTTGGACAAACACCAAAAGAAAGCAGAGGAGTTGGAAAGGTCACTATATGTTTTGTCATTCAGTATTACCACTTCAGTTTGTCAGTTTTGTCTTCTTTTTTGTCAATAACCTATTCTCTTTTTATTGTAGGAAAGTGGAGCAGGGCCAAGAGAAAGGCTTGTCGCTGGACTATACATCTGTGGCTCAGTCTTCACAGTACCATGTCGTTCAGAGTAAACCTGACTACCACAGCCTCCTTTCTAGACAACAGCCGGTTTTTCACACCATGGCAATGATAGTATGTTCACATTTTTTTTCTCATAATTATCAAGAACAACAAATATATCAATGACAAAAATCATTTACTCTCTGTGCAAGCTGATTCACTGGGTTATTATTACTATAAGGCTCATGGACATTGTTTACCCCCCATTACCTTGTAAGCCTGGCAAGAACACTTCTGTGCCAAATTAAAAACTGCAACATTTCAGAGTTAACTGTCATATCCTCTTCATATTGTCTAGAAATAACATTGTGCATTAAAGCATGTTTCTCCATAGTTTATTGCACTGACCATGTTAAATATTAGATGCTATCTTTAAAACTCTTAACATCTAATAAATTCTTAATTTGGGATTTGCCTTGTAATAAATGTGTTTTGTGTTTAGATGGACACCCAGTGCAAGATGGTTAGAGAGCTGCTGTCCATTAAGGAGCACTCCCAGTTAATTGTGAAAGAGACCAGTGGAAGATTGGGTAAAGATCTATCATTTGTTTTTCATGGTTTTTTTTGTAATGGTCTTCCTAAAATCAACAATAATGTGAAATTTAACATTTTGATTCCCTTTCTAACAGTGGCGGAGGCAGGATTCCAGGATATTTCACCTAACGTTGTCAAGAACCTTATGACTGCACCATCATCTTCTACTACTGCTTAAACCACCCTGACAGGAGGCAAGCACAAGCAATGTACTACAGGATGGATCTTAGTGACTTTTATCTACAACTTATCTAAATATGTTATGATCATTCTGCTGCCACAATATTTGACAACATACTGTCTTGGCTCTGTATATATATTTTTAATAACAAAGTAACCCTAATTGTATGTTCCTATAACAAATAAAGCCATTGTCCATAAAAAAAAGGTATGACAATGAAGCGAAGTAGTTCATGTTGTACACCAGCAGATGGCACTCTAGAGCTGTACAAAATTTTGAGGCGCATCATGGATGGCAAGTGTGGATTTATCAAGAAAGCCTTACCCATACCCTTAATTAACTATAACATTTAAGAATGTTAGCTGTTTAAAAAACAACAACTAAATTGTGTTTTGGGAAAAAAAAAACACCTCTTAAACTATATTGTTTTTAATAAACTCTCATATTTCAGTATATTGTTTTATGAAGCCAAGATAGACTCAGTCTGCTTAAAGAAAGTCTTTTTATTTGAAGCAACTGATTGTAGTGACAGTGTCAATGGTTTTAACAAAACACATGTTTAATACATGAATCCCATCAAAATGACTTGGTGGCAAAGCCCTGCTATTTTTCTAGAAAACGCTTTTTTTCCTCTGGCAATAGACCGATTATAAAATATTATTTTAAATTATTGATAAAAAAAAAAGTTGTAATAAATTAAATCAGAACTAAAACCAAAAGTTTATGAAAAGATGAACAGAATAGTTCTTCTCTGTAGTGGATGTGCAGTACATTACAGTACAATTCCATGTAAATACTCATCCATGGCCATATTTGCGCTACTCTCTTTTGGTGCTGCATCTATTTCACTTATCAGTGTCCCCTGACCATTCAGGAGGAGGCCCCTCCCCCCACAGTGACTCACCCCCATCTCTTGCATTTGGCTGGGTCACTGATGCAGAACGAAGCTTTGACATTGTACCAGTCAGTCAAAGCTTTGTTCCATATCACTCATTTCTCTTGGACCCCCCTGTGTTAATAAATGTTCTCGCTTTACATGTTTCACTTACAATTAGTGTGAGAATAAAAACCTGATTACCCCATAGTAGCTACCAATGTAGGCATAATCTAAGCCTTACTGATAGCATCTGTATCATGGGGTATGGAGAATTTAGATTGTGATTGCATCCAAGGGAGTCACTAGAGAGCATAGGACTGAGCAAAGGGAAGACAAGTGGGGTTGTGACCGTGAGAGTTGTGAGCAGAGGAGGATGGTGCACAGCAGGAGAGATCGATTCTTATTTAGATGAAAATGAGGCTTGATGCTTGTGGGGTGAGAGGAGGGCAGCTTTAGCATCCAAATGAATAGAAGTTTCAGAGAAATGTTCCTCAACTGAACCTCTAACAAAAAGACTATAAAGAAGTTTATAAAGCAGTAACAGTCCTTCGACTAGAGCTTTCATCTTAAATCCATAAATGCTGGCTTTGTTGTTACATTTGAATTTCTGCAGCTTCTTTCTTAATATGGTATTGTACTCAATGGCTTTGCAAACTTAAATAACCTCAGAAAACGGCAAGTTAAAAGTTAACTAGAGTTTTGGATGCTGGGCTTTGTTCAAATAAACATACCATTGAAATCACCAGACGCTTGAGTTCTTGTAAACAGACAACTAACATAGAAAACAAGAAACAGATGGATCTTATGTGATAATATTTTAACATTTGACTTGGGTGATATGCCTTTGTTCCTGAGACCTGATGCTTGGCTTTTGCAGGAATAATTCACCAAAAGGGTTAATATTCACAGTTTAACTTAAACAACATGAAAACTGACGTATTGCCTGTACTACATGCTCATGCATGGAACCTCTACTATGAAACTTAAGTGTATTTTCTATACTTTTTGTCTCTAACTTTAGATTGATTGGCTACAGATTGTGGCGGATGGATGTGTAGAGAGTCAGCATAAACCATTGCCAGTTTGGTCCTACTCTCACATGCACACCCATCATCTTTTCTCAGTACAGCAAGACTGGCTGCAGCTCTCCTCCACATTCATTCAGCCAGCCATTCGTCTTGGAAAGCTGTCTCTCTGATCTGAGTGATAAACTACAGCAAAAATGCCCAGTTTGCAAAAAACAAGGACACTTGTTTTCAATCTGTGCTGTCAACATTTTCATACTGAAAACTGATGGGATGTTTCATTCATCAGGGGTTTCTGCCAGGATGATATTCTTTGGTTAGACTGTTTTGCTTTGATACTGTTGTTGAAACTGTTAGATTTTAGGAGTATACCACTGAATTGCCTTTTAGGCAAAGGAAAAAAAAGTGACAAAAATTGCACAGACAAGAAGACAGCGATTATTTGTGTCCTGCATTTTTCTGTCCATCACATATAATGAAGGGGGTGGGAGTGATATTTTTATATGCTTATTTAAATGTCCTAAAAATCTTTTAACCCTAGAACACTATCGCCGTGATTATCACCCGACCAAGCATGTTTATGTGATTTTCATTATACTGCGTTTGTCTGAGTATCATGGGACCCTGGGTAGCTTCAGCATTGCCTTTGACATCTTTAAAGGCATATTTGTTTCCCTGATCCAAAACCTGCTTTTTCCTACAGGCACGTGTTCAGGTGATTTTCACCCGGCAATAGAGATAGAGGGTAAAGTGGGTTTAGGTGGATTTGATAGCTGCATGTAGGCGAATAAGGTCAGTAAGAGTGATCCTGGAATTTGCATGCTATCTTTATTTAGTGCAGTGGTTATGAATAACTATCACAAAGTTGTGATTTTAAGGGAATTCATATAGTGATAAGAAATATTTTAGTCAGCTGGTCATTTTCACTCACTCAAAATATGTCACATTTTGGTTTTCTCCCCTGCAGCTGTTATTGTGCCAAGGACCCTGAGTCTTCACCAGGGAAGACTCACATGCCCCAGGAATGGGTGGAAAAGAAACTAAGTTTATAGTTTCTATATAATTTTTTAAGGAATTTTTTGTTCATGAATACCTAATTTCAGTTATTTAGCAGTTCTATGCAATAATAATAATAAAAAGAATAATTGTACCAGTTGAATAGTGCATAATAGATAAAGATACACATGAATGTAAAGAAGTGACTGTTATTTAGGGAGAGAAACGGTGAGGGAGGGCTGGGGTGGAGAGTGTGAGGGTAGTAGGGATACAACTCAACTTACCCCGTGTATGGGGTAAGTTGACCATAGGAGACAACTTTTTTTTTGGCACGCTATATTATCAAGACAGTTATGTTTACACTTATTCTGTTGGTTTTCAGGGATGCACAACATCTTGAAATATATGCAGATACACTAGTTAGAGACAAAACTATGATTGCCTTGATGTAGTGACCCAAAATATGAAAAATGGCTCATCTTACCCCACTCTCCCCTATTTCCAAAGCAATCTTACATTTAGTAATGTGTAAAAATGCTGTCATCTATCCACCCTTACCTTTATATAGATCTATACTAGAACCAACTATCAGCCCAATAATGCTCATGACGTCAGGAGCTGTCCGTTTGTTTAGGCCAATTAAAAGTCGGATTGTGCCACACGGTCATATTGTGCGTTTTGAGGGTTTAAAGGAAGTTTTGTTGTAAATGAATTTTTAACGCATAGTTACCTACATTAAATTGGCAAATACAGCTTTTATTTGTATTTTTTTTAAGATACCTGTCTCTTTTAAGGTGTCTATTGAGTAAGTCGACCGCGAGCATAATGCTGCGCGTGTAATGGGCACCGCCACGCACACCTCTCGCGCAGCTCGAAGCACCCCACATACTCGCGCGACATCAATAACAATGGCAAACCGTATGTGTGTTTTGGTAGAAGACCTGTGTTTGAAGCTGGATGTTATGAAAGCTTAGTCGCCGTGTTTTAGGACTCGTTTCATTTAACATTTCGATTTCTGTTCGTCCAGAGAGAGAGGAGCTCTCGTTTATCGGTATAGTTTCCATCCTCACATATTTTGTTGAAAATGTGCGAGGCGCTGTTGGCAAGCTCACACAGTCTGTGCATGTGTGTCCCTGCTGCTTTTCTGCTGCTGGGCTACAGCTACTAACCTAGCTGCTGCTGCTGCTGCTGCTTTTTCACTCGGTGGTTAGCTAACGTTAGCCTAACCGCGTTTATTGACTTCAGGGGGAAAACATCCGCGAATGTAAAGCGTGCGTCTTTAATCGTGTTCGTGACAGCCGCTCTTAACTATTCCTCAATCTTTCCTGTCGGGTTATTACAAAAGTGTTGTATGATTTGTCGCAGAAAATACTTTGCTGGCTAGCTAACAGGCTAGCTATTTGTGTGTATTCTTCGACTGAGAAAACGGCGAGTTTTCTTTGAAAGTATGGATGACCAGACCAGGATGATGACGGGTCTCACCGGACTCGGTGGACTACCACAAGGCGATGTCGGCGACCCAGACTCGGTTAGGAAACAGCAATCCCTCGGTCAGCCTCAACAAGACATAGGGGATATCCTACAGCAAATAATGGCCATCACCGACGAAAGCCTGGACGAAGCACAGGCCAGGTAAGGCAGGCAGGCGAAGAGCCATTTTCCACAAGAAGGCTAAGCTATAGTGTGCATTGTATTCATCTGATTTTGCTTAAGGAGTGGAGCTTTTCGCAGAAATACTGGTGTATGGTTTCCATTATTTCCAACATTGTGTTCATAACTGTTGCGCTGTAATTCACTCCCACTAAAAAACAACAACTGTATTTTGACAGAATAACAAACGCATGACACCACTCTTGTTGCATTAGTTTCAGATGAGGTTCTTTGTTGCTAAAAAGCCAAAAGTACGCCTTTTAAGTGAGGAAATGTACTCTTTATTGAAAGTATCCCAATCTTAAGAAGGTTTATCTTTGACTGGTTTTGTTGAAAGTTTCATCTAACTGTGTAAAAAATGTCAGCATTAATGACATGCATCTAACAACTTGCTGAGTACAAGAGCTATTTTCGCGGAGCAAAGGTTATCTGGGTTGAAAAACAAAGTAGTTCAACGAGGATAGAGCTTTTTATAGTATAAAATCTTGTGTGAAAGATACGTATCTTATGATTTTTATTCCTCTATGTCCCACAAAGTTGGCAAACTTCCTTTTTGAACTGATTTGTAAAGCTACCAAGAACCTCCCCAAAGATATACAATGAACTTAAAGAGATTATTGCATGGTTTATATGGAAAAACTAATAACATTGTCTTTAAAGCTTCTGAATAGTTCCTAAATATGTAAACTGGATTTGCATTATTTCAATAGGATGTAACGGACATGGTGCTACACCTCAAATATGAGTCAATAACACTAGTCATTGATATGTAAATTAGGGTGAAATTAAAGAAGATGACTCAATTGAAGAGTATCTGTGGTGACAGCAGTCATTAATATATTGGACTCTTCATGTATGATCATGTTTGAGTTTTTTTTTTTTCTTCTAATATATATATATATATATATATAAATATTGTTGGGAGTGTGCCCTGTAGTGAGCAACTGAGTCGCACTCACTTGCCATGTGGCTAAAGGAGCATAAGGTCAGTTTCAGAAGGAGCGTCAGTATTATAACAATAGACAACCGTCCACTGCAAGACTGTGGCCACAGTGTGATGTGTCATTAGCTAGTGATTTTCCACCCAACATTTGACCACCTGGTTCTCTTAATTAATTCACTCCTCTTTCACTCCCTCCCTCCCTGGTGTTCATCCTTTTCATTGTGTGCTGGGTGCAATCAATTCTCCTATAATGTGTACGCGAGTGCAGCTGTCCGCAAATCGAGTTTCTATTAATGAGATAGTGGTGAGGGGGAGGGATGATGCTACACCCGCAGCCTATGAATACTGGGATATTACCATTTCTTTGGTACAGTTTGAGGACTTAATTAGGATTTATTTGATTGAGTGTTTTTGGTTTTGAGTAGTCTTGTGAAAGTTATCATTTTTTCTTTTAGGGCTAAAGAACCAGACTGTATTGTATGATCTGTGCTGAATTTTCAGTTAAGGTTGTACCAGCGTGAATGCAAGCCATTTGAATCAAAAAGCCAAATATAGTCAAATTATGTAGCATGCTTTATATCAGCTGATAACAGGCTAATACGTAGGTGTGGCTACTTTAACTGTGAGTTGTTTAAGTTGACATACGTGTTTATTGACTCTCAAGTAAGGCAACCCTACCAAAAAGTAATAGCAGTTTTCATGGCACAACTCATTTGTGGAAGAGTATTCGGGGAATGTAAATCTTAATCCTTGATGCTGTAGGAAGGATGATCAATAAAGATCATGTTGATAAAACCTTCACCCATTTTCAACAGTACTTATTGAGTATTAGCTGATCCACCACCTAGTATTGAGATGTTATCTGTTTGCATATTGCCTACAAGGTTCAAGTTAGGTCAAAGGTTGAACCATTACTAGATTTCAGGTCTGTTTACAGTTAGAAATAGGTTAGCAATACAAGTAATTTCAACAAAGTCTAGTCTTTATCAACATCATGCCCAACTCTGATCATCATCTTCAAACCCTCAGATGGATATCATGTGCAAATTGACATGTGAGGTGTGTTGCATGAGCATAACACCCTTGTTGGTAAGGGTGGCAGTGTGTTGGGATGGGGAGTGGCCAGGGCAGCGCAAGAACTCGGTGCTGCAGAGTACACTTCCTGCGCACCATCCGCCCTCATCCTCTCACCCTGTCGCCATATGTTCAGATGCTGGCCAGAGGAATCGCCGGCGCATTGGGGTGGATCAGACGACCCCACAGAGGGAGGGAAAGCAGGGGGGGGCATGGCAGGGGGTGGCCTGCCACTCAACTTCCAGCACAGGTCAGTACAGGACCGCATGAGCACCTCCTTCTCCCCCTCCTGCTCATTCCCTCCATGCTGATGGCAGCCCTCCCCCAACTCAAATCCAGCAGTGATAGAATTGGTGAACAAAATTACTCATTAAATCTTAGACACATTAGTCTGAACTACATTCTGCCCCATTATTCTCACAGAAAGGCAGTCTTCAGGATACATTAAGTATTCATACTATTTGGTAGCCCCCTCATTTCTACTGCTGTGGACATTCACAACTGGAATTGCTGTTGAGGTCAGGCATAGCCAAATCATATTCATCTGTGGTTGTTTTTTAATGTGCATTTGGCAATGTCTTTGAGATGCTTTATTTCAGGGGATGTCCAGGTTGCTCTTGTTTCATGATTTTCAAATTCATGCTCAAAACAGAGGCTTCATGATGGTTTTGTGTCAATTGTCACTTAGCTTTATCAAATATGTTTCCTAAATCTGTACTGAATTTGCGTTTCTGAAACCTGTTTTGTAATAAATGATGCACACTCATTTTAAAAATTTCACGTTACACAACAAATGTCTTTTATTCTGTGTTAAAAATATGTGAAGAGGTCAGATATCCATACAAGAAAATTATATACAGCACTAGCAGTGCGATTATGGCGCTTGAAGGAGTTTCTTAGCTATGTCTATACACTGACATATCTTGTGTGTTTGGTCATGTTGGTTTGCAAAATGTACCTCATTTGTTGAAAAAGAAATCTGTAATTCTCCGTCCTTGAGTACTAATGCACCCCCTTATTTTGAAAATGTATGTTATCACAGTTCCTAAGTAGAAGTCAGTCATTCAGGGTCCCATTTTCACACATTACGTGTACATGAAAGCTTTTTGGGTTGCAGGAGAAAACATTTGAATCAGAAGTGAAAAATGTTGGTGCTGTGGTGTTTTTATCAGAATCAGAATATTTATCCCTTGGGGGAATTTCGGTCATTACAGTATTACACTTGCTCTTGAAAAGAAGGAGAATAGTAAAAGGAGTGAATAAGAATAAATAAGAAATTGCAATGGTGAAGAATATTAGAAAAAAAGCTATTTTCGAAGCGCAGAGTTTAAAAAATAAGTTTTGTACAAGCATAGAGTAGGAAGAGTGTACAAAACCAGTTTGCAGCATAGGATATTGAGTATTATAAAGTATTGAATGCAGTAAACTTTAAGTTATTTAAGGAAATCAAGAATTTCTGAAAGTAATTTTAAAGTAACCCTCCTGACCAGCTCACTATGTTTTTCCGTATTGTATGAAAAATTGACAGCTGTGTATTAATTGTATAGGCTGCTGCTCGGTGATCATGACCTTGAGGTTTGGCATCATTACCTGTCCCATAGTACAGCGCATCCAAATGACAACATTGCTCTGGCTAGTTCAGACTGATGCTTCAGGGATGTTTTTTGTGCTGACAAAGGCATTTTGCTATTGACGATGCCTTTTAAACAACACGGCTCTGGCTATGTTGCACTGAACTCTTGAAATACTGTATGCACAACACATACAGCTTCTCTACCTGTTGTGAAGGTGGGGGACATGGAATGACTTCAGATAGAGGTCTGTGTTTATTGTAATCTTCCACGCTCTCCCTTTCTTATTCCCTCTTCTCTCTTACAGGAAGCATGCCTTGAACTGTCACAGAATGAAGCCAGCCCTCTTCAGCGTTCTCTGTGAGATCAAAGAGAAGACAGGTGAGTTTCTTCTTCACTCGGTCTTTTGTATTCTCCAGTTTGCACAGCATCTAACCTAGTGTTGTTGAGAAGTAGTGTGTCTTTAATTCAGTTTCCCTGACACTTTTTTTTAGTTTTCTCAGTCTCAAAAGAGAATTCAGTTGATTTTATATTGATGGCGCGTGATGAAAAATTAATCTAGTTGAATGTTCGGTGCGAGTAATGGATTTGGGATTATTCCAAATATACACCACTGTGTTTTGTCTTGGCCAAGTTATTGCAGCAACTTAAACTGTTTCTGGCCACTGTCCAGACGTCACACTGGCACTGCTAAAACTGAATTTAGCATATTGGTGTATTTTAATCTTGAGTTTTAACTTTCTGCAGGACAAACCAACAGTCCTCTGCCCATATTTATATTTTTTAGGTTTTAGTTCAAGCACAACCTGGTGTACATGAAGGGAAAAACATATTCGCTTGCTATGACAGTTTATTTCTGTCATTGGTGGAGATAAAAAAAAAAAACTACAAAATTATGCTACCAGAACTATATTTTACTTGATTCAAGCAGAGGAATAAAATCCTTCTGACATGAATGTGTTGGGGCCTCATCCTCCAATTCACTTATTATCGAATAATATGTTTGATTTGTTTTTCCATTAATAACTTAGTAGTAACTTCCCCAAAGAATAGAAAACATGTCAACTGTATTTTGACAGTTCTAGACCAGATGTCTTGAGGTTGTTTAATCATAAAAATCAGAGGTCCAGAATGAAAGAAATACAGTAAAATCCCAAAACTACTAATAGGGTCAGTACTACCACAAGCTGTTTTGAGTTTATCCTACAGAAAATTCATGCACAGCAGCTGACTGAGAGCACTAGATATAGGAAACCCCTCATAGGCTATTGCTGTATAGTTTAACTGATACCCTACTTCAGTACTAAAGGCTGTTCTGCCCTCACACAGTGCTAAAAAATACATATTCGTACATTCACTCTGGAAAAATTCTAGAAAATTCCCAGAGCTTTGCCCCCATTATTGACCTTATTTCACTGTTCACACATGCCCCCACACAGTGCAAAGTCTTCCCTGTTAGACAGAGACCATGGGGGGGGATCTCAAGGGACAGTAATAGCATCAAATAGACTCTAGGGTAGTCCCACTCATAAACTTTTACATTCTTTCCCTAGCTCGAAACAACAGAATTGTTTTAATTTCTTATTCTGTTTATTTTTTCGTCAGTCCCTCCACAGCTGTGTTATTTATTATTGTCAATTAACTTATATTTTAATAAGTTTGTACAGAGTCATACACTTTGACTACAGCCCTTGCTTTTATGACAATACTGCAAGTAATAGAAAATATCCACAGTATCATACTGGAGAGGAGCGGTAAGCATAAGGCAGTCTCGGTATCTTTCGTTGTCATTTTTATTTCATTACATGTTGCCTTTTTTGAGTTTACACTGGTGTTCTAGATAGTGTTCCCTATTAAAATGTGTTAGCAAGTGGCTCTGCTCATGCACTAGCCATGATCCACAGAGTAGAAGACGAGGATGCGGTAAAAATTGAGTATCATATCTCTCTTTTTGCTGAAGGATTTTTTTCACTTTCATTTTTTAGACTGTTTTACAAGTTTTACACAAGTGCACCTGTGTGCAAAACTGTAGAACTGCAACAGCTAGAATGTGCCTATATGACAATTTGTATGCAGGGAATTTTCCTGAAGATTTCCTGCTGTGTTCTCACATTAGCTCACTCTGATTTTTCTCTGAAATTATACTCAGGAGCTGGCAGGAAATATTTATGCTGGGGTTGTGGTATAACACTCGACTGTTTTGGTTCACACATGCAGCTCGGCTGAATAAGATTCTGCTTGTCTGGAGAGGGCTTTAGCAGAGGCCAATTCTGTTGGGAGAATTAATTTCTGAGAAATTTAGTGTGTTGTCTTCTGCAAAACACAATCTAGAAAGCAGAATATATCTCGCCACTTCCTAAACTGTACTGGAAGTAAAGAAATAACTATCAGATGTAAATTATTGTGAATACATCAGGATGTTCTTGTTCAAAACAACTACTCCAAGTACACATACTGGTTTTCTCCTGCTGTTAGCGATTTGAGTCAGCTATCTGACATATTCCAGTACGGCTCAAAGGTGCAGGCCTGGGATGGATGACAGATTTATGGTTATGGTAATGTAAATGGGATGCATTTCTTATCTCCTCCTTTTGCCATTCCTTCTGTGTTCTTGTCCTTTCTTTGTGCGTTTCCCTCTTACACTTGCTGTGTGTGCCTCCTAATAGCAAACCTCTCTTGTTCAAACACAATTTGAAAATGCTGCACTGCTGCCTGTTGTGGCCCTCTGTCAATAATGTATTATTGCTCTCCAGTGATTGGACCAAAGTAAAGGCTAGGCTTGAGTGAGTGGGGCAGGGTACACTGTTTCCCAGGCAACCAGTGGTCTTATTTACCCTAATGCCATTCACTTTGATTTTCACATTTAGTCCCCCAGTAAACCAGAGAGAGGGTCTATGGGTACTCATACATACAGTAAGTTAAACAGAGACAAGGCGTGGAGGCTGGTTAACAATACATCTATACATTAAGTGAATATGCCAGCCATGTGATAAAAAGATCTTTGCCTGGAGTCTGCTGGCCATCTGCCACACAGTGCCCCCCTAACTACACTGTGTACCTGCTTAGGCATTTTCTCTGCTACTCCATCAGACCCCCTGCAGGCCCCATTATGTGCCTGTGGAATTTGAATTGACTTCTCTTCAGTGCAGCTTGTAGAAGACCCAATCTGTAGTCCTCTAGTATCTCCACAGATTTTCTGCAGTCTTTTTTTTTTTCCGCTAACAAACATGTACTTGTGTCGGCACTCCGCCATACACACTCTCTTTTTTTAAGACGTGCACGCGCGCACACACACACACACACGCACACACGGCGAACAAGGATAAAAGCTAACCCAGGCTTGGGTCTACTCCTACTGCCTCGGTCTTGTCCTCTCCCCCTCCCTCCTGATGCCTCGCTCCCATTCTTGAAAGAGAAGACTTGCTCTGAACTCAGGGCTTTGATATGGTAATGTAATGGTGGTGGAGGAGGGGAGGTGGGGGCATGGGGGATGGGTGGTGAATTCCTCTGAGTGCTGCAGTTCGTTAGATTGTTTTCATTGTAAAGGAAATGTTCTGCACTAATGCCAGTACCCCTCTCCTTCCACCACCTTAAAACACCCGGTTTTTCAACGCTGCATAAACTGTCCTTAGCGCTCATTTTAAACATCGCAACCATCTGCTTGAAATTCAAAACTTCTTAATACTGGAGATAGTGTACAGAAAAAAAATGAAGCACTTGGAGAGAGATTGGAAATGATCAAAGTTGAGAGCTGGTGGCTTTGCTTCAACTCAGTTCTGTTCTCCCTCACTCTCATGGGTATTTGCTGTAAAAATAGCTCTTGGTGCAATGGGACAGCTTATGCCAAAATCTCTCACAAGCCACTGCAGTTATCTCTGATTTTTTATTTTTTTCAAATGTAGTTTAGTTATGTTTGAGGTGTTTCTCCTCCTTATTTAAATGCATCTCCTGTTCTTCACACACAGCAACAGGGAATGTGTCACTCACTCTGTTTTGAATCAGTGTTGTTCAAGCCTGGATGTCACTTGTTTATTTTTTGAGAGAGTAAATGAATACAAAAGAAAATAGAAGTGAAGTGTTTCTCCTATTCAAGAGAAAGTAAAGTGTGTCGCAAGTCTGTCCCTCTTCTTGGTGAAGTTAACACCATAACACTTACCGGTGTCACCTCCCACCTTGGTAAGTTGTCAAAAACAACAACTTCAGTTGGATTGTAACACTCGTAGGAATAGAGGCAAACTGGCTATCACCCTACCTAGATACTGAGGTTACTGGCTCTGTGTTGCCTGTTACTGTCAAAGACTATTGCCATCTATGTTATGACCAGGAGTGTGTCTGGGGCAATAGTGATTACTCTCTGCCTTCAAATAGTGCAATTCTTTTCTGTATATTGTGATTATCACCTGAGTTGATAAAATCTGATATTTGTCTTGATTATTTGAATGACACAGGAACGATTTGATTGAAATCTTGTTGGAGTCCTACAGTTTTCTCTATTTGACTGTGATCTTCCACCCATATTGTGTTAAAATTTTATTTTCATACCACCCACTAGCAGCAGAGACAAACCAGTTTGTTTGCACAGCAGCCAGCAGTGAAACTAATCCTGACATTGTTTTATTTACAAGGTGGATGAATGGTGAGAATGCAAACTCATGTTGTTGCATCACCAGTTTTTGCTGTATTTCATTGACAAAATTTTAGTGCAAAAAGGGGCATTTTTTAAATCTAGACTAGTGTGTTTTATCTTTTACCTTTTATGGATTTCAACTGTCCTGAGGAAGGATGTCAACATGAATCTCTGTTTTCGGTGGCACTTGTTTGGCTTCATGGTGTTTTGGTAGCCTCTGAATCAGTGAAATACAATACCCTGATTGAGTGGTTGAACATTGTGTGTCATTTTCACTAAGCAATACTGATCAGGTGATATCATACGTTGTTGGAGTTTTTTGATTGATAAAATGAAGCAGTAGCTGGAATTAAATGAACATTTGATCAAATAGATACAGACAGAAAATGTGCAGTAACATCTTACCACAAGGGATATCTTGATATCTGCCCAGCCATGTTAAATAATATACATGGTAAAAGTCACAAAACAAAAATATCTTGTATAACATAATATTCAAATCACACAACAGTCTTACATACCTAGATTTCCAAACCAGCATCAGAATTAAGATTAAACTGCATTATTCTGTACACCATAATAGAATTTATTTTACACACTAGCCAGGAACTGTGTTAGATTTGACATGCTGTCATTAACCGTGGGGAGAACATGTTATCATTTAGTGAAGACAATAGTGACATGGGCGTTATGAATAAAGGCATCAGCTGATTCCCATCGATTCAAAATGCCATTAAATGGTCCTCCTTTAAACTGGCGATGCCATTTGACTGCACTTGTTTTCTCTCGTGAAGCAGACAATTGCAAACCCCTATCTACTGTGTTAGAGTATGACAGTTTGTGATAACATTAACTGTTCTTTGGATCTACTGTGTGATAATAACAATAAATGATAAAATACTCTATGATCACCTGGTAGTTTGTTGGATTAACTCAAATTGTGCATCGCTGAAAGTTTTCCCTTTATACTTGCTTTATCATCACGCTTGAGTTTCTCATCAGCTCACCAAAAAATCTTTTGGTGATGCTGGTTGGTGGTTGTCCTGCCACTCAATCTTTTTTTTCTCCACCCTGCTCCCTTCCAGAGGAGAATGAAAAAAAGATAGTGTCTGTGTGTGTGTGTGTCGGGGGTGGGGATGTGGGGTGCAGGAGTGATACAGGGAGATTGATGAGGCAGTAAGAGCAGGAGTAATTACTCGGTGTCCATTCCCCAAGCCAGATTGGCAGACGGCTAATATCACACAGACCCCTGGCCCTGACAGACACCAATGCCCCCCCACCCCCCAACTCAAACTGTGGAGGCAGAAGACCCCAACCTTCAGCTTAGGCCTAATGGTGTGTGGGCTAACTGATTTCCCCATGTGGTATTATCCCGCAGGAACCTAGGTACTACAGAAACTGCTGTCTGGGGTGTTTTTTTTCCAGATGAAATGCAGAGGAATTGTTCAACTTGCTGCAGTATGGTTTTGTCCATCATTCACCAGGTGTGATGACCTGATTATTTCTGTGGTCCAAGAGCTGTTTCATGTGGACAACAAAGTTTTTCTTTGAAGTCTCGAGTGCTGACATGCATTCATAGCAAGAATTGTCAGAAAGAAGTGGTGGTTACCTCAGCATGATTGTGCTTTCTGGGTTTTTTTAGTCTAATCAAAAAGTGTCTAATCAGAAAGTCTCTTGGAAGAAGGGAGCAGACCCTGAGTTGTTGTGAGCCAAGCTTTTGCCCCTCTGCTTCAAAGATGAAAGTAGAGTTTTGGTAGTTTAGTTAACATTGAAAGAAATCAATCATTTGTTTCGGTCAGATTTTGTCAATCTTTCAAACAAGGTGTCATGCAAAACTAAATGACACTCAGAACATAGACTCAAACATAGTAGATACACTAATACACCACCAGTTCAAAGCCAAGAACAAGGAAAATCCTGAGTGACCCCTCAGTGTTGGCCATGGATCATGCTAAGGGCAAACTCTTACCTTTTCATCCTATGAGCCGTCCCTCTCAGCATGTTGATGCCTTTCACACTGTTTTTAGGCTTTTGCTTCTAAAGGAAGCCAGCATCTCCTTAATTAAAGATATGTAAATGTGGTCTCAGCTGGATTGCATTAGTTTGGTGGCAGTGGGTTGGAAGAGTGTCGGAGCCGAGCTCCTAATCCTGACTAATTAAGGATTAATTACAATTGATGGGAGCCTTCCACCCCTCTGCAGCAGTGCACATTGCTGTCTCAGACAGTATGTTTGTATATTTCACATCATGTAATAAATGCAGGGGAGAGATGGCAACATGAGAAATGGCTGAGGAGGGGTTCCTAGCCTCCCTGAGATTAGCAGAATGCTTAAGGTCATTACAGATAGAGAAAGATGCACACTCCCTCTTCAGGTTGTGATGCCCAACATCAGTATAGATGGGAAATCAAAACATTGCTGAGTAATTTAGAGTAACATTTACAGAGGAATGTTTTATTTAATGTTATTGATAATTGTGTTATAGCCACCGGGTTAGCACAGTCAAATAAAAGTCCCCTGATGTCCTCAGTACATTGACGTCATTCCTTACTATCAGTTAACGCTAACCCAGTATATAATACCTGTTTGGACAGATCATGGAACATCAGCTCTTTCTGGCAACATCTGACGGTGTCATAATGCTTGTTCACTTGTTATAAATGGGCACTGCTCTTCTGATCTATCGCTTAATTGCCACCTAATTTGCATAACAGTGCAAATTAACGACCTCTCAAATGAGCGTTCATTTTTCACAAAGTCTTTAGGAGCTCCTTAAGAGTCTGTGCTAATGAGCACAGGAGGCAGCTGGCCTGATGAGAGTTGACTGGGGGAAGATCCTAGCAGAGCTTTAACAAGCCTCCTGCTTAGGTGCTCTTTGTCATCTTCCTTTTCCTCTGGTGACATTCGGGATCTTTCCTCTGCTTCCACATCCGTTTTTTGTGTGCCCAACTGTTCTTTTCTGAGGATATGACGTTAAATATTCAATCAGGAACCCCATTGTGCTCAATAAAACCTTTTAGACACCGTAGTTGGGCAATTGAGCCTTAATTGATTTTGCTGGAAAAAAACTTTATTGCTCTGTGAGCCAAAATGGAAAAAAAAACACTGTGGTTTATGATTGTAGGCCAGTGAAATGTTCCCAATAAAAAAGCACTCAGATTTCGTTTCCCAGGTAGGTTTTTAACCTGTAACCTCCTCACGTCTCCCTGCCTACTCTTTTCTGTCATTTTTTTGCCAAAGTAGATGCAGGCAGATAAAACTAATACTGACAAATAGTTCATTGAAATATCACTTCATCTAAGTTCTACCTAAATTAATGAACTTGCAAAACGTATTAGCAAGTGTGTCAAACACGTGTATAAATTAAGAGCATTTAACAATAGTTACATATCCTATTTTTACCATTTCCCTCTTAGAGTGCCAACACAAGTTGATCCTAACCATGTGGGAGTGTGTCACAATGTATTTGTCCGTAAGCGATCAAACGGGTTATATTTAGTCATCACTGGGGTGTCTGAGCCTCTTTTAGTTAATTAAAGACTGATTAATGATGTGTTGGGCTGAGGTGTTGCATTTGCCCAAGGTGTGAGTTCTCCAATTCACACCTTAATAAGACAACACTGTGTTTATTCTACTGTGTCTGTGTGTGTGTGTTTGTGTGTGTGTGTTTGTTTATTTGTTGGTTTGTGTCAGAGTGGGGGGCTGCGTGCAACAGGACTCTGAACAACCCAAACAGATGCTGATTAGCTTGAGCTGCTTAAAGCAGGAATGGACATATGGATTAAACTCATTAAGTTGACTGTACTCAACCAAAATACTCTTTTAGAGGGATGGGGGTACATACTTAAAAGTTGACTTTTAGTGTTTATTAACCCTTTCCTCATGTCCATATGGCAAAAAGCACATTAGAGCAAAGCTTCATTTTTCATGCAGTGACTCCAGAGAACTCAAAGCTACATTTTTCACCTTATACCTCTTTTAGCCTTTTTTTTTGCTTTATATATAAGACCAAATGGAAATACTGGAGGCACGGAGGAGATTGTGAAAGTTGGTTGGTAATAGATTGTAAGTTAGAATATAGTGAATTAAATAATGGGCGATCAAGGAGCGCTCTTGGACTGCCAAAGGAAAACATAAAACACGCAAACTTTACTAGGTTGATATGATGACAGTACAATTTCCTTCCAACTGCAAAGATTTAAAGGTCAAGACTTCATAAAATCTACTCATTCCCCCTTTCTAATGACACTTGTCACCCCTCTCTAACAACATCCATCACTGTGGCTTTGCACAGTGCAACTAAAGCTAAAGTTGTGTCTACACCAAGCACTTCAGTTCAGTTTGTTTGGGTATGGCAGGCAATCATTGGCCTTTCCACTCTCATAAGTACTTGGGAAAGGTACCAAAATAGCTGATCCATACCATTAAACTCTCTTAGCGCTCTCCTGTTTAGGTATCAAGTGTCCCCATCCAACCTTTAAAGGGTGGAGATACACACTGCAATGTATTGATTGATTGATTGACTTGTCGTTTTCTGTGCTATACCTATATTCATGGACAAACACAAAACATGCCAGTTAATCAAAACAGTTGATTTTTGGTGAGTAATTTCTTTTAGTAAATATAATCTTCTCTTGATAAACAGCAATTTACCAAGAGGAAATAAAACACAGTGCTAATAGCAAAGCTGCTCATGTGTAGCATCCACATCCGGATTAAAAACCAAAAACATAGTGTGTGTATGTATAATATGAGATTAGCTGTTATATTATAGGTGTGTAATTGCTCTGTAATAACTGGGAGTGACTTGTCTCACCAGCAGTTCATTGTCATGACTTAAAGAGTGGTAGAGTAAATCTATCAGAGTTATATCCAGGCTCCCATTAAATCGATCTGTGCTCAGGATTTGTAACGTTAAATTTAGCCTGACACAATCGTATGTTATCTCTACAACAGTGAAAGCTTTCACATTATACTTGCACGTACATACTGAGGTTGTTCTTCATTTTTTTCCCTGAGACCAGTAGACGTTAGCACTGATTTGTTATTATGATGGGGGTCCACTCTGGTCCACACTCCAACACAGTAGGTGTTGGAAATGAAAGCTGAGAGCGAGTCGCCATAAAACAGAAAAAAAGGTAGAAAAAGAAGGATCATGTTAGCCCTGTGCATTGTGGGAAACAGTGAGGAGAGAGACTGGTCTGCTGCATACTGAGTGTTTTTTCAGAATAGGTACGACATCCAGGTCTCTTCAGATTTAGCTTTTGTTTACATAGCGTAAACTACATTTAAAAAAAAAAAACCACAGTTACTGCTTGTGAAGCAGACGGTTGCAAATCCCTCCTATAACAAGCTGCTGTGATGCCACACTGTTATGTAGCTGACATCATTAGCTATCGTCATGTTGGCCTAAACCCCTGCCTTCAAAGTACTGTGGCAAGAAAAGGGTTATCTGTATCAAACTGTACTGCTTAGTGCTTCCAAAATACAGCAGTGAAATTTACGGAAAACACTCGTGATGTTTTGCCTAATTTTAGCTTCGTCAGCTTTCCACTTGAGGAACCATTTTTTATTGATATGTCAGAGACTGCAGCACTTTGAAGGAAACTGAAAACTGAATTAAACCTCAAACATTGTAGAGGTATTGCCATGTTCATGATTACTGTTGTAACTTTTTAAATAAATATATATATTATACATTAACATATATTTTTAATGCAAATCCTCGTTCGTCTTCCATGATCTTTGTTTGAATATGGTTAGTTTGTATAGAAGGAAAAGCAGGGGTCACAATCCTACCCCTCCAGAATTTACTAAAGTTTTGTATCTTTGTCTCTCACCCTCTTACCCTCTCTCTCTCTCTCTCTCTCTCTCACTCCTTCTGTCTCTTCTCCTCTCTGAAAAACACATCTTTCCCTGTCCTTTTTTCAATTCTCCTTGGTTCTCCTTCTACCTCCTCTTTCTCTTTCACTCTCTTCGTACCTTTTTCCCCCCTGTTTTTTTCCCTTTTCTCTCCTTCTCTCTCCCGCTCCCTTGCTCTCTCCCAGTGAAAGGCTGAGAATACCCAAGGGAGCTGATGCAATTAAAATGCTAATCCTGTCTGTCTACAGAGAGAGGGAGAGGGGGGGCTGACAGCATGAGGGATTGCGGCTCACATGGAGAACTCGACTGAAATGGAGAACAGAGGGAGGGGGGGTGCACTGGGGTAGGTGGGTGGGGGTGAGCTGAAAGGGAGAAGGGGGAGGGGATGTGTGTTGGGGGAGACAGAGTGAAAAAGGGGATGCTAGGGAGGGAAAAGACAGACAAGGATAGAGCTTGTGTTGTGAGCTGAGCAATGATATACTGACTGCGTTTAAGTCTCATCTATTCCAATGTGTGAAAGGCATTATACTTAATGTACAGCACTACACCACTGGTTAGGCTGTTCAACCTTACCTTCACTACTTCATATATTGTATGTTGTGTCTGCACAGCCCACTGTTTCCACATTGGCTGTGCAGAAATGAGAATGATTATGTATGCAGTGAAAGCCCAGCTGGATACCCTGAATATTTCATAGTATGTGTTGCTTGCTCCGTCTCTCAATGCCACACATCGGAGTTAGGGTGGTAACGTGTGCATAATGGTGTGATTTCCAAGAGCCGTAGATGGAGGCAGTGGGTCTTAAGCTGTCTTGCTGTTTTAAAAAAAAAACAAAAAAACAGGAATTTAAGTATCATTACTTACGGCACTTTGAGTTTTAGTCTCTTGGTAACAGAACCAGCCCAGCGGCAAAGTCAGGAGCCAGTTGATCAAAAGGCTTACTGCCGAGCTTGTGGGGCAAAACAACCAGCCAAACACCTCTCACACCTGTATGTTTTTTTTTTCGCTTTTTCTCGTAATTCCAGTTTTTTGGATTTTCGTTTTTGAATCCATCTTTTTGGGCCTTATCCGCGCTATATCTTAACTCATCTCAACAGCTGCTGTAACATTACTAGGCCTCTAGACTGTGCTTTAGCGCAATTGTGGGTAATCGCGGCTTAATTGGAGTAATTAGGGGAATGTAGGGGTATTAGGCTACAGCTGGGGGCCATAATGAGGAGTGGGGGGCAAAAGGGAGGGGGAAGAGGTGAGAAGCTTCAAGAGCCACAGTTGCCCTCTTCATTGTAGGTCAGTTGTACTTCTCAGTGAATGGTCAGTGAGTATCAACCCCGCAGTCAGCTGTTTACAATCAGAGATGTTTGTAACGGGAAGGTCTACGGACTCTAAACAGCCGCAGAGTGAATAGGAAGTGTTCTAATCATGTAGATTCAACAGGTACAACATACGTCTGTACTTTTATCAACAAACAAGCCAAAGCATATGCGGATAGGAAGCGCTGAGATTGTTAGAGAATGACTGAAAAGAAAGAACAAGAGGAGGGAATGAGATGGGGCGAATCAGGGTCATTAGTTCAGGCGGCTGGGTCTGCTGCATTCCTGAGCCCTGAGATGGGGGAGCAGCAGAGCAGGAATGTGCCTTGGAGAGAGAAGAGACCTAAGTAGAGGGAAAGAAAAAGACAAGAAGGAACAAGAAAAAAAAAAAAAGAGAGAGAGGGGGTTCTTTGCATAGAGAGGCCCGAAATGGTGTAACAGATTCATTTATCAGCCGAAGTTCGAAAAAAGAAAAGTCTCATCCGCTTTCAGGTGCTCGGAAACTTTAGGCAAAATGTTTTTGTCTAAGTTTTTTTTTTTCACATCTGTTAGTCCTGCTCGACTGCCGGCCCATTTGTTAGCGCTGGCTGCACGGTGTCAGCAAACTTGTTTTTCAGGAGAACTTTCTGCAGGGAACCTTTTAACCAAACATAATGATTCATAAAATTACATCAGTTTAGCAGTAACCCTGAATGAGTTCACGCACCCCCTAACCTTTGAAGACGAGCTTTGACGAACAAGCATAATCCCTTAGGAGGAAAAGCACCTAACCTAGTTTCCATTGGGATTAATCTCGTCATCCATATCGTTGGCACCTGTCTGTTACAGAACCCTGTCAGGTTTCAACACACTTTGAACGGACTTGTACCTTTTCAAGTGGTTTTAAAGATCAACAGGTTTGTGAACGTTAAGGGTGGGAGAAAAAATTGATTCACATAAGTATCGCAATTTTTAAATTGATTTTTTTTTTTCAAATTTAGGAATAAATCTTGAAAACTTACTTTAATGTGATGTGTATTTTCTGGGGAAATATGGTTCCTGGAATAGACAATCAAAAACTTTCAACGGTTTCACTGGTGTTGAAGATACAGACTTAAAATCGAGAAAATAAACAATATCGTAGAATCGCAGTTTAAATTGAATCAGCATCCAAGATATCGTAGACAAATCGAGTCGGGAGAAAAGCCCTAGTAAAAACAGTACTGTATTTGGGGATTTGAGTCAAATGTCATATTTTCGGCACTTTTTACTTTCTACCATATCCCCCAAAAATTGTTTAAGGCTGTTTCACATCCTAAAGCATTGCACATTAAAGAGGAAATGCTCACTTTCAATTATTTGTACTTAAAAACAGATAAGGATACCTTATATTCAGGCTTATAGTCAGGCTGTAAATGACTAGCTCAGTCAATACAGGCAAATGACCTTATACAACAAGCAATGCATAATGTGTACCCCAAGGCCTATTAACTCTTCTCTCCTCCTCTTCTACTTCATCATATGATCTAACAAGGAAAACATTATCTCTCATAGATGTACTTACCACATCTATGACCAGAGCTGCCTTACATCTCAAAGTCTTGATGTGAAATGAGGAAAAAATGTTATACTGTATGCTCTATTTAAGAGGCCACATTTTGTTGAAGGTAGTAAAATCATCTCATCAGAGTAAGTGTTACAGTTATCTGATATTTATGTGCAGATTTTATAGAGTTTTTAAAATGATTCAGTCCCTATAAACAAAAACAACAACATCAAAATCTAATTCATTTTAATGTCAGGCTGATTTAAGGAGGCAGGTAATATTTACAAAGCGCTGAATACAATGCATCTAATATCTAATTCAGACTCTTGAAAGTAACTTGGTGCCTTCCAATAAATCAATCGCAAGCCTGTACAAAGTGCTGCTAGATTGAAGTGCTGCTAAATAAAGCTATAAGATATTTAACCGGCACTTAGTGTACAGACCATATCACCCTTAGCGGACCTGTGTGGGTGAGATAGAGAATAGATTCAAAATTGTGCTTTAAATATGAAATAGCTTAAACCTGAGCTGTTAGGCTGTTTGTTAACCTCAGGTGAGGTGTAAGATCCTTGGGCAACACCTGTCATTTAACTTCATATTTCAGACTCGAGAGTAAAGGTTAATGTGCTGTAACTGTTACTCACCACGTTTTCATTATCGTAACTCAGAGTAATTAGAAGTCGTAGGGACAGCAGGTTCACTTTTTATTATCATAATCATTATCATCACTGTAATGTTTGCTTTTCTATTGCTTGTGTGTTGTCGAGGTTTGCAACCAACAAATATTTAATACTCTGTTTGTCTGGAAATGAAATAATTATAAAGTAAACAAAATTTGTGTTAAAGTCCTTCCGAGCTCAGAGTGTAATCTTCAGTTTTCATTTCCTGACTAACAATCTGAAATTCAAAGATTTCCTATTTCTGTCTATTTAAGAACAGTTCATTTATTTTCAATATTCATGCTTTACACAGCAGGTGATGAGGTGTGATATTGGGATTGTAATGGAAATGTACTTCATATCTTATTATTTCGATGTACAAAATATACCAATTGTTTCTAACTAATGCCCTCAAGATTTTCAATTGTGTTAGCAAGTTTCTACTCCTACTTTCTGAAGTTGATGGATTGAAAAGCAAACGGGTCAAGAGAAAATTAAGTTTGGCTTTAAAAGCTCTAGGCTCTGAAGAAAAGATGGTTGTCTGTACTTAAAACTTTTCAGTAACAGAGTGGTATCTGAGAGGGAATGTGTATGTGTGAAAAAAAAAGAGAGAGAGAGAGAGATGAGAGCATGGCTGCAGGCTGACAGAGGTCCTAGTATAATGCAGTGGTGGGGAGCAGCAACTGATAACTATACTTATGGCCACTGGGGCTCATAGTGACAGCACATGCACTCCCATTACTGGTCCCATGCCTCATGCCCTTTTCTCTGGCAGTCTGCCACTAAGAGACTACACTGCCCTCTGCTGTTGGTTTTCAGGAAGTTCAGGCTCATTGAGAATTCACTCAGGCGCTCACAGCAATGACTCAGGGGAGAAACTTGACTAGGTTTTGACAGGGCAGCACTTCTTTGAATTTTAGCAGTGATAAAGCACCTTTCTATGCACCCCTCAAACACACTCTTTTGACCTCCTTCCTACTGGAGGGAAGAGTGTGGTCCATTAGTTCTCAGGTACCTTTCACAACCAGCAGGTTTTGTCAGCCCAATGAAAAGTAATCTAGATGAAGCAGACTAATAAAAACAAATTAATTTGTGAAAATTTAACCACTGACCATGCCACATTTTTTTTTCTGTGTCTTGAATAGTGCTGAGTATACGAGGCGTGCAGGAGGAGGACCCCCCAGATCCCCAGATCATGAGGTTGGACAACATGTTGCTCGCAGAGGGTGTGTCAGGACCGGAGAAGGGGGGAGGATCAGCCGCTGCGGCTGCTGCTGCAGCAGCAGCAGGCGGCTCACCCACCGACAGCAGCATCGAACACTCTGACTACAGAGCCAAGCTTGCTCAGATTCGTCAGATTTATCACTCTGAGCTGGAGAAGTACGAACAGGTGTGTACCAAACTGAACATGGAGCTTAAACATGATGTGAAAATATTTGAAAATATGGGCCACTCTGGTTTTAAAAAAAAGAAAAGATGTGAACTGTTGACCCTACAGATTTAATCACAGGGTTCCATAACATAAAAATGTTGGTATTCCAGAAGTATTGTCAGTACTTTCATCAGTTGCTGTAGCTTGTTTGAAGAGCACACTTGCGCAAGTTTATCAAACACGTCACGGGCCGATTGCAGTCTACAGATAACATTCAATGAAATCAAATAGGTCCCAGCAGATTGTTTTCTTAAGAAGTGTTTTGATTTAAAAAAAAGCTCTTCTGACTTTGCTAAACAGGCTAAATGACTACAATGAGATTCTGCATGGATGTTAACTGTATGTTTTCTTCTTTATCACTGTCCTCATATCTATGACTTTAATAGAAAACTGTACTCTCTTGCAACTTCAGATCTTGTGCTCTTTATATCGTTCGCAGGTTCAAGTGTGTCGAGCATCCCCTTTAACACTGCTCAAAATGTTTTTAATGCGAATATGATGAAAGTCAGGTTATCTGTATAATTAAAAAATCCATTTGTCTAATGGTCTCAGAACTCTGTGGTTTCATGAGTCAATAAAAAATTTGTTCAAAGGACGAAAAACATATGAAGTGCTCAATGAGAGGATTGAAAATCTCATACTGATTCTTTGTACTTTCATAAATGCTGAGGTAAAAAAGGGGAAAAAATGTAAATTTAGAGATACTATAGATGCTATACTTGAGACTCCTGCTGGAGAGATTTTAAAAATGTCACAAAAAATGCATCCAAATAAATTATGTACTAGAGTTTCAAAATAATTTGTCTTTCATCACAGGATTGTTGTAAGGGTTAAAAACATTGAATTATTCTGTAATTGGAAGTTTTTCACTCTAGATATTATTCTCTCCTGAGTGGAAATTGTTGTGAAACAGTTTTTCTGTCAATGGATTTTGGCATTCAGCTCCTTAATGTCAGCTATTTTTTACTGTCATACTGATTGAGGTTTAGAAACCACGCTTTGCACTGTTTTATATTGAAAGACTACAATTAACTCTCACCCCAGATATAGGTTTAAATATTTCTGTAAAGGTAACTCATCGAGATGGAAAGCTGAGGCGTCAATGTCATCATCAGAACTGTGTCCTCAAACCGGACAGTATCTTTGCTCGGATATATATTTTTACAGCAGCACTTATCTCCTTCCTTTCTTTCTCTCCATGGACCAGGCCTGCAGTGAGTTCACCAACCATGTAATGAACCTGCTGAGAGAGCAGTCTCGCACACGACCCATCTCTCCCAAGGAGATCGAGCGCATGGTTGCCATCATCCACCGCAAGTTCAGTTCGATCCAGATGCAGCTCAAACAGAGTACCTGCGAAGCCGTCATGATCCTGCGCTCACGCTTCCTCGATGCCAGGTGTGTGTTGGTGTTGTGTGTAATGTGACTTGGTTGTACTCGGAGCGAATTGACGTCACATTCCAAGAGTTGTGGTGATCATTCCCTCGCTGTTTTTCAGACGAAAGAGACGCAACTTCAACAAGCAAGCCACAGAGGTGCTGAACGAGTATTTCTACTCCCACCTGTCTAACCCCTACCCAAGTGAGGAAGCCAAGGAGGAACTGGCCAAAAAGTGTGGAATCACTGTCTCTCAGGTGAGTTTACAGCCCTCCAGTTTTGTTACGGGCTCTTTAAGTTAAAGTACACGGATGATGACTTTGCTGAGGGTGATAATATTTTGATTAATATAATCAGAATTACATATCTGTGTCTGGAGTCTCAGAATCAACTGTACAACGTGCATTTAAAGGGCTAATTTTATGTGAGCATGTATTTGTGTCTGTGAAGATTAGAAATAGAGAAGTTTGCCATGTTGAACGCCTTTTTAGCTGAAGGGGTTTTAATATAACTCCACGAATGAAATTCATCCATTTCAATATCTGACATTTATCTGTCCCTCAGGTCTCTAATTGGTTTGGCAACAAGAGAATACGCTACAAGAAGAACATTGGTAAGTTCCAGGAGGAGGCGAACCTCTACGCGGTTAAAACAGCGGTGGATGCTGCTAACGTGTCTGCGCAGGCTAGCCAGGCTAACTCTCCAGCAACACCCAACTCAGGTAACACATCCTCCAATACATTTACCTAAAAGATTTTTCATTTTTTAAATATCAACATACAGTACTGAACAGGTTAAATCACACTGACAATAGAACAGCTGACTACGTAATATAAAGGGAAGAGCGCCATTAATCTTGTAACTTGTCTTTTAGCCAACTGTTGCACTATGATTAGAATAATTAGTGGGGGTGGGAATCACTAGTGGCTCCACGACACAATATTATTGCAATACTTGGGCCATGATACAATATTATCAGGATACTTGGGCCACAATGCAATATTATCAGGATACTTGGGCCATGATACAATATTATCACGATACCTGGAAAATGATACAATGTTATTACAATACTTGGGCCATGATACGATATTATTGTGAGTTTTAACATTTTGCAATACAGTAAGTTTTGCGATACAATCTATTGCGATTTGTACAATTTCTTCAACTCTTTAGCTAATTTAACATTTGTCTTTCCTTTATCGATACTTGGTAAAGGAGACGATGTATCACCATACAAAATATCGTGATACTATGCTGTATTGATTTTTTTTCTCCCACCCCTAATAATTAGTTTTCGTTTTTGAAAAATATGTAACATCCTTTAAGAGAAATTCATACAGACCTTTTCAGGATTTGTTTAAAGATGTGGCTTTGTTGTTTTACACTGTGAAAACCTGTGATTGTATTGTGTGTCTTATTCATAACTTTATCTCTGCGTTCTGTATCCATGTATGAAAATTTTCTAAATCCCTATCACTTAATGACATGTAAGGTTTCCAAATACTGTCACCGTCAAGATACTTATGGGTTTCAAAGTGCTCACTGTCTGTTTCTATTTAAATCAACTTCCTATTATCTTTCTTTTCTTTATGCACAGTGTGAAAACAGCTTCTGTGCTTCACTATAGTCAGATAGTGCCCCCTACCTGCTGCAAGAAAAACATGAGGGCTTTGGAAACTAAAAAGTATCAGATATCTTGGCCTGATTAAAGTCCTGTCCATGATCTTCACAAAAGGACGGCACACCCATAAAAACTAAATCAACTTTGAAATATTTATTCCGAGTAAACTGTCCGAGTATATTTCTTCCAATCAGTGTTCATAAACAGAAGTGACCCCCTGACCTCATGACACTGGTGGAGCTGATTAGATATTGGCTATATATTACCTGCAGGGTCACCGGGGTCATTCAGTTTGTCTCACACAGGCGACGTCTACCTTGGCCTGCGTTCACTCAACGGGGAGGGTCTCACCATCGCCCCCTCTCTACAGCAGCAGGTATGCGCTGAGGGCAACTATAGTTATGTTGACCTCAATGCTGTAAAACGTAGCCACCCAGAATCCCCGTATAGGTCCTCTTAGCCTTTAGACCTCCACCTTTCCTCAGATCCCGTCCTGATTTTACCTCTGATCCTGTCAACTCCTCCCCAAACACACAGACAAGCTGACCCTTTGTTTTGTACAGTGACCCCCGAGGAGCCTATGGATTCACTCAAGAGGAATTGTGCCAGGTTTTTTAAGGCCATTTAGTTTTGTGTTGATGCATATTAATCTATAGTTGCTTACACAGCACTATTTCTTCAGGAGGATAGACACCCTGGACTAGATTTGGAGCATCTGGGCTTTTCTTATTACTCTGTGGTTGACTGCTGTTCTAATCTGGGGATTGACAGACACCCTCGAAATAGAGGCTCAGATTTCCTCACTGGCTTTGTGTTGTTCCTCCACCTCTCAACGGCACCAATCTTGTTAAATCCATGGTTTCCCAGGCCTTCAAGATTCCTCCCCTTACCCCTCTATATGTTCTCCTCAATGTGTAGACTTACAGGAATCCCCTCAAAGTGAAGTGACATGTTCTTGTTATTGTCTTCTGTCAGTATCACATAAAAAAGTTTACGATAAATTGTCTGTGGGCTCAGTTTCTGTTTTCCTTTTACTGAAAACTATAGCAGAAGTGGTTTGGTGAGCCGCATTGTTCTAGTTCGGACCTAAAATACAAAGTCGTGGTTTGTGGACATGATCACTTCTCTGTTTTAAAAGACAAGAAAAAAACAGTTTGTCCATCTAGATGCTTTGCAGAAGTTTGTGCTGATTTTTGGATGTCTTCTTTTTGTTGAACAGGTGGATACCCTGCACCGTGCTACACACCTGACGGGCGGCTATGAGGAGCTGTCAGGTAGTGGCCTCTACACCCCTCATCGCCTGGATGTAAGTACCAACTTAAAGGGGTATCCCGGCGTAAAATAATGTAGGGTCAAACACACCATAACATCGAGTTAGACACCCCCTGGAGAGATGAATGTTGCCGACCACTTACTTCTCTAGTTATACCAACTTTGGAAACATCCGCACGATAGCAATACACAGTGGTCTGAGGAGCCATCAACAAATGTCAACCAAAACGCTACTCTATAGCCACAAATAATGCTCAGAACAGCACCTAACTTCATCAACAGTACATAAAGGGTCCGAGCCACCAAACATCTTTTTAACTTTGCTTGATTTCTTTAGCAAAGAGACTTAAAAAACCTCACCTACTCTCTTCCAGCAGCCGCTTGTTTGTAGCGAGACCTCAGGCCAGTCCGTTACGGACTGCTGCTGGGTGACGCAGCTCAAGGAAGAACATTTATGATCATTACTTTATCATTTCCATGAAGTAATAATCACCATATTAACCATGTTGCACTTCAGACGTGGTAGTTCTTCTGCCTTAGCGTCTCGGTCTGACTGCATTACCATGAAGAAATGATCATAAATGTTCTTCCTTGAGCTGCGTCACCCCACAGCAGTCCGTAATAATCATAATAAATAGCAGTCCGAGGTCTCGCTACAAACAAGCAGCTGCTGGAAGAGAGTAGGTGAGGTTTTTTTTAGTCTCTTTGCTAAAGAAATTAGGCAAAGCTAAAAAGATGTTTGGTGGCTATTACTCTGGCCCTACATGTACTGTTGATGAAGTTAGGTGCTGTTCTGAGCATTATTCGTGGCTATACAGTGGCGTTTTGGTTGAAGTTTGTTTATGGCTCCTCAGACCGCTGTGTATTGCTATCCTGCAGTCGTTACTAAAGTTGGTATAACAAGAGAAGCAAGCGGTCGGCAACATTCATCTCTCAAGGGGGTGTCTAACTCTGTGTTACGGTGTGTTTGACCCTAAATTAATTTTACGGCAGAATATCCCTCTAAGGCTTATACAAGTATAAATCGTTAAATATTGGTATTCAGCATCAGTAGAAAAATCTCACTCTCTCTCCTCTGTTTGTCTGCAGGCTAACAGCTGGCAGGACACCACCAACCCCAACTCTGTCACCTCTCCTCCCGGTCCTCCTGGCAGCGTTCACTCTGACACCTCCAACTGATTGGTGGCTCTCACTGCCATGACTCCATTCCTACTGTGGTCTGGGTTGACTACCACCACCCCTCCTGTCCTCATTGTCACTATTTCCACGTCTCTCTCTCAACTAGGCAGCCACACAAGGCCATACCACCATTCCATAAAAACACAGACTGTGCTGGAACACAGGGCAGCCGAATAACACTCAGAAGATATTCAGCCTCCACCTCACAGCTCCAACGTCAGTGCTAGAAGCTCCTCAACTCAGAATAAAAGAGGGACGGAGCAGGTTGATGCCGAGACAGATAGAAAACATTTTTAACATCAAGTACTTTTTTCAGAACCACTGACCCAGCTGTGTAGATGATCATAATGTCTGTACATTATGTGTATATGCACGATAACTTCACACAGTAATCACACAGCTTCTCATGTGCTGTTGACCTCTGCACTCGACCCTTTGCTTTGGAAAACTGTGTGTGATTGCCTGTATCTCTTGAAGCCTTGGCGTTTGATAGCCAAACTGTTGATACGGATCACCAGGGAGCTCTGCTCACCTTTGCTCGTACCAAAGTGCTACCCCAGTGGTTGTCAACACATCTGTATCTTCAAGATCAACTTTCCCCCCTATTCAGCACCAGACGCTATTTTATCTTCCAGTCCTTATAGCTCGATGTCTCACTCTGTTGGGAGATTTTGAAGAGAATAGTCGAGATTTCATAACACACACCCGAAACTTCTCAGTGGTTTTCAAAGCAGGCTGACATGAAAGATGTGTCAAGCACAACAGTTAGCATCCTTGTTATGGGTGTGTCTACCTGTTAAAGGTAGTACAGGGGATCACTGTTCTTAAACCAGACAGGATAGCTGATAATAGGGCTGGTGGAAAGAGGAGGAATCTGCAGGAAGAAGAATATCTTTGGTTGAGTGGCTGTAACAATAGCCCCTTTTCGTTGCTAACCAATAGAGGGTGTCGGTAGATGGCTCGTAGACTTAACTTCTTGCTTTCTGTCCACTAGTTTATTTGATTGTAGGCTATTTTCTAATGCTGTTTCACCAAGAATGCACCAGCCACCACCAAAAATGAGCTCAATAAAGCATCTAAATAACTTTGGGAAGAATAGGGTGGAATGATTGTGGGGCATTGATGTGTTATTGGGGCAAACGTAATATGAATATAGATACGTGACTGTCTTCCATGCATGTAGGACTTCTAGGCGTGATATTATTTTCATCTAACCTTCCAAGTTTTTAGCTTCTTCTTTTTTTTTCACAAAAAAATAAAGGGTATAATTATTACAGTCAGACCAAAAAGGAAAAAGTGCATCATTTATTGCTATGATGTGTGTGTCTCTGTGTGGGCGTGTGTACAGTGTTCATGGGATGTCCTAGTCAACCTGGCTGGTGCCCTCTGACCTTCGTAAGCATTATTAAGACTGGGTGCTTCCACCAGCCGATGATACACCAGGTGGGATTCAACGCAGATCGCCTCCCTATGTTGAAACATTTAAGCTTGTGAGCCCAAGGCAACACACTACAACCTTCTGTTGTATCAAAACCAAAAATACCACGTTCAGCAATGTAATAATGCTACTCTATGTCTCTCTGAAGTTGGTGCACAGCCACATTTTCAGCTGAGGAGAGGAGGGAATTATATTTGTATCTGTGTCTCTGTATGGTGTTGTCATGCCCCGAGTTGATTTGATTTAAGGGTTTTCTTTTTGTTGTTGTGGGGCGTCAAGGGAGGGTGGGTGGAGTGAGAACTCATATCATATCTGCAATTTGATTTTGAGTATCGAAGGTATGCTCTCCCTTTTTATTCATCCTTTTATATCTTCTGGTAAAACGTGACGATTTTTTGTTTTTGTTCTTTGGCCGATTGGGCAAGGGCTTCTCTCTCCTCTGTTACCAAAAAAAGAGGCAGCACTGGGTGATGTAAAGCTTGTGTTTGAGACAAACCTGCAACATTTTTGGGGGATTTTCATTCTTTGGAACTATTTTATACATTAACCGTTATGTGAATAACAAAGCATTTTGATAGTAAGGTAAAGCCTTATAAAAATCTAAGTGTCAGTCAAAACTTTGTTGAACATGTTACAGAACAAAACTTGAGCTTGTAAGCTGGTCATATGTGCTATCACACATCTAATTACCTGTTTTGTTACTCATGCAGTTCATACGAGTGTATCTTATGAATAACACCACACCAAATTATCATCCTTTCCCCTTTTCTACCTGTTGTAATGGATGTCACTGTACAGTTTGTGTAATGTTTCAGTATTTTTTTTTTCTTTTATAAATTTTGATGTTTGGTTGAGATGCCAGTTTTATTTGGCCTCTGTGTCACAGAATTCATAATAACTATCAATTTTGAATATTATTTAGGTCTTTTGTTACATAACCTGGAGGCGATGAAGGGTTTACAGGTGTGTCGTTTGGTGCTGTGGAACGATAACTCTGTTATTTAGGTTCTTTTGTGGACACCTGACATATTTTGCTCCTTTTGTTTCTATACATCCCCTTTCAGTTTCGCTCACTGTCAGTAGCACTCTCTCACAAAACACTGTGCTGTTTGTGCTTGAGTTCACACTAAATCTTTGAAACCTGCGCATATTATTCAACGTGATGAGAAAAGCAGTGACTGCAGGTTGAGCGCACTGCTTTATGATAGTTGACCCTCCCGAAATACTGTCAGAATGTACAAGCATCGCATTTGCAAACACTGAGGGGAAGTTAGTCAGACGAATCTTATTTAAGCTCCTCTGACACGCGATAGGCTGATCCTGCAGAAGATAAGGATGAAGCTAACATCTAAATGCCTGAACACCAGAGTGAGGAGGATATGTTTTAAATGTTTAAGGTTTGAAACACAAAATTTGAGTTTTTCTGTTGATTATGCGTCGATCTTTCTTCCACAGCACCAAACGGCTTCCTAAACCTTTTTGATTTTTTTATTAGTATATTTGTATCTTCCCTCTTTCCCTTGTATTTACCCCTCTCTCTACCTCTGTCTTTCCATTTCTCTTGTATATAACCCCCACTGTTTTCAGACTTGTGAGTCTGTATGAACTCCTTTTATACCTCAACTTTAGAATTGTTCTAGAAAGAGTAAAACAAAAGGAAGAATATGATAAATTGTAGTGTTCTTATTAGAAAATTAATAAAATGATTTAGTGTGATTTTTTTCAGTATTTGAGTTCAGATTTTAGAAGTGTTTCATTTTATAATTTGTCACAAATGCTCTTGTGATAGTCAAATGTAATAAAAGGAGAGATTGCACCATCTGATGATTAATATGTTGATCTGTCGGCTTCATTCAGACTGAGATGAACACTTGATTTATCAGACGATCCGATCCTTTTCAGAGTTTAGTTGCACCGTTACACTTTTTTTTAATTAAATTTCCAAATACAAATGTGAAAAAGAGGTAGTTCGCTGATGTACAAAAGAAAATCCAAAAGAGTCAATACTGGGCGCTGGAGTTTGCCAGTCAGAGAGAGAGTTTTGTAAATACAGGCCTGCAGACATCACGTCCCTGTCATCATCCAGCTGCCTTCTTTACCGTCTCTTTCCACACACACAGCTTGATCTTCTGACTTTTTGATACAGCCAAGCGTTTCCTGCAGAAAATAAATAGTGTGAAGGGAAATGTGTGCCGCAAATCTGAACAATATTCAACATGTGAAGTTAGAGACTGTACGGATAAAACAAAACCTAACAAAGTAAAAGAGGAAGAGCTGAGTTTCACTGTGGATGATTAACAGAGTTGGTTTACCTCTTTTACATATTCTCTTACAAAATTCCCTGGCTGTTTCTCTGTGTTTAGTGAGGGTGTGGAGATGAAATAAACCACATTTTACTGTCTGTATGTTTACTACAGGTCAACAACCTGTGAGATGATGCAACTCTGTACCTCTGGCAGAGGTGAAGCAATCTCCACGTGTGACAGCTTCCTCTGTCGGCCACCCCGCCTGTGACACAAGCAGCACAGAATCCTCTTGAACGTCCCTCGCATGTCCTCGTCTCGCAGGGAATAGATGATGGGATTGACCAGAGAGTTGCACTCTGCGATCACCAAACAGTATTTCTCGTACGAGTTTGCGTTGCTGGCTTTGCCTAAAATCCCGTCCACCAAAAGGACCACGAGGCCGGGCGTCCAGCAGATGATGAAGGCACCTGCGAACATGGATGAGTCAGAAATAGAGTCAACAATAATTAACGGTTAAGAAAAGGATTTACATAACGCATGTTTGTAAGTGCAGCAGTGCTGAGTAAGATTCGGATCTGTTCAGATGACTCATGCATCATAATCACTATGGTGATCGTGATATCAAGTAAACAAAGTCTGTGACAAGAATTGACACTTCAATTTCGTTGTGTAACACTTTGAATTCCAAACTAGCTTCTCACTACGAGGGCCCTCTGCATAAAGACCAGGTCTGGCAAACAGTCAGGGTTAAAGCTGCAAAACTGGTTTTGGCAGGAAGTGAGAGCACACAAGTTTGAAGCGTTATAAACAAACAAAAATCCCCCTTTTTTTTCTAGTATTTTTTTCTTTTAAGATAAAATGCTCCTTTATTAATCCAATTTATTCTAATTAAGTATCTTACAAACATTACCGTACATAAACAACACATCAACAAACTCTCACCCAGGACCATGGAGATGGTTTTCATCAGGTTGACAACAGTCTGACTGTGCTGTGTATCAGACGTGTGTTGAGATGTGTATCTGCTCTGGAATCTCACGTAGACAAAGATGCGGGTGTACATGGCCACTATGATCAAGAAAGTGAGCAGGTTGAGAACTGCCCAGAAAATGAGGAAGCGACGGCTGTAGAGGGGCGCGATGGTGGAGCAGTCTTCCAGATCACACTCACAGTTCCAAATGGTGGAGGGCACCAGGCCCATTATGACCGCCACGGCCCAGATAAAGACTATCAGCAGCAGCACGCGCCGCTTTGTCATCTTGCTGTGCAGCTGCATGGTGATGATGGTTTGGTGGCGCTCCACTGCCACAGCCAATAGGTTGGCCACAGAGGCCGTCAAGCTGATGTCAATTAAAGCCCCGCGAATGTACCACTGCTCTTTTGTGAGCGTGCTGGTCCAGGGGCCAGTGTTCATCATCAGGTTGGCATAGGCGACACCTGCAAACAAGTCTGCTGCAGCCATGTTACCAAGGAGATAGTAGATGGGGAAGTGGAAGCGTTGGTTCATAAAGATGGCAACCATCACCATCAGGTTTGCCAGGACTACAATGACACATACTGTCAGCCCCAGTCCGATCACCACGTAGTCCCGAGTTGTCCACTCAGTGCTGATTTTCTTACCAACGAAGTTGTAGAAGAAGGTGACATTGTGGTTGTAGTCACAGGCATTCCACATATTGCTCTCTGTGTACATCACTGCAAACAGGAAACAAGAATCATGTCTTAATACGTCCCTGCTGTCTGACAGTTGTGAAACAAAAGCCTATAGGTACTTGAATAATTCAACACTTGGTGTGTTTGTACACACTGATCATGAGTAAGAGAGTCAGAACAGTTTCAGCCCCTCCATTTCAATAATAAACATATACAAACTGAATACTAGAACAACAAGAAAACAGAGATCTGACTCTTCAACATCATATAACATATAGGGGAGAGTGGGGTAAGATGAGCCATTTTTCATATTTCAGATCACTACATCAAGGCGATCATAGTTTTGTCTCTAACTCGTGTATCTGCATATGTTTCAAGATGTTGTTCATCCCTGCAAACCAACAGAATGAGTGTAAACATAACTGTCTTCATAATAATTCAGAACATTCACAGCTGTATTTTTTAAAAGAAAAAGTCAAACATTTCAACAATCTGAACTGAAACTCTGATCCTCTCATCAGATTTATTTACTTTTTCAATTGAACCACTGGTTCAACTAACCCCAGAACTACTATTATGACTTTATTAGTCCTCATGTTGTAGCTCATAGATACCACAATTGATGTATAAAACAAATTTAAAATGATCTTTTTTGGTCTGAACACAATTCAAATAAAACTTATGACAGACTAAATTCACTTTCAAGAGTGAAAAATGTTTCTTTTTGGAAATAAATGTCTAACCCCTTCACCCATATGCTTCTAACCTTCACAGACTCCATGAATTGATGCCCATCTCCTAAATATTTGGTCACATGATCAATTTCTTTTATCATTTCCAAGCAACGGGGGTGGCTCAACGTACCCCACTCTCCCCTACTTCTGATCCTATGGCAGGACAAAATAAGGTCAACACAACATCTACCAGTACTAAACATCCATGATACAGAATTTTAGATCACACACGGAGCTTTTTTTAAAACAATGACACAAGAGAAAAATTGAAAAATTTGTGGTTATTTTGAGACTAAAAAACTTAATATGTATATCCAAGTCGCGTGTCTCACAATTTCCTGAAAACATGTGATAGCCTTATATAAGTTTCCTACTTCTCGCCTGAAGTACGGTCCGTTTTCAAACGTTTCAAGTAAAACTCAGCGACAAGTGTTATAGATATTTCTGTCCGATCTCCTGCGTTAGAAACAGAAATAACTGAAAACTTACCGCCGTTTTTAGGCTCTCCTCCACACAGACAGCTCTGATAAAAAGTTTGATTTCCTTTCTGCCATTTAAAATGTAAAACATGAGGTCTCGGGGTATTTTACCCTCTGCCCGTCAACGCCTTCGTGATAAGTTTCAGCTCGACAGATCTGAATCATTTCTACTCAGATCAGCTGGACTTACCAGACAGGTAGCGGTGCTGCCTTCACTTACACCCTGGAATATCGGAAAACGCATTCTCTCTCTCCCTCTCTCTCTTTCTCACGCTAATATATGTCGCTTTAAGGACATATCCTATTAAATTTGGGGTGTAACTTGTATTTCAAAGAGCTCCAAATGACACTATTCCTTTAGTTTACCTCTGAAGTGCGTAATTTCACGACCCAGAGCAAAGGGCAAGACGTTAAATTAACGAAATGTCAAAAAGTCGTGCGGATAAAGTACTTTCACAGTGAAATTGAACATTATCAGCCCACCATACCTTTCAAATGTTGACTTTTAGCTCCGTGATAGCAGCATAGCACACTTTCTGTACGTGTTTTATTCTCGTTTGTCTGCAGTGTCTGAGAAAATGTATTTTAGTCAGGGATATTCTAAAAGTAGTTTGTGGGGGACTGTAAATATGTCACAGTACCAATCTTGTCTCTAGGTGGAGTTAGCGGATCTAATGAATGTGAGTTTACGTTTGTACTCTGCCCCCTTGTGGCCTCGGTAAGAAACTGCATTACATTAGAATTCACCTGTGTCAGGGTGTACCGTTGACGGGAGTCCGTTGTCAAAAATGTTAAAAGACAAAAGGGGCAAAGAATAAAAATCATAACCGGAACAACTTAAAAGGAATTTTCTTTATGGTAGTCCGGAACACTACAGTATAACATTATGTATTACCAAAATTTGCAGTTTAAGCGAAACAAAACTTGTTTAAAAAGCCCGTTGCAGCGAGAGAACAAATGATGGTATGGAAAAATAAACTTAATATGTGACATGAGTCGAAAGTAATTTGTTAATGGCAGTAGGAGAAGACAGGGGTAAAATTAAATGTGTGAATTTGATGAAATTATTACACGAAAGAACTGACCGGAAGTAGTATTGTGTTGTAACGTTCTCAGCAATGCTAGCTTGACGAGGTGAATAGCATGCAGCTCATCCAAATGGCCACAAGAGGGCAGTCGTCTCATATAAATTTCAATTCCGAGTAAATTAAAATACAGATTCAAAGAATTTTGTCGCAAAACAGGACGAAATTAAGAACGAGAATCTCATTTGAAACGCCCGGAAGAAGACTCGTGCAAGTTTCTCTTCATTAAAACCATATATGTATCCATTACCTTACAAATTGACCGAACACCAAAGAAAAAAAATACGCCAAACGTTTGGACCGTTAAAAGGACAAATACGGAGGGAAACGAGCAAACTGTATATACTCTAAAAACTTAAAAGCAGATTGTTTTGCTAAAATGAACAAAAGCGTCAGTTCATACGGTTAAGACTTTGCCATACGTTGATGTTTAAATTATAATACTAAGCAACGGGAAACTGTAAAGTATTGTATATTGACAATACTGATGTATATTGACATTATGTTGAAAACAATATTTATGCCGATGTACGCCTAGTACAACTCGACATAAAATTAATATTAGGATTTATATGTTTGTTTTCCAGATATGTATTTTGAAACTTCCCACCGGAAATCCCCAACCTTACTGTGAGAAACTCGACGTGGTGAAGTTCATCGACATGACCACAAGAGGGCAGTAATTGTAATATAACCTGATTTCATTACACCTAGGCCGTTAAAAATTCACAAATAAACTGAAATTACAAACTTTAGAGGGCAATTGTAGTGTAGTCTATAATGTCAACACACTTAGGTTGTTAAAAATTCACAAACAAGCTTAAATTACAAACTTTATAAGGTTTGTCACATGATAGTTTATTCTACAGATATTTGTTTTCAGATTGCTTAATGTCATATCAATTTCAGGTTTTGTGATTGTGCTTTTTTGGGCCACAGGAAGGCGGCAACCCCATATGAACCTTAATAAACAGGACTGATTGAACCACAAAAATTTAAAACTCTATTCCTCTAACTTATGTGGTAAAAGCTTTTATACAATTGAAGTTACTTTATCTTACCTGACTGCAGGTGGAGCTGTAGATTTGCCAAAATTTGGTCCAGTCAGCATCAGATACCAAGTGCCAGTTACAGCCGTAAAAGGTCTTAAATGATAAAATGTGTTTTCTCTCAAGGCAAAGATTCACAACTTTCTGTCTCATGGAAAATCTGAAAGCAGAGTTTTATATTTAATCTAATTTTAACCAGCACCTGGAAAATGTAACATTAGACATTGACTGAAAACCACCAACACTTAAGTTTCAGACTGTACAAGAACATCAAAACTAGTCTGGCCGTGGAAAAAGATGCTCACAAGAGTCACAAGAGTGAGCTTTATGCTTTTTTCTGGGAGCGATTTCACTTCTACAGAAAAAGACAGAGGCTGAGTTTAGTTTATTTTTTTATTTTCTATAAAACAGATGAGTTTATTCAATGATCATAACAGACTGAATCAAAGACCTCGATAGACCACTCACATACCAAACAAAAATCGAGGAAAATGTTTCAACAAAACCCCCAAAACAGAACAAATTTAACACAAAATAAAATACCTGAATAAAGCAAACTCTGGGCTGAGCTGCGGGTCAGCACATTCTCTGTGGAACTCATGGCACGTTATGTCCAACAGTTATTATGAAAAGAAAAAAAAAAAGGCTAAAAAGGAATGAAATTATGCGTTTTTTTTACCCTTTCAAAACCAGTCTAATAATAAAAGTTCTATACTCATATATGGTGGACTTCATAGAAATTAAAAAGGTGACTTAAGCACAGAAACAAGTTCTCCTGAAGTACTGTTTATCTGTTTATTCTCTTCATCAATAGAATGCTTATCTACATCGGGGAACGTGCCTCCCTGCACCACACGCTGTGAAAAAAAAAAAAAAGAAAAAAACAAAACAAACGAAAACAAACACGCAGTCACACAGCCGTCCAAATTTACAAAGTCACACTCACAGACCAGACTGAAACGCTAGTGTGGCGACGCTGAAACATACCTACCTAAAATCTGCTGATTGAACAAATAGAGAAAGAAGTTGTCAGGTGTGTACACTCAATGAAGTCCAGCTAAAACTAAATTTAAAACCCGAATATTGACACCGGGTAAAATATAAAATGCTGTCTTCCTTTTTTTTTTTTTTATTAGTTTTTTTTTTTTACACAAACTCTTTCAAAAACCTCCCTCCCCGTTCAAATATTACACCACCCGCTCCTAACTCACCCCTGTCTTTACTCCCTCCGAGTGTAATATAAGCCGACGAGAATTGCAATACGATACAGGCACTGGAGAAAAACACCAAAAGAGACAAGTAAAGAGGGCGAGATGCATTCAGATTTCAACCCATCCCCAGTCAAACCAATGTCTCTAAGAACAGAATTATAACTCACATCCACTATTATTGAACAAGAACAAAGATAAAATTAAAACTGTTTTTTTTTTCAGCAGTTTCCGCTTCCTAACTTTTGTCGGTTTGTCTTTTTATTTTATGCCGTCTACAGTGTGCCCTCAGTGAATTAGAAGACAGTTTGACTCAAAAAAAAAAAAAAAAAAACACAAAAGGGGGCTCCGTTCAGCTCTGTTTTCACTCATGATTTCAGTGAAACCATAAAAGGGGGTTCGGTTCTATCCCTGGGTTTATCCCTCTCTCTTCCTTGGGCACCCTGCCTGCTGACATTTGATCAAAACTTCAAGTAAGGTCAGAGTGCACACGGTCAGAAGGAACACCAAGAGGACGCTCATCTACTCAAAAGAAACGAGCCAACGACGCGGACATTTTGTTAATCATGTCTCTAAGTGTAATACAATAACTGGTGCAACACTAGTGGTGAAATCATGTTCAGAGTGGAGCCCGGAAACAGCTGGACCTTTCCCTTCTTCTGCTAACGAATTCCTGTTTTAGCTTTGATTAAGAAAAAAAAAAAAAAAGGATAAAACTTTAATCGATTTATTCTTGATAAATACTCACTTTAACTGTGATAATGCATATATTCAGGGTTTGTTTTGCCAACAGCTACCTACCATGTTTTAGGAAAAGTATTTTAGCATAAAAGATAATGGGTTGTTTGGCATAGACATAGTTGGTGGAGTGTGTCGGTGTGAAGATTCAAAGACCTACAGAAGAAAAAAAAAAAAAAGAAAGATCCAAAATAAACAGTTATTGTAGTATAAGAAAATACTTCTTTACAGTAGATACTTGTTGATGAAAAAAAGTTTCTGCACTGCTCCCTCTCCTGGTTGTAAATGTTATTGTCTGTCCATGAGTGCAGGCCACAGAACAAAATGGTCTGTTTAGGAAAGAGGTGTAAGGCAAATTGTACCTTCTCTACTGAGAAATATACATGATTTACAGTATGGAAGTCGCCTCCCCCAACCATGTCATGTGTTCACGTACAACCATTAAAACAAAACAGAACATAAAAAGACCAGTCTTCTTCACATCCATAGACATCTGGCAGTTTCAAAACACCTCTGCACAGCCTGTCAGAACATTATCAGAGCATTTCATACATATTTGGATGTCTTTAGTCTTGCAAATTATTGTTGCGCCCACAAACACTGTAAGAAGCGAGTGTAAGAAAGGCAACAGTGCCGACGGGGTCCTCTTTCTCCTGTTAGGAGATATCAGGCAGGCAATGCCAAATTCCCAAGAAATGACATCCAAAGCATTGAGATGATCCCCGTGTGTTGTGTGTTCAAGTCCACCGGGGCCGAGTGAGATGTGGCTGTCAGTCCACATCCACTTAGAGACCGGGTCTCTCTGTGGTTCAGGGTGACCAAATCTTTCTTCGTTAGAAGGTTTACATAATCCTTTCATTTGTTTTTTCTTCTTTTTTTTTTTTTTGCAGTTACGTTTCAGTAGCTCCTCTCCTCAAAACAGATTCTCCTCAAAGATAGCCATTAAGTCACTTTGGAAATTCATGTCAATAGTTGCTGCCATCTGGAACGAGACGGAACAAGAAGAATCATTTAGTTGGCGTCGTCTGAAAATTTCTGATACAAACTTTTAAGATGCTAACTGGTATCAAAAACTCTCAAACTTAGTGTCTCACCGCTTCCTGCCGTCTCCTCTCCTGCTCTCGGCGACGTGCTAGTTCTCTCTGTTGGTCTAGTGGGTTCTGAGCAGCAGGCTGAGGTGGCGTGGGGGGTTGAGGAGGTTGCTGAATTGTGGGCTGGGGCTCTGGCTGCGTCTGCTGTTGCTGTTGCGCGGGAGCTTGGATGTGCTGCTCCGGACGCCTGCGTGGCTCTTTGTGCACCCTCCTGCTCGGCTCTATGATGTCCTCTTCATCCCGACCTCTGGAGAACAAACAGCAGAATAAGTCTCAGTAAGTGAGGCGAGATACTTGTGGTATTGCTACAGGAGCTTCACAGCTGGATGGCTGTCTTAAATATGTGAGAGTATAAGCAGTAAATCAAAAACACACTGGCGGGAATAAAATAACCATATTTTTCAGGTGATAAGGCGCACCGGATTACACAGCGCACTGTGAATTAACATGTCTGTGTTCACACGTAAGGTGCACCGGATTGTAAGGCACATTAAGCATTGATTGATTTATTGTTGGTAGTGTGTAACTTGTAGACTGCTCAGGGGTCCTGTTATGGGGCCGAGTAGGTAGTGACACAACATAACACAGTCGTACTTTCACATTTCGACAGATTTTTGAGCACATTGTACCACATAAAACCAGTCAGTGAGCACAACAAGTAATCATACATAAAATCCGCTGGATTATAAGGTGCACTGTCAATTTTCAAGAAAATTTAAGGATTTTAAGTGCGTCTTATAGTCCAAAAAATATAATAATCCTTCATATATTCAATTCAAGGTTTACAAAGAATTTAGAAAATATTTCCTGGTTCTCGCTGCCTGAAAAAAACTCCCAGTACTTTCAGCTGAGTCTGTGAGGCTGCTGCAGTTCCACGTTGTGGCCACCAGAGGGCATGGCATATCTTTACAATACAATCTCCTTTATGCTGAAGGGTTTTTTGAGTCTGTGGCAGAATCTGTGAAATAATTCTACTGTATTATGAAAACTGCACATAAGCTAAAAAAAGAAAAGGCCTCTATGACGGTTTTGTTGAGCAGACACAGTAAATTAAAGCTTCTCTCTTAATTCCTCATGATAGATAATGTGGCTGTCTAGATATTTTCTCCAATTTCTTCCTGGCAACCTCACCGAAGTTTGTCCTGTTCTCTGCGTAGCCTGTCCTTTTCCGCCTGCTCGGCTTGGGCCTTGAGGGCTTTCTCCCGCTCCTCTTTTTCCCGGGCAGCTCTACGGAACTGTTCGAAGCTGTCGCTCGAGGACTTTACTGCACACAAGGGCGTAGATGTGGACTTTTGTGCCAGGCTGGCCCACGAGCCCATGTTCTTCAGTTTTACATCCTGACAAAGTAAAAAAGCAGAAAAAAGATATGGTCACAATTTTTTTTAGCGCTTTAGGATTAAACCAAATAACTTCAAAAAAAGTGACGGTTACACTTACTTGTACTTTTTTGGAGATGATATGGGCCTTAGACTCCTGCTTAAACTTTTCCTTGTCTTGCAGAGAGGATGGTGGCCCGCTAGGCTCAGAGGAGCGGATGACGGGTCGTGAGCTGTCCATGGACTTCACATCTACTCAAGAGCAGAAAACGCACACAGGCACGGCCTCAATATCACATGCAGCTTTGTAATTAACATTTGATTGAAATCCTGGGAGAAAGAAAGGAGAAAACTCACTCTGTTGGCCATGGCTTGGTTGAGGAGGCTTGCTATCAGGATGTTTGTTATGTTCTGGTCTCATTTCAGGGTTGAACGGCTCTCCTCTCATCACGGGTGATAAAGGAAGTTTCTCCTCTTTTAATCCACCTTGACTCACAGGGGCTCTTTGCTGCATTAGAGGAAAAGTAAGAGGTGAGACATTGCAGCGCCAACATCATGTTTTCACACGCTTGTGTCAGACCGGTGCTCACCTTTTTGGACTGCATGTTGTGAGGGGGAGAATGGTGAGAGACAGGTGGGTACTGAGGAAGTTGTGGGGAATGCATCATTAAAGGTGAAGGGTTGTCCCTCACATTACCTGCCAAAACAATAGAGAGAGTAAAACAACAGTTAACTTGTGCAGTGAGTGAAAAAGTCCATTTTGGTATCGTCCTCGCTGACTCACCAGGGTTGTAAGGGTCGGCCTTTGCTGGACGAGGGGAAGGCTGTTCTTGCTGCTGTTGGATGATCTGCTGTGCTTTGTTGGTGGGCATGGGTACTTTGTGTTGTGATCCTTGGGACTGTCCAGCCAGCCCAGGAACCTGCTGGTAGTTCAGTTGCTGCTGTTGCGGCTGCTGCTGCGGCTGCTGTTGACTGTGCTGCATGTGGCGGGCCTGGTGCAGAGGCATCTGCTGGGATGGCCCCTGATGTTGTGGGGCTGGCTGAGTCTGGGACTGAACAGGAAGCTGTGGAGGAGGCAGTGTGGGTTGGGAGATTTGTGACTGTGTCTGAACAGACTGTAGAAGAGAAGTGGGCCCTGGTTGTGGTAGTAGTTGTTGTTGCTGCTGCTGCTGACGCGCCTGCAGCGATTGCATGGACTGTTGAGGCTGGCGGGCCTGCTGGAACTGCTGCAGGTATAACTGTACTTGGTTCAAAGGCGTCGTAGACCCTGGCTCTTCATCATCCTCGAGAAGCATCTGAGGAGGCTGGGAAGACAGCAGGCCCTGGGGTGTGAGCGTTGGAGGGGACAACGGCCGCTGGTGCAGGGGCTGAGGAGGATGGAGGATCTGAGGCGGGAGCTGGTGCTGTGGTGGAGGCGCCGGCTGGGGCTGGAGCTGCTGCTGCTGCTGTTGTGGCTGCTGCAGGGGGGGTTGCTGTTGAGGAGTTGCTGGTTGCTGCTGAGGGGGTTTGGGATGAAGTGGGGCTGCCTTGTGACTGGGTCGAGAAGGCTGCTGGGGCATGGAACTGTGCAGGGCTACACAGTCCCAGGGCAAAAACGAGAAGACATTAAATCAATCATTTAATTCATCAAATATCGAAGCATGAAGCTATTTTATAAGGCTGTCTAAGTGAGGATTTATGAACATTTTATTTTCCAAGAGCAAATTTGTGACTTTAACTTGTGGCATGAACCAATTTCGGCACCCCCAGGAGAAAGCAGTCATTGTTTATCTTGTTCTCACCATGCATAATTAGAAGTATGTTACAAAAAATCGCATCCTGCTGACTTCAGACAGTCTGAAGTATTTATTGTGAATATAGTTTATGTGGAGATTGTAAAAACAGGCTCTTTCCTTAGTTGCTCAGCTCAGTCTACCCCCCCAGTTTCTTATATTATCTTTATATTTATAACTGCATTTTTGCACTTTGTCTGTGATGCTGCTGTGAAAAAAAAATTCCCCCATGGGGGATCAATAAAGGAATATTCTATTCTATTCTATATTAAAAATGAAATGAAAAAATTAAAAATCTAAAAGATTGTCGATCTTGTCAGTGATGGTCATTTTTGCTTTTGTGTATAAAAAAAAAAAACATGATTACCAGTTTCAGTCAATTTCTCTCATGCCAAAAAAATTCACAGAAGCTTTAAATCAAGTTATAAAACTACTGAGAGTAGCTGTTCTCTTCAGGGTTCTACGCAGTTGTAATTTTCATAATTTTCCATACCCTACTTTATAGAATTATTTTTGAAAATACCTTCTTCTCTATTTTAGAAAACAGTATTTTAGAACTGTGGTAAAAGTCTGGAAACAATAATTTTCTATACTTTATTTCTCATTTTCCATACTTTTTAAGACCTGGAAATTGATCAAATTTATTTCCATACTTTTCTATAATTTCTCTAATTTCTCTATAATATCTCTTGGAAAGTGTTGTTCATCCAAAGTGTACACCAACAAAAAATGTGACTGTTTACAGAGGGGAATTATCATTCTTTACACAAACATTGCTATCTTTGTTTCCATGTTCAAGAAAGTGCAGGAACAGATCTGGACGACTGAATTTGTGGCTGAATGACTCTGAAAAGGCCTCTGAAATCCTCCTTTACCTGGAGATGTTAGGATGGGATGCTGGTTGAGGAAGGGGTGGGTCTCTGGCGACACTGGTGCAGCAGAGTGAGCATTAAGATGTGGAGGTGCGGGTGAAGAGGAGTTGCCTGTGTGGTGGGACAGATGCATGAGGGGCTGACCAAAAGGTGGCAGGGACTCGAAACTAGTCTCCAGCAGCTGTGAAGATTCCAGGGGAGCTACAGGGGGGACAGTAAATCCTGCAGGAGACGGTTGGTGCTGTTGCTGAAGGTGCTTCAACTGACTGCTGGGCTGAAGTCCTGCAGCTTGGGAATGAAGCCCCATCTGAGCAGGGCCACTCTGAACGTGAGAGTGCATCTTCTTCCCCTCCTTCACCGACTGACTCTTTTTCTTTTGCTGCTTTATTGTTCCTGAAATTGAGTGAAATAAAGAAAAAGCATTTAATTTTCTAATTCTGATGATGGGGGTTTTGGCCAGTAAAATTCTAAGTAAATCACCTGTGCCCTCTACTTCGCTGTCTGAGCTGGAGCCACTGCTGTCTGAGGAGGATCCAGTCTTTTTGGAGGTAGCCATGGACTCCACAGGCTTCTCAACTGCAAAAAGAAAACAACTTTCAAAATGCAAATCTACAGAGGGGACTTTAACCGTTACTAATGCGTAAACTTAGCTGCAAAACCAGAAAGTAAGTAAACTGCCTGTTTTCTAAGCAGCCTAACCTGTAACTTTCTTCTTCTTGCGTGACAGACAGGAAGACACATATCTCTCGAGTTCACGTAGAGTGGAAGGCTTTAGTGTCTCAAAGTCGATCTCGATCTCATCTGGATTCGAGTTTTTGAGTGAAGGCTCTCTGGACTGGATGATATGCACTACACGGCCGAGCTTGTCACCCGGAAGCTTGTTGATGTCCAAGCTAAGCTGCCTCTTCTCCTCGTATGTCATCGGCTTGCACTTTTCCCCTGAAGCTGACGGCCCAGACGCTCCCAGGTCATCCTCTAGGCTGGGAACTGGCAGTAGGTTGGAGGGATGATTGTTTTTCATCCCTTCCTTTTTACTACAATATAAAAGACACAGTAGAAACATGTAAATGCATCTCAACATATGCTTCATAGTCTACAGGGTACCCCTTAAACTAATTCACAAACACAGTCATAGAGGATGAACATAAACTGAGGGAGGGTAAGACTGAGTTATGCAGTGATAGATTAAAGATACATATATGATTGGATTACATGGAGAAAGTCAACACAGTGAAATGCCCACCTCTGTTTCTTCTTGGGTACGACTTCTTTGATGTTATTACTGTTTTTTGTCTTCTTGGACAGCTGTGAAACAGGTGTTGCCTCCTGGATCTCTTCTACAAGTCCAGGCATTCCTCCTTTCTTTTTATGCTTCTCCTTCTTCTTCTCCTTTTTGTCCTTCTCTTTTCGCTTTGGTTTGCTGGCTTGCGGTTGAGACAAGGCAGCCAGCTGCTCGTGGACAGCCTTTAACTGTGTCAAGAGAGGAGAAGAGACCGACTCTCAGTTAAAAGGGCAACAAAGGGCTGGACTACAGGTTTGTGACAGTCAGTACACTCAGCTGCTCACTGACCTGTTCCTGAAGTTCAGCCAGTCTCTGGGCTCTCTCCTCTTCGGAGTCATCCGTCGAGGATTCAGATTCAGAGGACGAGTCACTGGAGCTGTCCGAAGAGGAGGCGACATGGGCAAGAGGAGGCTGGGGCTTGACAGGGGCAGGATGGTGAAGAGCAGGAGCTGGGGTAGAAACCAGAGGCTTGCACTCGGGTTCATCTGGCATCTTGGCGAAGCGCATCTCAAAGACATCCTTGGTAAGAAAAAAAAACTTGTTAGACAAAACTTTTCAGACGAGTAACCCTCAATTTCCACCGTATCCGGAACGGCTTCGAAAAGGCCGTTAGCACTGATCGCAGCTGATTATTATTTCAAACCTACTATTTAATGACAAAACTACAGTACCAAACAACATTACGCAAAGTTACAAACACTCCCAAGCTTCTTTTCCGTCTTAGTTTTTTGACTTTTCTCTTTGTATTTTTGATTTACTAAGAAACACCAAGAGAAAATGCTGAGTTGATGATATATAGAATTTTTCTAATATTCAATCAAATCAAAAATGTTGGCTAAAGCAGTAACCACTATTTCTGTCTACATAGCTTTATGTTTATATATAAAAATAGAGGCTCATAACAAAAAGATCAGTTCAAGTAAAGCTACCAGTGTTTGCGTGTGTATTATATGTAATAGTAATTTGTATTTACCTGGAGTTTACGTGCCATAGCTACCACCTCATGGTCTGGTGGATTATACTTGTAGCAGTTAGAAAACATTAATCGAACATCAGCAGCGAACTCCTGGGGCTCCCGGTACTGCCTGTTCTCCAGCTTAGCCTGTGGAACATTGAAAGAGTCCTAAATACTCGCCACAACACAAAAACCTCTCTCTCTCACATGTGATATTGTTGTCAGACTCATCCACACACCTTGATGGTACTGAGGTCCATTGGATGTTTAATGATATCGTGATAATCATGTAGTCCCAGTGCATCCACATCAACAGGCTTGTAGAAAGGCCAGGCGTAAGCAGCATGTTTCTTAGACAGCATGTCCCGAACCAGACTAGCACAGTAGCCGAGCTGATCCTGTGGTTTTGGGCTATGACCTCCACTTGGTCCACTCAGTCCTACCCCGATGCCTATTTGATGCTGGGAGTCTGGAGCATCCTTCTTTATTAGTTTTGAAGGTCGTGTACTCTCTCGCCTGGGTAGCGTCTTCCCAGATTTGGACTCTGCTGGCGAAGACTCGCTCAATTGGTCATTTGCTGTGGGCGTTGTAGTGTCTGCTTTTCTTTTCTGGCTCTTTCTTTGCTGGATAGAGATTGATACAAAAAAAAAACAAAGAATTTGGCAAAAGGGTAAGGAAATGTATGATAAGGATGTGAGAAAAAAAATCAAAAACACCTTTGTAATTCCTCCAAGCACAGTCAAAAATGTTCCCTTTTTTATTTCCTGTGTTTATCAGACTTACTTTGGTCATTGTGATAGGGTTTTGCAGCATAGGGGCAGGGCTCTGGAGGGATGCTGGAGGAAGGGAGGTCTGAGCAGAGGGAGGCACAGAAGTCATGATGGGAACTTGAGAAGCAACGTCTGGTTGGCCCAAAGAGTAGGGAGCTCCAAGCTGGGGCGCATGACTCGATAACGTCGGGGGCATGAGGGTCGGCAGGGCCTGCATCAAAGGCTGGGGAGGTAGTGAAGGCGGACCCTGGACTGGTGCTCTGGTCTGGGGTGCTGCTGAGAGATTTGAAAGACCACGCGTTTGAGGAGTCGTGGACGACGCATCAATGATGGCCCCTGGTTTTAAGTTCAGACCTAGACCTAGAGAACAAGACACGGTGAAAACATCCTCTTTGTGAATTCGTGAAAAAATATACACAACTCCAAGACAAGGAAAGTTGGGATGCTTTGTCAAACATTGATGAAAACACAACTTCACAGTTTACAAGTTTTTTGAAACAGTACTCAGGCAACATAATAGGAAATTCTATTGTTCTATGAAAAACACATTTTTGCTTTAAATTTGATGCCAGCAACAAAATAAAGTTTGGACCGGGCTGATGTTTGCCGATATGTTGCAACACGTATCTCCAAACAACGCTCTGTAAATGTTTGGGAGATGAAAAGACCAGATCCTGGCATTTTAAAAATGAAATGCTGCTACAGGATCTCAATGAGAAACAGTCCGGGCTCTACTTTGTTGTATACTTTGTTTCATGATCCACCTAATAGTTTGAATTGGTGACAAGTCAGGACTACAAGGATGCAAGTTTAGTACCCGGGGCTTTTCAGCTGCAGAGCTATGCCTTTGTAACAAGTGCCGAATGTGGTTTGGTTGACTTGTTGAACTATGCATGGCCTTCCCTGAGAAAAGGATATTGTTTGGATGGTAGCATTACAAGTGTCCTTCCAGATGCATGAGCCTATACTTGTTTTAATCATCTTATTTTTTTACAGTGTCCGAACTGAAATTGGGATTGTATACAGACGTGAAAAGCTTTAATACAGACCTGCATCTTTCCGGCCTCGGCCACGTCCCTTCCCTGTCATGACAACAATCTCAATTTCTTCCTGAGGCATTTCTGAGACCTTTTGAAGGAACGCCTTCTCCAGTGCCTCAGCCATTAACACTATGTCATCTCCGGGCTGCAGAGGGAGACAAACACTTTTAGATTCAGCAGAAAAATACGCTTGAAACTTCATGGTAGGAACAACCCAAGTATTCAATTATGTTACCTTGTTGTAAATGTAGCAGTTGGTAAACATCGTGTTGAAGTCTTGAATACATTCTTGGGCATTCCTGTAGAAACTGTTCTCAAGCCTTTTCTTGATTGTTCCCATGTCCATAGGATTTTTGATTATTGTGTAGTAGTCCTGTGAAAGTTACACAAGAGTCAGTATCATTGCTCTCTATTAAGCATTTTTGTCAACACGGCTCTTTTTCATGATTATCCTGATTTAAAATGGACCCTTGTCTTTGCCAATAAATGCATGAAATTCATGTTAACAAAAGTATCAGTGTTCTCTGTTTGGCTTTTTCAGCTTCTGTAAAACAAAACAAAACACAAAGCACTAGATATTTGCAAAGCATGCCAGTGGTTAAAAAAATATATTAATTAATCTTTCTAATCAACTCTTGGGTCAATGGCAGGTCAATGGACGTATAAAAACAAAATTCAGAACACGATTCTGCTGTAGCTGCAAAAGTACGTTAAAATTGTACAATACTGAACGGCACATTCACCTTTTCTGCTGTTACTTTAGCTATGTTGCATTATCTTTGCAGAATTATGAAGAATTTGCACACTTCAATAAACAAATCATAACATGTAAGAAAAGATGATTTGTGCAGCTCCAGATGCTTCCAGGTGGAAATTTGATTGTGAGTCAGTACTTACAGGCAAGTTAAGTTTTACTGCATCCACTGGTGCATGGAAGGGCCAGGCAAACTGGTGCTTCCACAGGGTCTTTACTACCATCTTGAGCAGGTATTGCAGCTGATTAGTCTGGCGCTTCGGCCTACTGGGATCAATACACTCTGGGGGTTGAGGGTTATTCATTGAATGGGCCTGCCCCTGGCTGCTGCTGCCCGACATCTGCGCTGCATCCACACCGTCCCCCATCCTAACAGGGTTGGGCGTGGGCTCGGGCCCCGGAGCGGGAGCTGGAGCAGGGGCAGGGGTAGTGGCGTTGGCAGGACACCAGTTTAGTCTTGGCCCCGGCACAGACTCCACTGACAGAGCACTGCTGATCCCATTGCACTCTTCGCTGGACTCTCTGTAGAGATAAAATAGCACAGTGTCATTAGAATGTCAATGAATACACTTTCTGGTAAATTTCACTGATCTTTATCCTCAATGAAAAGATATCTGATCATCAAGCTCAATATCAAATTTTAATATGACTGAAATTAATCCATCACTCATCACTTCAACTTAAGTCTTTGAATATCATAGGATTCATTTTTTCCCATCGTCTTTTTGAATCCAGTTACACACTAATTTCACGGTTTAGGTGATGCTTAAACATTAAAGTGACAGCTTGTAAAAACCACAAACCCTTCCCCAAACAACTGCATTCACTTAAACCTTAAAATCTGTGCTCTCTTTGTTTATGTAATGGTATGTTTTTAAAATAATAAGAAAGTGTCTAAACAAAAGTGGTTCTGTTCTGCGGTTAACTATCAGCTTTCTCAAGACATCAAACAACTCACAGCACAGACTAACTCTTTTTTAAGCATTTCCCTTTCCATTTAAAGGCACTATGGGAAATTTTAACTGGTTGTCAAAAGGACTGAATTTGATACTGATGTTTTTTTTATGACTCTCAAAAGCTACAAAACAATCCACAATAAGGTTGATAATAGGGGTGGGAGAAAACAATCAATACAGCATAGTGTCCTGATATTTTGTTTGGTGATATATCGTATCGTCTCATTGACTAAGTATTGATTTATGCAAGTTAATTGCTAATATGAAGTCAAATCTATGATAATTCAAAAATAAAATCGACTGTTTGTCTAGTGAGGTTGGCAGAGGTGACATCATAAAGCAGGAGAAAGTTAGTGCAATAAATATAAGGTTTGAAAGATGTGCTACATGAAAATTAAATACAGTGTAAATAAGACAAACATAAAGGAAAGACAAATGCTAAATCAGCTCAACTGTTGAAAAAAATTGTGTAAATCGCAATATCTTGTATCGCAATACTAACTGTATTGCAAAATGTTAAAAATTGCAATAATATCGTATCGTGGAGCCACTAGTGATTCCCACCCCTAGTTGATCATTTATTGGACATCACTGTTGAGGACTCAAACTGCCATGAAGGAGTAGGTATTGGACCCGATGACTCACTGCAGACTGAAGAAACACAATTTACAAACTATTATATGGCAAATACTTAAAGTGTGTGACATGTTTCCTTTTACAAGACAACAGGGTGAGTTTATTTTTCTGCAAACACCACTGTCTCGTGTTCAGGAAAAGATATAAGAGGTATCACTTCGTTTATGAATGAAACACTGATACCACTAAACTATTGACGTTCATTGATTCAAGAGTGAGTGTTGACTGTTTAGAGTTGTACCATCTGCTTACATAATTTGCTCTAGATTTGATGGTTTAGGTTTTTGCGTGTACGCTTCTAAAACATATCTGTGTCCCTAGCTAAGAGACTAAAGTCACTGTTTCGTGCGCAGTCCTACATGATGTCCTCTCCCAGGAAGCCAGGGACGTCACATCCAAGATACTGTTTAGACAAGGCAGTCACAAGGTCAAAATAATAAACTAGAGCCGTGTGACTAAAAATAGATTGAGGAAGGAAGAGTTTGATGGATTAAAGAACCAATCATGACATTAACACATTCAAACCAACAAAACAAAAAAAAAGTCTCAGTCTCCCCGTATGTTGAAATCCATACTACATAAAGCCAGGAAGATAAAACACCCCATTGTATAGATCTGTGACTAGTCTCACTCTTGATGAGTCATTTTTCTGAGAAGAGGCAAACAGTTTGTACACCACATGATCACTGCCTTGGCCTCTGAATGCACTGAAATGCAGCAGAGAATGTGACTAACTGACCAATATATTGAATGACAGCACATGAAAAGAAACTGTACTCGCCAACACAGATGGTACTTAAAAGGCAGGAAGCTAAAATAACTCACAAATAAGACTAAAATAAGTAAGCCCCGAAGGCACACAATGTCTATGAGCGTTTTCCAGCTAACGGCAGCAAACCTCTAAAATTATATAGTTACTATTCATGATATAGTAACTGCTTTAGGAGGATTTCAGCTAGAAAAGGCGGCTCTTGATTTAAGAAAAAAAAATCATAATCTAACTTAAACTGTCAAAAGTAACACTGAACAATATGATTGATTAAAAAGATTCAGCTGAGCTTTAAAAAACTGTCTCCATTTACAAATCACTCATTTTATTTTTCTGTCTGAGGAGGTGTTTTTACTAATTTCTTCCTGATTATAATACTGTTATTTTGTCACATGAGAAAACGCAAAAATAGCTGACCTAACCAAACCAAACCAAACCAGAAAAACAACATAATGTGAATATTATCAGGAAGTCAAATACAGTCTTTTCAATATCAAGCAATCAATGAAAACTGTTAAATGCAGTTTTGTTCATCATTTTAACAATACATTTGAGTTATAGTCACAATATAAATAAATATTAACAATAATAATTTTGTTTTAGGATTGATAATATATAAAAGATGGCCTTGAACAGATCTAATAGCTTCATCTTCCTCTCTATATATTGCACACAGGTATACACAATATTGGATTTTTGCTGATATCTGATACACCAGTATTTTGAAACTCATATTGGCCAACACCAATATCAATATACTATGTACACACTACCTTTTTTCATTGTAAAGAATACACCAAGTCTCCCCCGTTGGTCATATTGTTAGCTGATTCACAGCTAACATATGACCATTTTAAGCTAGTATCTGCTATGTTAGTTTGTACAATGGTAATTGTACATCAAATCAGTGAGTAAAGGACATGGCCCTAATATTTCTATTTTTCGTTACGGTCATTGAGACTTAACTGTACAAGGATGTTGTCCCAATTCAATTTCCCAGTGGAAGTAACTTCATAAAAACTTATTAATATGAAAAAGAAGTCTTCTATGAGAACTAAATCAAAATGCAGTCACAACAGCAGCTCAATCTAATTATTTTTTTCACTGCCGATCAAATTACTCTAGGAACTGTCATGGAAATCACACAACAGCAAAAAAGGGTATGTCTGGGAAAACTTTTGGTAAAACAGTGAATAAAAGAGGAAGCATTGAACACATCTTATATAGTATTCAGACTTAACTACAAACATGAGGTAAATCTCAAAAGATATGCTTCAACAAAACTCACTGGGTCTCTACTTTTCAGACCAGATTACATTTTTTCAACAGCTGCGGCCAATACCACTGAAATTGATAGTCAATTTCCTTTTTCTTTTTATTTCGCATTTGACTAAATGTAACTATCCAATAATACTAACAAATAAAAAAACTAAGTTACTGAAGTTGAGTCAACATCTTGCCAAACAAATGTAGATTGAATAATATTAGGCTCAGTGAAATATTGCCACAGGGGGCTTTTGGATTTCTGTCCAGCTATGTGAAATACTTGAGAGAAAAATACCGTACTATAAAAGGTAATTATTGAGGTTAAACAAACAAACAAACAAACAAACAAAAAAGAAGTCACGTACAGATTCATTAATAAAGGCTTCCTAGAGCTACATGTTATAAGGATATAACCACACTCACTAGATGCAGGAACAGATAAGGGGAAAGCCCCAGTTGTGCTTCCAAAGAATGCAAGCTGAGAAAGGAGGAACAGATTGTGAATCAAACTATTAGACACTCCTGCTGTTCCTGGTTGAGGCAACAGTAAAAGTCCAAAAGTTTGGGTTTGTTCAGTCTAAAAAGTTAAACCTGTCAAATATTGTGTAAAAATAATGAAGTCCAAAAATATGTGAACACAGGCCAAATGGCACTAAGGAAAACACAAAGATTAAATTGTTAAAGTTATACTACATTTACAAGATCACTCGTAAAAATTAATCTGGGCTGTTATAATGGTATCATTCAAACATTGTTCAACACTGCCAGTTAATCCTCGAGACACCAATTAAATGTTTACAGCTAATAGGTGCAGCGGGCCGTGCAAAAAGACACTATGAGCATAACTTTGACGAGGTCATGATAAGTTAATGGAGTAAGGAAGTGTTTTATTATGTAGCTGTGTGGTAGTACTGGTTCTTACAGCCATGTATAAGCAGGTGAAATCATGAAAGACACTGCCCTGAACGGGTGAAATAATTGATTTTCTTATCAACAGCCACAGAACTTTGTCACAGAGAAGAAACTGCCAGCCTCTTACGCTGATATCATGCCAACTGTCTGTCAATAAGAGTCAAAGTTACCAACCTTTCCAAAGCTTCTGTCGAAACTCCTGTCCATCTGACATTTTTTAGATAGAGACGCCCAACTACAACCAACTGACAACATAGAGCTGAAAGCTGACTCTTTACACTGTCAGTTCAAGGATGGCCTTTCAATATAACGTCATGAAGGTGTGAGGGTGTGACGAAGTCTCATTGGCTACTCTGAGGTGCCTTATTTCCAAGTCACTTAGGATATGTTCACACTGCAGGTCAATTCCGACTTTTTAACCACATGTGACACATATCTGTTTTTTTCATGTAAGTGTGAACAGTGCAATTCTGATTTTTTCAAATCCGACCCAGGCCTCTTTTGTATGTGGATATAAATCGGATATGTATTTGATGTGACTGCAGTGTGGACGGTCAGGTCGCATTCATCCGACCTATACGTCATCAATATGCGACAAACTTCACCATTTTTCGACAACACAAACAGGCGCGGAAAGCAATTGTGCTTTGTGTGCATGCGGGTCACTTCACGGACGCATTCCGTTCACATTAGATGCCCCATTTGTTGTTTTAATGTGAACGACCGCACAGAAAGATCGGATTTAACAAAAAATCCGAATTGTGCATCATAACCTGCAGTGTGAACGTAGCCTTAAATTAAGACTAACCAATCAGTACACATAAAGGTTGAACATAAGTTAATTAACATAACTACACATGGATCACACAATGTGGGTGAGAGATGTGAGAATGATCTGCTCAGTGTTTCCAACATTAACAAAGCTCGCACCACAAGCCTATTAACTCTTGTATATGACGCTGAACATTTTAGTTTTAATGTAGCAGTAGCGAGAGGCATTTAAGCTGTAAGTTAAAGTTTGTTATATTTCAATTTTATGTTAAGACTTTGAGCACAGAATACAAAAAGAACAAACCACAGGAAACTGGATCATAACTGAAAAATACTTGGTCAGAGAGCTGCTCCTATCGTATATTCACCAGTCAAGGGGCTCTTTACACCTCTGTGCTCCATCAATTTTCAGTTGATAATGTTTGGGTGGCTTGACAAAGATGGAATTGGATGCAAGAATCATAAACACGACCTCTATTAGAAACGCTGTTGGCCGAAAGAGTTGGGTGAAGTTTCTGTCAGTGGCTCCATTGGCAGGTGTGAGTAGAACCTGCATTTTTCAGGAAATTCCAAAGGACAATGGCGGGAAAAGGATGAAATTCAAGTGCTTCATCGTTAAAAGCATAAACAAAATTAAAATGTGGAAGAGGTTTTCATGGGCTTTGTATGTCAACCCAAATGCACTGTCACTCACAGAAGAGAGATAACAGTGCAGCTAAAAACATCTGGATGCAATAAGTAAAATTTGTGCGGCACTGTGGCCCAAATGAATTCTTTCCAGAAAATTCCAAGACTCCAAACCTTTGTAACCTGTATTCCTGTAAACCAAAAGAAACGATGTATTAAACAAATACATGAATTCCAAAATGTGTTATTAAAAATTTGAGGAAGGATGAGAATTTTATTTTCGCCCTCTTCAGCACCATTGTCTGTGGTTCCTGTAAAGATCATGTATTAACCAACAACAGGTGACTATGTCAACAAGCTATTATTTGCCTCTTAGATTGGCTGTGAAGTTTTTTTTATACCTAATTACCTATTATTAATTGTCAATATACAGAACAGTACTCTACTGTACTTTATGCGGTCTAATTTTAACCACCACTCTCTCAAAGACTATTAAGATTTCTCACCATGATCAGGGGATAATATACTTAAGGGTTACTGTACTGAGAAAAATGGAGACAGACAGGGAGCCTGCATATATGTAATGCTGATGTGAAACAATAACTGGTCATTTGATCATGGAGCCTGGTGAGGCCCTTTGTAACTCTGGTGTCATGCAGAGCTACAGCTGTCTCATAGGAACATGCCTTTCACAGACAGGTTCAGAGTGTTGATAGATTTGGGCACTCAAATTTTCGAGCAGGAGAAAGTCCTAAAAAACAGAGTTTGTTTATCATCCAGTAGGACAACACCTCTGCTAATGGGCACTTCATGTCCAGATTGCTGACATGTTGGCTTCAGTTCATGGGTTGCTGTCCTGTTTAGGGTGTCAGTCACTTTGCACATGGCATGAATATATTTGAGAAGACTCACAAGTCATCCAATACAGCCAAACAGGCTGAATGTAAGCCCACTCCAGTCAGCTTGTATACTTCTAGCAGCAGTGGGATTGACATTAGAAAAAAGGAGCAGGACAAGGGCATAATCAACATGGTTCAAACTTTTCAAAAATCCTAGGGATGGAAGCAGTCAAGTAGGGCTCCAACTTATTGGAAAAAAATTATGATACTGTAATTTTTTTCTGTTTCAAATGAGGAGCTGAGTGTAAATGGATGTGATTTCAGATAGAAATTAACTGTAGATTAGTCGGATACAACAAGGCAGTGCTGTCAGCATAACATTGCTTTAAGTGCATGGTATCAGAAAGTGTGGGAAATTTTGACAACCCTACATTGTATGGGGGATTTCAGATTGACTGGACAGAGCAGAGAATGAAAATCTGTTAAACTCTTGGACTAAAAGTGGGGCTTATGAATATAAGTGTGATTGGGCATGGTTAATTCAGAAACACTTGGTTGAAATCTTTGCGACAGCTATGACATCAAGTTTTGAGATTAAATAAGGCATTAAACTACCCACTATATCACATACAGTATCACTGCTTTATGATTTGGAGAGTCTTAGTAGTTACAAGTTTGAGCTGCTTCTGCTTTTACGGTAGTTGCAGGATGACTAATTACTGACTTGTCTTGAGGTAAGCAACGTTAAAAACCTCTCAGTTTTACAGCGTCTGCAGGTTAGCGAGGCCATGTTGATTTTCTAAGCGTGGCTAGCATTAACCAATCTAGCACCACTAGCCTTACTTCCTCTGTGCAGGTTATATGCTGCATGTCTGTCCGGGTGACGCATTGGTCTTGTCTGTTATATTACAGTTGAAACAGACGTAGCCTACTTTCTTATCCTGAATCAAAGTACTTCCAAAATCTGTCACAAAATGCCATCTGCAATCTGTGTTTGTTTACATCGGACTAGAGCATTATAGTATTATGGCAGCGGCTCCTGCTAGTGGTGTGTGACTAGACAGAACAAATGATGGGCAATGGAGACCTACCATCATGAAAATAATAATTTACTAAACGACTATTTATTCTGAGACCAACTAACAATACAGATGTGTAGTCTGTAGTCGACTAAACATGAAACAAGAATGAGAGAGTCCAAATGACACAGTGAAATGAGCCTAAGATAAGGCTGAATACAACCAAGTAATTCTTTTGGGACACGTGTGAAGCAATTGACTTTTCTTTTATCAATTGTGGTTGCGACAGTGACTGTTACAGAATTTGTCTCTGCAGCTGTTTATCACAAGGTTACAAGCTTTTTTTTTTTTTTTTAAGTCTCCTGGTACTGATTACAAGCACTGACTGCATGAGTCAGTGCTTGAGCACACACTCTGACTCAAATAGACTAACTCTGAGTCAAGCACATTATAACAGGAATAAAGGAAGGTTTCTGCCAGCTCTTCTAGGCTGGACTTCCAGCTGGTTAAGGTGAGCACGCCAAACCCTACCAGGAATTACGAGTCATTTCTACTACTGCCACAAACAACCCCCCCTCTTCCTCCATTGGCCTTTCTTCCCCCCACACCCCTTCTCTCATCAGGAGGTGAAAGTATTGCTTGTGACTGAAAACTGGATAGAAATACTACTATCAACACAATGTAGTAGGCAACTGAACTGGATGGTCATTTTACCATGTAAAACTAGAGATGATGCCAACCACATGATAAACCCAAGAATATAATTTCAGGCCATCTCTCACAAAAACCTTCCCCTAAATGTGTGGACCATATAGATTTATCACTCAATATTGGCATACATGTAAAAGATTATAAAGTAGATGTCACTTGAATTTCTCAAAACTTTGTAGAGGTTTGTCCCGAGGATGACATACCTTTTCACAGAGACCGAATGTGCAATTTTTTCCAGAAGAGCATCCAGTTTTTGAAAATCCAGCAAATCATTTGACTTCGCATGCATCTTGTAATCCATTTGTGATCTCCACTGAACAGAAACCAAAAAAGGCACTAAAGAATTACACAGAGGTTTCGTTTTCCTTTTTCATTTATCCAAAATGCAGGGCTGATTTGTTGTTCAGGCTCCAACATGTATCCTCAAATCCCACGGAACCCAGTGAGTAATCCTTAGAGTATCCCAAGTAGATTTTCGGAGTGGCCGTGTGTAGAAAAGCCTGAGTTTAGGAACTGCGGGTCCAGGCGGGTAGAAAAGGCTGAGGAAGCCTTCAGCCGGCAGGCTGTGTTAGCTGTGTGAACCGGTCCTCTCTCTGCCCCATCCCCCTCTCAGCAGTACAACGGCCCAGTTGCCACAGACTCTTCGCTTCATTGTATGTCCTTCCCAAGGCCTCCCAAACTTAAATGATCACCAGCCGCAAAAAAAGAGGTGAATAAGGAGAAGAAGAAAAGAGGAGAGAGGGGAGAGAAGGCTCCGATAAGATCCGAGAGGAGCGTTTAATTCCTCCTCTCACCCTCTCTCTAGACCAGCATGCAGTTACTCAACAGTAAAAAATGGCTCTACTGCTTCCTCATTCAGGGGAGCTCCAGCCCACACACCCTCCCTCCCTTCTCCTACGCGCTTGCTCATTCCACCCCTCCTCTTTTTCCCCATCAATAGCTTGAGGTCCTGCTCTTCTCCCTCTCCCTCTCTACACCTTTATCACCCCACCCCCTTCTTGTCTTCTCCTCTGTCCATTTCATCATGCCCCACCCCCACCGACTCGCTTCCCCTCAGCTTGATCTTGCAAGTACCTTCCCCCACCAATTTAAAGCCTTTCTTATCTACACCTCAGCCTCTCCTCATTTTCCCCACAAATTCTTATTTATGCTTAACAAATTCAAAACACAGAGGCTGCAGGATTTTGAAATAAACAAATTAAAAACTTAATATCGGCCAAAACACAAACTCAACAGTCCTCCAGACTTTGAACCCAATTTATTTTTTAAGCAGACAACTTTACTAGATTTACCAAAATCAGTTCAGCAGTCCTTTTGGTAGATCTAGTTAAGGACTTTGTCTTGACTTATCAAGGTATTAAATCCAGAAGTGCCATTAACTACAATTTTAATATTGTATTGTTATATTTAGTTTTGTCAGCAATATCAGCTGTGTTTGGGAACCAACAGCATCACCAAATATACGTGTCTTTCTGTGCATTCATTGACAATGAGTCTAAAAACATATTACAGGCTGTATATTAGATTTTGATTAAATATTCGCAAAAATAGAGGCTTTTTTTAATCTATTGGTACTTTTAGATTGTTATAATTTGTCAAATGCGCGACACAAACAACCCCACAAAATGAACAAACAAAAACATAATATGATATCCGCATAATATATCAACCATTGGCCAACCTGCTTTCTCACAAGTGGCATCAACCATTGCAAAACTATTTAGTCAACCACAAATCCATACAATTTAATGTATCTGGGAAGAGAACAACTGTCTGACAACCCAGGATGGTATGCTTCATCTGTGCAAACAGAACTTTCATGACTTTTTCTCACAATTAAACTGTTAAATGATAGTTGTATTCAGTCAATACAACAGCAAGGCAACTTCCAATGTCTTGTGCAACAAAGGGTTTCTGTGTGTTTGTGCCTAACTCAACTTCAGTGACTTTTGATTTGAGTTTGAGAGAGTATTACTATGTGTCAAAACTTTCAGTCGCTCAGTGATTAGAGGTATAAGATCTGTGGAACACCTCATTATTCAGTCTGGCCTGCATGTTCACAGATTAGACCCTTCCCACCACAGGGGGACTGTGCATCTCACATGCTGAAATAAAAAAATCAAGAGGCCAGGAAAGAACAGAAGGCTAGCCAAACTTTTTGCAAACTGCACGCAGATCTTTTTCCATCTTTGGATACAAAGATGACGGAGTGGTAAAAAGTCGATGCAATGAGATTTCAAAGATCAGCAGAGCTGGCACGTATTTGGATGTGTTCTCTGTCACTGAGCTGATTAAAACCTGGTTGTGCTCTTGACTGATGCCTTAACGTGGACAAACTTAAGTAATCAATAAGAACAAGCAGAAAACTGGACAGTCAGAATTATTTCTCTGTTAAGTTGTCTTGTTGCAGCAATTCCACATTAGTTTGCGCTTCGTTCTGTATAACTGCATGTCCGCTGAGATTACAATTAAGAACTATTCCATATGTTGATGGCATGTTAACAATTTTTAAGGTCTCTTTATGTTCTGCAGCTTAGCAATACTGTCACCTACATCCACTACTATGTGGTGGAAAATATATGACTTCAGGAAAAATGCATCTAGTGCTGTTTTTTCAGTCATGATAACAATCTAAATATTTTCAACAAGTAATCGATAAATGATCATTAACATTTCCCAAGATTACTTGAATCCATAATCTGATCCTTTGTCTCATGAGCTGGTGTCTGTAGGCTCTTGCATACTGGTTTTACCATTTCAAGTCGGGATATTTTCACTACCTATTGCATCTGCAATGTGTAACATCAGAGACATGATGGAGCACAGTCATACAGAGAGCAAGTTAATCGTGCGAAAGTCACACCTGACGGCCGCCCTAGAGTGTCAATCATCTCTACAGTATGGTCTGATTCCTTGATGATGGTGAAGAGCGTGAAGCAGATTTTAGCGTTCCTAATTGTTGAATTGTGTATTGTTTACCTGTTTCCCCATAACCATGTTCTGCCAGACACACTTGAATGCATCACAGAAAAAAACTGACTCACCTAAACACATTACACTTCTTCTGCAAACTACTTGTCATGCTGGGATGGCGCTCTGGGTCCACTGCCCAGTGACACAGCAGGAACACGTCAGGGTATCAGTGTGAGTGGTAGTGAATGGGTGTCAGTTCAATAATTAGCTTCCAAAACATGGCAGAGCCTGATGCTAAAGGGTATTATTTCCACCCATGTGTTTGAAAGTTTGTCTCAAACGGATTTGACAGGGCCCTTAATATATTTAGCTCAGTAAAATATTGCCACGTGGGACTTTTGGATTTCTTCCCAACAACCTGAAATAAGTAAGAAACAAAATAATATACCAGGTAATATATATTAAACTGCATTTATTCTTACATCATAATCATTAGAATTTATCTCAAACACAAGCCAGTCTTTAATTTGAAATGCTGTTGAACATATTTTTCCATTTAGAAGGCAATGGTGATAATGGTCTTGTGAACGCCTACGCCAATATGACACCAGTTATGTCAAAATGGCATTATATTGGGCTCTCTAATTTCAATTGCAGTTATAACTTTCACCCCCTACATCATAAAAATATGATAGTCGTTATTGAACAGTGTTGTACTGCCTGCTGTGTTGCCCCCATATCATCTTATACATCGAATGAAGCACACCCTCCCTCCCCCTGAACATCAGACCACAGCTCTCCTTTTCATTACATCATATACAGCTCTGATATATCAACTGTCAAGCAGACCAAGCACAGGGTTTGTGGTCTGGGCTATTTCGACTGCACCTTTCTAATGAAGTTCAAGTTAGCTGTGCATGTCCACTATACACGTACTGTAGGTTTCTGAGACACGGGTTACACGGATCTACACTATGGCCTACGATGTACGCCACACTAAAACTTACTTAGAAAAACAGACCTGCACATACTTAGAAATATAAAGCTCACTCGGTTAATTAGGGGGAATTTCCTTTTTGCATTTTTTATTATCACTAAGAACTGGCAATTATGAGTGTCATGAAACAGTTATTTGGCTTAGGAAACACGAATGACATACTAGGAAGCTGTTTCTTAAAAATGAATATTAGGCAGGAGCTTTAGATGGAAGGAATAAAGAGCAGAAACCCGCAATGCTGTAAGGCTGGATATTTCTACAGATATAAAATTTAGATCAACATGGGTCTTGAATGGAGCTTATGCTCATTGGATGATGGGCTCCTTTATTTTCTGTCCTTGCGAACAAAAATAGCAAAAGAAGAACATGGAGAAAAGTAAAAGGATCAATGTCATTTATTACGTCTTAACAAGCCACAGTACTACATAATCAAAAAGAACCATTTAGGTACTCAAGCACACTACATGCAAAGAAGCAGACAAGATGTTTGCTTGCTCATTTGTTCCTTGACCAAACCCTTCTTTTCTTTCAGAGGTCATTCACAACTAGGCCAAGGATGATGTTACCATGGAAACTAAATCAGGGTGAATATTTTCAAAAGGACAAACTCACACAACAGTAAGGGAAATTAATACACACATACAAGGCAAAAGATGATAGCGTTAAAAAAGAGATGTACTGATTTGGAGCCTGGGCTGATGCTGATACTGGTGCCAGAAACAACATAGGAGATATTTCATAAGGATGTTGCTCTTGTTCTATTTTTTACATTACAAAAAATGTTTTTTTTTTTTTTTTTTTTTTTTTACTACTTCAAAGCTTTTTTTAGCCATAATTATAGATGCTGAAAAGAGCCTTTTTAGGTACTTATACAGCCCTACTGAAACCTTTTTCAAAAAGCATGAATACTAATAAGAAACAGTAACTGAAAATGAAGAGAGAAGAACTAAATATATGTTACTGTACATTAGAGATGGGGACAAATATTCACGTAATCAAGTATTCACCGTTAGCTCGATAACTCAAGTACCACAACACTACTCAAGCATTCAGATTAAGTATTGCACCTCAGTTAGCTTACACACAAAGTGACACGTGGAAGTATTTTGACAAAAAGAGAATTGTTTAACTAATTATCACAGGAATACCAGTTTAATGCTTAAGTACATATGGTTAAAGAACTGGGAGGAGATGGCATGGACATTTGATAGGCATTCTTACAACACAACATTTGCTAGCCCTGTTGGCAGGCGCCATTGTGAGGATAATACTAGAATGGGGAAGATTAGCCAACTAATGACAGTAACTGGAGACATACTACCATCAAGTTTTGTGGGAGCAGACAGCTTCCATGAGTTAATGGCATTTGTTGAAGCAGAGTACAAGCCACCATTACAGCAGACGACTACTACAAGACGAGAGTGGGAAAATACATGACGAAAGCGCTGCAGAGTTAAAGGCACAGACAGGTTTCACTACCGAAGTGAGTGTTGCAATCACTTGTAATTTCATTCACAACTGGGAATTGAAGACCGCTGTCCTTCAGACACACAGTACTGATCAACAGCATACCACAAAAAACTTTGCTGACTGGTGAAAAATTTGAGTACTTGATTACTCATTGAAAAAGTAATTAAATTAATCAAGCATGGGGATTACTGAAAATGCCCACCACCACTAGGGATGGGAATCGAGAACCGATTCTTGTTGAGAACTGGTTCCAAATGGTTCAATCCATCTACATCCTTTTCATTTTATCTCAACAATTCCTTTAAAGATTCCTTTCTTTCAGGTGACTTGGAAAACGATCTCACGAGAGCCAGTCTACGTGAACGAGAACACAGGCTGAGAAAAAAAAACATGGCGGACGGTACGAAAAGTAGGCAGAAACGATCTAAAGCGTGGCTTCATTTTACCAAGAAAGACGACGACAGCGTGACATTCAACGTTTCTCAAGTAGTATTATGTATTTTAATTTATACCAACCAAATTAATTGCTGTACAAATAGTTTGTCATTTGATTATTTTTTAGACTCTCACTGAAGGTGGCATACATCTTCTTCTGTTATCAGAGACTCAATAAAAATTTTAGTTAATGTTGATATCCTATACTCTTTTTTTTTTTTAATCAAAGAAAGGCATTGATAAGGGAATCGTTGAAGAATTTAATCAAAAAGCAGAATCCGTAATGGCATCAATATCGATAAAATCTTATCAATTCCCATCCCTAACCACCACTACACATTTTATAGCATTCGATTAGATTAGACAGATAGACAGACAGACAGATAGCACCATTGCAAACATATAGGGCTATCATTAAGCCTGGAACAATCAATTACATTCTTTCATTTTCTTTAATTTACAGAAGACCAAAACACTGACTTTGTGGGCTTGCTGCTATCAAACTGGTGCAATACACAGGAATCTGTATCTCTGTTACTGCAACCTGTGAATAACAAAATTTTGGCTGTCATGCCAATTCTCTCAAATGAGGTAGTTAGTGTCTGAAAACAAGCTATGTACCAGTGAGTCCCAATTCTCCACATTAAGTGTTAGTGATCAAAACAGCTGGAAAACTATGTGCACATGCAGGTTTTGGTGCTGGGATTTCTTAACACTAGAATGGTTTGGGTAATCATTACTTTAAAATGTAAAAGTGGAAAATTGATACACATCAGTATTTTGAAGATGGCTTTATGATTGTCTATGTCCAGGTAACTCTACCTGTTACTTGGCACTCGGACTCACAATTGGAGTCAGTTAAGTGTATTTGCAAACATAGTTTCAAAAGACACTTGCATCTCTAATACTGTTATCACCAACTTCGTTTTATGAGATTGTTTTGTTCACTGCTTAACATGTAAATGCGTGTCATTTGACATCGTCATCAAAATTAATAAATTTCCATACTTTCCACACTATAATGCAGTGATTTCTGCATACCCAACCATCAACACAACATAACAAACTACTTCATGACTCTCCATTCATTCCCAACATTTACAAGTCTGCAGAAAAACATGAACCAGCACAGATGGCATTAGAATTAAAGGTTCTAACAGCGTCAGCCTTTGAGCACCTTGAGGCAGAAGTCCATATCCAAGCAAGCATGTGACTGCAGGAAGAATACTAAGTGACACTAGACATGTCTCTATGTTGTTACACACGTGAATTCGGGGAACAGCAAGACTCAAATCTACAAGTTTCACGCCTGTAAAATCATGTGCTACTCTTACAGGTGATACCAGCAGAGACTGTATGCTAGGTAACGGGGCCTATGCATGAGTGGTCTGTCTAAACACACCAGTCGACTGGATGCCAATGCTTTGTGTCTATATTACCCGGCTATACTAACACGACAGACCGAAACACGTCTGCCAGCGTTGAGAGCCATAACCCGATATGGAAGATCAAACGACAAACTGCAAAGTAAGGACTGCTGGCGAGCGACCATCGTCGAGGAGCCAAGATCCTGACGTTAGGCCACGGGGCATAGATTATTGCTTGGTTTCGAAATGGACGTCATTTCTGTGTACGCTGTACAACGAAAGTACAGTCATAGAAGTGTACAAACTGCATATTACCCACACCATTGCAAGCTTTCTTAAGGTGAACATTTGGTTCTTTCGTGTTATTTGAGTCTTTGACTGCATTCTGGTCAAATAGCCAGTCTGAGTGTGCGCCATCATCACGGTGACGGCGTCACCGTCTCCCAAAACACAAGACAGTCGACGGGCAAACTAGCAATAGATGCCTTACACGGTGTTGGTAGCAGCATTTTAACGGCTATTTAAAGCGTATGTGTGGCAAATATTGGATGAGACTGACGAGGAATACTACAGAGACACACAATGAGGGAGTGTTTATTGTGTCTTTGATAGACAACTACCTACTAGCCTGAGCTAGCAAGCTCGTTAGCCAGAACAGGCCGTCGAGCAAGTGAGCGGTCTCTGTGGTTGCCGGCCGTCAGCGATACACATTAAGATTCACACGGCTGAAACCGTTTTCCTGCCATCTCCTCTCGATGTATACTGAGACGATATGACTGACAGAATAGAGCCGAAACAACAGCGTTTACCTGGGTTTATCAGGTTGCCCGGGCGCGCGGGATCTGTCTCTCCGAGGATCCTGAACACCTCTCGTCGGCGATGACGTCACGCGTAGGTCTATCGTTGAAGACGTAAGAGCGTGTCACGAGCCGCAGCGAAGTGGCCGTTTATTCAAGTCTTCAATAAAAACAAATCAATAGTATTTTGAGAATTGGGTTAGAATCAAGATTCTGTTTGTCTCACAATTGCTCAACGAGAATGGTCAATTATTTTCATACACAGAATTTTTAAAGACCTTCGGTATTCCAATACCTGTACGACTGCGTGTATTTGATGCAATACCAGCTTGTTTCTTAAAACTATTACAAGGCAGCAATGTATTTAACGAACAACCAGTGTTGAAGACTGATATCCTGCTGAATGGCATCAATGTCAACGATGAAAAATGTAATAATAAACTGTTTAGAAATATCTTGCAGTGTTGTTCTAATTCTCGTGCCAAACGTTTTTGTAATGGTCTTTTTTAAATTTAATAATTTGGAAAAGGGTATGGATTTACTACAAAAAAATTTGACCCACAATAAAGTGATGGAGGTTTATTTCAAAATGATTCACTGAATCTTTCCAACTAACCACTTTCTCAAAAAATAAAGAACTGATATCTCGGACTCTTGTGTATTTTGTAACCTTGAAAAAGACACAATTGTACATTTATTTTTTGACTGTATGCATGTTAAATTTTTGTGGATTGAGGTTGAAAATGTATTTGAATCGTTGTCTGGATGTAAGATAAACCTGCAAAAGAGAGATATTATTTCTTATTTAGAAAAAAACAGAAAACATGGACCGAAGTCATATTTTTGTTAAACCTGTTTACTTTGTATCAAAGATTTTATATTATATATGATCTAAAAAGAAACCAAATATCCACCAGTTTAAAAATTAAATGAAGATATATTTTTAGACACTAAAAGACAAACAAACAAGAAAGTGATTCGAACTATGACTTTCTACGAAGCCTAGAGATCCTCTCTATGATCTGTCACCAATGTATGATCCCCATGTCATAATTACAACCATATTACAACTTATGTATCTTTGTATGCCAGACTATTAATTTTTTTTTTCTTCTGAAAGGTCTTTATTCCTCTTAAATAAATGTAGCTACCCTATATTCAATAATGTGTATTTATCATTGCTGAAGAATTGAAATAAAGGTTTGGAAAAAATATATATATATTAAAGTCTAAAATGGATCCATGATACCTGTAAAAACTCAATTAAATACGCCTTATAATATCAGATGGGGTCTGATTTAAAAGAGAAAATATTTTTTGGCGTCCTTTGCTATACTTTATTTTGCTTTTATACAATGTGTGCTGCTTGAAAGTGGATAAAAAATATCAGCTTATTAAAAAGACCTGCATGCAGAATACGGGACCTGCATCCACTGAAGAAGTCTTTGCAGGTACTATCACATACCAAAATGCTACAGAGTTACCGAAATTCGACATGAGTCGATGGCGCCCCTCAGTGGAAAATTACTGAACTATCACAACCGCTCAACGTGTTTTGTCGAGCAGAAACTCAGATACGCTTCAGAGAAATTTCACAATTTATAAATCTTATATGGGAGAGGTATTAGTGTATAAAATATCACTTTAATGTCTTTTTCATTTTAAAAAGAAAAAAAACAGACCTGCACATACTACGATCACAGCGCAAGCGCCCCGGCTTTCAAATGATTGGACCCCGTGACAAACCCGGAAGTGGTTGAAGGTCTTTTGCAATGGTTGTAGTTTACCTAACTGCGTGAGGCCCACGGCTGAAGTGAAAATGGGGGTCAAAATAGAGGTTTTTAGGGTAAGCAAATGCATCGCTATCTCTTAACATGTTACCTTTAAGTCCCATTTTCTTTACACTGTTAAAGAAATCAGAATTTTTATGATTGATCGAGCTGGTCACGAAGCTAAAGGACAGCTTCCCACTTTCACTCACTAACTTGTCCTATGTTTTTGTTGTACAGATGATGCTGTATCTCTCTTTTCCCGTGGCCATGTTCTGGATCTCAAACCAGGCAGAGTATTTTGAAGAGTACATAGTAAAGAGAAAGGTTAGTAAAGCTGCTTTTCTGAGTCATTGTCGTCAGAGTAATACTTGGCTGTTCCCTCAATGACAAGTGTCTCTTTTGTTTGTACTTTAATCATCTTTTACGACAACCAGAGAGAGATCTTCCCCCCTGACGAAGCAATGCATGTGAGTATGATATTAATTGATCACATGTTTTAATCCTCCTACAATTCATTGTAGTAATGTCAAAAATATTCAATGCTGTAGCCAAGACCTATATAGTTCAACTGTTAATATAAGGTTCCTAGAGGGTCATTGATTTCTTTCTGTGGTCCTGCCCCTGTGGTTTAAATCTTAATGTGGGGTATACCCATTGAGCTTGTATCTGTGTATAAATTTCTGGGTTTTCTTGTTGATCCCAAGCTTTCTTTCAAAGCACATATTACTAGCTTGGTGACTAGTGTCTATCACTGTGCGCTGAGATTTATTACTGTTTGTAGTCACCTAACGCATCATTGCGAACTTTGTGCCACATCTGGCTGGCCTTCTCTGAGTACTCGCAGGTACACTCACTGGATGACTCTAATTGATAAGGTTCCTCTTGGCTTAGCTCCTTCTTATTTATGTGATCTTCTTCAAAGGTTTGAAAGCCACTACACCCTGCGCTCAAACAACATGGTCCATTTCATTGTTCCACAAATCAGAACTGAACTGGGCAAAAAAGCGTTCAGTTTTGCTAAAACTTCAGCATGAAATTCTCTCCAGACTGACCTAAAATTGTCCGAATTAATTTTGCTGGAGGCATTTTGTTCAATTTTACATGACAGACTTTGGGAGACCATGGAATAGTACTTGTGTTTTTTATTATATTTCTGGAGGTCATTTTCTTCTTCTTTATTGTTATTTATTATTGTGGTGTGTTCTGCCGACATCTTGGCCAGGTCACTCTTGTAAATGAGATCTCGATCTCGACGGGTTCTTACCTGGTTAAATAAAGGTTAAATAAATTTTAAATAATAATAATGGTGATCTTTAAAGATCAGTTTGTTGGAATTTTTTATGAATAGCCGGTAATCCTATATTGTTCCCCACTTTCATTAATTCATTAGTGACATCAAGGTGAATGTTGTCAAAGTGATAGGTTTGTGCCTACATTTAATTGTAGCACTTTAATGGGAAATTATGTCTGCTGAGAAGTGCCACTGAAAGCAACTCACTTGATAACAACTATTGCACTTTCATTTTCAGAGGAAAGAGTTGGAGGACTTCAAAGAGCGGATGCGTGCTCGTAAGGAGCAAAGAATGTTAAAAGAGATGTCTTTGGAATCCAAGAGCTGAGGACTATCTGGTGAAGAAAAGCACGGGTTCTTACTGGATTCAATGAAGGACCATCTGGCAATGTCTTATTTGGCTGAAGAAATTACACTGGATCAGGAGAACTGTACATTTGAAATCAACCAAAATTTCACACATCCCAAAGGTGCACCGTGTCTTTGCCAGGGATCTCTTTTTCTTTTTAGTGTGTTTTGTTATTTAAATGAATGGTCTTGCAAAGAATTTTCTACTTTTTTATTTGCTTGAATGCCTCATCATTTGAGCTGCTGTCATTACTGTTATGTTTGTTTTTTCTGATCTGGAAAACTAAGTTAACATTTTGCATTTATCTTGATAAATTCTAGTACGCTAGGTGTATTGCCTTAGAGTTTAATCACAGCCCTAGGGTCTTTCCTTGTTAAGAGTTTTGTAACATTGTGACAAAATGGTCATTATGACGCAAAGTTTCATGCATCATCCTCATCAAATGAACAAGTAAGAAAATAAATAAGAGACTTTTGAAGCTGCTGAACTAAAAGTTTCATTCCTCCCAAAGTGTAAAGCAAGAAAATACAACATTCAATAGAGAAACTCAAGTCTTTTCAAACACTGTTAGAAGCTCCTGTGGTAGCAGCTGTTGCTTTATGGCAGTATCATGATGACTAGATAACCCCTTTATTTGATTCAAGGTTGTGTTTCTTAAAATTTGATCTTAAATTAAGTCCAAACAGCCGCCTTGTCTAGACCCAAGGAATGTCTGCAAAGCAATACTGACCAATAGCCAAGGTTTAACAAGGAAAGGCAGAGTATATTGATGCTTTAAATTTTAAGAGAACAACAACATTCATGCAGAAAGATATGAAAAATAGATTTTTCACCTTAACTTGCTCAAAGACACTCACGAATGACCGCCTACATGTTTTGAATCTGTCATAGGCCTTAACATTAATCCTTGCTGTTGTCACACCAGCAAAACTATCTTTGTTCTTTCAAGCATGAATGAATCTTAGGGAGCTGTGTTCTACTTGGCAAGGTAAATTACTCTTTAGTCTTGGATACATCCCCGAACTAACCACACTTAACAAACTGTTTAACTCATCATCTATCATATCGAGGCGATGACACGTTTCTCCCGAGACTCATCATATGATATCCCTTACATGTTTGGCATTGAAAAGGGGCCTCACAATCCCACAGCCTGTCTCCTACAGGCACAGACTGTACATCTTTCTTTTTGCAGCTGTTACTTTTTGACAGCTGCCGTTTATTTTGAAAACCAGAACTAAAATTATGGCACGGAATTTCAAGATATGAAAGGAGAGGGGGTATGAAGAGAGAAAATGCGACTAAAAATGAAAAAGTATGTTTTGTTGTTTGGAAAAATTCAGTAATAATCGAAGCTTTAAGGATAAATTTTCTTATGTATGGTATCCAATTTTATTTGTTCGCGTTTTGCTGCACAAACTGCATGGTTTCAGGACACGACATGGACAAAATTCCTGGAGACCTATGAATTTTTTGCAATGCTATCTTCGATCAGTAGGGGGCAGTGTTTCACCATCCACAGCTTTGGAGGTTTGCTCTGCGCTGGGTTTAACAACAAGGAAGTGACCGTCCAGCAAGCAGACTGCTGTCAAGATGGCACCGAGTGGGCTGAAGGCGGTGGTGGGAGAAAGTAAGTGACATGTCGTCGTTAATCAGTCATTTATTAGAAGTAATTTATTACAAAGGCACAGAAACATTTTACTTAATGTCACATACCATGTAGAAGCCCGGCAATATGACGGTCAACTTTTAACACAGACCAATGACGACGGTTCACCTCAAGTTTCTTCCTGCTTTTAGTTGCAGGAGTCAAGACGAACCTAACCGGGGAAAATACTGTTTAAGCGAATTTAGTCACGGGTAAAATTGTTGTGAAGACGTTTGTCAGTACGAGTGACTGCATTTGCCATGAATTTTTCAACGCTAAGTACATTTCTGGATACAAAACAAGTAGCAGCGCTTGTGGTTGACAATGTTGTGACGGTTGAAGATACGGGCTAAGTTGAGGAAGCTAACGCAAGCGGAAGTTCGTGTCAGAAGCATGTGATAAACTGAGTTTTTCCGACTTTTATATAGATTAACACAGTCACATTACATTCATGATTATTATTATTTATTTATTTTTGTCCAATAAATACCCTTTTTACAGTAAACTACCAATGAAGTGTATCATGTGACGCTTTAATGACCCTCTAAAAATATAGCGAACTAATAATATAAGTAATACTTCCTTGGCCCAGGTATTTGCCCTTTACCCATAGATTAGTAAGCTTTAAATCCTCTTGGTTTCTGAGTATTACTCTATACTTTTTAGCTTCTATGATGTTGCCACTACCTGGGTCTGAAGTATATTTATCATAACATGACATTTTGACATGTCTGATGGGCCAATGTATCCGATGATATTTGTACCTAATAATTTCCTGCCCTTTTTCCTCTCTGTCTAAATCAGTAATAAATTTAATCCAACAACAGAAAGAAAACTCTACACAACAGTCGTCTGTCAGAAATGGCTTAAGGCAGTTTACATCCATATATTACATTTGTTATTTCTCTATAAACAGAATCTAATAATAGTAATAATAACTTAATTTGTATAGCACTTTTAAAATACAGATGTTTACAAAGTGCTTTGACATGTAGTTGTAGAGCACATGGAAAAAGACAAATAAAAACAAAAAGCTCAGTTAAAACGGCATTGAAGGCCATTTTCATGTCATAAGGAACCCAGACAATACAAGAGCCATGCAACATAGAATGAGACCATGAGGAGCAAAATAAAACCATAAAATAGTTAAGACAAAAGGAAAATGCAATTAAAAGGGAGGGCAAAAGCGGAAACAGGATAGTAAATATAAAAGGCAATATCAACAATGATAATAAAATAATAAGAGGTAATCCTGATAATGATAGTAATGATAAAATAGAGCAACAGAAATGAGCAAGAGATGAAACAATAAAAGGCCTAAAAGGTTAATTAAGAAAAGAGTACAAGTATAACAAAAGCTGAAAAGACGTTAAAGATGAAATAAGATGGAGGTAAAAGAGGTAAAATCTCTTGTTGCAACTCATAGCACAGTATCTACAAACATCAGTAACACGAGATAATGAGGCAGAAATGTTTTTTCTCCTTATAGAAAACTGCAGAATCATACCATACCTATTATGAAACCCCCCCAGGCAGCCTTTCCTGTCTTAATGTTTATGTACTATTAAAACTCTTTTTGCCATTTGAGTCTTAATGTGTAGAGCTTTACCTGTCTATGACTGAAGGCAGCTACTTATCATGTCAGTTGGCTAGCGTATTCATGTGGTAATGTACCTGAAAAAATTAACTGATGTGTCTCTTATTTGGATAAACAAGGGAGATGATAAACGACACGAAAGGGATTTTGGTCTTCTCTATTACCACATTGTCCTTATCACCGGAGGACACTGTTAAGTTGGTTAACCATGAAGTATAAAAAAAGCTCTAGCACTTTCTCATACAGTAACTTTTACGGCTTGAAATTGCCTTTAACGTCTTGGTACATTTTTACTCTTTGTCCAGAGAGCGCCACAACCTCCAGTTTTGCATTTTGTTTACCAGTAGAACCACACCTTAGTTGTTGCACCACAGCAGTCCTGATGTTGCAACAACTGCCCAGGCTGGGTGAAACAGTGCTGCATTTGTTTTTGATTCAAAAACCTCCTGGTTCCAGATTAAGATCGAGATACACATCTGACCTCTTAAGGAAATTGTATTGCGTAAACACGTATTTTATTTTCTGTTAAATCATTGTTAAGTGATTAAACATTAGACTATGAGGGAAAACCTCCCAATTAAACCACACTAAGACACACAAGTTTTGACATGCATGATAAAGCAACTGCCACTTCGTAACATACTTGAAAAGGAGTCAATAGAATAGATGGTATGAATTATCAGTGTAAACAGATGACTGAGAACTGTGCGGCTGTCACAGGGTTCTTATTTACTAATGTAGTGATTTGTTTTCACAGTTTATTCAAAGAGCTATAATTATAAACTGCATACATGTATCTCAGTTTCTATTTCAACACTTGGTTCCTGTCGTACCAATCCTTTTTGTGTGTAAATAAATGTCACCTTTATTTCTTTTACAGAAATCCTCAATGGGGTTATTAAGAGTGTCAAGAAGGAGGGAGAGTGGAAGGTAATTTTTGATCAGTAAAGATGAAAAAAAATCATCAAAAAAACGGAATAATGACTTCAGTTTTCTGTTTCTTCAGGTTCTGATTGTGGACCACATGAGCATGCGCATTCTGTCCTCTTGCTGCAAGATGTCTGACATTTTGGCAGAAGGGGTGACCAGTAAGTGATGATTGTTGATTTTGCATCAGTTTTATACACAACAGATCAAATGAATTAATCACTTTATTTGTAAAGCACTTTTCATACATGGACTGTATTACAAAGTACTTTACATTAAAGAATACAAGAAGGAGAGGATCAGGGGATACCAAATAAAATACAAGATAAAATACAAATTGCAAAACCCCACCCACCCACCCTCTAAGCCCGCATTTAACAGAGACCCCACCACCCACACACACACACAACCACTGGGACACCAAGTCAGGGCTCAGCAGGCAGCCCCATTGGACCAAGAAAACGCTATCTTAAACTAAAATGGGGAAACACTGGAGCTGAAGCTAAACTGATAAAACCATGACAAGATATAGGAAACTCATAAAATGATTTAAAAAAAAAAATTAAAACGAAATAAAAGAGTAATAATAATAAAATATCATATAATAAAACTGTTATAAATCAAACAATAAAAGAAAGTAAACAAATAGTGTTAAAACATATAATAATAATATAGACAAAAATGTGATAACAGTTAGTTAGCTGTAATCAGAGACATATATCTGTAGAAGAAATTAACCAACAGCTATCCAGATATTTGCTGTGAAATATCGCCACATAATGACCAATCAGAATAGAGTTCTTGTCACAGTCATGTACTGAATAACTTTATTTGCTGTTGCATGTTTCATCATATAAATGATATGGTTTGGATTCAGTTTTGAAGTACCCCGTTTTCTGATTTTTAGTTGTGGAGGACATCAATAAACGGCGGGAGCCCATCTCAAGTTTGGAAGCCATTTACTTGATTTCGCCCATTGAGAAGGTTAGTTGTTGCCCTTTCTTTAAAGCTCTCTCTGTAATTTTAAAATCATCTGTAATCATTGTTATATTTAACTTGTCTGATTTTTGTATTTTGTCTTCAATGAAAAGTCTGTCCGCGCTCTCATCAGTGACTTCAAAGATTCTGCCTTTACGTACAAAGCAGCACACATCTTCTTCACTGACAGTAAGATCTTCTGTGTTTGGCATTAGACAGAGAGACAGACACTTAAACATACATTAAGTTAAGTTAAGAAAAATGTTTGAAATGTTTAAATGAAGTTTTTTTCCCCCCATAGCTTGTCCAGATGGTCTCTTTACAGAGCTTGGGAGATCGAGAGTTTCAAAGGCCATCAAAACTTTGAAAGAGATCAATGTTGCTTTCCTGCCATATGAGTCTCAGGTACTCTTTATATCATGACTTGTTTTTAACAGCTACATTGTTTTATCTATGCTTTAGTAATTTCTGATTTTTTTGTGGTTCCAACAGCTCCTAAAATAACTATTTGGCTGTTGCATATAGATGCCAGCAGCGATTAATGTAGTCTGTTTGGTCTGAGGAACTGTCTATTGAGTTCAGAGGTTGATATAAGTATAAGTAAAGTCTGTGAAACTTGTAACCTACAACTGTGCAGCAGTGTCATATTTACACCACTTTAACAGTTAATGCAGTGTTAAACTAAGAATGCCTCAATCCCTTTCTCTCCTGCAGGTGTTCTCCTTAGATGATCCGACCTCCCTATACTCGTTCTACAGTACTAAGCCAAATGAGAAAAAGGACAAAATGATGGAAAATCTGGCAGAGCAGATCGCAACACTGTGTGATACTCTGAAAGAGTACCCTGCAATCAGATACCGCAAGTAAGAAGCCTTGCATCAACTATTATGAAATTAGTTTTTCAGTAAGTTTACTGACTCATTATGTCTGTCTTTAAGGGGGTCAGAGGAGACCGCCAGACTAGCTGAAGAGGTGTACCAGCGCCTGACTGCTCATAAAGCAGACAACCCAAGCATGGGGGAGGTTAGTAACTACTGAGACCACCCCCACAATAATTTTCTCTTGCTCTACTCATAAAACTCTTAGCTGGTGAGAAATGCTGATCTAAATTCCTGCCCTGCTCTTTAATGCTGATCCAGCTTTTTTTGTATTGCAAAATATGCTTTCCTTTTGGAATTCTCCAACTCTTAGTGTTCACTCATGTGAACCTGTCTGTGGTGTCTGGGTGTAAATCATATTGATGATTTTTCTTAAGCCTTTTCTAGACCTTTCTCTTTTTTTCCTTCTTCTTTTGTTTCTTTCTCAGCTGAAATTTCCTTCCTCCTGAGATGGGTCTCATCAGGCATGTATGACTGTTCTCTTTTGCCACCACAAATCTACGCTAAATCATCTTGCTGTGCTGTCTAGGCATTCTCTGTAATTTTATCGCATTTTAGCTTGTATGTTTAGTTAAATGCTGCATCAAACTGAGGTACTGAAGCAATGTAAAAAAGAATGTGTCCAATATATGTACATAAACATACACATTGAAGTTTTCAGTCTTTTTTTGACTCTTGTCTAGCCTCAAACTCTGTATTTTTTGAATGTTAAAAAAATCATTTGTATATTTGCTGTTATAGTCAATGGATTGCTTCACCACCATTAATTTTTACTTCTTATGATTACTTTTTCAGGGTGCAGATAAGGCACGATCCCAGCTGCTGATTGTTGACCGTGGGTTTGATCCCATCTCACCTATTCTCCATGAGCTGACCTTGCAGGCGATGGCCTATGACTTACTGGATATTAAACAGGACATCTATTCGTGAGTCGTTTGTTTATTTTTTTATACATATCAGAAGCTGCTCATGTTCTTTTTAAGGCTGTTAAGCTGTTTGTGGAATACTGTTGATACTCAAAGTATAAAGTTTTTTTGTATCTCTTGAAAGTTATCAGACAACTGGCATTGGGAACTCAAAAGACAGAGAAGTGTTATTGGACGAAGATGACGAGCTCTGGATTCAGCTTAGACATATGCACATTGCAGATGTCACCAAGTAAGTCCACCACAACTCAAGAAAGCGTATTCGCCCTATCTTTACAAGACTTAGTCACACTCTCATTCTTTTTAACAAGTTGTGGACTTTGATGGAAAACCTTTTCTTTAGGTTGCAGTAAGACGCTTTGCTTAGACACACTATAAAATGTATTCCACCTGTCTAGCCTCTGAACTCCAAGGTTAAATGAAATGACTTTGCTCTCCCTCACAAGGTAACTTGTATTAAAAAAAACACTTTTGCAGGAAAGTGACAGAGCTTCTCCGCACATTTTGTGAGAGCAAGAGAATGTGCACTGATAATGTGAGTATTATTTTCCAATATTGGTGTTCACAATATAGAATTAAGACTTATTTTTTTAAGTTGTGCATACAAGAAAAAATGTTTTGCATTTTCAGGCCAACATAAAAGATCTCTCTCAGATGTTGAAGAAGATGCCACAGTATCAGAAAGAGCTGAGCATGGTAGGTGGGAAGAAGAGAAGCCAACATTTTAAGAGAATTATTATGCTACAGTACTTTTCCAATTGTCAAGTGAACATTTCTTTTACAATCCCAGATGATGAATATACAGATTATGATTACCACAGCGAAGGTTTTGTTTGAGAATGTGTTAAGTATTGCTACTGACTGTTAAATGAGACAAAAATCTCCCTTTGTCGTCTGAAGAGAAGATAATAAAACATCCTCTTTATGGTGCATAGCTTTGAAACAAGTTTGTCAACATTGTTTACAAAATTTGTGACTTACTAATCATTTTTCATTCATTTTCATAAACAGTACTCCACTCACTTGCACCTGGCAGAAGCTTGTATGAATAAGTTCAAGGCCTCACTTGACAAGCTTTGTGAAGTTGAACAGGTCAGTATACTTTTTAAGTCAATGTAAGAAAAGTACGTTTGGTGTTTGTATCAACATTTTAACACGTATGCTTGGACGGGTTTAAAGTACGGCTGGGATACAGTTCGTTTTATCAGCCATTGCAATACAGTGTAATAATCAAAGCTTTTGTTGAACTGTACATCTGTAGTTGGAGATAAAAATAGACACATGATCATGGGCTCTTAATCCCTGCAGAGAAAGCCGATCACAGATGACCATTGGGCCATTAACTTGACATTCTTAGAATTTGTCTGCTCATGAGCTGTTGGCAAAACAATCTGTCAGTCAGTAGTTTTAATAACACATGGGATCATCTAAATTCTAACGCTGTGCTAGTCATTTACAGCAAATATCTTAAAGAGACATGTCTGAGATGGACTTTGTTCCATCAACACGCTATGCGACCTCAGCGTGGTAGTGTTTTTATTTATAGCTTAGCCGGGGCACAAAAGCCAGTGGCTCAGTCTGGCTGTATTTAATGGAAGATCTTAATAGAAATATTGCGTAACATGCTTGGGACCGGATGTCAACTTTAGTATGTCTACAGACATGCCAAAGGAGCTGTTATGTCATTACTGAGTGTAAAAGCCTTTGATAATACGTATGTCTGCTTCTTAGTAATGTTGAAATCCTTCCATCAGCATAACCCTGGGACAAAGCCACGGTCCAGACCAAAGCCAAGCTTCGCTTTGTGCCAGACATGCTTTGTCTCACTGAAGGATGTATTCTGCCACATGTAGTCCTGTATCGGATGTAGCGCAGGCACACAGGAAATGAAAAGCTATGCATAGTTGAGGCTTTATGAAATGCAAGTGTTAATGGGGCCTTTTTGTACGAGGGAATCGCTCAACTGCACTAATGGATTGTCAGCAAGTCTGAAAGCAGCCTCTTTAATCCAATGGGCATGTTTTGGCTCTAAGATGGACAGTGTGATCCAAACAGTAACAGCTCTCTGTCAGCTGTCATTTGTTTAAGTGCTCTGCATTGTTTGGGCAGCCCAAGACAAATATATGTGTGTGATGTTATAATCGAAATGTTAAGTGTGCTCCATGTGGTCTTTGAGCCATCCTCAGCCTTCAGTTGTTGATTAGCCCAAACAGGGCTTAGCCCAAATAAATAATGAAGCTTAGCAAGAGATTTTTTTTTTGCTGGAAAAGAGTGCCCGGGGCAGGAGAGAGAAATCCTAAATCTAATTTGAATTGCTTCATTCAACATTCAATGGGGGTTTCACACAGGACCTGGCGATGGGGACGAACGCAGAAGGGGAAACCCTGAAGGATGCAATGAAGAGCATCGTTCCTGTGCTTCTCAACAGTGATATTGACGCATATGACAAAATCCGCATCATACTGCTGTACACGTTCCACAAGAAGAAAGGTATGCTGCGGCTTTAATTGTAAAATATTGTAAAGTTTTTTCCCTACCAAAGAAGTTTGAAAAGCCACACTGTCAGGGCAGAGGGGTAAACTTGTGGATATGCATGTGATTATTAGTTAGATGGATAAACACAACCACATTTTTTGATATTATGTGAAAAAAGTATTGAGTATCATCAAGTGTTTGTCTGTGCAGGCATTGGGGAGGAGAACCTTGCCAAGCTCATTCAACATGCAAACATACAGTCGGACAGCAACATCATCTACAACCTGCAAAACCTGGGCTGCAACATCTTAGCTGGGGTAAACTGCTTCGTTGCAGTTTGGTTGTCTGACTGAAATGTTTCTCAAGATCGACTGTCCACTTATTATTTGTTTCCTCTGCATGTTATGAATTAGGGCCGCAATTCTGGGAAAAACATGCCAGAGCGAAAGGAGCGCACAGAGAGCACATATCAACTGTCTCGGTGGACGCCGGTCATCAAGGACATAATGGAGGTATTCAGTCTACGATGAGTGTTCTGAGTGTTGGTAGCACACATGCTGTTTCTGTTCTTTATGCTAATATGGTTTTCTTGATTCAGGATGCAATAGAGGACAAACTGGACAGAAAGCAGTGGCCATTCATCGCTGATCCTGCTCCCATCAACACTACTCAGACCGCAGTAAGGTGAGTGAACAGGAAAAATAAAACATCTACAATAGCGGATTGATTAAGAATAAGAATAACTTTATTTATCTCCAAAGGGAAATTCAGTAAATAAAGGAAAACTACAAACAAATAAAATAAATAAATAAATGAAAATAACTCAAGTTAAATTAAACTAAACTTTCAGAAATAGTTAACATGACACAGAGAAATCTTATGTCCTTTCAGTTTCATTTCATTTAACTGGTTCCTATTTTTTTCCCATTTATAATTTTTCCCCATCTGTTGCTTGACCAGCTCCTTGAAACATACCTTAACATTTTAAGCTGATAATGACTGATTGCAAAGTGATTAACTCAGGTTTTAGGCCACCATTTTGATGATGACAGTTACTTCAGGGTCAGTAATATCTGTATGTATATATTTATTGATCTTTTACAGCAGTGCACGTTTTGGACAGTGGCACAAAAACAAATCCCCAGCAGAATACCGCTCTGGTCCTCGGCTTATCATATTTATAATTGGGGGTGTGTCCCACTCGGAAATGCGCTCTGCCTATGAAGTCACACGCGCCACTGTTGGGAAATGGGAAGTATTGATCGGTAAGCAGTCACTTTGTTGGTAGACATGTTAGGTGACCCAAATTATATAATTCCTGGAGATTTGTCTTCATTGTAATTCTTCTACTTGACAGGGTCATCTCACATCCTGACTCCAACTAGCTTCCTAAATGACCTGAAGAGCCTGGATAAAGTCCCAAATCCTGATTGTTAGGTGTTAGACTTGCAAACTGGAATAAGGGTAAAGTCTTTCATTCAAGACGATTGGTTGCTGAGGTATCTCTGTCGTCTGAGGAGAAAAATGAAGAGAATTGTTATGTTTATATTTAATGTGGCCATGGAAGGAAACATTTGTGATTCTTATTTTATTTTAGATGTTCTTGTTATTGTTTCTTGTGAACTGGGCTCCATTTACTGCTGTGATTCAAATTATGTAAAAATATTTAATGAGAAGATATAAATATTTTGATCATGTGACAGTTTTCATTCAGAATGATTTTATGTCACCACAGGATGTATTAGATTTGCCTAATTTTCTGCTGTAAACTGGGTGATTATACACCTATAAATGTTGTAGTTTAATGCAGATGTACAGAAGTAATTAGAAGTATATGTTGTATATGTAGTAAATTAAAGATAGGTCACCTTATTTTTTTTCCTTGCCTTCAGGTACTTTTGCTTTTTTTCCTTCAAACAACAACTCTCACCTGCTGTCATGTGATCTTGCACACTTAAAATCTAATTTAATGTATTGCTGGAAACAAGTGGTGGGTGTGTGTTCCTTTGTTTTTAAATATGACTAATAAAAGAAGTATAGTATTCACTTTAACATGTGTATTGTGAAAATCAAATTGTCCTGGATTCCACAGTCATGAATTCATCCACATGCTGTCTACAAGCTCCACACAGCCAAGCCATGAATACATGAATTTCAGGAGTAGTACTTTTGTACATCTAAAAACTGCAACCTAGGCATATAATAATAATAATAATAATACATTTTATTTGAAGCGCCTTTCACGTCACTCAAGGACACTTTACAGAACATATAAAAACAATAATAAAACACTATTAACAATTAAAATCATTAATCATCAAACAGTTAAAATCAACAAAGCAACATATAAACATGAACAACAGCATATGCCTATGTACACTTCATGTGCAAAGAGTGGGGGCTGGTAAATGCAGGAAAAAAAATTCTTTAAGTACAGTATTGGATCACGAGGGAGGACGTATACACCTATCAGTGAAAAAGATCATCCCCTCTATACAGAGGATTATGTTTTCATCTGGGATTACACACGGTAATAGTAAGATCGGCGCTCTGGTTTGGCTCTTAATGGTAATGGGTTGATACTCAGGACTTGGCTCTATTTAAAAGCCCTCGCGCAAGCCGCATCTAATGCACATTTGGACATCTATCAATCAGAATCATCATTTCCTCTGCAAATACGAAAGTTCAATAAGATGTTCTGATACCATTTAGTTTGTAACACAGAAATTAAACGCTGGGACGCTTGGACGCTGCATCTGTATAGTTTCATATCTTCTCAAGTTTTCAGTTTGGGACTCTTTTGTGCATTGTTTTCTTTATCATGGCGACTACTGGAATGGAATTGAAACCAGAATCTCCTGCGATGGTAAGATCTATGTAATCTTTGTTATTCAATATCAAAACTTTGTTCCTATACCCCCCCCCCCCTTTCTTTTACTCTAATTGGACTTCCTGATTAATTTGTAATGTGTGCTATAGTGTCTTATACTTATTTTCATATTTTAGTGTAGACCTTAATGTGATTATTCTAGAGGGGGAAAAAAAACAATTTTATAGGCTACTTTAATCTCTTAAATTCACTGTACATAACTAAATAGTTCGATAAATGTTGTACTATGAGGGATGTTGTTTTATTTGGCATTCATATATAGACTTCAATATGGTATTTAGCATTCATTTTTATGATTTGAGATATTGTTTAATAATATTTAAATCCCTGGATAATGATTTAATTGATTGGGTTGACTAATTTACTGCTGTGGAGAACTTGGTCAAAAGGTTATTATAGAAATATTACATCCTAAACTCTTGCAGCTGCCAATTTAACTACCAGTTACAAAAAATTTGAAGAAGCAGAATGCATATGCAGAATGCAAATAATTGGTTTTATGACTGAATAATTGATGTTATTTTGCAATGTGACTTGTTTTCACAGGAATTTAGAGGCCAGGCCCATCACAGTTCTGCACCTCAGATCTCTGTGACAGAGAGTACTCCAGAAAGAAGCAGGAAGTTTCTGCCAACACCAGTCAGCCAGTTATATGTTCCTTCTCAACATAACCAGGTCTGACTTGCTGTCTTGTGTCACTGTGGTGATTAAGTGATTTTAGTTTTGTGTTCTTAAAATGTGTTAATAATCCTTGTTTGGTCAAATCCATGCCTCATTTTTTTCCGATAGGTCAGATTATCCAACAAAGAGCAGGAGTGTATGGATATATTTGCCCAAGGCCGGCGTACTCACATGCAAGACCAGAGCTGTTTTTTGGATACCACCAAGAGTGCTCCTTGCACACCCAAACTGGACAGAAAGGCTGCTGCAGGTGCATTAAAAACAGGCAACAACCCAAACTTAATGCCTATATGAATGTCTGTTTCTGTAAAGACTTCTGGAGATGTGTCTCAGTTGCCAATTCACATTTTTACTGTTCAGGGTTCATAGAAAATTTAAATGAGTTAGCTGTGTAGTCAATGAACTATTTTCTTTCCTCGGCTCAGACTCTGAAATGTTCTTCAACCTCTTGGCCAACACCCAGAGCAACCGGCTGGATGACCAACGAGTTTCTCTCCCATCGTTACCAGGATTACAGAATGAAAAAGCCACATTTAACGCTGGTGGTGATTCAAGCTACTTGTGTTACATGGTCTCTAAAGTTCAGGTTAGTTTATCACTTATTCAGAAAATAAGTTGACTAATATAACAATAACCAATATGCTGTTGCTTTAGACCTTTTTATGTGATTTACTAAATGTAACATACAATTATTTGTCAGAAAAATGTACCTTTGATAAAAAGAAAAATGACTGAAGAAAACCGGCTCTTTGCATTTCTAGGGTTCAAGGATGGATGACCAAAGATGCTCTCTACCTCAAATACCTAAAGGGGATGATACTGTGCCCAGTCCAGGCCCTCCTCGTTCAGCTTCCTTCAGCATCAGCTCAGACATAGAACAACAAAAGAATAAAGATGTATCATCATCTCAAAAACAGGTAAGTGATAAAGTCAGTGGTACCTTTTTATTAAATACAATATTTCAAATCCGTCATGTATAATTGTCTATTTGATGCATTGATGATACAACAGATTGTTTATCCAGTGACATGAATATGTACTTTACACCCTTTTCCTTACTAGATCTTAAATCCAGCTGACCAGGAAGCTTTTTTTAACCTCATGAGTCATTCTCAACGTGGCCGAATGGATGAACAGCGTTGTGTCTTGAATGTTAGTCCCCAGTCCAAACCCAAACACAAGTCCAGTGAGAGTACTGCGCCCAAAGGTTAGAATAAAAACTTATCTGTCAACAAACTATTTATTTTCCTTTATATCTAACATGATAATTTAACTTATTTGTAGAGGTATGTGATGATTGTCCACTTACTTGATCATGAAAGTATTTACTGTCTCTTTAACCTTTACAGGTCCAGATTCAGAGAAGTTTTTTAGTTTTCTGGCTAACTCTCAAGGCCGAAGACTTGATGACCAACGAGCAGTTCTTCCTTCCTTGCCAGGGATACAAAATGGAGGAACTGCATCAAAATCCACTGCTTCAGAGAGAGATGCAAACTACTTGTGCTACATGGTCTCCAAAGTCCAGGTTTGCCCATCCCACAACATGAAAAATGTCCTTTAACTTGTATCTTTTTCTTTTTGGTCCTTCATTTTTCAAATGCAATGAATCCTGTTCAACAGGGCTCAAGAATGGATGAACAGCGATGCTCTGCACCTCAAATCTTCCAGAATATGGGTTCCCCTTCCACTCAGCACAAAGATAATTCAGGTCCACCTGATAAACCTCAGAGGTCTGCCTCCTTTAACAGCGGCGAAACTGATCATCATAAGCAGGTGAGACCTCCTACAGCATAACACACAGCTTACAGCTGGGCCAATTATTCTGATTATTTTTGAAAGACAAGCTTCAGGTGACTTAAGCTGCGTCTGAATAGTAAACTTAATCCTTGCTTTTCTTTTCTATTTTTTTAGGAAGCTTCTCCAGCTGAGCGGGATCAGTTCCTCAAAATGATGAATCACGCACAAAGAGGACGTATGGAAGAGCAGCGTTGCTTTCTGCAACCCAGCAGAAGCACACCAGCAACACCCACACACAATGGAAGTGCTTTAAATGATAAGCCCACAGGTTAGAAAAACACATGGCACTCAAGGTCAGCAATGTTTTTCTGTCTCTGAAACATCACAGAAATAGCTCCTGACACTCCATAACAGGTGCCGAGGCTGACACATTCTTCAAGATCATTGCCTCCAGTCAAGGACGGCGGCTAGACGATCAGCGTGTTGCCCTCCCCAACCTGCCGGGGATAGGTGGAAACGCAAACAGACAAGAAAATGGAAGAAGTAATAACAGTGGAATAGCAGTGAGTTGGCTGAAATCCAAACAGTCTGTGGTTTTGACACAAATGATATTGTCAGTGTTGCTATAGTTAGGCTGTTGGTATTTTAATGTCACACTCTTAACAAGGGGATGATATTCAGGGCATGCCTGTCAGTATGACATTGTTGCATCCACAATACTGTTATTGAAGAGCTATTGATAGCAGAAATTTTATACATGGACAACAGGTTTCCACCTTGTAAATAGCTGAGATGTACAGCTTATGAGGCTCTTAAGTAGCTCCAAGTTTAGATGATCTTCAATTCTATGTTAGCTGTTTGTTTGAAGTTTTTATGTAAAGACAAAATAATGTTGATATGGACATTTCCTTTTTTCCCTTTTGCAAGGCTTTTCTTCCGCACATCACCGTGGCAAAGAGTACACCAACAACATCAAGAAAAAACTCTCCAAAACCCATCTCTCAGCTTAAGAGGACTCCTGCGGTTTATGGCTCCCCCAGAGTTGTTCCAAAATCTGCTTCCTATACCCCTGAGACAGAATTTCAGAAGCTAAACTCTCCAGCTCAGGTAAAATGTTTACAAGTATTTGTTATTGAGAAATAGACAACTACAAGAAAACAAGCTTACATTTGCAGAGAACACAAAAAGGGATGTCAGTATACTGCATGAATTAACCAACCAGGGTTTTCTGTTATAATAAGTCTGGTATTTGATTTGTTGACTGCTTACATTTTTGATATGATTCATGGTTGTATTTGCACAAAAAAACAAGCTAACATTTCTTTACAGGTAACAGTGAAGGTGTCAATGAGTTTCACGCCACAGCAGGTGAGCCGTGCTGCAGCTTGTGCAGATTAAGAATAAATTGCTTGGATTGGTAGAGAAATGTAAGATGTGTAACCATATATATGCTTTTTTGACTGATCCATTAAAGGGGAAGAAGGAAATCATCCAACCATGTGCGTTCCCTGAAGTCTTCTTAACTCTGGGAGCCCCTGGAGATAACCTTGTGATCCCACTGAGCCCAAGACCTGGCAGACCCCTGTCCTTAAACCTAAACCTTGTTCCAAAGGAAGATGCTAGATCCAGGCCCTGCTCTTCAAACAATGCAAGTCCCAGAAAAACACGCTCAAGACCATCATCTCCCAACCCAGGAACAAGCAATAAAGCTCCTCCTGATGCTTTATTATCACTTGAACAGGAAAGGGTTGTGGCCAATCGAAGAAATAGAGATGAGGATTGTTTTTCCCTGATTGAAAAGGCTCACACACCCCAGCTGCAAAAAAGGGTGGTGCAAGGAGGACATAAAAGAAAAGGAGATACCGGAAATAGAAAGGAGAAAGCACAGCATGGCAAGGGAAAGAGTGGAGGGAAAAAAAAGTAGAACTATTGGTGGTTTTAGGGTATGACAAAATATTTTCTCTTTAAAAAAAAAAAACAATCACTGAGTGGCTAATAATGTACCACTGAAATAATTATCATTAGGTAAATAAACTGTGATTATCATTTTTATTTGCCTATATTTATTGATCATTTCTCAGGTTTTTATTTCTTTTCTTTCATTGGTTCTACTAGCGAAACACTCAATATATACACTGTATATGTTGTTTTGAGCTAAGTGCTGTGTAACAATATACCGTTTTGCTTTTTCAAATCTAAATGTAACCTGTCAAATTAAAATTAATGTTGCTTTAGTTGCTGATCCAAAGAAAAAATGTTGGAATAAAAGATGGAATAAATTTAGTGCTCAAGCAAACTTTGTGAAAATTTGACAAACAGTAATCTTGTCATAAGCTTGTCATTTCATATTTGCTTCTCAAAGTGAAGTACAATTACACCTACCTCTAATGTTTAACCTTCTTAAAACATAATGATGACAGAGCAGCGTAACATTTGCTCTTGATCAACATTGCAGCAGAAATGTGTGTCATGGTTTGGTTTGGTTTTGTCCTATTCGTGTTGTGACTGTCAACAGGCCTAATATTACTAATGTACGAAAGAGGATTAGGGCTACATGAAGAAAAAAATATTTACAGGAAGGAGATTAAAATCGAAATTTTGAGATTAAAGTTGAAATTTTGAAATCAAATCAAAATTATGTCAATAAAGGCGAAATTTCGAGATTATAGGCCCAAATTTTGAGATTAGAAAATGTCGAAATGTTGTGAATAATGTCAAACTTTCTAAATCAAAAAAATTAAAATCTTGAGATTAAAGTGGAAATTGGAAAAAAGTGGAGATTAAAGTCGACGTGAATAAAGTCAAAATTTCGACTTTAATCTCAAAAAGGAATTAAAAAAAATCTCCTCCCTGTAATTATTTTTTTCTCTTCTTGTGGCCTGAATCCCCTATTGTACTTAGGAGATGAAACCTGACAGGAAGTAAAAACAACACAAAAAAACCCACAGATTTTTTTTAATTTATTGATGATTTATTAAGACATTTTCAGTGGTCCATATTGTATGAACTCCATCCAGATGCCTTAGTTGGGTCTTGTAGTTCATTCTGCAGAGTCACTTCCCTAAGAGACAAGAGATAGAAGGTATACATTAATTTATTTGAATCATATATTGGTGGAAAAAATAGTTAAACAATTTGAGATAAGATGTGAATAATTTCTCAGATATCTTAAGTTTTCGTCAGCATTATTACTTCACCTCACTGACACTTGTTATAAATTTTATTTATAGTACATATCTTTGTCAAGAAAATGTGAGAATTACCTTCCCAACATCACGGCTCTTGGCTCTCAGCTTGTTGACCTGAGACTCCGCAATGTCAGCGCGCTCCTGAGCTTCCTCCATCTCATGCTGAACCTTCCTCAGCCTGGACATGTGAGTGTTGGCTTGTTCCTCCTGTGAGAGGTTTAGCATTTTGTTGATTTAGTTGTTTTGGTGTCATTCACCCAAATGAATGTACGTATATATATTTTTTAACTGTGTACTTACAGCCTCCTCAGCCTGTCTCTTGTAAGCCTTGACTTTGAGTTGCAGCTTGTCAACCAGATCCTGGAGCCTGGTCACATTCTTCTTGTCTTCTTCAGTCTGCAAGGGTAAAGATCAGTCACTTGTGGTGTATCAAAGCAGAAACAAAAAGAATTATCTAAATAATTTAAATGTGTGTCACTACAGTTTGCCATAACTGTGAAAACTAACACTAGACACTAAACTAACACACATTGCAAATGCAAAAAATACAACATGCATTGCAGATAGAGATGGACATTATGCTGTGTGGCTGTGTCTCTTAAAAAAAAATTATTTGTCCTATCAAGAAAAATAGATCCTACTTTATTTATTTAATTGGACCAAAGATACAATCTGAAAAAAAAAAACCTTTAATCTAGTGTGTATGAGCATAAAAAAAATCTTACCCTGAAATATATGGTAACCTCAAGGGAAACTCTGAATTATAGACACTTTCAACATTACATCTAATATGGATTAATAAAGTCCACGAGTCAAAGACTTGTCATGGTCCTTTGAGTTTTATACCTGGTAGGTCAGCTCCTTCACTCTTCTTTCATATTTGCGGACACCTTTAATAGCATCAGCACCACGTCTCTGCTCTCCTTCAACTTCACCTTCCAGCTCACGAACCTGTGATTTGGTAAAAAACAACCCAAGTTTAATGAAAGGGTTTAAATGCATGTAAAGAGATCTTTGGAAGCATGAAGGAAGCTTTTAAACACACTTTATCCTAAGGTGCATACCCTGGACTCCAGTTTCTGGAGCTGCTTCTTGCCACCCTTCATGGCGAGGTTCTCAGCCTCATCCAGACGGTGCTGCAGGTCCTTGACAGTGACCTCCAGGTTCTTCTTCATTCTCTCCAGGTGAGCACTGGTGTCCTGCTCCTTCTTCAGTTCCTCAGCCATCATGGCAGCCTGAGAGGTTGATGGGTCAGAATAACAGGGTTAACTTTTTGATAGTGTGTTAAAATTTTGTGGTTGACTACACAGAAAGAAGACTTTAACACAAACTCACATCAGTGATAGCCTTTTTGGCTTTCTCCTCAGCATTTCTGGCCTCCTGAACAGCATCATCCACCTCACTCTGAACTTGGACCAGATCACCTTCCAGCTTCTTCTTGGTGTTCAGAAGACTGGTGTTCTGAATGATAGAGAACAGCAGTGTTTAATAACTTTGTTCCAGTCATATTCAGATGCTTAACTTTTTGATAGAGAAATGTCAACCTGAGAGTGGAGCAGTCCAACACGCTCACTGGCATCAACCAACTCCTGCTCAGCCACTTTGCGTCCTCTCTCTGTCTGCTCCAGAGCAGCTCTCAGCTCCTCAATCTCAGCCAGCATCAGACCATTTCTGCGCTCCACCATGGCAGCCTGCTCCTTCATGTCCTCCTGTCCTCTGATGGCATCATCAAGATGAAGTTGGGCATCCTGAAAACATTAGAAGAATAAATATACCAAGTTTTTTTTTCTATTTCTCATGAAAATTTTCACCTAAAATGATGTAAAACTCACCTTGAGTTGTCCCTGGACATTCCTCAGTTGTTTCTGGGCCTCAGCAGCCTGCCTGTTAGCATGGCTCAGCTGAATCTCCATCTCATTCAGGTCACCCTCCATCTTCTTCTTGACTCTCAGGGCATCATTCCTGCTCCTGACCTCAGAATCAAGAGTGCTCTGCATGGAGTCCATCACCCTCTGGCTGTTCCTCTTGATCTGCTCCATCTCCTCATCTTTCTCTGCCATCTTCCTGTCAACCTCACCCTTGATCTGGTTGAGCTCAAGCTGAACACGAAGAATCTTGGATTCTTCATGCTCCAGTGTACCCTGGAAGAGAACTCAGCTAAGTTTGGGACTAACATAACTTCTAGTATTAAATATATGCACATCGTAAAACTCATTGAAATTACACAGAGCATGGAAAACTGAAATAGATTGTCAAATACCTCAGCTTCCTCAAGGGCAGTCTGGATTTCAACCTTCTCACTTTCAACAGCCTTCTTGGCTTTTTCCAGTTCATGGATGCTTTTTCCAGTTTCTCCAATCTGTTCAGTCAGATCTGAGATTTCCTCTACAGATAAAATACAAAACAGATGAAGTCAGATTCTTTGAATGTCACGATTATTAGTACAGTTCTTGAATGTAAGTTGTGAGATGTCATACGCTGGAGGTTCTTGTTCTCTCTCTTCATGGTCTCAAGGTGATCCAGAGCCTCCTCATACGAGTTCTTCATCTTGAACAGTTCAGTACTAAGAGAGCGAGCCTCCTTCTGGGCTCCTTCAAGCTCTGCTTGACTCTCCTCATACTTCTGTTTCCATTCTGCCAGAACCTTGAAAGATACAGATTAATTCAAAATATTACGTCCATATTTTTTTGGGTGAGGGGGAGTAGCCTAACATTGTGTGAAGTTTATTTCACACTCTAATACCTTATCAAAGTTCCTCTGCTTCTTGTCAAGGTTGGCAGCCAGAGCATTAGCTCTCTCTACGTCAATCATGAGGTCCTCCACCTCACCCTGCAGCCTCTGCTTGGTCTTCTCCAGTGAGGCACACTTGGAGTTCACAGCCTCAATGGATTCCTCAGCATCCTGCAGACGCTGGGCAAGCTTTTTCCTGAAATGAATAAGGTTTTGTTTGTGTTCAAGTGGACTCTTAAAAAAAATCTTACAAAAGTAGTCAAAAATGTTTGATGTACTTTGCCTCCTCCAGCTCCTCAGTGCGCTGAATAGCATCGGTCTCATATTTGGATCTCCACTGAGCCACCTCACTGTTAGCCTTTGACATTCCCCTCTGCAGCTCAGCCTTGGCCTCCTGCTCCTCCTCAAACTGCTCTCTGAGAAGATCACAGTCATGGCGTGCTGACTGAACAGCATGGGCCAGGGCGTTCTTGGCCTATAAATTTATGATAATAAAAAAATCATTGTCCAAGCCAAACTAATTATCATGACAGAGTTAAGATACAAAACACTGAGCATTCTTGAACATACTAGAAATTACTCTGTAATTTTTTATACAGTTGGAAATAAGTTAATGCCATGGCCTCATTTGTCATGACAGTCTGTAATCATTGGTATAACCATCTAAAGTATATCTCAGATTACGCATTGTAAGTTATGAGATAAAACACATAAAGTTCCCGTACCTTCACTTCCTCCTCAATATGTCTTTTAAGCTCCTCAATCTGCTGTGTGTAAGCCTGTTTGCCTCTGGTGAGCTGGGAAATGAGGGCTTCCTTCTCCTCAATCTGCCGAGTGAACTCACCTGAAACAACAATGGTAACAATTTAATAAGGAACGCTGCCCTACTTTCCATACATGAACCCAAATAATTTACAATAACTCACAACTGATTTACAATTATAATACAAAACATTAAGTCAAAGTTAGAAGCAAAGGGAATTTACCTTTGGAAAGTAAACAAATGTTACCACAACTAACATTTTGGATGTAGTGCAACATAAGTTCATTCACACTACTGGTTACTGACCATTCTCTGTTTGCAGTCTTGCCCTCTGTGCACTCAGGTCATTTAGCTGGCGGACGTTCTCATCATTTTTGGACTTAATTTCACTTAATTGATCTTCAAGTGTACGGCACATTTTCTCCAGATTGCCCTGTAGTTGACATGTAAATGGAATTATCTTGATGTAGTGAATATACCACTTGGAAATTGCAAACTCTGTTGCTGTCACAGTGCATAGTGCATACCTTTGCTTTGGCAACAGCCTCCATGTTGCTGGAGAGGTCGTCAATCTCCATCTTGTACTCGCTCTTCTCTTTCTCCAGCTTCTGTTTGACACGCTGGAGATTGTCGATCTGCTCTCCCAGCTCTGCAACACTGTCAGCCTGCTTCTTGCGCAGAGCTGCAGCGGTAGCTTCATGCTGAAGGGTGGACTCTTCAAGATCACGACGCAGCTTCTGGAACTCAGCCTCACGCTTCTTGTTCATCTCAATCTGGGCAGCTGTTGCTCCACCAGCTTCCTCAAGCCTCTCGCTGATCTCCTCAAGCTCCCTGGAGAGATCAGCCCTCTGCTTCTCCACCTTAGCCCGAGCAGCTCTCTCAGCCTCGATCTCCTCCTCCAGCTCCTCAATACGAGCCTAGTTGTTGATGACAATATATCAAAGAGGCTTACTAAATGGAGAGTAATGTATTGTATATATCATCCTGGGTCCACTGTGTAAGTCAAAGATGTACCTGGAGCTCCTTGATCTTTTTCTGAAGCTGGGCACCAAGGGACTGTTCATCCTCAATCTTGCTGAGGAGCTGGCTGGTCTCAAAGTCTTTCCTTGATGTGCAAAACATCAAGAATCAATATAATGTTTTTTTAATGACATTTACATTTGATATTGGGAATTTAATCAACATTTTTCATCTCACTTTTTGAGTTTTTCCTCAGATTGCTGTTTGTCATTTTCCAGATCCATTATGGATTCCTGGGCCAGTTTCAGATCTCCCTCAAGCTTCCTCTTTGCCCTCTCAAGGTCCATGCGGAGCTTCTTCTCTTGTTCCAGAGATCCTTCAAGCTGTCAAATTAGAGTTATGACAATTAACTGAAGTTCATCTTAAGAGAGATAATAATGCCAAGAGTCATTCATGTAATAATGGGTCAAACCACAAAAGCAGTTACTGTCTTACATCGTCCACTTGCTGTTCCAGCTTGGTCTTGGCCTTGGTCAGAGAGTTGACCTTGTCTTCCTCTGCTTGGAGATCATCCAGAGTTTGCTGGTGGCTCTCTTGGAGGGCTTTCTTCTCCTTTGTTAACTTGGCAATGGCCTCATCTTGAGATGCCATCTCCTCTGTCAGGTTTTTCACCTAAAAATAAATGCTTTGTTACATCTACCTTTTGCCAATAAACAATTGGCACGCCTCCATGCGAAGATTGCTGTTTTGCATCAGAACAAATTAAGCTATGTGAACCTTGTTTTCTGTGGCATGTTTCTCCTTCTCCACTTTGGCCAAGGTGAGCTCCAAGTCATCAATGTCTTTCTTGAGCTCAGAGCATTCGTCCTCCAGTTTCCTCTTCTTGGCAGTCAGCTCAGCATTCATTTCCTCTTCATCCTCCAGTCTCTCAGTCGTCTCTTTGAGTTTGGCCTCGAGCTGGATCTTGCTCTTGATAAGTCCCTCACATCTTTCTTCAGCATCAGAAAGGTTCTCACCTTCCTACAATTTAATCATGAACATAATTTGTGTTGATTAAGGTTATTTAAAAAAATGATCATGAGTTACTTTATAAAGAAACACTTCAGATTGAAGGGTATGTAATGTCCATAATTATATCTTTTCCATTTAACTCACAGCTGCTACTTGCAGTTGCAGGTCATTTTTTTCCTGCAACAGAGAAACCATCTTCTCCTCAAGTTCCTTCTTCTTGGCCAGGGCAGTAGCCAGGTCTGACTGCATTTTGCCGTAATTCTCTTTCATCTGGGCCAGCTCTTTCTCAGTCTCAGCACTCTTTAGGAGAGGCTTGATCTTGAAGTACAGGTGCATCCATGGCCAATTCTTCACATTCATAAAGGATCTGATGTTGTACTGGATAGTGAAGATTGCATCTCTGATAAAACAACAGCAGGTGCATTACTGAAAAAATACTTCCAACATTCACAACATTAATTAAAGAAACAATTTCACATACCAAATGAAGCATTCAAACAAAAAAAATGTCAGTGTTCAGAAACCCTACCTCCTCTCCATCATCTTCACAAACTCTTTACGCATGAGGTATCCTCTGCAGAGAGCCTGAGTCATGGTCACCAGCGTAGCCAGTTTGTCATCTCTCATCTCCTCCAGTGTACCCAGCAGACCGGCTTTGAAGAACACCTGTGTAGTTTCACCAATAATAAAATAAGCACACCAATATACTACATGTAGCACAACTACTACAATATTGATATCCATGAAAATGAACCTTAGTGTGTCCAAACTTGTACTGAGTGTGGTCCACATCGATGGAGCCCAGCAGCTTCTCAGAAGCTTTCTTGTTGTCAATGAACTGACCCTCAGGGATGACACTGGCATTCAATACTTTGTATCTAAAAGATTAATAAACAACATTTTTAATATATTAACTTTGCACCTTTGCCATTTCTCAATCTCATGATTTTAAATTGAAAAGTTACCTCTGCTTGAAGTCACCATAGAGGATTCTGCTGGGGAAGCCCTTTCTGCAGATTCTGATGCCCTCCAGCACACCGTTACACCTCAGCTGGTGGATGACCAGGTGGTTCTCCATAAGACCTGCACATTGTACACATTGCTTGTGTTAAAGGCAAAGTTGCTCTTTTAGAGGGAAATATAAAATAGAAGAACCCACTGCAGGACCAAACCTGGGGTCTTAGTTTCATTGGGAATCAAGCAGCGCACAAAGTGAGGATGGGTGCTCCTTAAGTTGGTCATCAGCTTGCCCAAGTTCTCCTATGGGACAAAATGTTTTTGTTTGAAACAGTAGTTTCAAATATTATATTTCATGTAATGCTAGATTTAATATATTTTGAACTCTAAACATACCCTAAAGAGAGCAGACACAGTCTGGAAGGAACCACCCTTCTTCTTTCCGCCACCTTTCTTGCCACCACCAGCACCTTCTGTATTGACAAAGATAATAACAGGAAACTTGTAACTCCAAATTCTATGTTCAAGTACATCAGAATATGTGATTAAATGAACTACTGAATTTACACTAAGGAGTCCCGGTATTAGTTTCCTACCATCAGCTGCAGCATGGGTTGCATAAAGCATGGCCAGCAGTTTGTTGGAAGACTTCTGGTAGAGCTGAACAACAGAGTCATTCAGAGGGTCCTTGTTCTTGTCCAGCCAGCCAGTGATATTGTAGTCTACTGTACCAGCATAGTGAACCAAGGAGAAGTGAGCCTCAGCTTTGCCCTTTGCTGGTTTGGGCTTTTCAAAGGCCTTGGTCTTGCCAAGATGCTGATCATGCAGCTTGTTCTTGAAAGAAGCATCTGTAGCCTTGGGGAACATGCACTCCTCTTCAAGGATGGAGAAGATGCCCATTGGCTGAAAGGAAGTTTCAAAATTACAGGTGCTTTCAGAAAAAAAAGATTGCAGTCCTTCATTCTAAATTTGTCTTACCTTCTCAATAAGCTCAATGCAGGCAGCTAAGTCCATACCAAAGTCAATGAACTCCCAATCAATGCCCTCCTTCTTGTACTCCTCTTGCTCCAGGACGAACATGTGGTGGTTGAAGAACTGTTGCAGTTTCTCATTGGTGAAGTTGATGCAGAGCTGCTCCAAGCTGTTGTACTGTAATTAAAAAGGATTTAGCTTGATGGCAAATCAGGATTTAAGTTGAAAACTGTTGAATGTTTTCCAACTACTCACGTCAAAGATCTCAAAACCAGCAATATCCAAGACGCCAATGAAGAACTGTCTTGGTTGCTTTGTGTCCAGCATCTCATTGATACGGATGACCATCCACAAGAACATTTTCTCATAGACACTCTTGCACAGAGCACTGACAGCATTGTTGACCTGGAAGAAGGAATGTTTGTAAGATAATTTCCTGAAAAATGTCTTATAGAAATGCAATTTTTTTTATTTGAAATTTTTAAACAAAATTTTGCCCTTTTACCTGTGGGACGGTCTGACCTTTGGTCACCATCTCATTTCCGACCTTGACTCTTGGGTAGCACAGAGCCTTCAACATATCAGCTGAGTTCAAGCCCATGAGGTAAGCGATTTTATCAGCCACTAAGAGTAAGGAAAAATATCTCCATTTATATAGAGAAATAAACTGGAATTCAGACAAACACTGTCAACACATTAAAGCAACAGTATAAGCTATCAGATTATTAAGATTACTTATCACCACTAAATTTGTTATTTCAACTGTGAATAAAAGGTTTGTAGCCATTAACTGGCGGCTCACTTGATGTTCACTGCCTGTACTCACAATCTTGTACACTAAATTCAGTTTTCAGTTGAATATTAAGGGATCACTGTAAACTGGAATGAATAAGTTAATTAATTTTATCCCTCTACATCACTAATTGTGTACAGACAATAGACTTTTCGGGGTTGTCTCTTGGTAGCCGTTTGTAATATACTGACTGACTAAAATAATAATTAAATAAATGAAGAAATGGATGAATAAGTTTGAAATATGCAATCAATATTACCTCCTGCCACAGAGGCGTGATTAAGCTGTGATTCCATTCTTGCTGTGTAAGTTAACTCCATTGGGTTGTGGGGTGAGGGGCTTTTTGTGTCTACTTTCTTATATTGCATTTATAAATTATTTTGCACTTAAAACACAATTACCCTCAGTGCCATCAGGCTCAGCCTGCTCCTCACGCTGCTTCTGCTTAAATTTCATGTTCCCATGATGCATCACAGCACCAGTCAACTTGTAAATGGCAACTTTTTCTTCTCCACTGAAGCCCAAGATGTCAATGGCAGTCTAATAATACAAGAAAAATTTAGTGAAAAGGTTTGACATTTATTTATCTTCTAGTAATGTACAAAATAGTGTAAACTTACATCTGTAGCAATGAACTCCTCAATATCATTGATGCTCTTGACAGTGATTTCACCCTGGCTGATCATTGGGTAGTCATAGGGGTTGGTGGTGATCAGAAGGGCCTCTGAAAGACATTAGAGGAAATACTTAAGCTAAAAAAGACTCTTTTTCTCACAATATTCGTCTCAGATCATGTTTTTATCTTGTAGAATTATACCCAGGAGCTCAGGCTTGTGGCCTGTCATCAGCTGGTAGAAGATATGGTAGCTCCTCTCAGCAGACAACTGGAAGGTGACACGGGACTTCTCCAGCAGATCTTAGAGTACAGAAAAAATGTAAAGAAATAATGGTGAGTATAACATTGAAATGTGTACAGTACTAACTTTCCAACCAAAAATGAGAAAAAAAAATTCTTACAAGTTTCAATGTCAGCTGAAGCCAGCTTGCCAGTAGAGCCAAAGTGGATACGGATGAATTTACCCTAAACATCATAAAAAAAAGTTACTTCAAGACTTGTGAGCAGAAACTAAGAAAGTTGTGTGAAGATTCATAACAAGAATACGTACAAAGCGAGAGGAGTTGTCATTCCTCACAGTTTTGGCATTACCATAGGCCTCTAGCAGAGGGTTGGCTGCAATGATTTGATCTTCCAGCGAGCCCTACAAGGAGGCATTGTAAAAGCTATATAAAAATAATTCATCAAAATTCAACAGTTGAGAAGATTGTTAGAAGGCACAAACTTTACCTGAATTTTTCCAGACCCTTGCTCAGCCTTCTTAGATCCAGCTCCAGCCACTGCAATTGTTGCAAAGTACTGGATGACACGCTTGGTGTTGACAGTCTTTCCTGCACCAGATTCTCCACTTGGGAATGAAGACAAAACTTTTATTCGCTTTGCTAGTATGTCATAAAATTCTTGAAGAGTTGTATTGACATAATGTGTTATACTTACGTGATGAGGACAGACTGGTTCTCACGATCTGAAAAATTAGCATATAAAAACAACATTTATTGTTTAACCACAGCCTTTTTGCATCATCACTCTAATACAACTTTTAGGTAACTGAAATCATACCAGTGAGCATGAACTGATAGGCATTGTCAGAGATGGAGAAGATGTGGGGTGGAGCCTCAATCCTCTTTTTGCCTCTGTATGCCCCAACAACCTGAGCATCGTACACTGGAAGCCACTTGTAGGGATTCACGACGACACAGAACAACCCAGAGTAGGTCTGTGGCACAAAAGATAGGAACATTGTCGGGTGTAATGCACGTGCTTTACAGACACAAGCAAATCCAGTTAGAAGATTTAGGCTTACGTAGATCATCCATGATGCAAAACGCTCTTTGAGGTTATACAGCACAGCAGGTTCATTGAGGTGGGTCATCATGGCCATGTCCTCAATTTTGTCGAACTTTGGAGGATTCATGGGATGGATGTCATCTTCTTTTACAGTGACGGTCTAAATAGGGCATACAAGAAAGAAAAAAACCCAAAACAATTAAGTAAGGTAGTTGTATGTTTTCATCTTGTTTAATATTACTTAGAGGACCTATAGAGTAACATTAAAGAGCTATCCTTTGACCACTGGTCAGCTAGTCTGCCATTCATATGTGAATGAATATACAGTTTAGTAATGATCATACTTGCCTTTCCTGTCACTGTGTCAACTGTGGCCTTACCACCCTCTCGTTTGGTGAGTTTCCCTTTCACATACATGTCCTCTACATCAGTCACAAAATAGGCTGTTTTGGCATCAAACGGTGCAGTCTGGGCCTCAATCCTCTCTTTCTCAGGTTTTCGGAGGAATATGGCTGCCTTGCCATAGGCCTCCATCTCTGCGTCTGTGCTCATGGTGGCACCTTAAGTTTCTGAAAAGAGGGCATATGTACAAAATCTCTCCATTCTTTATTACACTAAATGTTGATACACTGTTGGTAATTTGTTGAGGGGAATGCATACAAATTATCCCTGCTCTTTATTAAACTAAATGTTGATATGCTGTTTGTTACTCGGTGAGGTGCTTTTTTGGAACTTTTGGCTCATGAATGAAATAGACATTCATTTACCTTTGCCGATCCCAAGAGAAGACGGTAAACAGTCAGGTCTGTTCTCTTGATCCTGTTAATAAACTATCAAGCATTAGTCCATAATCTTACACAAAAATATTTTCATTTCTTAAATCCATGCATATAATTTATTTGATATCTTATTGTGCTACATTCTGTGTGGTCTTATCATAACATTTTGTGCAAAGAGTGGAAAGTATGGGCAGTTAGTCCTGTTTATTTCACTATATTTGATATGTCCAATATGAGTTCTAATTTTGCAATATCTTTAATTACAGAGAGGCTTGTTAAATATAGTGTAGTAGATTTAAAACAATTTAAAACACTGTACAATACCTATGGTAACACTCAGGAAGCTTTAAAAGAAAATATGAATGCAGATCATACTAAAGAGGTAAACTAGCCTTAACTGTTACAACTGCATAGAACATCCATTACTTAAGCAATATTAATATATCAAAGTCGATGCACTCACCTGAGTTGGAAGCCTACCAGTTATTGAAAGACTTCCAAGCAGTCTCTTTTATAGTGTAGGGACTGTCTCCTCAGTAGGTGTTGCCTTGCTCAGTTTGGGCATGCATTCTTGTCATGTTGTTGCTGAGGCTGTGACATTGACATTTACAATGATTGATATTGCCTTGTATACACATTTGTAGCAGTAGGTATTTATTCCCCATAACCAACCTGAAAAATTAAAAAATACAGTACAAGGAATATTATTTAAAATGACCTTTTTGAATGAACAGAATATTTAACAATGGTTAGGAAACATAAATCTGATTTACTCACGTTTTACAAACCATTACAACATAGACATGCAATAACTTTATTCCTAAATGTATTTAAAAAGAGGATCGCTCTTGACAGTTTGTGTGTGAGTGAGTGTTTTATTAATTTAAACTAAAGATTTTTGGTACTGAATATGAATTCTGGTTTTGAAATAATGAAATCTTATCTTAAATCAAAAATATGTTACAGAGGTTTTAAGTGAAGCAAAATTCAAAGCTCAATCTTTAACCATGGTCATGGATACTTCTGGGGTAATAAATGTTATATATGCAGGTATGGATTGGTTATTTTTTTTTTTATATTTCCATTTGGAGAAGCCTCCAAATATGACTTGTGTTCTTTTATAGGGCATGTAGGGTCACCGCCTGTCCATTCAGTGTCAGAGATTTAAAGATAAACCTTGAGATCCATGGCTCATTTTTTACTGGTCATTAATATCATGTCTGTTTGAAAAATAAAAATATTTTTATCACCTCTAGGTTGTACTTTTACAGCAAAAAGAAATATCAAATATTACTCAATAAAACATTATTTATGGCATAATAAACACAGATCTTAAGTGTTTGTACACTTATACAGATGTACTATACTTCAGACAGATCTGTCAGCTACTTATTTCAATAATAAAAATATAATCTCCTTAATGATTGTCAGTGTTAGTCACACAAATCTCCCTGCACTGCGTTATGGCAGACACAGGCCGTTTTGGAGAAGCATGTAAATGTCACTGGTATACGGTTGCAGACCAACCACACATCTCAGATGTCTGAAATAAAATTGAGGCTGAGCGCCATTCCATAAAAGCTGAGAAGGGATTACATATCGCCTTGGAATGGAGCAGATGAACAGTTGCCATCTAGGCAGGGATAAGACCCAAAATAAGACCTGTGCCAATAAACAAGATGTTAAAGATTCCTGCCCAGTAATAGTCCCATAAATGAAAACCGTATCTAGGATTAGTATTAGTTAAAATGAAAATCTAAAAGTGACAAAGACAGATTTGCACCCACCTTTATCATTATTGTGATGTATTTTGATTTATTTGTATTGGAGATTTGTTTTTTTAAGTTTTAAATTTTCCTAACCTTGTTTCTTCACATTGAAAATGACCTTGAAGAAGGCCATCCGTGTGTATTTAAACTGGTAGGTGGGTCATTGCACAAGCATGTGTTGCGAACAAGTTACAGAAGTAAGTTCAAAGGTCCTCAGTAATTTTCAGGTAACCTGAATAGCATGTGTCAAGCATGCTGTCAAAGGTCTCCAGTCATGTTTTTAGACAGCTTGTTTGACAGAAGCTTTGGTGTAGTCATATGCACCATGTATTATCTTTGTGAAGGGAAAGCTGGGGCTTTTGTTTGTTTCAGTCGTAGTCCACACTTAATACTTCTTTTTCTGTGTAGGCTTCCACACTGCATACAAAGATTAATCTGTCTATTTTGTCATGTAGCAGATTCTTCATTCTGCCATGTCACCTTGGACAAAGAGCATGTGGTGCATGCAGTGGCTGTTTTTGAACTGTCTCGTGTCTGGTGAAAGTGAGCATCAGTGAGTTAAGATAAAACCAACCCATTTTTCAAAGTTAGTTTCTCTCAGTCTGACTAAATTTGCAATTTACATCACGTGGGTACTTAGTGTTTCCTTTGATCTAAAGTAATAATTTGATTGTTGTACACTTTTAGCAGCAAATACCAAGGAATCAGCACAGACATTTTGAAATACAGAAGAGATTTGATTTTAGCATGTGGTACAAAAATATGGCAAAGTAGTTCGAGTGAATAAAGGGCAGGGAAAAATAGGACTGAGTATTCTGACCAACCTCCTCCATTGTATGTCCTTGAGACTGGTAGATGCTTGTAAATGTGTCTCTGAACAGAAATATAACACACCAAATATGCCTTTGCAGGAGGAGCCTACGAGGGTTTAAAAGTTTTGGATCCCCCTGGCAAGTGCCTCTGAAACAACCGCAGGAAGAGATGAATGAGCTCTCCCTTTTTTAAGTGTGCTTTGTCTTCTCCTTTTCATTTTTGTTTTCACGTTTGTCATGTGAAATCTTTAGAGTAAAGTACAAAGACAGAAGTGATGATACAGAGCGTGGATGGAGTGAGGCGAACTTGAGGTTCATGTTTTGGTGTCCTGAGAAACTATCTATACATTTAACATAAAATGAAGCCCTACTTCAAATTCATATTTCCTGATTGATTTAGATTTTTTGAGAGAGTCTAATCATAATTATAAACTGTGTTTTCTGCACACACCATCTTAGTTATTTCAATTATTAACTCTCAGACAGCCATGTTGAATGGCCACCTGATACTTTTTGTCTTTCTTAACAAAGGAAATTGTCTGCGTGACAAAGCTCATGTCAGCGTCTAAAAATACCTATTGGTTCACAAATGGACAACAAGCTGCAGTGCAGTGTGTCCACATAAATAGCATCTGCTCCACAGTCCAACAACACCTGTGCTTCATTTGCAGACTTCGGAGTTAAGTACAACAGAAAGAAGCCCCCCCTGTTAATTTATCCTTCCTGCTTGCAAGATCATGTAGGCCATTGTACACATTGCAAAATTGCATCTACAACTAATTGTAATTTAAATTGTAATTTCTACTATGCTTGACTTTGTGAATACCCCTTATAAAAAGATTTAAGGTGATTATAAAAGAGAAATTAAATTAGAAACTGTATCATACAAAAGAGAATATGAGATAAAATTCTACCAAGTTGTATGGCTGCACTAATGGACTAAGTCTAAAAATTCAGTATTTCATGATTTTTTTATTGTATGAAATGTTTTTGCATATTGAATCAGGTTTCATGAAATATATATATATATTTTAAATGTTTCTGCATTTCATAAAAAAAGTGTTTCTGTTTCATGACATATTTTTGTCTTGTAAAATGTTTTTTTGCATTTTTTCAAAACTTTTGTGTATTTGGTGAAATAATTCTGGCATAAAGTCAAATGACCATTTGTGATCATGACATAATTGTGCACTTGCCCTTCAAGGTCATGATTGTGGCCCTGAACACTACTTAGCTTCTCTCACTCTCACTAAACATGGTTGCATATTCCATATTACTGCCTCAGCTCAGTAAATTTGACATTATAAAGAGGAATACAAATGCATTCAAGGAAAAATAACTAACGATAAATGTGTTACAGTTCTCGATCACGTTTACTGTTGCAGGCTGAACCACTCTTGACATAAGCCTTGTTACATTTTAAATATGATATTAAGCACTTGGTTGGTGGACTCTGCTGGCAACATCAAGAAGCAGTCAAACATTTGGAGTGCTCATGTATTAAATGGGGCCTCTTGGAATACTCGAAGCACTGAGCACTTCAGCCAAGATAAAGCCATGGGAGAGATGGCTACAGCATTTGAATTCCAGCAATGGCTTTGAGCTTATAATAAGCAATTGTCATACCATAACAGTTAGTGTCCAACTGTTACAAGTTCCATTCACTCAATGTTAAGCCCTGCTACAACCTCAGTCAAGAGCTTACCAAATCAAAAGGTCTGAATTAAATCCAACATCCCTGGAAGACACATGAGGTCTATTGCATAACTGAGAAGTCATAGTAAAATCTTCAGAGTTTATTTCAGTAAACGTGCTCCACAGATAGTTGCCAGTACGAACACATTGAGACATGATCTGCTGTAACACCAGTCAATGAAGTAAATAAATATTAAAGTCCACTGGTCGACATTGGTTGATATGCGCTGAGTAGACCAAAATTCTGATTGGTCGACATGATTTTTTCCCCGCGTCAATTTATAGTCTATAGTTAATTTCATCAGGAGTATGGACAGCGTCTGCCTCCTCGCTGGGTGAAGCCACTCCGAGAACAGCACACTCTGACGATGGGTTGCAGTATAGGTCATAAATCCCGGCTCCGTCAGCAAAGCTTACGGGGCTGTGGACAAACTTTAGAAATTTATTACACAGAACATTACGATATTGACACGTAGTTGTTGTAAGACTGGTTTGTGCTCAAGTCCTCTTTTTTCTGTGCAGCCCCATTTTTCAAAGTTATTAGGAGGTTCATGTTTTCTGTGATTGACACCTGATACAGCCTATGGACGTACGAAGATTGCGTAGCTGTTTGTAAGGGTTGTTTGAGCCGAGCGTCATCACAGCGACTCTCCCGCCGAATGCGTACAACGCTACTGCACAGCCCTGGTTTCAGAAAGGGAAGAAAAATCCCGGAAATACTGAGAGCCTTTTGGCTTCAAATCCATATAGGGGAGGCGGAACCAAGTTGTCCATAGTATATGCAGTCTATGGGAGTAACGTAAGTGCTAATGGGGGTGTTCTCAGAGCACCCCCGTTTCACAGGTAACAGCCTGTCTCAGGACACCCCCTTGTTTTCACCATTTTGGATTCGCCCAACCCAAAAGAGCCCGGCACGAGACGGTAAGGTGGAAGAGTGTCCGCGTCAATCAACGTCCGGTGGTTTGCGGAATACGTATTTTCATTTTGAGCGTTTAGACTTTTATCGTGTTCAATTGCCTTCTTGTGCTGATATTGATCGATTTTCACCCCGCCGAAACTTCGCCAAACCGCGTGCCCCCCCCCCCCCCCCCCCCCCGCAGCAGAAGGGTTTGCCGTCAGAAACGGAAAAAACTTGTATGCTACTCTTGGGGTGGTATCCCCCAAAAAATATTTATGTCTCCCATATTTGTCTTCTGGGC